CCTCCCCCCCCCTCCCCTTCCCCAGAACCTGGTGTACAGCATCGGCGGTGCAAGCCATTTGCGATCATTCCCCAGACCTCTCCACAACCCTCCGTGTCGATCATCAAATTGGTTTGCAGGTCCAGACATCGGGGCGAAGAGCGGGAAGTGAGATGATCCACCAACCTGATAATTCTCAAAAGCTTCTTCAGACGAACCCACAAACCTCCGGGGTTCCCAGAGTCGGATGGCTACCTCGTGGACCCTACTTTGTTTATTGTTCGCAAAGTCTCCATCCAGTAGATGTCCTCTTATTACGATTTGAAACGAATTGTCACCATGTCGGTATTCATTCATCCGATAGCGGCGCGCAGCGACGTTTATAATACATGGCCAAAGCAAAGCACGATGGCAGCCTAGAGAGCATGGGAGTGACATAGTGGTCTTATTTTCAGTTTGATCCGCTGCAAAACTCCTGCAGCCATGTTCTAGCTTGCTGGTCAAAGCTGAGTCCATTATGTTGAACAGCTTGGAAAGCGGAAAGACCAATCAAGATTTCACGCTGAACCGAAGCTTCCTCGCCGCTACATGACAGCCTCCTTAGATCAACAAGGTCTGGCAGCAGAGGTGTCTCTGATAGAAGGGGTTGCTGGTCGTTAAACAGCACCGTTGTGACTGAATCGTGGCTCGGACCTGGTGGTTTTAGGGTATCCGGAGAGGTGACCGCAGCTGCTCTTTGACCAACGTTCGTGTAGTCGACGTCAATCTCCTGTTCAAAGGAGTTCCCACCAGGATGAATGGATTCTAGCTTCATACCCTGACGCCCGAGCGCTGGGTGAGACTTGGCCACCGTAGCAGCTGCCGCTTTCCTGGTGCCTTGGGAAGGAATGATAGTGCGGCTGAGTATACATTTCTGCCCTGTAGAGGTGCACCTGAGACATGGAAGGCCTCTTTCGCAGCGTACCTTGGACCGATAGCAAGCATCACAGGCCATTCGAGTGGTGGAAGCTCCACTGAACGGCGAGTTGGAATGCCCCGCGATGTGTCGACTGAGCGAGTCCCTGTCAGATACAAAAGTAATTAGCGCAGGAGCCCTTGCACGGTGCAGGACCACCACCTACTGCCTTCCGAAGGTCCGGCCGCACAGGGGGCATGAGAATGGTCGCTCCAAAGAATGGCTTCGTTGATGGCGGGTCAAGTGTTCCTTTCTCTTAAAACGCCTCGAGCATACCGAGCATGAGTAACATCTTGTCGAAGCAGCAGCCTCAGCCGACTCACATCCGGTTTGTCTTTGCTCCATTGATTGTTGGCTCACGAGGATATGGAAGGGTATGTAGGTGTGAAGCTAACAAGTACTTGGGTCGTCTCCTTCAATGACCAGCTGCTCGGAAAAAGGCTGGCAGACTTTATCTTTTTACCCCGCTTCTTTCCCCGGATCGATGCCGGCTCCGGGGTCTCGTATTCCATCACAAGAAAATAATCACATACTAAGGCGAATAGATAGCATCCATGATGAAGGTCGAAGGCCAGACAAGCACTTCGCTTGTGGGCTTCCGGAAATGTAACACAGATTGTGTACTCCACTCATTCGGCTGGGCCAATATTGCTGGCCGAAGGACGGGATTACCCCCTGACGACTTCGGAGGTTGTGGGGTACAGTAGCGTACATTTTCAAAGTGTTTAAAGTGCCTGGTATAGATGCCTTGAACACATATATATCACTTCCTGCAAGCGGCGGAACTGATCCGGTTGGAGTACCTTCGTCGGGAAATTTACTGCCTCTTTACGTCGTCTTAGTCAAAGCACGACGTCGATGACCGTCTATAGCGAAGAGTCTGGTCCTAGTTCTACGGACATCGGGATACCCGAGACTTATTAAACTTAGGTCTCCGTTAGTATACGAAGAATTAGGAGGGCGTAGAGATAGGACTATAGAAGAAACGGGCCCGTTAAAGACGACGGTGAGGGAAGGGTGAGTACGAGGAGGGTAGAATGGAAGGTGAGAAGCGGGTGAGTGACGAGGTGAGTCGTTATAAACTGGCATGGTCTGGCCGAGTCCCGAAGGGAGCTGCGAGTAGTTTTCCCAACGCTTTCCCGCCAAGTAACCCTATCAGATAAGATAGTGATCACGAAACCCTTCAACAGCTAATCAGACATTCGACTATCAATCATCACATGGCGACTTGAAACTACGATTGTTGCTCGAGATGAGGGAGAAAGGAATGGGTAGGATCAAGTTGTTGCAGGCGAAGTGCCGTCGCGACCTACAATTCAACCGCGCACCCTGTCACACCGCTACGCGCAAAGTTACAAGGAAATTTAGGCAGTAGAGTAAGGGCAGCTAATCTACCCGGTTCCCCAACTCCTGTCTGAAACAGATGCCTAGCCGAGAGGCAAGTATAGCCGATCGCAAGGGGCCAGATGAGGCCCCCTGGCTATCCGCCTAATTAAACCATGAAATACAGGCTCCGAGGTGGACTTCTTCCATGTTAGAGATGAGTGGGTATATATAAAAACGCAAGGAGAGATCGGTAATCTATGAGTACAGTACCCAGTGCCCTGAACCCAAGTACTCCGTACACGCCACAGCTTTTCTCGCCGGACTGACTGACTGACTCACTGACTGATTGACGCCTTGCTTACATCCTCCCTCGCTCGTTCGCTCGCTCGCCTACCAAGCTCTCAAAACTCTCTCCTGTTCTCTCCGCTTTCTCCAAGGCAGGATATTCGGGCAGCTGCCACTGGTGCGTGTCGCTGAACAACCCCAACTTCTGGTCCAGCCGAAAGTACGCGGCGACTTTGGCGAGGAGAAGCAGGATCCAAATCCCGAGTTTCGATCGGGGGAAGCTGAGGAGGCCGATTCTATCGGCGCCACCGTGCATCGCTGTCGCCGCGGGGCGGAACTTGGTCTCATAGTTCTTGGCTGCTTGGATCACCACGCTCGCTATCGCTGTCGTGGGCGCTGTCGCTGGTGCTGGTTCTTCCGCTGCGGATGTCGACGACAACGAGCTATTCTTCTCAGCAGACAGCGTCGCAATCTCTCCCGCCAGGATATATGGCCCGATCATACCCCATGTCGACCCCAGACCCCCGGCTGTCTGACAGTGTGCTGCGTCGCCGACCAGCACCACTCGCCCTTTCGACCAGGAACCCTCGGGCAGTCGCACCTCCTGGAACGGCGTGCAGTACAGATCGTCCGCCTCGGGTTGGTTTCGCAACGCCTCCATGAAGCGATCGCACTCCCATCCGCCACCCTGGTATAAATCGGACCAAGCCTTCTTTAACTGGGCTAGGTCTCCGGTCTTGTACGCCGCATCGATGGCAGCATCCGGACCGAGTAGGATCATGTACACGCGCGTGAGTTCTGGACAGTCCTTGCGCGTGCCGATGATGCGGGCCACGCGAGGACCCGGCAGCGGACAGAACGTCGCCCGGTCGGAATCTGCCGGTGTCGAGCGGATGCTGAAATACCCAATGTACCCGCCGAGGGGGTGTCGTGGATCCGGAGCGTCTGGGCCGAGCATCGTCTTTCGTGTCTTCGATCCAGCCCCATCGGCGCCCACGACCAGATCAAAGTCCTCCGTGCGCCCGTCGTGGAACCGCACATGCACCTTGCCGTTGGGATCGCTCTCTTCATCCTGTTTGAAGCTGTCGACGGTCGTGTTGTACAAGTGCTGCACATTCGGGCGGCCCTCGGTGAGCCGGTACAGGATCCGCACCAGGTCGCCGCGCATGATCTCAAACTCGGACGTGAAACTCTGCTTTCCGGCCCCGTTCTGCGTCGCTGGGAGGAACGCCTGTGTCCGGCCTTTTACGTCGATAAACTGCGCACCCGGTTCATGCACACAGGCCTCGCGCACAGCAGCCTCGATGCCCATCTTCCGCATCATGGCCACTCCTTGCGCGCGGATGTCGACCTGTTGTCCCGACGCGCGCATCCGGGGCGATCGCTCGATGAGGGTGATGTTGGCGCCGATGCGTGCAAGCCAGAAGGCGAGGGCTGGCCCTGAAATACCGCCGCCGATGATGAGGACTTTTAGGGGGGCCATCGTGGTGGGTGGTGGTGACTTTTTCCGGCTGTGTCGTTTTCTTTATTCCTGACCTGGGAGAAATAGGTCCAGAATAGCATGTATCTGTTATGTATGGGCCTGTGTATTCTGTCGATTAATGGAGGAACCGTATGCGCCGCTCGTCAACATGTGGTCATTGGATCATATGCTTCAGGGGTAGTGAGTGAGTGGCCTTGACTGTCTTGTCTTGTTGCTCTCTCTTGTGTAGCAACACAGGTTACTTGTAAGTGTCAAAGGTTCTTTGTTTTCAGATGTCTGCCTGACTGCACTCCTCCCCAACATTCCCAATGACAATGTTCATTATATGGGCGTGCGTCGAAGACCGACTGCGTTCGGACCCGAAACGCCATCGGCCGAAAGCCAGCCACGGCCGACCAGGCAGCCGGGTTCCGCGGACTGCGCGAGTCCAGGAACGGATACCTGCGAGTACATACTTTCTGAATCCGGCGCATCGATTGGATCATCTAAATCTCCGATCGGTACGCCAGAACTTATAGTGGAGAACAATAACAGGTGATTGGGCGTGACAAAAGCAGGTTTTCGAAGATTGGTTGACTGTTGAAACGCTGTGCCTGGGGACATAGGCGCACAGACTCACTCTTTTCGAGCTGAAGTCATGAAATTCCGATGTCGGAGGCACGTTGGTGATACAAGATTTGATGACCGTTCCATGAGTATAGTGCCGCAGTCTGTTCTGCTCATTATAAGTAAGCACCATGGGTCTGTGGAATGAAGTACTCACAAGGGCCCCTTTCAACGTCGAGCTCGGAGCGTTCCCGGTACCAGCAGGTCCAAGCATGTTGAGGGGCCTATGCAGAAATGCCCTGTTCCAGTGGGGTCTGGAAGCTCCACCCTTCAAAGGTGAAGTTCCAGGTCGTCTGCATAGTATATACTACCACTGGCTGGCAGTTGAAAGAGTATGTTCAATGTCTCCTTGTCTGTCATTGTGTACCAGTCATCGCCAATGGCTCGACCCTCAAGCATCTCCATGATGGTGTATTCTGATCCGACAGCGTTGCATGACGCATTCGATTACCCATAGATTTATGGAACGGGGATGTGATGTGACTGAAGAAAGTCCATCGTCGCGACTTCACAGGCGATAGTGTAGTGTTTTGGTAGAGGCACTTGAGGCACTTGGCTGTATGCGGCTTAGACCACTTCTTGTCCCCAGCCATTAGAGATGACCAGCATAATCGCTAAACCTTCCCTTTCAATCTGCACACGTGAAAACGTGAACGCGTTTCGTCGAGATGCCGCTTCTGGCTATTCAGGAGTTCTGACTTCCTTGTGGTCGGTGTCATTGATATTATTTTACTCTATTGCCCCAGAATCTTCATCTTGAGTGACACCCTTGTTCATCAATGCAAACTCCTATCTGTCGTTCCACCTCACTGTCCCGAATTGCAGCATCGGATCCTTCCTGGCCTGCATCTACTCTCCTAAATGAAGCGTTCCACAGTCCGACGGCTTTGTCAGACATACACCAATGGTGGACAACATCAAGCTGCTCATGATTGGTACGAGCTCAGAGGCATATCGAATTGGAAACAAGGTTGCAAAAATCTGTCACGTACTCCCAGATGATCCGGCGATCACGCAACAAAATCTAGAAGCATGCCAGACTGAAGCTCTCGTGTACCAAATCCTAGGAGAGCACCCTCGGATTGTACGGTGTCTATCGTGGTGCCCGTCACAGGGTCGGGTCGAACTTGAGTTCTATCCCAACGGCAACTTGAAGGACTACCTTGAAAAGAACTATTCGAGCACGACAGAAGTCGATGAGAAACGCTGGGCTATTCAAATGATCGAAAGCGTCTTCTACCTCCACTCAAAAGGCGTTAGACACGGAGACCTCCGGTTGGAACAGTGGCTCCTGGACGAAAGTAACGCTCGACTGGGCGATTTCAACGGCTCCGGATTCGATGCCCAACCTGCTCTCGGCCTCAAGAGGAGGCCAGCACTGGGTCTCGAATGTTCAAGCCACTGGCTACCACGTCCAGACGATAACGACAGTTCTGAACAAACGCATCTGTTTGCACTGGGCTCTTCACTTTATGAGCTCATGGCTGGTCAAATGCCGTTTGCAGGTCTCGATGACCATACGATAGAAACAAGATACGCACAACGCATCTTCCCAAATACCAACCGGTTATTGTTACGGATCGAGATTTCAAGATGCTGGAATCAAGAATTTACAAGCGCGGGCGAATTATTGGATGCTGCAAGGAATACCCTCCTTTCTAAAGCCCTTCGAATATCTCCCAACACACTGGAAGTTGACAGAGAAGCGGTCTAAAGACCGGGGACGGAGTTTAAAAGTTCCATTTCCGCTCGCTACTTACGTGATCATCTCTCCTCTTTTAGCATAGTGGTGCCAAGACTGCTCCCAAAATCAACGTTTATGCGCCCTCGAGACTAAATCCGTCAAAAGTAAATAGCGCTATTACTACTAGCTGAAGCCAAATATCCATACCCTCTCCTCTCCTCGAAGACGACTATGGCAAGCAAACAATCCCTCGAAACTCCGCCCGACGAACGGAAGTCAGATGCCGCCAATCTGAACGAGCGTCTGTTCAAGAAAATGAAGAAAGCTGTCGACTCCAACCCGGAGGTCGACCTGCTCTCGCTGTTTCCCAAAGAATACTCGGAAAGACTAGCAAGACTAGCAAGTTCCCCGAAGAGGGACCGGATAAATCCACGTGACAAGGGTAGGAAAATGGGTGTCATTCTCATAGCTTGCGTCTCTTCTGATACTCCATCACTTGTTAGGTGTCACGTCTCTCGAGAACGTTTTGCCAAAACAAGACAATCAGAGGGTTTCCACTATCCACGATGATATCCGCTACCTTCTCTCCGCTGGCGATGTTCAGATTATGGATCAGCCATCACATTCAGTTCAGGAACTAATAAAGAGCAAAATGGAAGTGAGAAATGCCTCTCCCGCGATCGAAACAGAACCCCAACAATTCTCCATGGCTCTGATCAGGCTCATCCAAGAAGGAGAAATTGTCAGCACAGGCCCTGTTGCGTCCAGAAGAATGGTAGTGAAGTGTGGTGTTGACACAATCGCAAAGCTGGTTTGGGGGTTAGAAGAATACACTGACTACACCACACTTCAGTACTTGCTAGAGCACAAACCCAGCATTCCGGCACCTAGACCACTTGGTCTTGTCCGTATGGGCTGGGTAACAATCTTCTTCATGTCTTACTTGTCAGGCCCGACCCTTGAAGCAGTATGGGCAGATCTGGGTACAGATGAGAAAGCATCTGTTCGAGACCAACTGGATGTCATTTTCCGTGATCTCAGGAAAATGGAGTTCCCCAATGGCATGTCCTTGGGTGGCGTGGGGGGTGAGGGCTGCAAAGACCTAAGGAGGCATCTACGCCGCAGCACAACCCCAATTTTTGATGTCAAAGAGTTCGAGAATTTCCAGTTTTCTAATCCCAACTATGGAAGCAAGATTTTTATCGACTTTCTCCGCGCATTCGCTCCTCAGAGCTCACGTCAAATCGTCTTCACGCATGGAGACCTGCGGCCAGCAAACGTCATTGTTGAAGTCACACAAGACAGAAGATGCATCGTTACTGGTGTCATTGATTGGGAAGACAGTGGATTTTATCCAGAGTACTACGAAGCCACGAATTGTTTGGCAACTGATCAAGTCTGGGATTGGTTTCAGTTCCTGCCACCCTGCATCTCGCCTCACACCTATCCTGTAGAGTGGTTACGCGATTACGTTTGGGGACGACATCTAGAATGAGCAATAGATATTTCCACGATGGCGTTACGCTTTCTCCTTCAGCTCCTTCGTTGTATCCTTGTAAGCGTCTTTGTCTTCGAATACGACAAATAGAAATAGCCACAAGTGTGATTTAAAAAAAAAAAAAAAAGGTTGGGGAAACCAAACATTAATCGTAGAGGATAATTTAAACTCGAATAAATTAGGGGCCTGAACTATCAGCGACCCCCACGGCCGCCGGAAGAAAAGAGAAGGAAAAGGGAAAAGGGGAGGGCGGGTTGTTATTCCTGCCCACATACCATGAGTAGGAATTTTTGAGACTTATATACCCCAAAAGCACATTTTCTTCCGCAATCGACCACAGGATGAGGAAAATAGGGCTTCCCGTTCGCTCAGCCGTACTCAAGCCTCATGCCGGTCCAGTTAGTACTACCGTGGGTGACCAGGTGGGAATCCTGACTGTCGATTGTTTTTGCTTCTCGAAAATAATTTGGATGGACACTTCGCATTTGGGGAAGTGAGGGACTACAAGCATATATATATAATGAGAGACTAGCGTTAGAGTAGTTGGTGCGGAAAATTTTGGTTGAGCAGGCGGGATGGATGGTGTGCCAGACTTGGAAAGAATCAAGGTTTTCGGCAGATTACCGAGTATACCGAGTATTCGGTACAACTACTACTAGTAGCATGTCGAATACCCCACATCTTAAGGCAGGGAAAACGTAGACTAGCATAGGCGCGACTAGCTATGCTGCGAACGCATAACTCCCAAGGATTGCATACATCGACCAGGGACTTGTGTTTAGTCTCTTCTCCAGCACCTCAGCCACGACGCTGGCATTTCTCAGCCCAAAGTCGCGGGAGAGGCACTTCAATTGCTGAATCACCCAATCCCGGACTTTTGTCTCGGGGCTTGCAAATATTGCAGCCACGTAGAACGGAAACAAAAGCGTGTAGGCGTGTAGTTTTCGGAAAGGTGAAGAATGAGCTGGCCTTTGCGAGAATTGTGGGCCGGTGGCGCAAATCTCTCTTGCCATGGTGTCAATGATATGAGAAGCAAAGGCGATATTCAGTCCGTGCGGTGGATTATCAGTGCTACCCGAGATGATATTTATATATGTCGTTCGGATGAGGTTGTTGAGTAGAATTCGCATGATGCGGATAACGTTGCAAGTCTGTGCTGTAAAATAGTCAGGATAGACGTCGTAGTATTGTTCCAGAACACTAGGAGAGCCTGTTGGGACCGAAACCCTGTGAGAAACCCAAGACGGAGGCATTTCTCGAGCAAGTGAGCCAAACTCGCTATCCAGCTTTTTCGCTTGTGTGATGATGTCGGATGGTGCAAGGACTCCCTCCTTTACCTGTCCGCGGAAGTTGGCGTACTTCATAACCAGTCCAGAGACCCGCCATTTGGGATCTTTGGCGTCGACATGAGGCTGTATATCCGAACGCAGCTTGACCAACGCAGGTGGAATTGGGAAGTCGCCCGCCACACAGCTTATCAGCATGTTGGTGAACAGGCGAACGGATAGGCGGAGACCGATATATGTTTGCAGTTGTTGTATACGACGCAACTTGACAAGGGCCAGAGCACCCTTGACGTGACTCATCCAGGCATCAGACGAGATGGGGCTGCGGTTAGTTATCTTTTCGAACAGGTCGAGCAGGAGGACTGCCAACAAGGTCGAGTCGGATGCAAGGAATTCTGTCGTAGCCACAGCACTTTTGACCAGCGGAAGGGCAGACAAGTAAGTCTCTCGCGCAGGCTTGTATGCACTGGCAGCGTCGTACTGAAAAGTGAAAAAGGCCAAGCTCACAGCATCAACACTGGCTGCCAGGTGGCTGTCTAGCGGGGCTTGTCGGCCCATCCGATCCAGAACATCGTAAGTTTTGGCGAACCCGAGGACGTAATGGGAGAAGAAGGCTGCCCTTGCTCTATCGACAAGTGGGGTGTCGATACTCGTTGCTATTGGGGCTGAAGACATGCCTCGAACTTTACGTATGACTGACTGGCTCTCATCCCGAATCCTCAATTGATCGGGGTCGCGGTAGCCCGAACAACTCAAACCAGCCCTCACACACTGGCCACAGGCGTCCTTGTGGAGATCGCACTGCCAACAAGTCAGCTAGAAGCTCTCAGTCCAGCCACACACAGGGGTTCTCACGCGAAGTTTCCTCCGTCTGCAATGAAGACAGGCTCGAGATGGCTTGCCGTTAAACACCATGATCAGCGGACTTGGGAGATGAACATGGAAAGGGATTCGGCGTCGACTGTGACCAAATATTTTTCTCCGTCATCCTAACAACGCGACTCAAGACCCGAGCAACCCTCAACGCTGGCTAGAGGTGCACATGAAACTGACTCTGGTAATGATGCGGCTTGCTCGTGGCAAAGAGCCAATCGGAGATCATCGGATTATCGGCCAGACTGTATCTCCGACACCAGACTATTCCACAAACGGCAGGTCTTCCGTCGACGTCATTTTCTGGTGTTCCAGGCTTTCTCCCATTTCCCCAATCTCCTCACCTTTGGAATAGTACGACGCCTTTGAATGGGTTGAAGTTAGACCATGCAATGCTTTATCCCCATCTTGCTGCAGCTCACTCGTCTTCTAGTTCCAATGTTTGGTAGGTTTCTACTGGAGGCACTTCGCCTAGCGGATGCTACCCCCGAGAATTCCTTTCGGTCAAAGTAACCCCCTTGACCTATATATACTTGATAATTCCAGGGTAAGGACATCGGAATTTTCCATGAATCCCAAATTCGATCCCTTTTTACCATCAAGGTCAACTTTACAAAGTCAGATCGAAGCCACCATGGCCTTTCCATATAAGCGAGCACTTATTGTTGGAGCGACGGCGGGAATTGGCGCTGCAATGGCAGATCACCTCATTCACCAAGGTGTCAAGGTTATTGCTGTCGGACGTAGACAGCAGCGACTGGACACGTTCGTTGAAAAGCACGGCAGTGACACTGCCAGTGCAATCAGGTTCGACATTCGAGAGCGGGAAAAAATGGACGATTTTGTGCGAGATGTCACAGAAACCTACCCAGACTTGGATTGCGTCTTTCTAAATGCGGGAGTTCAGAGCATAATCGACTTGAGCCACCCAGACAAAGTCGACCTATCGGCTTTCCACTCGGAGGTGGAAGCTAACTTCTCATCATTTGTGGATCTCACCATGAAATTTCTACCCTTCTTGATGAACAAGCAAACCCAGACGAGCCTGATATTGTGAGTATGTCAAGCAAGCAAAGGGGTCGTCCTAATTAACATCACTAGCACCGGGTCAAACCTGGCTATTATCCCTGCCTCTATTATGCCCGCCTACTCTATTTCGAAAGCGGCCCTGAAGCCATGTTCGGGCCTGCTTTGCAAGCCGAGTAGGGGTAACAAGCACTCGAACTTGCTTTATAAGCAGAGTACGGGCAAGAGGATCAAGAGGATCTCCTGCCAACTAATGGCACCTAGAGATTGGTTCGAGCAACATGAGGGTCTCACACGCAAGAGGCACGCAATTCCAGATGGAGTCCTTGAATTTAATATTGGCCATATGCATGCAAGTCTACGTCCTAGTACCTCGTAGTTGGCGTCTGAACTCGAAGTATAGACCTGCCCCAACCACAGCCTCTTTCTCCCAGCCCAGGTTGAACCGACGCCGTTGAATCTTCCTTGGGCCTAAATTCACGTCCTGAAAGCGAGACGGCAGCAACCCAGTAGAGCGTGCTCCTGATCAGAGCCAAACAGTCCGTCCACAGAACCAAGGCTTCCAGCCCTCTAGTCGTCTTTTGTAATTCCACCGACAGGTACATATGTTGCATCTGGATTCCGGAGAAGGTCTTCGTCGTCATCTTCATCATCCTCAGCGTATTCATCATCTTCATCGTCTGCTTCATCTTCTTCATCTTCACCATCTTCACCACTTGCGTTACGTGGAGTTGTATCGTCGTCGCTGACTGGCGGGTCTCCAGTGTCTTCAAGGGCAGCAGCCTCTCTATCGCCTTCCCGCTTCGACATTTTCTTGATACTTTTCAGCCAATCTTCGCCCAGCATGCCCGCGTAGTGTTTCTCTTTATCGTCTGGAGCATCGGATGGGGATTGGTTGCAGATGGGTACAGGAGCCGGATCCATGGTAGTTGTTCGGATGCGGTTCGAATCGTTGGTGTCCAAGGTGCGGACGCGAGCCTTCCTGGCCTGTTCAAGGGCAGCCGCTTCTTCAGGTTCGGGGGCACGGTGCTGAAAGGCTGGAAAAGAGATATACTTCGTTAGTCTGGCATGACACGAAATCGACTGGGTCGATTCCCAAATTTAGGCTGACACTCACTTTGGATCCCAGCGGCTGCTGCAAGGGATTGGTATCTCTCACGAGTCTCAGGTCGGAACACGGCGCCGTCGTCGCCAATGACTTCTTCCAATTCCAAAGACTCGACGAATTGGACAGCAGCGTCCTCAAGACGGTTGACAAAGTCGTCGCTGGTTCGAATCAGGTCATTTTGCTCGGCTTCTTCTATCAGACGGACGATTTTATTCGTCAGGCGTCGTGATTTAGCTGATAGGGGAACGAGAGGCGGCGGAGCAGTTGTTCTAGGACGTGATAACTAATCATTCGTCAATCTGAACAATTTGCTTAGCTGCTCTTCGAGTTGCTTGTGGTCGTTGCTGCCATATCGCCTCTTAATGTTCTTGCTCTTTTTGATATTTTCGCACGACAGGATGAGCTCGTCGATAAATATGGTCATTTCTGTCATCTCATCTTCACCGAGGTCATCTTTAGTCCGGAAGGGACGCAAGGTTTCCGGGGAGGCAGGTGGAGATGCTGCTTTGCCATCCGCCATGTTAGGCTATCGTGAAGAGGGACGAAGTCGAAGGGATCGATCTGGTCAGAGGAGGGAGGATTTGGGGTTGAGAAAGGAAGATGGAAACTTCACAGGCCTTGGCGCCCAACACCTCCACCAAAATAAACACAATAGTATAGTGCACTGTGGCAACTGTTCCAGCCTACCTCGCGAGCCAACGGGGAAATCCACAACATTCCACTTCAATTTTCCAGTAGTCACACCTAAATTCATAGCAGGTTAATATATCAGACTTCTAGACTGCCGACTTTCAGAGGACTCTTGACATTTTTGAAGGAAATTGGATCATATCCGGTGCCGCGCACTTCTCTGCTCATAACCATCCTCTTGTTCAGAATGCCCGAGACATTTAGCTAACCGGATACATGCCGCCGTCGACTTCTCTGCTCATAACGATCCTCTTGTTCAGAATGGCCCGGGACAGTTCGCTGACCGGATACATGCCGCCGTCGACTTCTCTGCTCATAACGATCCTCTTGTTCAGAATGGCCCGGGACAGTTCGCTGGGGTATCCGTAACAGAAGCTACTCCAATGAGAATGGGCTCCAGTAAATTACTACATAGATGGAAAATGGCATTATGTTGCAGGCCGATACTCCTGCTCATACAGAACCTGTGTCTCGTGCCGCAGCGGCTGCCACGTAAGTGCCAAAGGAAAACATCCTTCACTTGTTCTTCATGTGGCGTCAGGCCATCCTTAGTCACCCATTAGCCTAACTCTCCTATCACTGCAGCTGCCGAAACATGACGAAGTCCCAGCGGCTTCATTCCTTTGCGGAGCCCAAGGAAGTTCAACGCCAGCAGTCTGATATCATACACAACTTCTACACTACACCCTAACTACCCCGACTGATGGCCCTAAAGAACAAGGCTTACAATCGGTTCCTTCCAAGGTGGCGGTCAATGCCTACGATAGATGGGTCTCCTCCTCGAGGCTACGGCACGAGATTGCGACCACTATCAGCAGATCCTTAGCCTATCTGCTTCTGAGTCAATCAAAGGCTCCAGGGTGGTCAGTATAGCAACCACGAATATGGCATAATAGCCCGTCCACGAACGAGTGCACTGTGATCAACAAGTACGATACACTACCCATCGCGATGAGGTCAGGCCTCGAGGCATAAAGAATTCCGCTTGATCTTGAAAACTTCCAAATCGGCTCGAAAAGATCTAATAAAGAACACAAAGATCAAGCTGAGGAAATCCGCGATAATTAATAATCATAAATTGTCAAGTGAAGAAGTGCTTCAAGTGCATAATGAACAGAGTACCAGAGGGCGAGGAGTCGGGGACCCCAGAGATGTTTGAGGTCAAATCCGTCGAAGAGTGTCCTCTTAAGCTCAAGTAGGTGGTCGGCGATGGTTCGGACTTGAACAGCAGCAGCATTATTTTCCTACCATGTCCACAAAGCACTCAGCCTTCCACTTAAAGTCCCCTGGCACTGAAATGTAAGTGAGGCCGGCGCTACGAAGAGTAAGGACGCTAGAATTTTATAAGCAACCGCCTCACTAGAAGCGGTGACTTTGCAGGCGGTGGATAAGAGAGTCGAGGGTTACCAGGCAATAGATATAAAGTATTGCCTAGATCTTTGATGTCAACGATGAAATCGATAATCCACCAGGGGGGAATGAAAGGAGGCACGTCTCGCGCCATAAAAAGATCTTGTTTCGAGCGGCGAAAAGGTTGTTAAAAGCTTCACGACAGGTCTCTAGTCTACATGATGGGACCGATCACCTATCCAGGAGGAGTGGAATTGGTGACGTCTCGTGCCACAGCAGAACCTTTTCGGAGCGGCCCAAATGGAGTCAAAAGCTTCATGATACCGATTGTGCGAGGATATAAGTCGAGCCGCTCAAGATTAGATTGTATCCTGTTGAGCGAGGATTGTTTGCCCCCCAAAACTACATTTGCGCTTAAAATGGGCAATGATCAGCAACGAAATGCACAAAGTGTCTATCATCAAGCACATATCATTTTCTTTCTACTCCCTATATCTCGCCATGTGAAAGCACAGAGCCACGAGTTCTCGGCTGTTATGTCTAGAGGTCGAGATTCTCAGGCGCCTCCTTCTGCGCACAGCGTCGCTCGTATCTCTCGTTGCGCTCGGATTTCTGTGTCTCGCGGCAAAAGCGGCAAGCGCAGTAGTCCATGCCAGAGGGGTCGAAACTCTCTTCCATCTGCTCCGCAGTGAGCTCATTGCCATCACCGTCAAATGTTCCCCTCTTGCATGGAATGTATTCCCACTCGACAGCATCATTCTGGTACGCTGCTGAGCTGAAGTCATGCTCCTCTTCAACAAACTCCATGCCTTGCTCCCTCAATCTTTCTGCCTCCTCGGCCAGTGTTTCCTGCAAATCAATTAGCTACAGTCAAAACTGACCGCGTCGATACTCACTAGTGCCCTGCAAATCCTTTCTTGTCTTCTTGCTGCATTGCGTGCATTTTCGTCAAATCGCTCATCATTCATGACCATTTCCTCGTCAGCATCAAGCATCTCCTCATCTGGGAGCTCTTCTTCAAACTCTGAATCGTAGTCCCCATCTTCTGACCCATCTTCTGACTCATCCTCCAGGTTTAAGAGAGTCGTGCTCGGGTTCTCGATGCCAGCTGCTTCGTATTGTTGATCAGTGAGAGGCTGTTGGATTTCGGTAGCAAGCTCCATAATATCGGCGTCCAATTCGTCGGGCTCCTCTATCATGTCTGCTTCACTGTCATCGTGATCCCCTTCTCCATCGCTAGCATCGTCGGAAGTGACAAAATCTTCGTCTTCATCTTCGGGCGAGAAAGTCGTAAGGAGCAGGCTCTTCGTGTCGCGCTCTGCTGATGCACAGTCATCAGTGGAAGAGGTCATCTTGGGATGAAGACTGAACTCGACCCTGTCGATTCTGGTGCCAACTAGATCGGCGAAGCGCTGGAAATCATCTAAAGATAGTTTTGAGGAATAAGACAGAATGTCTTCTTAATTCAATTTTGAAGAGGGTGAGGCAATGGTAAAGTGAGGTTGTCAACGTCATACTATGATCTCAGTGACTTGAGAACTCAACATCATCATCTATTTTCATTCTTGGGAACCTCATTCTCACTCTTTTTTATGAAACACCTGTCTATCGATTTGCACTACCTACCGCCTGGACCATGGCGTCAGAGAGTCGCAGGCTCCCTATCCAGGTTGAAGCTATCATCCAACAGATAAATGACATCCATGTCCACTCAAACAATTATATTATCACCACCGATCAGTTGGAAGTGTGGACCCGCAGATACACCGAAGACCTTCGACCCGGCACTTATCTCGTAGGTACCGCACAGGAGGAGGAAGAGCTCGCAAGCCACGGCAATACCCGGAATATCCACGGCGCCGAATTCGCTGCACCCCCCACCTTCGGATTTCCAGACATGGATGTCGACGAGGAGGAAGAAGATATCCAGGACGAACCCATGGTCGACCTACATCCCGCGGCCGACGACACTTTCGAAGACGAGGATATCCTCATCCGTGGAACTTCTGATCGCAGGCTTTGGGTAAACGGCGAAGTGTGGCACGTTGCAGAGTATTTGGGCAAGCATTGGGTGGATATGATTGTGAGATCATCAATGCCCTTCTCGATCGGACGTGCTGACCGTTGTTTCTAGATGCAAATGCACTCGATCAAGCCCCTTCCAACACCTGTTGGCATGGTGGTCAAACCATATGACTATCAATTGAAAGGCGCGGCTCAAATGGACTGGTGTTTGGAAGGGCCATTCAAATTCTTCTTTCTCGGTGATCGTATGGGAATGGGTAAAACGCTGACAACCACGCTTGCATTGTGGATGAGAAAAGACGAGCCTGGAATGTCTCTGGTTGTGGCACCTGCCAGCGTCTGTGCACAATGGGTTAGAGATATCCATCGATACTTTGACGAGGTGAGTTTCAGCCCCAAATCGACGGCCTCGAATACAGATCAGCAAGCTGATTCTCACTTGGCAAGGAATATGGTCTTCGCGCATATTGGCTGACTGACTCACGAATTTCTGCCACTTGGCTCCTTTCGCAGGGCTACGACATCATTGTGGTCACATACGAGTTTCTGGAAGCATCCTCAAGGTCAATCAGAACGTTCCAGTCCCGCATCGAAGCCCACGTTAATGCGGTACGAGATGGACGAAAGCGCTCACAATTACCCAAGCGGCCCACTTCAGCACTGTTCTCTCCCCTGCATGTAACGATACAGCGCCCAATCAAGCGCACTGTCTTTGACGAGGCACAATGTATTAGTAAACGTTCTGGGAAAAGACATCAAGCCGTCAAACTACTTCCGACAACTTCAATAGTGTGCCTCTCCGGTACGGCAGCGCATAATAAATGGACGGCATTCAGTGGATACACTGATTACGTGAAGGGAATCCCCTGGAAAACTCATGCTGACTTTATGCGTACTTTTTGCGGCACCAATGCTGATGAAAACTATCCTGGTATCATCGAAACGAGACTTCTCCAGCGGTTCCTCCAGGAGTTCCTGGTTGCTCGTCCTTTAGACGCCTTTGCCGCATCAAGGTTACATGGCCTACGGTGCTGGTCTTTCCGCTTTCAACTGGATCAGTTCGATGTCAATTTAGTTGCAGCATTCACAAAGAAGTACAAAGAAGAGAGTGCCAGAGCTGCACAGGGGGGCCAAGATTACTCTGGTCAGAAAAGGAAAGGCAACCATGATTCAAAGAGTCGAGCTATGGTCTACGCTGCTAAGGCTCGCGCAGCTGCTGCGCATCCTCTACTTCTCGCGGAAATACCCAATGGGAACAAGAAGATGAAGAAGATGAAGAAGCCTAGAGATACATCTAACAATGACAAAACCAACAACAAGACGCCCGTGCTAGGGAAACGGACAATCACAAGCGAGGATATCGATCAAAACGAGCGAGCACTCTGGCTGGAACTCGTGAAAAGAGACCAGTTCCTGGAGCAATGCTCAGCCCGTGTTCGAGCAGCCTTGACCACGTACGACTGGTTTCGTCAACAATATCCAACGGAGAAGATCGCTATATGCTCGACCTCCCTCAAGTTGCTCGACATCGTGGCAGAGGTTCTCAGAAGAAAATACGGAATCGACGCGGTCCGATTCGATGGTTCCATCCCCCCCCTCAAGCGAACATTCATCTTGCGGAAACTGGATACTGAACCACCATGCGTCCCTTTGCTGATTACTGCAGGCTCGGGTAAGTGGTGCATACTGACGACAAAAATCAGAGCTTTACTAACTAAGCAATGTCAGGGGCTTACGGTATCAACATTGTCAGCGTTTCTTGTATCATTCAGATGGAACCCTGGTGGAATATCAACAACGAAGAGCAGTTGGTTTGCCGTGCTTACCGCATCAATCAACAATCAGAGGTCAAATACATCCGTTTGGAGGCAGAGAACAGTGAAATAGATCAGGAAATTATGCGTGTGCAGCTGAGAAAGAAGGCTATCAACGATCGTTTGATGGCGCCGTTGGTCCATCGACACGATGAACAGCCGAGGATTTTGGATCTCCTTCTCTGAGTCAAGTCACCTCAAAGAATGAGCGGAGAGGCACATCCATTCGCAGAGTCGACAGCGTCGTTCTAGCATCATTTTTGGCGTCAATGAAACATCTTCAAGCTTTGCAGTCCTGGAGAGCGCTACATCATCACAAACTTGGATTACTCTTCTCGCTATGGTGTCGAAGAACACAGGTGCTATCGTAATACATCACGTGAACCGATTTGTGACTTGCAGCCCTAGAATTCACTAAAAAGTACGTTTTCTGCTGTGATATGTTGACTGATCTTGTTGAAACACCCTTCCTCTCGTACCATACGGGTTCTCAGTCAGCCCATATTAGAAAGCGCCTTTTATCCTGGCTCTTCAGAAACCATCTCCGTCTCGCGCCAGACGGGTTCTCAGTCGACCCATATTAGAAAGCGCCTTGTATACTGGCTCTTCAGAAACCATCTCCGTCTCGCGCCAGACGGGTTCTCAGTCGACCCATATCAGAAAGCGCCTTGTATCCTGGCTCTTCAGAAACCATCTCCGTCTCGCGCCAGACGGGTTCTCAGTCGACCCATATCAGAAAGCGCCTTGTATCCTGGCTCTTCGGAAATCATCGCCGTCTCGTGCCGCATCGGTTATTGTTGATGTTAGCTATGGGGAAGAGTGTACGCTGGCTGGGTGTGTCGTTAGCAGCATGTCTTTGACCATTCCAACGTCTTGACTGCCAGGCAAAAGATCTGTGTTTGCTGTCTCGCACCGACTGCGATCTTGCGGTCAGGCCTCGCTGGAGGGGAGGAGCACAATTTCACATGTCAGTAGAGATCTCTTACTTTGACGTCGTGGAAGGCTCACCGCGGCCCCCGTCACCCTCCTCCCTTCTTCCTCGTCTTCCTCTTCTTCCTGCTCTACTTCACGTCTTTTCCTCTTACACTTCTTTGATTTTGACCTTCTTTCCAGTTATTATTGTTATTTTCGGCCTCGGAACCCAGTATCTTCGCCGCCAACCTACAGATCGAACCGACCTCGTCGAATTGACACCTGTGAGGCGCCTATCACACCTAAAGATCCGACGCTGACACTGAGAACAGGATAACCTTGCTACACTCACCCGCGAGACGGTCACGTAGACGTGAAACGCTCCATATTTGCTCATTTGATCGCGACCGAAGCACCCTGACCGCGCAGCTCTGATTTCTTGACGTTGGCCCACATCAGACCCACTTCAACCCTGCAGAAAGACATTGGCACGAGACGTCCTTGTGGCCTTTAGAGTATCTCATAATGCCTCAAAAGACGAAGGCGTCACGAAGCTGGATGGCGGATGAGACCGTGGTGAACCAGGAATGCGACAATACGACTGATACCGGAGCGAACCCACTCGTCACTGATAGGGAATGCTTCACGGCACGAGACACGACTTCTGGAGACACCCTTGAGCCGGTGGAACCAGGAGAGCGCGATGGAACTGCCTGTGCCCAGGTGAACATACCTTCTAACCCTTCGAGACAGTCTCCGGCACGAGATGCTCCCCCTTCGGTGAGATCCTTATTCAATGCAGATGCACTTCGTACAGCCATCAGCAAGGGAATTGATGAGGCGTTTCGCGATGGGAAACCACGAAGCCGCCCGCCCATCAGCGAAAATCAACAAAAGAAGAGAAAAGCCGCATCAAATCAAGACACTCAAGACAAGCAAGGCACATCGAAGAAGAGTAAATCTCTTGACGACCAGGGTAAGGGCGTGCCGAAGGGGAGAGCAAAGAAGATCCATGATCAGTCCACCGCTTTGGAAATCTCGAAGATCACTGAGGGACTTCAGAAGAAGGGAAAGGATGTGGCGCGAGATCTCGGGATATTCTTAGAAGGCGATCAGGTGGTTCTCAAGGTAGCAGGCCTTACTATTCCCGCCTCCGATGCTCCCCGATCAGAGAAACTCCGCTTCGATGCAGCCCTATCGTCCGCAATCATGGTCACCGAGAACAGACACATGACGGAAAGTTGGTGGCAGTGGACTTCTCAGCAAGTCGAGAAATCCCTCGGAATTCGACAGCTGGATGAGGGAGAAACTGCAGTTAATATCCAACAACTCTTGGATGGCACGAGACGCCGGGATTCAAGTCAGTACTCAGCTGAAGAGAGTGATTCGCAGGTGGAGGATGGTCAAAAGAGCCGAGGGGGCGGCCAGGTTGCCAGGGAATACCTAGAATCCATGAATATGTTGGGTAGTCAACGAAGGAACCCTGCTCCAAGGGGATCGAAGGTTGCTATGACGACGAATTCGCTCATTCGAGAAGGGTTGGCTTTGCAGGATCAAAAGAAGGCTCGAATACCGGATTCTGTGCGTTACCCAACTCTACCTTCTAACCATCCAAACTGGTCAAAAGTTGTCACCAAGGCCGAGCTTTATGCTTTTATCAAGGAGTATCCTTTTCAGAAAACGACACGTCATGAATTACTTCCGAAGTATTTCGGTAACCGCGGCAACATATACCTGAAAGGTCCGGGCCTCGACCTTGTCAAAGAATGGGTTGCTCGGTTGGAGGAGATCGGAAAGGGGGAATTCCCGAAAGATATGATCCCTATTGAAGTGATGGTCGGTCTCCTGGCGAGGTACAATGAGACTGTAGCCAGACTATCAACTCATGGGATGATCAACAGCGAAGGAAGAATCAGGAAGAAGGCTTTGCCAAAGCTTGAGGAAAATCGCGACCCTACCACGGGAAAGTTCTTGAAAACCGGTCCAGGAGATGGTGATATCCGTCCCCTTAATGAACTGGGGGCCCGTGAGGGTGTTGTTCTAGTGCTGCAAAACAACTACACCACTCAGAATCGGAAGACACAGGAACGGACGGATGTGACGCGGTCGGCCCTTCAATCCGGAACTTTGGAACTAGCTAAAAACAGACACATTCAGGATCAAAAGATGGACGCGATGTTGAAGGCCTTTAACGCCCAGCTGTCAACCATAAAGGCTCATCCGGACACAGACACCAGCGCTCTAGCACGTCAAATCGAGGAAATGCGAGCCATAGTCAGAGACCAGACATCCGAGCTTTATTCGCTGAAGAAAGAATACCTTGAAGAAAAGAAGAAGCGAGAGCAGAGAGACGAGATGCTGCTTACGCTTCATAATATGCTGATCGGAGACACTCGTGACTTCTTGATGGGCTCTGCGGGACGAGACGCGGAGGAAATGGGTGGAGCATATGCGGAGATCTCAAAATTGTGGCTGGGCGTCTCGCATCATGGGATGGGTGAGCATAGTCAGCCTTCGCAGACGGCCTTGAAAGTCTCCAAAGCCAAAAGATCTCCGCGGCGTATCAAGGAGGAGATAGTGGACAACAATGATACTGACAGCCTCTCTTCGGAGGGAGAAGAAGCTAACTCAAACGCTACCATACTGCAACAGATGATCCTCGGCAGTAACCTCCTTGGACGGGCAGACGACGAATCCAGCGAAGGAGATGCGTCCTGATTCCGATGCTTCACATCGATCCTTTGATGTTTGTGGCGAGCTAAATCAAGACTGGAGCTGGCACGAGATGCTCTTTCAGTGACGACTCATCGGCGGAAGAGAAACTTCAACCATCTGCGACCATTTTTCGATAATCATTTTCACCAAATAATCCAAAAAAAAAAAGAACGACACTGGCGGTGCTGGCGTATGAAACATTGGCTGGAGTTGGCGTTCGCGTGGCTGGTTTCGACGCGGACGGTTTTTGCGCGGTGTTTCTGTTCTCGGGACGTTCTTGTTTTTGCGCTGACCACTGGGTTCTTTCTATCCCTATTTCTCCGGTATCGCAACAACTTGGGTGCTGGATGGATGTGCTACTGTGCTGCGGCACGAGACTATTTAGTCTCCCCGCCTGATGGTCGCTAAGGTGAGGAAGAGGCACTTTACAAGAACTGCTAGTTATTAGACACACTCCTTTCTAAACACTACAAAATAGGATTGCTGGCCTTCGTTGCTACTCAAGATATCCATTTTTTGTAACTTGAACTTGCGTACAAGACGACATGCCTATTTGCATCTGCATTTCCAATGTCCCCTCGCCGTGATATCGTCTTTCTCTCTCCTCACCTCGATCAAGTACATCCCTTGCAGTTCAACTAGGAGACAGGTCCAGACGCCCCAGAATCTCCACTATGTTATGAACAGGTTTCACCACCCCTTCGCTCAGAACGTGTGTAAACTCGGCGACAAGGAATTTCGCGACGTGATTAAAGGCAAGCCGGGCAGAGTCAGTGTCTGGTGCCTCTGCATACTTGACCCAGAAATCAGCAGGCCCCGCACCTTCCAAGACATGGTCCCCGAATTGCGAATTCAGCTTGGCGGAGAAAGAATAGTAGTAATCTAAGATTGACTGTAGCTTTGCCCCAACAGCAGCAAGTAGAGCGTCCTGTGACTGTTCGTCCATATTCGACGCAGTCGGTTTGGGTTGTGCCTCCTTCCCCAGAGTTCTGTCGAGGGTAGAGACCAGATCTTTGACGAATCCTTCTTCATCCATGATGTTTTCAATGTTTGCCTGCTGTTTTAGCCGATACATACCCTCAGCTAGGAGCCCTTTGAGTTGGAAGTTTTTGATTTCTGCACCCTGCTCGTGCATCAGTCGCTGCAAAATAATTACTCTCTCCGCAGTCATATCTTGCACGTCGGGCCAAAGTCCCGAAACCTCTTGAACCACACCAGCTGCCCATTCATTCGTGAAATCGACCGTGTCGTCGTTATCGACAAAGCTTTGGAGTGCCGGCTTCGATTGTAGTGGCCGGTAGGCGATGTCAACATTAATCCTCTTCATAAGCCTCTTCATCTCTTGAAGCAACCAGTCGTCGTGACTCTTCTTGAAGGCCATCATCAGCACCTTCATCTCGTTGCCACAGTCCTCGTGGGAATCGACGATAACCTTGCCGACGTTCAATGCTCGTTTGAATGCTTCTTGTTTCGCCGAGGGTTTCATCTGCAAGCCGACTCGGACAGAGTGTTGTGAGATATTCTTTCTCCATGAGGTTCTCCTCTTCGAGACGTTGGGCTCGGTATCTCGATATTCAAATCGGAAGAAGACATCGTCTTTGGCCAGCGAATATGGAGTGCATAGCCCCTTATCTGGCTTCAGGAGCACATAGAGCTTCAGCTGCTCGGGGGAGAAGTCGAGGATGGGAGTGACGACATAGCTGGTGGGATGTTTGTCATCTTCCCAGGGCAGAATCTCATTCGGTTTGAAGACCCCCACGATCTGTTTGGTGACTCCTGGGTCTTGTGATCGATACTTCTTGTCGAGGTTCGCTTTGGCATAGCCGACCACGAGGAACTGCCCAGTACCAACCTGGGGGGCTTTGGTATCCTGCTCACGCATGGTGAAGTCCATGCTTGGGCGGAAGATGGGTTGTTCGGCTGTTGCGGTGTCTTCCTTGTTTTTCTCGATGACATCGGACCAACTGGTGGTGGAGGCATTGCGAGCGACAATGACTTGGTGTTTATCTCGCTCGGTGCATTTGTCTTCCATGGCCTTCCCAAAGAGGTTGAAAGCCAGGTTAGGGATCTGCTCCTGCGCAGCGGTCTTGCCTGCTCGGACTGCCTCTTTTGAAGGAGCTTGAGGCGCCATTGCGGTGGCTGTACGGGGGATGAAGACCGACAGCGTCGATTCCTTCTACCAATGGACTGAAAGTGGATAACTAATGAAGAGAAAAAGAGAGGAACCAACTTGTTGAAGATGGAAGGTGCGAGACAAAGCCTTTGTGAGGCAGGAAGGTGGGTAGCTAAGGTCTCTTTGGCACTGCCATCACCAATTCACCACCATATTAGCTACTTCCTCATTTTCCTTTCACCTTCACATTCACTCCTCACCTTCACTGACTGCGTGTCGCTACCTTTGCTGGGTATGCTATCTCCGCCTGAGTTTGATTGTTTGGAATCTGTCTCGTACCGTTGCTGCATCATCTCTGACCAGTGTCCTCCCTAAGGTGGCCACCTGCACGACAAAGAGGTGGCCCTCCTTATGCCCACGTCTCACAATGGCCTCTCTAGCCAATATGGACATCGATGAGTTTGACTCGGATGATGAAGACTTTGCTCAAGCAGTCCTTGGCAGCCAACCGGTTGTACATCGTCGCTACGCAAAAGCTGGCGAAGATTCACTCTTGAGCATGATCGAAAACCAATTTGTCGACCGCGTCGAATCCAAGCAAGCCTACAAGAACATTGACTTCCTTGATGGCACTGTTGGCTCTGCCTACATGCGTGCAAAGACGAAGAATATGATCCTTGGCTATTTCAAGCTCATCAATCATGAGTGTGTACAGCCTCTTACCTCACTACAGTCAATCGTTACTGATATCTTCATTCCAGTCCGGCTATTTGTCCCTCTGGCCAGATCATATTCCGCTACATTGCCACTACTGTGAAAAGAATGAAGCCAGGCAGTCGAGACAAACCCGCACCCAGCTTTCGTACTGTTCTGCAGGTCTGGAGAGCGACGAACATCTACCTCAGGTTTCAGTACCCCGACTGGAAAGAGAACTATACCTCCTCCGACATGGCCAAGATAAAAACATACCTTGAAGAGCAGGTTACACAAGGGAATTTGATCAAAGGATATTGGCAAGAGAGAAATTGGTTGGGATTCAGCGTCGTTGTCCGCATGCTGACCATGTACATCCGATCTACTGTGGAAAGTGGATGTCAGAACTGGGATATCGTTATCCTCCACTGTCTGGGTGTTGCTCTCACAGTGGCGTGCTCTTGCAGACCTGGAGATGTTGCCAAGAGTTCCGACGCCCCTAAGGGAATGTCTTGCTTAACCTGGGACTGTGTCAACCTGCAGGTGATCGCTGACGAATTAGGCGAGGTTCGGAACATCCGTGCAAAACTGATCCTGAAGTTTACCAAGGGTCACAAGTGAGTTTGTTCCCACAATGCTCGAGTCGACTGCGTCGGTTTCAGCCGCTTACTGACCGGTCATAGGGGTTCTCTGAACGACGATAAGACTGTCTTCTTCGACAGCCTGGAGCAAGGCGAACACAGTTGTGCATGTACAGTCAAATTATTGCTTGTTCACGCCCTGCGAAACGGATTCTGCTATGGCAACACCATTAGCGATGTGCTTAAAGATGCATTGGCTTCGCGCGGCAAGCGTATCAGGTGGAAATACCCCGATCAACCCGTGCTCTGTTCCGTGGGTGCAGATCAAAGACTGCAGCTCGGCACTCCTGCTCCCGTATCACAGATCAAAAGAGGGGTCAGAAGAATGGCAGGAGTTGCCGGCATTCTTGAGAAAGTCAACGCCAGAGATCTTCGTCGTGGTACCGCACGAGATCTTGCTCATCTCAGCAAAACTTTCAAGGGAGTTTCCGATAACAATGTGGCGGCTGGTCTCGGCCACACCCGAGCCTCTTTGGGCAGAGGAGTCACGGATCGTTACGCTGGTCCTGTACAAGAGGATCTCCTCACCGCGCGGACAAAGGACTCTTTTCAGGATCGCATGGCTCCTGAACTCAAAAAAGTAACATATGACGATATTCTCCCCACTGTGAGAGCCCAGAGAATCTCTACTTACCGCATCAATAAGCGTCTCGAGGAGGATGGAATCGACCCGGTCGATGCCACCAGACAGCTTCGACAGGATACAGCTGACATTATTCGACGCGAATCAATACACAATGGTCCACTCAAAAAGCGTCTGCCCCAGCCGTCTACTAATGTTCCCAACAAGAAGTCGAAGACGGGAATGAAGCCTGTAGAGGTACTGAAGGACCCGCCGACGGCTCCGCCCTCTGGCCATCTGGATACCATTCCAACAGGCCGCCAACCGCTTCGAGAGCTTTCACGGTCCGAGATGAACGCATCACAATCCTCCACTGACTCGTCAGCCATCGACCCAGGTAAGTAACCTACGACGCGTTCAATTAACCCCATTGGAACTGACATCTATCCGGGGACACAGCTCTTTTCATGCCCTCAAATGCTCCTGCTCTTGGCATGGATACTACACAAGGACCTGCTGCGGCAATTTTCGAGGACCATACTGCTACGAAGCCTCCTTCTGAGATCGATCTCCTTGGTGCGCGATTGTTCGAAGACCAGCAGATGGTCGACCAGCCACAAGCCAATCATTATAGAACGGTCCCCCAACCCGGCTGGAATGCCCATGTCGATGACCATGTCGACGGTCTAGATCAAGAGAGTGCTGCAACGGATTCGGACGAAGAATCTGAGGAGGTCGACGCGCAGCAGCTCACTGCACTTGAAGACATTCTCTGGGGCTCTTCAGCGTCTGAGAGATCGGACGGAAACGACGCGGTCGATTTACAGGCCCAGGAAGATTTCAACCAACAGTTTCTTGCCCTGGCAATATCTGATCAGTCTCCGGAAGAGGGTGATGACGATGACTCGGATGATGTCAGCCACGAGTCTCCGCCTGGCCCTGACCACCAGCCATGGTTGATGACTGGACTCGCCTGGATTGCACACTTCGCCGCAATCAATGAATTTGTCACCAGTAAGCCTCTTCATAAGATGGCATCCGATGAAGTCGCCAAATACTTCCCGGTGGGTAACTCCCGTAATGCACCCACAAGACTCAAGCGTTTTTGTCGATTGGGCTGTGGCTCTTTCTATTGGCTACTCTCCGACTTGGACGTTCATCAGGCCTTTTGCACTGGGCCTGATACTGAAGACGAATCCGACGAGAAACTTCGATGCGATGAGCCGGGTTGTGAGATGAAATTTACAAAGCGTGGTTCCCTCGTTGCCCACAAGAGTCGGATTCATGACTTCAAACCAATGAAGTGCCAATCTGGTTGTAATCCGGAAGCTGAAGACTCTCCCGTGTATAACACCTGGCAGGAATATGTTCGCCACCAAAAAGCAGTTCACTGGACTCTCGCGGAGCCAAGAAAGTGTCCATTGTCCGATGTTTGTGGCTCAGAGACTCGGTTCACGCTGATAGGCAACCTCAATCAACACCTCAAGAGAGTACATTTTCTCAACCGGGCCCAGATCGATGAACTTGTGGAGAGGCCAGAGCGGCGCAAACCTCTGGCGTCGAAAGGTATCCAGTGTCCACAGGCCAACTGCGAATCGACCGCGTCGTTCGACGCGCCTGGAAAACTACGAGATCATCTCTTCAAGAAACATGGCATTCCCAAAGATGACGCACTCCGACGTGCAGAAGAGTTACTGGGAGCTATGATACGCCGCCCATCACAGGTGGTGCTTAAGCCATGTCCGCACGATGCTTGTCTTGAGAGCTTCTCAGGCACCACAAAGCTACGTGATCACCTACAGAAAAAACACAGTCTTTCTAGAGATGAAGCAATCCGCCAGGCAGAAGAGTTACTGGGAGCTGTGATACGCCGCCCACCACGGGCGGTGCTTAAGCCATGTCCGCACGATGCTTGTCTTGAGAGCTTCTCAGGCCCCGCCAAGCTACGTGATCACCTACAGAAAAAACACAGTCTTTCTAGAGATGAAGCAATCCGCCAGGCAGAGGAACTCTTAGGACCAGTCGGCGCAAAGACTGGTCGCCGTGGTCCTGGCTCCTAGCCAAAGGTTTCAGGTCCCCACCCTTGTCCCCTTCAGTTAAAGTGCAAATCGACGGCATCGTTTCCCTCACCATGCACACTCTCCCAGTACCTCAAAGAGGTGCACCACCTCCCGCAAGATGAAGTGACTCGCATTACCGTGGAGACACACGGTAGAGACGTTGCGCGGTGAGCGATAAAGGAGTTGACCCAAGTCAGCTGCGTGCAATCGGGATGTTATCTGCGGTTCTTTTCGACGGAAATATGATATCATACGGCATGAATTTACCAACAACACAGCGAGATTCGACGGTGTCGAAGTGCTCAACCAACACTCATTGATGTTACGACTACTTCAGGCATCCTACAGTCCATATCAGGCAGCGCAAATAGATATGAGATAGAAATGATAGATTCTAGTATTTCAGCTCCAAGGACAGTAAAGCTATGTAGTGGTGGTAGTCACCAGTCTCAGTCCGTGCGTTTACATGCGTCTCGTAAGCATATGTCCATGTCGGTCTCTCCATTCATGGCTCCATTACTCTAGTCTCGCGCCATGGAGCGACTCCACTATCCACTCTCCCCTTCTCGAACCACCCTCCTGCAGCACATCTCGCTCCGGATCTCATCGATTGAACGTGCGCCATGCCAAGGCTACTGTTCGTCAAGGTCTCTTCAATAGGTTTAGGCCGGTGTATTCGTACCGTTCGAGACGTCCGAGCCCTGTTCTTCCTCACTTCATGAGTCCTCACGGTCATGAATGTCTCGCGCCACGTCCAGTTGCATGTTGATAAGTTCCTCAGGTACTGAAGCTCTCTCAACCACACCCAATGCACACTGTATCACATTCTTGAGCATGCTTGACTTTCGAGGGCGCAGTCTGGTCGTCATCGTCGTCTCCTCTTCTGTTGCCATGTCTCGTAACAGGTCATCTGCTTCTTTCTTGTCCACGAACACATTATTTGCATCAGCCTCCGACTCCGAGGAATCCCACCCGGACGATTCTTCCCAATTTTCTGGGTCATCGAGCATATAGTCGTGTGAGTTCATCTGGACTTTGGTGTCGAAGTCTTTTGCCAGTAGATGATCGCTTCCCCTAAAGCTCAAACATGGTTGACAATATGCCCGCTCGCCAATGGCGCCACAATCGTGTCTTTCGAGCCCCGTCACGAATTCAATATCTTGGAGCTCTTTAGCCCGCAGCCGTATCATCTCTTCAGGTTCTCGTCCCTTAGCTTCCCGCGGGTCCTCATTCTCTAATTCTCGAGCGCTTTCCATGAAATCCTCCATTGGGTGGGTCTCTCTCCATAGACTCCGTGCCGATGCCAGGACCTGGATATACAAATTGTGATAGCCCTTATTCGCGACCTCTAGCTGTCTCACGTATCGATCAACTTCGTTGTCAAGCATTTCCATACTGGCCAGTCGGTTGAACCACAAGTGGGTTGAATCTTGACCACTATCATCCGACGGGGTCGATTCCCTGAGTTCTTCCGCATCATCCCGGGCCTTTTCTTTGATCGATTTCAACACTGCCTGGATTGATTCGTCGATCCTCACCTTGTCTTCCGCGAAGGATAATACTGCTTTGTTGAAAGTGCTTCTCGCGATGTCCAGTCTTTGCTTTGGATCTCCTTTGGCGTTCTCGTCGATATGCTGTCCAAGTACCATCGCTATACATTCGTTCGTCCCCAACTTATTCACTGGCCTCAGACCACCGGGTAGATCCGAGGTGCGCACAAATCTCCCGGATGCATCGTGGAGATTTCCGACCTTCTTCAGAGGCGCTTCCCGATAATTGCCCTTTGCATTCAACAAGCCTTGGGAATGTAACCTCCCTAGAGTGTTTGTGGCATTCGCAAGCAGTCCCCGGACCACCTTCTCAGGCCACAGATCGTCTGGCCATTGGGGCTCTCCGCGATCTTCTGACGAGTTCTCATCACATGTTTGTAGCCATTCCTGACGTACCCTCAAAAGCGGCTGCGCTTTTTCGACCCATTCCTCAATGATCGTGTTGTTCAACTCCTTCGATAGTCTTAAGAATCCTCGATTGTCAAAGTAGGCGGGAGCATTTTTGTGTCTCTCTTGCTTATCGGATCTGTATGTGTTGATGATCTCCTCGATCTGTTCCTTTGTGAACGCCTTTTTCCAGTTTGGGTGGTCTCTGCTTAATTTGGGGTATCTTTCCGCATCAGATATCTTCTTCTTCGTCTTTGAGGTACCGTCTGGATTAAACGTCTTCAACTTCCTCTGTGTGACTGCGTAGCCGATATTCCGAAGAAGGTATTTGCTGGCTGTACTCATCTTGTTGGTCTCGCTCCCCCCAAGGCCCTGAATTGAGGCTGTCGAATCTCCCGCTACTTCATCTTCTCTGCCCCGTTCCTCATCGATTTGCGGAAGTGTCAGTCTCGCCCCCTCCATCATCTCGCGAACGCTAATATCCCCAACGTCTTTACTTTGTCTCACACCCGCGTACACTTCAAGTGCCCACGTCCAGGGCTTGTACCAAGTCTCTTCTGGGTACATTTTCTCCGTTGCCCCAACTGCTGACACAATTGCTGCTTTGAATTTCCGCTTCTCCTTAGCTGGGGCGTTGTCAACTGGCATCTCGAGCCCTGCCAACTCCAGCTTGGCCATCTCGCCGTCGCGAAAGATACCCAATCTCTTTGATGGATCAATCATCGTAATCTCCAATGCCGTAGAATCAGTAGTGACTTTCTGCGATCTGTTAGTTTTGGGTTTCTTCGACACGTTCTCGGCCGTTGGTGTTGAATCTTTCGCCTCCTTCCTCGGGCGCTTGCTCGATTTCGGTTCTTCATCCTTTGTGGCCTGATGAGTGTCTCCTTTGATCTGTAACTGAGCACCTTTTAGCCTGAGCAACTCGGGAGTGTCAGCCCTCGTCTCGCCCCGTGGCATTTGCACTTCCCGGATACTTTTCCAGTTCATTCTGGCCAGGTTTTCTTCAATCTTGGTATCCCGCATGTTCATGTCCCAGCCATCCACCGCTTCACATATTTGTTCAAAAGTGAACCACTGTCCCCCTTCCACAGGGCCGAACACGTAGCCATGCGGGAATGGGGCACGCATTTCTCGAGAAACTGGTCTTGTGCCTTCAGTTAAGACCGTAGGGGATTCCTCTCCAATTTCGACCGCGTCGGAAGACTTGTTCATGTCTGGCTGGCTCTCGGTCCGATCGCCATTAGAGCCATCTCGCTGCGCGGTCATTTGATCTGAAGCTGTATCGTCTGCCACATCGTTACCGACTCCGGTTTTCTCACCCGTCTGTGCAGGAGATTCAGCCATTCCCTCTGGTAACGTCTGCAAGTTGGATACTTCTGTAGCACGTCAGTCGCTGTCTTCGGTCGCCAAATTGGGTGTTTTTGCTGATTCTGGGCCCAGGTGATGTAAAATTTGTAGTGAAGAACGAAGAACTCGAGCTGCCGGTGAGGCAGTAATGATCCCAGCCCGTAAAGGGATATAGGAGTCTCAAGCTAAAACAGAGCCTAGCGTCATCTCACTTTTCGTTCACTTTCAGTCTGTCGACAGGCTCCAGTCCCGCACTACTATCTTACTACTCCTATTATAATCGCTGTATCATGTCCCGGAAGGCCTCCGCATAGACTTATCCGGCTATATATGTTTTTCCAGTGAATCGGCATAGGCATTAGAACTAGTTACACTATTTGCGACACTCTATGGTACAAGAGCCTTAATCCTCTAACTTTACCTTTGTCACCTTTTTACCCTCTCCGAGTTAATGTTTCATCCTAAATGAGATTTCTCACGGTATGAGACTCCCAGACACAGGACATTCCGCATGCTTCTATTGTCCGTCGAAAACTATCCCCTTGCCACGACTAAAGCCCCTGGGCTGCGAACTTTCCACGGGATGAGACCTTCGCACGACATCAAGCCCAAAGTCGTGCCTGTATTTTCATATTTCTAGGCTAACCTAGCATGCCCGATTCTACAGTCCTCTGCCTCCGTGATCAATTACGAAATTCCACAGTCAAGGTCATCGAGATATCCCCACCTCCTGTTCAAAGTGGGTTTTTGTCTTCCGCCACTTGAGTGAGACGCTAACAGCTAGCAGCGGAACTCCATGACTACATGGGCGCTGACAAAGGACGGGCGTTGGGAATGCCAATCGACAAGTTCACGCAGGCTGCCTATGACGGGCTCGTTTCAGGAAGTGATCAGATTGTCATAGGAGCGGTGGGATCAGCAGAGACCTTTAACGATGTTGTTGAGAAGCGGAGGACGCTTTTCCAGAATCTGGCCAAGATGATGAGGGGAGAAAGGTAAAGAGAGCAATGCGTGGCCTTATATTGAGCCTGATGTCTTCAAGTATGAAGAGAATCAATGTTGGTATAATATAATAGTAATTCTTGATCACTCTTTGTTGCACAACAAGCGATGTGACTGTTGCTGGTTCACCCTCGTTCGGCGTCGCTCAGCCTGGGCAGGAGTGGCTCAATGCGTGACCATCTGTGGTCGGTGTCCTCGTGCATCTGACATACCACATTATTCTCCCCAAAAGAGTAGCCATGGCCACTCCCAAGAACAGCTCATGCTCGGATTTGGCTTCGGATCCTAGCCCAGCTATCGACCGTAACTTCCAAACCACTTCCACTCCTCCTTCACGAATACTTGTCGTCGCACACGAGTCGGACTTGGATTCAGAATCAGACGTCAGTTCAACCATAATTCACGATCACGAACCCTTCTCGACCTTCCAGTATCGCGTCAAAGAACACGTTCTACATAAGATATGGTCTGATGCGCATGAAGAAAATGTCAGTGTCGAGCGACTGTCGGGAGGTGGCGTATCATCGGCATCACTCGACATGACGGTGATCGGTCCAAAACTGACATACACTACGTCCTACGACTTCCTCGCTTTGTAGCTGCGTGACTGGATCACGAACTTGCTGTGCTGGAGTTCCTGCAGCGATATTCAAGAATACGAGTCCCTAGAGTGATGGGATTTGATTTGGACCCTATCAACGAGTTGGGATCGCCGTACATGAATCAAAATCGTCACGGCCTGAGTTTGAAATGCCAGAACCTCTACTAACGCCTAGCATTTCTCAAGCTGATATGTGTCTGTCTCCTTTCCAATCTCCTAAGCGGATCGAGATAGACAAAGCCGATGAGAATGCGTGTCTATAGTCATGGCGAGGCTGTAGTTTCCCCGAGGTCAAAAATAACTCTACAAATACTCTTGGCATGTTTGTCCTTGTGGGTATGTTTGCTTGTCCTCCATTGAGCACATCACGCACTTCCAGCCTCGTCCCGCAGTCAACAGATGTGCCTAGGTATGTACTGACTTCTTCTACATGCGAGTCTCCTCGTCGCCTCTCCAAAGGCTCGTACGTAGGATTTCCCAGCTCACTTCACAACTCTACAGTGCCCCTTCTGCCAGTGCAAACATGGATCCATCCCTCCGTTCCCACTACCTTGCGGACAATCCTCCAACCGTCGTCCGCCTAGAGATTGCCCCTCACTTCGCCGCTCTTTCGCCCAAACACAAGCGATATGCTCATCATCTGAGTCGTGCTTCTTTCCATGGCACTCGAGTAACGCTAGCACAAGTGTCGCCCGAATCTCCCGTCATCTACGATCTCATCCTTGCCCTACACCGTGCTTGTAACGGTGACTACAAGAAACTCTCCGCCGATACATCGGTCTCGTCCCCCAATATTACCCTATGGCTCGAGTACGCTGCCCAGTTCTTAGGGAATACGGGCAACTACAAAGGCTTCGGAGACTCCAAGTTCATACCGAGACTCTCACCCGAAGATCTCAAGAAGCTCTGTAATGTGAACGATGACTGCAAAAAGCTCTATGAGAAGGCCACGCAGACGGGAGGAGGTATATACGAGACCAAGGACGCGGCTCTGATGCACCTCGGATATCCAGAGGCAGGCCATATGACAGCATATTACCCAGATTCACCAACAATAACCAAGGAGGAGATATCCATCGTCGGAGACGCGCTCGAGGAGAAGAAGCTGCTGATCGAGAACACCAGATTGCGGAAGCTGGAATCCGGAGATTTCGAGTTGCTCATAGCCTCCGCGATCTCGAACCCGCCTCCGTCAGAGCGCGATCTGGGCGATGTTTCATTAATTGACTTGCCAGGAAAACTCAGTGGCAAAAAGTTGCATCTTCGTTTTGGGGATTACCAGGAAGAGATGGCCAAGATCACCCTCGAAATCAAGAAGGCGAGGAAGTATGCCGCCAATGAGGTCGAAGAAAAGATGCTCGACGAGTACGCGAGGTCCTTTGGAACTGGTAGCATTCAGGGATTTGTGGAATCACAGCGCTGGTGGATCAAAGACAAGAAACCCATGGTCGAGACAGACATAGGATTTGTCGAGACTTATCGAGACCCTCAAGGTGTCCGCGGTGAGTGGGAAGGCTTTGTTGCTATGGTGAATCAAGAACGAACACGCGCTTTTGGCAAACTTGTCGACGCAGCACCAAGCATGATTCCCAAGTTACCGTGGAGCAAGGAATTCGAGAAAGACAAGTTTCTGAGCCCAGACTTTACTTCATTGGAGGTGCTCAGCTTCGCAGGGAGTGGCATACCCGCCGGCATCAACATCCCGAACTACGATTTCATCAGACAGAATGAGGGCTTCAAGAATGTGAGCCTCGGAAACGTCCTCAGTGCGAAAGCTCCCAATGAGCCGATTCCTTTCATCCGCAAACAAGACGACGAGCTCTTCCGCAAATATCGCGATCCTGCTTTCGAGGTCCAGGTGGGCATCCATGAACTGCTTGGACACGGTTGTGGCAAGTTGCTCCAGGAGACAGCCCCTGGAGAGTTCAACTTCGATATTAAAAACCCACCGGTCAGCCCGGTCACCAAGAAACCAATCACCTCATACTATAAACCTGGTCAGACCTGGTCTAGCGTCTTTGGGTCGATTGCTTCATCATACGAAGAGTGCCGCGCTGAATGCGTTGCGATGGCTCTCTCCTGCGACTTTGAGATTTTGCAAATCTTTGGATTTGGCAATGGCAAGGAAGATATTGGAAACGAGGCCGGAGACGTTCTGTACGTGGCGTATCTGCAAATGGCACGTGCCGGAGTGGCCGCGTTGGAATACTGGGATCCGAAGTCTCGAAAATGGGGCCAAGCGCACATGCAGGCTCGCTTCTCCATCCTCCGCACGTTCATGGATGCTGGTGGGAACTTCTGCGAGCTCAAATCTGGGAACGGCGACATCAAGAATCCCGACGACCTCGAAATCCACCTTGATCGGAGCAAAATCCTATCCCATGGACGTCCAGCGGTCGAGGCCTATTTGCAAAAGCTACACATATACAAGGCGACTGCTGACTTTGAAGCTGGGAAGAAGATGTACGACGACATTACGAATGTAGATGATTGGTGGGCCGAGAAAGCGAGACCGATTGTGCTGAAGAAAAAGACCCCTCGCAAGGTATTTGTGCAGGTGAACACTGTGTTGGATGAGGAAAGCGGAGATGTGAAGCTGGTGGAGTACGAACCGACGATAGAGGGGATGGTCCAGAGTTACGTTGACCGTAACGTCTGAGAGATCAGCAAGGGCAGCATATGAGACCGCGATGCATATGGAATGATGCGTATTCATGACGAGGCCAAGCGTTCTCGCATACCTGGTATCACGACCAGCACCGTGGGAACAGCATGAGCCGATGGTACAAGTGATTGACTCTAGAGCATCAATCCCAAAAGGCAGCATCAATGGCATATTCCAATGCCAATCACATTGACAATATTCTGACACCTACTCTTGCTTTATCTTATACATACTTTGTAGATGGCTGGACTTGAAATTTGGCCCCGAGGTTTGGCCCCATTTCAAGCTTTTTCCCTCGTGGTAATTCCCCGAAAAGGCTTGGCATGAATGATCCGCGCGTTTCGCCTCCTGGTCTGGAAACCGAAACTGGCCATTTTCCCTGCGCTGCGCCACTTCATCTGAACCAACCTATCGCTACCGTTGTTGTGTTTGCCTATTTGATCAATCAGAACACATGTCCCACAGTACCGACTACAAGTACTACCACCTATCGTTCCCTAATAATAGCCCCCAAATCCTTCGGGTGAAAACAAGAGGTCATGTCCACTGGATCTCGGCTGAACCACATCAGCGACCCATCCGTTCAAGACACTCGCCATACAAGTCAGGTACACTCATACTTTTGGGAAAGGATCAGTAAACAGTTGCCTCTAGGCGCTCGCCTGGGCCGAGGATGCTGCCTCTCAGACTATCTCTGTACGGCACGGGACTCTTCATGGCATTGCTTCGATAAACCCTACGAGTACGAGGTTCTCAGGGGTCCTGTTACACACTAGTCAACCCAGTATCTTCTCGATGGAACAGACGATGGAGCAAACCTGGGCGGCTCTTGTTGCACCAAATGCTCAATCCTTGGTGGGTCGCCGGTGAATAATCCACGCTTAACACTCACACCACGACTCCATCCCAGACACGGCGCGATCCTTCTCGACCCAGGCCCACGGATATTGAGCGAAACGCTCCTTGACTCCCCCAGGCGCCCTAAGGAAGGATGGCATGGATGCAAGAGCTGGGTCTTCGCCGCGTCGCCTTGACAAGTGAGGTAAGGAGCAAGAGAGGTAGCTTGCCCAACTTGCGACTTCATCTGCTTACTTTGCTCTTTACTACTCTGTTGTTTTCCACTTCGTCGGGTGAAACCGACCCTAGATCCGTCTTCTCCATAATATATCCTTGGTACAGCTCACTCTTTCTCGATATTGACGATCCCCATCATCAAGATATTCCTTCAACCCACAACTTTTCCAGTTCTAAGCAGGATGGAAGATTAATCGACTTCTACAGAACTCCAACATGCCAAGCTCACGATATGCCAAGTTCAATCCTTTCGGGGCCTCTCAGCTGACGGGTAGCCCGATCTCCGAAGAGCCTCTACAATTTTCCAATATCATTCCAGATTCTGCATTTTCCCCTCTGCCGGGAAGCTCGCCCAGCGACCATGATGCGGACAGACACGCAAAGAAGGAATGGGCCAAAGTTGGTGATCGACATATTTCGAGCAAGTCGACGGATGATATTCCATATGGCGCTCTTGACGGAAGTCGACCTCCGAGTAAGGTGGATTTGGATTTGTGTGATACGGAAAGGCTGACACAGTTACAGGACGTCGGAGAACAAGTAACTCATTATACAGAGTTGCCTCTTCTATCCGCGACTATGCTGTCTCTCATTTCAGCGTGCCAGCGATAGCAGCGCCGTGGGAGCATGGACTGCCCGAGAAATATGGCTCGGGTTTACCCGCTTCCAACACAGTCCGCTATTTCGACTATCGACGACAACGGCGGCGACTGTTTATGAACAGCAGTGTCCAATGGCTCATCACTGCCGGTATTTGCGCAGCACTGGCAAGTTGTCTCTACGGCTTTTCCACCGTAGTAACTGGTTTGAGCACCGCGCGGAAAGAAGTCTTCAACGCCTTGATGACCGGATTGTCACTATGCCTGGGTCTCAATCTCGCGTCCTCGTTAGGTGGCTACGCACAGATGATGCGTTGGCGCTTCCTGGCGTCGGGGTATCGCACGCTCCAGGATTTCGAGCTTCTCTTGCACTGCGATAGTCAGACCCAAGTATTCCGCCTGATATGGGCTGGACGCACCCGTGGAAGGCTTCTACCGAACAAGACGCAGGTTCTTGCCGCGATCTGGTTGCTGATCAACATCGCTGTCCAGATATTCACCGCCTTGTTAGGTTTGACCTACTCGACTGATGTCAGTTCTCGCTTTGTGCACCTGACCTATGGAAATGTTAGTGTGGCGGACCTTTCGTACATCGGCAACTCCCGGACTACGGCTCTTTACGCTGGCAACCATGATACTGCGCAATCTCTCCTTGCAGAAACAGCTACCGCGAATGAATGGGGCATCACTGGCCAGGACTTTCATGTGTTGACGATTCCATTCGATGAATACCTGGGCATAGAGCAGTCTATCTACACAGACGGAAGCCAGTACTGGTATCGCTTCATTGACCGTTCGCCGCTTTCGGCGGGCTTGACTGCCGTGAGTTTGCGCACAGTAAACACCACTGCAACGTGCCAATCGTTTCCCATCACGTACGGTGGCTACGCGGGCTTCCAGACGGACAACGCCTCGATCGCCGCGGATGTGACTTGGGTGGATGGAAACGGGAAAGAACACACGTGGAGCATCCCCGATGTATCTACAGGCGCCACAACCTGGATGTCGAACTTGACGAGCGACTGCGGCCCTCGATGCATTCAGATCTATGCCCTTCAGAGTGCGGACAATTCCTCGACCAGTGTTCCGGAGCCGCGGTTCTGGAGCTGTCTATCGACTGTCTCTCATGTGGACAACGCCGATCTGTATCCCACCCCCGAACATTACCGGATCGCCGACACGGAAGCTCAGGTCCTGGCCGGGGCGATCGGCTGGTCTGGCGTGTTGATGGCAAGCAGCGACAACTCCTCCTCGGCCTCGGAGGAGACTAACCTACAGATGGTGGGTTACCCGGCGTCCAGCCAATGGAGTCCGCCGGGCAATCTGACGGCCGAGGGCATGGCGCTGCTGGTGATGAAGTTCACGGCGGGGGCCATCGCGGCCATCGACTCCAACGGGCCACGACTCAACGTGACGGGCGTCGGTCCCGCACCAGCCCAAGTCATCGATGTCGAGTGGCGCTACGCCGGCTCGATCCTGAGCGGCATCCCCGTGGCGCAGGGCCTGGTGCTCCTCGCGGTCATCCTGCTCGCTGACAAGGCCATCATCAAGGACACCAGCCACCTGGGCATGGCGCGGCTGTTGAGGCCCATTGTCGACAAGCTCGGCGACACGGGCTGTCTCTTGACCGGAGACGAGATCGCCGAACGGCTGGGCAACATACGCGTCATCTACGGCGTTCGGGACCCGAGGAATCCCGGACTCGGCGCCAACGGCATCGGCACCGACGACCACGACAGGATACGACACCTCGACATCATCGAGGAGACCGAAGGTCTCGGATACAGAAGAGGACGCATGCCCGAGGGGCGATACGACGGCATCCATCCCCTGAGAGAAGAAGAGGAAATGGAGCCGCTCCTGTCCACTGGCCGCGGGGACGAGGCGGACAGATCGGATAGATCTGGCAACGAAGCCCGCACGGGCAACGTCTCCAGATCGAGATCACAGTGGACGAAACGTAGGATGAGCGTTTAGTTGTAGAGAGGCAAGTCAAGGTATTTGTGATGATTCCAATGAACGATCCCGCTGGAGATTTCGGACATGTCCATTTTTCGTGTTGAGTTGTATACCATTACACACATAGATACATACATACGTATATACAGACGGACAACAGCTGGACAACAGCTCAACGGATGTACATATGTACCGTCTACAGTGTACACATATAGGCGAGGAGAGATGGAGAGGCAGATATATACATTTTATGCAAATCTACGATTGACTAAACTCATCTACATACATACATACCCAGGTGCCTTGTAACAGCGCAGTCAGTTTTCAGGGTTCGCATTCATATTCGTGGCGTGCTTGTTTGTGCGTCTAGGCATCCTGGGGGTAACGTACATAGGTCCTGTACTTGGCGCCTAGGTAATAGAATAGAATATACCACGTACCGAGTACAGATTCTAGAATCTATATTATGTATGAATATAGCGTGTACTGTATCTACAGTAGGTGTCTCGTATAGTAGTATATCTTATGATCTTTGTCTTTCTTTTTGGTTCCGAGAATATCGTGGCGTGGTTCGGCGAATATGCATTCATCAAGGGACGGGATTCTTTTGTCTGCCATCAATGTGAGGTGGATATGCATAGACGCGGTTCCTCCTTGACGGCAAGCACGTGGTAGGAGTCTCCCTCTCCCTTTCGAGAGATACCAAGAAACCCAACTCTGGCTGTCTCCGTGGCTTGCTCAGATTTATTTCATCACTGCGGCCCCGGCATAGAGGGCAAGACTCGAGACGTGTTCCGAACGTGATCACAGCTTCGGGCCATTGGGCTTCTTCTCGTATGGTCCGCCTATCATCCTCCTCCACGTGTCATCGATGCTCTGCTTCTCCACCAGGCTCTTCTTCTTCCAGGTTCGGTTGTGCTCTTCCTCGTCCTCACGCCAGATCTTCATCTCGTGTCCGATCCAGTCGCATGCGGACTCCGCCGTCCGGTCTACTGCCTCCATGGCGATGAGATGGCCAAGGTCTTCGAAGAGCACACTCCGGACTCTTCCTGCGGGTACGCCTCCGCTGCCTCCAACGCCGACACCCGTATGATCCATTTTCGCCTTGCAGGCGTCGGGTGTGCCGACGTCGGATTTCCCTCCAAAGACGTAGAGCACGGACGGCCGGAGTTCTTCGAGGCGGAAGAAAGTCTGGGGCCCCTCAGCGCGGTAGAAAGGATAGATTGCGGGCAAAGCAGGGTTCAGGTCTGGGTGAGTTTTCCGATTTACGGGGCGGCCGTTGTATCCGCATCCCTCGAAATTCGGCCGAAGGAAGGTGAAGACTTCGTGGGAGACCGGGGTTGTCAACGTTACCTTGGGCGACCCATCGTTATTCTTCGATCCGTCCGGTTGAAGCAAAGTGGGCATGTCTCTCAGTCCGTATTTCACCCATCGATCTAGTACGCGCGGATCCCATGCTTGATAAAACTTGCTCTTCTTGAACGACTTTGCAGCTTCTTCGCGCGAAGGCCAGACATCACGGCGAAATGTGGATAAACGTGCCGGGTTAGGACCGACTGTTGGAGCGACAGACGAATAAACTTGGATTACAGGGTCGATGAGGACTAGAGTGGTGAGAAGACGGGGGTGATGGTACGCAAGATTCACTCTATGAAAAAGTCAGCGCAAGTAGACCGAGACGTCAGAGTTCGAGCCATACAAGTGATTCCCGCCCATTGAATGGCCGATACCTATGATCGGCCGCGGCATCTGGTCTCGCTTCAGATTGATCATGTGTAGTAGATCTCTGGGGTGATCATTCCAGGCAGGGTCATTCCCAAGCAGTTGTTCGTTCAGAACGCTGCTGTGACCCTGCTGTGCAACATCGGCAATCCATATGCTCCTTATACGAAAGCCATGTCTTTTTGACTGAGCATGTATATCATCCCACAGTGGCTCGTACAGCTCTTTGGGGAACCCATTTGCATGTGCGCCGATGATCGTGACATCTCCAGGCTGCGGATTCGGGTTGTCTTTCGGTATATATTGTTTCACCGCCAGATGTAACACATCTTCCTGTGATCCAGCCGTAGCTCGGGGATACTCTCGAATATGTTGACAGGGAATCGTGTGCTCAACGATGTGGAAGGACGACATTTTCAGGAAATGGGGATGTATTTCTTCGGGATCCCAATGGCGGTTCTATGTTGACATGAAGATATGTTGAGCAATTAACATGAATTTCATGCAGTGACGGTGCTAGACTGAGATGTGTGGCATCCCGTCGACCATGAGGTCCATGTGGCGCCGCACCATTGCGATTGGAAAAGTTGCCGAGGTTCTGGCTACATCTCGGGCCGGAACCACTAAACGCGACGATAGAGTCAATCGGTCCCAGATCCGTCCGGAAAGTGTAGGTTCTCGTCAGTAATAATGAAGTGGTCTTGGGATCTCGACATATCAGTACTTGTAGGGGTTTTATTCCCGTTGGCGAGGTGAGCAAAGAGTAAGACGACAACGGAGAGAGGTACGGCAAGGACTCTCTAGAAAGCCACTCTGACGTGCACGTGATGGAGCGCGTCTAATTTATTTCCGTCTGACCGTCAATTAAGAGACGCGCTTCGAGAAAGCGCGTCAGAGTGCGCGAAGAAAGATGGCGAACGTGGTACAAGACAACAACCGCCACATTCTCGCAGATTCACTCACGAAATAATGCGACTATCTTTAATTCACGAGAACGCCACCCTCTGAACGGCTGTGCTGTTGTGTTTTCGTAGATTCGTTGGCACTCCCACATCTGCTATCGCCAACATGGACAACGATCAGCCTGTGGGAGCAGACACTAAGCTGGGTCTGTTCGCCCAGTGCAGCATGGCGATCGTTCGCTCTGCTACCCTTCCAGAGAAAGATGCCGAATCCGTATGTGCTATACCGCAGTCCAACGTTTCGAGCAATGTCCACTGACCAAAGTAGTTGGCTTCCGCCCTGAGACTGCACCACGGCAAGGTTGTGATTGACCAGTATCCGGAACATCGTCTGGACCTACGACACATTACCCATGTCATCTCTACCACCTCCGACTTTCCCGACTATAACTCCTGCGTCGATACTCTTATTCCTGTCGTCAAGCCCACCTGGTATGAACACTCACTCGCGAAAAGTAAACTTCTCAACCCACGTCAATATTGCCCCGATCCTCGTTACTTCATGTCTGATGTGGTGGCATGTGTTGGCGACTTGCCGCAGGGCGATGCCGATGCGATAGCTGGCGGAATATTGGCTATGGGCGGATTGTTCTCTTCGAGACTCACAAGCCAAATAACTCACATAATTGCGCTGTCTATGGATTCGGAATCTGTCGCAATCGCTACAAAGAAGCAGCTTGCCGTCAAAGTTGTCCTACCACACTGGGTGGACGATTGTTTGAAACTAGGAAGAAAGATTGATGAACAACCTTATCAATTTCCAAATCCAGAAATCCTGGAAACGGCTGGTGGCAGGGTCCCTGTTGCAAAGCGGAGGAATCAAGTGAATGGAGCTGCACACCCTGACCCTGTACAATTGAAACAAGATCCTAACCCACCGCGGAAGCTACAAAATGTCTTCAAGAATAAAGCCGTCATGCTGGCGACTGATTTGGGCATTGGCAGATATCTTCGTGAGACTCTGGAGGGACTCGTAACTGCTGGAGGAGGGACAGTCACAAAATCCGTGTCCAAGGCCGATATGTATATCTGCAAATATCGGGAAGGAACAGATTACAAGATCGCCTCGAATGCAGGAAAAGATGTTGGGAATCTGTCCTGGCTCTACTTCTTGATACAGACTGACCAGTGGACATCGCCGACGCGCCGCATGTTACACTATCCCGTTGCCAGAGAAGGCCTCCCAGGTTTTCCCGGGCTGGTCATCAGTCTCTCAAACTATAGTGGGGAAGCGAGAACATATCTTGAAAACCTCATCATCGCCACTGGTGCTAAATGCACCAAAACTCTCAAGCAGGACAATACACATCTTATCACCGCCCACGACCAGAGTGAGAAGTGCGCAGCTGCAAAAGAATGGGGGGTTCACATTGTCAACCACCTCTGGTTGGAAGAGAGCTATGCACGATGGAAGATGCAAAGTGTGACCGACAGGCGATACACCCACTTTCCCCAGCGTACAAACCTGAGCGATGTTGTCGGCTACACTCAACTGGACCGCAACGTCCTCGAAGAACATTTCTTCTCTGACGTCGACACCGAGATGACGGACGTCGCCGATAACAAGCCAATAGAGAACGGAGCAGGTGAGGTCCACCAGCCACCGTCGGTGAGGAGGACCAAGGGCGAACAAGCCGCCAAATCGACCTCCGGTGGTCCCAAGCAGAATCCCCAGACCCCGGTGACCCCCAGATTCATCGCACCTGGGAAAGAGAACATTACACCCCCAACAACACACAGCCGCAAGTCCAAAGAAGTTGCAGTGTCTCGTTTGCAAGTGCAAGCCGAGGACATTCTCCTTTTCAACAAGGAGACCAAACGAAAGGGTGGCGTCCTCTATGGTGGGCGACGCAAATCAGATCCAGATCGTGTCCAACTGGGTCGGAAAAGATCGATGGAGGAAGTGGATGATGCCGACACGTCAGATGACAGCGATGCGAAAAAGATCAAACGTGAAGATGCACCTACAATTCGACTTGTGATTTCTGGGTACAAGAAATGGCTCAATAATAGCAAAGGCGAAGATCGTGACAAGGTAAGCGTATTTCTGCAGCTATATCCTGTAGTCCTTCTGCTAACGGCGCTTTAGAAACAACTTCGCGACCTAGGGATACTCATCACTACCGACGCCAGCAAAGCCACACATCTTGCAGCTCCCAACATTGTACGGACTCAGAAATTTGTGACTGCTCTCGCTTACGCACCCTTGGTCATCTCGACGGACTTTATTGATGCCTGTCTCGCTGAGGACAAATTACTCAATCCAGAGAAGTTCAAGCTGCGCGACAAAGAAAATGAGAAGAAGTTTCAACTGTCTCTTGACAAGTCTCGACAGCGGGCGAAGAAGAACGCGAACCGACTTCTCCAAGGCCGCTCTGTCTACTGCATGGAGAATATCCCTGGGGGCTTTGACACATTCAAAACCATTGTGGTAGCCAATGGGGGCCGCTGTATGCTGTGGAAGAATCGCAAAGGAACAATGGTTCCATCCGGACGGGCAGACAGCGAGTTGTCTACGGATACTGACGAGAACCACGACGTCTATCTGCTTAGCGACAACGGGAAGGAAAACCATGGCATGTGGTCACGTTTCAGGGAGATGGCTGAAGGCAGTCGGAAAGTACCAAAAATAGTGACGTCAGATTGGCTACTGGAAACTGCAATGTCTCAGGAGATACAGCCGACAAAAGCGTATGAGCTGTAGGGCTGCGAAATATGATGATGCTGTCCGATGAAGCAAATGAAATGACTCTTGCCTTGGAACCATAGCCGGAACGGATTGCTTTGTCTGTTGAATACCATTCAGAAGAATTTGACACCTTGCTGATCCTCTGTTCCGAAAACCTGCGCCTTTCCCTTCTTTACCAGCGTGTTAAGGCTCTTCTGCAGCACTTCCGTGTCTAGGCCATAGAACTCCTGCTTCTCTGTCGTTTCGCCCTGGACCAACTCATAGAGCGTCAAAACCGTGCCTTTCTGACCGGTCTCTTCAACCCAGTTAACAATCAGGGTCGCCCATTCCTCGGGTTTCCGCCACCAAATCCAGGCAACAGCCTTCTCGGGCCCGCGCCATTCGGCCCTCTCGTCACCGTCCTTGCTGGCCATATACTCTATCACAGCCTTGGCATCTTTCAGACTCAGACCCTTTTTAAGCCTCGCGTTGTAGAACAGAGGACTCTGAAGGGTATCAATGATAGACAGCTGGAAAAGACGGTAGTGGCGGCAATAGCGCTGGATGAACTCGGACCATTTTTTCAGTTGAGCTTGCCGGGTCAGAGAGGTGGGCTGCGGGCTGAAGAAAGGTGGGAAGTTGTAGCTCTTCTTGAACACTGATTCTGGGAGGTCTTCGTGTGAAGGCTGTGGCTGTCCAGTTGCAGTATATGCCATTTCGAAGGTGGGGGTTTCTTTGGTATCGGGTGATGATCACCACATTTTCCTTCAGCCCAGAAATGAGTATCTCATTTTGAACCAGAAGTAAAGAACGCCGAGTATTATCAAGGGGATTGTAAGGAGCGTCTTGATATCAGCCTTTGCAACAACAAAAGATCAGACTTCCTCATCTCTCAACATCTTTTGTCCTTGGTGCCTCACTGGCCCCGCTTGGAGAAGGGAGGTCGTCACATTTTACTTCGGAATCTGGAACAACAGATTTTCCGCCTTGGCCTCACGCAGCACTTACGTGACTACCTCATTGCGGTGCCTCTAGAAAGTCGCGCGGCTCGCCTTTCACTAGCATTCCCGCGTTCCCCAGTCCAAAAAGAACTTGTTCAGTCGCATCGCATCTAGCAACCAATATTCAACCACCACCCTCTCCAGCGCGTCGATACATTCTACCACTCCCCTAGATGGGAGCAGAAAGCTTCAAGGCCGCGTGAACACTCTCCCCTGGTCTCCACGCACTCGTCGTCTAGCGCACGCCCCCTTCCACCATGCCGCGAAAACGAACCAGAGACGAGATGGAGGTCTCAGAAGTTGAAGAGAAGAAGCAGGAACCCTCTCTCCTCCAGAGAATACGGAATATGTGGGAATTCGCCTCCGTCATGCAGTTCATCTTCTTCTTTGGCAAGGTTCTGAAGATTGACGAGGACTTTGACATCGAGGTGCGCCCTCCCCTCCCCCTGTCTATATGGATTGACTGCGACGGATTCGCGGCGGAGTATTTTTGATGCACGGATTCGCTAAATATCGTTCTGCAGGACTTTGAGAACGAATGTCTGAAGCCAGGTTATTCGGACAAACTTGAAGAGATCGGCCTCACCCTCCTCAAATGGATCTCGTCCCATAGAGGTCTAAAGTCTGACAACCCTGCTCGCCTCGCTTTGCACATCACTAACTCAGATGCAGTTACGATATCTGGGATGAATACACCCGCCGTCAGTATCTGGCCAAGGCTCCTCATCTGAACCCCTACGGTGATGCCGAAGAGCCAAAGCGGTTTCGAGACTTTGACATCTTCACAAAGATCCGAATTCTCCACCAGCTTACGATATGGACGTTTTGGAACCCCGACCGTATGAGGGAAAAGATGATAGAACATCCGCGCGAAGCTGATCAGACCGAATGGGTAAGTTCCCCCGCAGAGCAAGTATATCGCAGATTCTCACAACTCGCCGAACAGCGCATTGAAGAGTTTGGCTACGACCGACATGACCGCCAGTACTACCTCCTCGATGATAATCGATTCTATCGACGGACTGAGCCTCCGTTGCCGCGAGCTCCAAAGGCAAAACCCAAAGCAAATTCCAAGAAAGCCATCGCTGCCAGAAGACGTGAGAGCAAGCGGAGAAAGTTGGAAGCCGAAGCAGCTGCAGCAGCGGAATCCAGCGATGTCGAAGAAGATAATGAGGAGAACACCGAGGCAGAAGGCGTTGAGGAGAAAAAGCCTGAGGCCTGGGAGGTCGACACCTTTGGTGGTTTCAAGTGGGAATGCCTCTGCATCACTCTTGGCGATTATCAGGAACTCTGCGAATCGTTGAAGAAATCGAAGGATCCTAACGAAAAGGCTCTACGAGACCGACTGATAGAGGAGGTTGTGCCTATTATTGAAGCCGCCGAGGAGAAACAACGTCGCAAGATAGAGCGCCGTGAGAGGGAACTAATGTTGATGGAGAGGATGGTCGGCGCAAAGCGATCTAGTCGATTGGCAGACAAGCAAGAACGAGAGAAGAAAGAGGCCGAGCAAGCCGAGGCCGAAAAGAAGAAACAAGCTGACCTGGCTGCCGCCCGCCGCGAGCAGGAGAGACAAGAGAAGATGGAACAAGAAAGACAGTATCGTATGATGACCCGAGAACAACGTATCAAGGATCGTGAGCTCAAGAGACTGCTCAAAGAAGAGGAACTCGCTAGAGACGAGCTCGAGCAGAAGCGTATTGAGGAAGGCGAGGCCAGAGGGTCTGATCGAGCCCTTAAGCAACGAATGGAGCGGAACAAGAAGGAGCTGGAGGATCTCGAGGCCGAAGAGGACTGGACCTTTGATTGCTCCGGGTGCGGAAAATACGGCAAGAACTTTGTGAGTACGACCGTGCAAATATCGTCATCGGCGACTAACCAAGGTCTAGGACGACGGCTCTCACAGTATCTCGTGTGAGAGGTGCAACGTCTGGCAGCACAGCAAATGTCTGGGCATCTCCGAACCGGCAGCGGAAAAGAAAGACTTCCACTTCGTCTGTAAAGATTGCAGGCGTAAGGAAGAAGATGCAAAGAGGCCCAAGATTTCGCTCAAGTTCCGTGTTGGCACATCGTCCTCGCCAGTCCCACCAAGTCCAGCCCCTGCCACGTCCAAGTCGGTCGTTGAGCTTCCCACACAGTACACCCCTCGGTCGCCAGGCCAGGGGAACCTGACAAACGGTCAGCAAGGTTCACCTCCAAATCAGATGGCCAGTCCCTCTCCATTTCCTCAACCCATACAGATGAATGGTCTCCATTTCCAGCAGTACTTGGGCCCTCCACAGCAAATGTCCGGTCAGGCTCATCAGCAGCTGGCATCAACAAACCCCCGACAGACCATGCGTCCTATTCACCCTTACCCTTCCGGAATGAGCAATGGCACAGCTAGAAGCCCACCGCTCCAGGGTCAAGGGAACTATTCATTCTACAACGGTACTCAACATACCTACCAAAATCCTGCTGGACAAAGACCATTGGCGCCCTCGCCTCTTCCTAAACACCCACCACAAAACTCCGGCCCCCACATAGTGTCGAACAGCGGACGTCTCCCTTCCCCTGTGATCAATCGTCCTACAATATCACCTACTCAGGGCAATATGGACGTCGGCCCCGTGGCAGGCATACCACAGAAGTCGCTCCAGTTCCCTCAACAAGCCACGAATGGGGTCTTTAGCCCTGCCAATGGAGCATCCTTCCAGTTGCAGAGCACTCCCCGCCCATCCACCCAACATCAATCCCAACCCGCTCAAACACCCATTTCACGAGCTCCGACCTACGCTCTCTCGGGACTTTCGCCTAAGAAGCAACAGACTCCTGGGCCTTTTCAACCTCTCCCGGCTGGCAGTCCCCAGAACCCGAATCCATCTTCTTCCCCGCCCATGTCCGAATCCTTCAAGCCGACGATCCCTCCAGCTGGAACTCCTGGAATTACTGCTCCCTCTCCCGGCCAACATCCTGGTGAAAAGCGAATGGTCAGTGGGACGCCCGTTCTTCCGCCCATTGAGAACCTCCGACCCAGTCCGGAGCAGTTGAGGAACATGAGTTCTACCGAACCAGTCCCGACACCGAGTAAGCAATCTCAGCCTCCGTCACAGTCTCACAGCCCGTCCAAAGTCTCGGGTAGTCCACCTCAAGGCAAACCTCAAACGGAGATGCAGGCCAAGGTTGAAGGTGCTAGAGTTGTTGGTGTGGCGGATTCGATCAGCAACGAGAATGGGTTGAAGACGAGGGTGGAAGGAGGTTTGCAAATGAATTCAATTCATGGATCCCAACAGGACCAGAAGACGGACAATGCTTCGGGTACCAGGGACGTTGAGATGCAGGATGTGAGATGATTGAAGCGTTTGGATGGTATTTTGGCTCAACACCCACTTTTGCAACTCACAGAGGCACAGTCTTGGGAATCTGGCCTACATTGTAGGAGTACTGAGCAACTAACTCGTTTGGACAATACGGGTTCTGTCGCTCTCGTCTGGCCAGAAGACCGAAGGCGACTTTATCATATGGTTGAGAGTGCTCCCCAAGAAGTGAGTGAGTGGATGGACCAGTGTAGCACGCACGAGGTACGCTTGGATGAAACTAGATGAAGACGAGAACTGAATCAAAAAAAAAAGACACAAAAATGCTACTTGCTATGCTGTCCCGCGAGTATCCATGATATGTTATGTCATGTTATGATTTGCTATGTTATGTAATGTATCGTTGTGATATGTTGTGTTGTTCTTCTCCGCCGTGGTTTTTAACGAGAAAGATCCTGTCATAGGTAGGTAGGTAGCTAGGTAGCTAGGTAAGAACATGTAAGTACAATTTAAGTAGGAGTAAGGACGAGGAAGAGTACGAGTACGAGTGCATAAAGGATTTACATGGATATATATACATACGTATACAAAGTTACCATATACCTGGGTATGGATATACCAGGGAACATCACGCAATGGCACTGTAGCACCCTCGGGCCTTTTACGGAGGTCAGTTGGTCGTGAGAGGAGGTGTGGATAAGGGAGGGGGAATTTAATAGGTAAGGAAGTATGTAGGATAATCAACTAACCCTTTGACTATGTCAGGAAAGGCAATCCCAGAGGTGTCTTATCTATCTATCCCTCCATCTATCCAGCCAGCCAGACAGGAAGCCTTGCTGAGAGCGAGCCCTGCTGAGAGTACTGCCGGGAGGGCAGCCCGAGAGATCTCGTATGTACCTCGTACCGAAGCGTGAGGAAAAGGCCTCACCACGGCGGTCTCTGCCTCATGTTCACGTGCAGAAAATATCGTCGTTACCATCGTCACTGTCATCATCCCAACCACCACGGCCAGCTCCGCACTGTGCAATACACTTCGAAGCCGGGAATTGATTCGGAATGAGTCTGTCCAGCACAGCACCACCTTATCCGCATAGTTCGTCACGTCCAGTGCTGTGCAGCCCAGTCCAAGTTAGCTCCTTGTAATATCGACATTGGGAAACGTCTCGATAGCACACTCAGTTCCAGATACGTCCATTATGCACCACGACGACCCGGTGGACTTTGTCGGCCGACTCCTGCAGCGTGCCGTTGACCCAGCCCTCGATACCTTCCTTGAGGAGACGCTGGTAATTCTGGATGGTGGACTGGGTGAACCATGCGATGTGGGCGGCTGCTCGGGGGAAAGAGAGATGGGTGGTCAGTCCGTGTACAGTACAAGAACTCATCTCATGACGGATGAAACGTGATGCGAATAAAGGTGGAGGACAGGGGAGGGGGAAATGGGATGAAGAAGGAAGCAATGAGATGTAAAGGCACAAGACAGGACTTACAAATGGTCAAGTTCGGCACCTCTTCTTCCCCTTTGGCCACGTCTGGAACCAGCGGACTCATGCCCGGTCCTGAGGGTTCTGTTTCCAAGACATCGGTCGCCGCGCCGGCGATCCAGCCTTCCTTGAGTGCCTGGGCGAGGGCGCGTTCGTTGACGATTCCGCCACGGGCGACATTGATGATGATGGCGTCTTTGCGCATGGTGCGCAGCTCCTTTTCGCCAATCAGGTCGATCGTGTCGTGCTCCTTGGGCAAGCACACGCCGACCACAGTGGCCCGCTCGAGGACCTGGTCAAACGATACCCTGCCCGGGCGGACCGTCGTCGCGTTCTTCCTCTCGCTGATCAACACCTCGCCGAAGCCGATGGCCCGCGCGAGCTTCTCCAGCCGGGTCCCCAGCGTGCCGTAGCCCATGATGCCCAGCGTCTCCTGGCCACAGCCCAAGGGTGGACCCGACGGCCACAGTTTCGTGAGTGTGCCCTTTTCGACCCACTCGTTGGATGCCGTGATGGTCTTGTGCACCTGCACCACGCGTCTACGGGTCGCGAAGTACAGTCCGAGAAAATGCTCGGTGACGGCATTGACGTTGCCGGCGGGGCACTTTGTCACGGTGACGCCGCGGCGCGCGCAGTCCTGCTTGTCCACCCACTGGATCCCCACGGCCATGACAGCCAGCACGCCCAGGTATGGAGCCTTGTCCATGTCGCTCGGTGTCACGGGTACGACGCAGGCGATGACAATGGTGGCGTCCTTGATGCGCTCGGCGACCTCGGACGGCGGCGTACGTTGGTGCACATCGATGGTGTGGGGGAAGTCGAAGCTGGGCATCTTTGCGTGGATTCCCTCGAGGACGACGATGTGGTGCTTGTCTTTGCCGGGAGGGAGGCGGCCGGGGGTGAAGAGAGGGGTGGTCGTGCCGTTGGTGGCCATGGCGAATGTTCTAGTTAGAGGTGAGGCAGGGAGGTGTTGCGAGGGTCTGATGGGAGGACGAGAGAGTGAGGATGGACTGTAGCTTCTGGCCTTAGTCGCGAAGGTCACTCGGACCGAGGAATCTGCCGCAGTGAATCCTGGCTTGCCGGTTGTCAGTGAGTTACTGTGTGTCCCGATCTTGCCCACAAACCCGATGCCAGAGAAAACTGTTGAGGTGCGATTGCACTTGAAGGAGGAGAGTCTGAGGCAAGACGTCGCGATGTGCGGTAACGCTGTTGTCCTGAAGAGTGGTAATGTCCAAGTCATCAACGACTCGAGTCGGATTCAATTAGTCGAGGAAGTGATTTCAGAGACTGTATTGATCACAGATGTGGCTCGGTCGCCAAGAGAGTCGTGAGTGAAGTTGGTTCTCTCCCCTTCAGTCCTTCACTGGCTTTTGCCCCTGTCACTTATCGAGTCCTTCACGCGCAGACCCTCTCTCTCTTTCTCCCTATCAGCTCTGAATACCAGGTCCGCAGTCTCCTCCTCAAGTCCCCAAGAGAAGCAAGACGGTCGAGACAATCAAGACCGACCCTCAAACCAACCTTCTTCCTTCTTACCTAGAGAGCACCTCGGAGCGTGCTCGTCCGCGTCCTCCTCACCGATAATCTTATCCCGTCCTTCACCCTGACTTACTAGGTGTTCAGCAGCAGCCAATCCAACACGTACCGCCTCCAGAAACCAGGGAGAGGAAGAGGACGAATACGCCCAACAATCTCACTCCTATCCCAAGCCAAGCAGCCAACCCAACTCAACACCCTGCGAGTCCCGTTTTCTTTCCCCCGCCCTCGTTTAGACTCGATCTCTTTTCTTCTTCCTGTGCTCTTTTATATCGCAGGGGGAAAAAAAAAGTGCCGATGAGTTGACTCCCTTATCTTTATCTAGCAAAATGTGTTATCCACCGCGCAAGCCGTCCAGCAGAAAAGACTCCCGGGAGTAGCAGTAGCGAGGGATTGCGGAGTGTATGTACTCGCTAAACGGGAAAAAAAGGTCTATAAATTCTCCAAGAATATGCAGGTATATATATACGACGGGGAGGTATATATACAAGATATGGAGAGATAGAGAGATGGAACAAAGTAAAATCACCGTAGGGGAGGGGAATAATGATGATTGTTATTGGATATAATAATATACAACGTACTTATCCGAATAGGCGAGGTTTTCTTTTCCCCCAATACTACGTGCGTGGCGATTGGTTGCGCCCTAACAACGACAAGTTACCTTACACTCGGTACAAGTACGAAGTAGGCAAGTAGGTACAGGCGGGGGGAGGCTCCCGTTCCCACTTTTAACAAAAGTAAAGTGACGATGATCACAACCGCCAACCCCCTCTGCCATCCCACTCGTATTTACATATCCACGAGGACGAATACACCAGACGAGGCCATACATAGGTACCTCCTCGATACGGTAGTAGCCATCTCCCCCTATGGACAATGCCAAAGTGCGGACCGGGTTGTGAGGATCTACCTGCTGGAATCCGTCTGATGCCCTTTAAATCCTATATCCCTTATCCCTCGTCTTACATTACATCCCGGTAAGCTGGTAATCCAATAGTCCGGGAAAAGTGTACCTCGTAGTGATTGATCGATTGGTCCTAAACCCCTGGACCCTTGTGTCCTCGTATATCTCTACATAAGCGAGCGATCCTTCCAACGCCCTTTGCTGCAGATCATCATGATCACTATCTAACAAGGGCGTGGTTTCGATACGACGTCAAGTGCTCTCTCTGCTCCAGCCCAAGCTCAAGCTCCAGCTCGAGCCTCGGCTATACAAGGCGCGGCCCGATCATCGGGCCTTGCAATAACCAATTGAGGCCATGAGGCCATGAGATCATATGGTCCAGCCAGCAACACGCGACAATATTCTTTTGCTAGGGCTAAACATGCACTTGAGTATATGTATACACTTTATCTCCGACCCTAGCAGTGCTAAGCACCGTACAGCTCGAGGCAAAAAAACGCTCTGCAGCGCCCTCAGGCGACTATTAACACGATCCCTATGCCATGACCAGAAAGAAATGGTGATGATGCATCCACTGAACTCCGCCTCTCCTGTACATCCCTGTCGACCGTCGTACTAATACAGACTTAACTTGCGCATCAGACTCGGGAAGTGCCCCTCGCCCTCTTGTTGCTTCCGAATGTTGACTGCCACTTGGCTTTCCAGCGTCTCCGTCTCAATCTGTCCTAGGATCGTTTCGTCGTAATATTTGTACAAGGTGCCGCCTTCGGTCCATATCCGCCGCAGGGTGACCACCGTCGCCAATGGGGAGTAGACCTGGTATTCCTCTTTTTCAATCTGTTTTAGACGCTCGAGCGACGTGTATGACACCTCCCATTTGCTGTTCGTCTGCCGTTCGTATTCGGCGAGAATCTCGTGCGGCGTGGCCGTAAACGAGTGCACTATAAGAGTTGTGTTTCGTGAAGCGTTGGGATTCATGAGTGCCGCGACGACGAATTTGCCAACACTGCGACACGACACAAGTTAGCACCCTGACTACTAGGGAGACGTTGGAGAAACCATACTCAGCCATGGCAGTAAAACTGACGGGTCCATTGCCGTCTCCTAGCAGGATGGCCTTCTTCTCGTTGACATCAAACTGTCCCAGCTCGGGTCGTGCCTTCATCGTACCAAAGTATAGGTCGCTGTACGGTCCCGTGACAAGGTATGTGTGTTCCAACCTCTTCATGGTCTTCATGTGTGCCCGGACTTTCAGCTTGAGCTGGTGAGGCGGCTCGTGCGCCGACTCGGGCCAGTATTCGATGTCGGTGCCATACTCCGAGGTATAGAAGCGGCGTACGCCTACTTGCTCGGCCCAGGTGATTAGGTTGATCTGCTTCTCAATACCGCCACGGCCGACGCAGGAGACAATGGTGTCAATGCCTGTTTATGTGAGGGTTGCACGTTAGTCAAGATTCGCATGCTGCAAGCTTGCCGGTCTCGGCGTGGTGGACAGTGTGTAACATACCTTCATACGCCCTCTTGACCGCCGACTCGCTCTCCAACCGGCCCGTAAAGATTTCGACACCCCATGCCTCCAACGCTGCAATATCCTGCACCTTTTCCACCAGGGTCCTTTCACTGGTCAAGACACATATTCGCTCAAAATTTTCCCGTGCGTCGACAATTGCCCGTGTAATATATGTGCCTATGACGCCTGTCGAGCCGATGATGAGGATATTGCGGGTGGACTGCGGAGCTTGCGAGTAGGCCGTCATGGCCGCTGGAGAAGGAAAAACCAAGCGGGAAGGATCAGGGTGGTGGCGTTTATTTGGGGGGGGAACCGGGGGTGTAACCGAGGATTTGGCTCGTTGCTAATAATTAGGACAGGTGTGTGAAGTGTGTGTGCCTGAATCTTTTTTCTTCCAAGGGCTGATCGAGCCGCAATTCGTACGAGTTGGAGTGCCTCTCAGGTTCGCGCGACAGAAGGGGACTGTTTACAGCAGACCGAGGATTGGATGAGATCGGAGGGTCAGGCTAAGTAAAGTGCTGACGGTGGAGCGTAGGCGGCGGGTGGTCTGCGACGGACTCGTAGGTGTGGAAGACACATCAAAGACAACTCTCGACCGCGATGTTGTGGCAGGGCAGAGAAGTGTGGCCGATGGTGAAGGAGTTCTAGTATATAGGAGTGTGGGATGCGTGTACAAGGCTTGGTCTCGAGGTGGGGGTGACGCTGTGGTGAGGAGAGTATTTGGTGGATGGTGGTGCTGAGAAGAAGAAAGACGAATTGCTTCCGAATTTGGCTCTCGCCCTCGTGTCGAACTTTGGTTCCGGTCCCCTCGATCAGGGTGTGTGTGTGTGCCTATGTGTACCTCGTACTCGTACAGTCAAGAGCGAATGACACTACGACGCACAAAGGCAGACGGACTTTGCTCGCCAAATTTAGCCTTGCCTCTTGCCTCCAAAGGCCCCCAAAAAGGGAAACAGGAGAAGAAGAAGAAGAAGTGGAAGGGATTGACCGGAAAAAGGGGCTGAGAAGGACAGACCTGGTCAAGTCAAGAGCCTCATATAGCAGGAGTTCAATCAATGATTGAGGAGTTGCGAGTGTATCTCGTATCATGTGTGATGCGCTGATCGGTGGTTGCTGGTTGCTGGTTGCTGGGTGCGGCCCTTTGATGGACCAAAGTCAAAATCTGCCCAGCTCTATATACATCTGCCCCGTACAGCACACGCATACAAACCACCTTCATCGTATTACTTTCATACTTCTTTGCCATCTTCCCTCCACACAGAATACAGAATAGATCGACTGTAACGCGTCAGACAAGATGGGGTCTCGCAAATTTGACCCGAAACCGAAAATGATTTCTCCATTTTCACCACTTGTATATTGCATGTCGGTTGTCTGCCTTGCGCGCCCCCGAATTGCCGCTTCAGGTCGATTTTGCTCCTCCCTTACCTCTCGGTTATGCATGCACATGCACAATGTACGAGGTATACTCGTAATACATACTTGGTTGGGTGTACACACGTGTCGATCGGCAGCTGAATAATAATGACAACACATTGCATTGGGGTTAGGTGGGTTGGGTCCCTTGGATCCTTTTTTTTTCTTTTCGCACGTATTCCCTGTCTTGGAAATATCATACTTGCCAGAATTGCCGTCTGAATGGAGTCGAGCTGAATTCGAAAATTACAAAAATAAAGGTAGCCCGCCTAACATGATCCTCCTCATCCTCCACCTCTCGCTACATACAATGTCTCTGTGCTACTCAATGACACCGCAGCAGCCCCGCGAACATGGCCCCTTCATCCGTCAACTGGGAACCGAGTCCATCACGACAATCCTCTCCACAGTTAGTTATTCAGCCTGACGAGCGTTTTCAGCTCAAAGTTTTCTGTGCTCAACCCGACCATGCGGGTAGTCCAGTCTCAGCCCCCAGCCCACACCCAGTACGAGTACGGCACATCGCAGCATAGCACGCGAGCATCCCCTGGTAGGCGTTGACACATCTCAGGTCGTCATTTTCCAGTGTACCTACCCAATACCCTCAAAGCACAGAGCAGCTCACCTAGGCGCAGCCAAGACACTGATCAAAGCGAGCCCGAGGCAATTGGCTTGTTGTTGGCGTAGGCAAGTAGGAGGTAGGATCCGGAACCCATGCAGTCATCACTCCCAGCTGATGTTAATGATGCTGCTGATGGTGAAGGAGAACAAAAGTTGTGTGAGAAAGGCTCGTGTAGAGTTGTAGCCACTGGCCCCCTCCCATGCAGGTTGACATGACCACCATGACACGGACACAGACGCAGACACAGACAAGAAAGAGGCTGCCTGACGTCCAAACAAGCCTATCCCTGCATATTAATACGGCCCCTTTCAAAACGTAACAAAACTCTTTCTTGGGACTTTGTGTCCATCTTGCAGCGTACGTGGTACAACCAGCCAATTTGTCAATTGAGTGTGTTTTATTACCGTCGCTCGCCTCCGGATATTCAGCAGCCCGAGAACCACAGTGATCACGATGAGGTATTTACAGTATGTACAAGTACGAGTACGATTTTGGTTCCGTGGACAGGCATGGCAAATGCTGCTATTGTTTCAAACATTTCCCGGCTACGTTTCCTTCCAGAGCCAGAGTTGGATCACATCATCATCCGCTTGTCTGGGCCGTGTAAATCAGATCCAACCAGGCCCCCAATCTATAGCCAGCCCGGGCAAGCTGGATCCTCGCGACATCATAGTGCGCCTTGTAGTAAGTGCTGCTCAGATCCCCTTGTTCGACCGCATCAACACCTGGAGCGAGGACATCGGTGCACACATAGCCATTCGCTTCACTAGCCCAACTCATGGCAGTGGTTTGTGTATCGTTCAGACTTATACCATCCAGCCAAGTGCTGGCGTCCCACCCGTAGTCACTCGCCTTGATCGCGGCGGTGAGGTTCTTCCCAAATGCCTCGGCGTCCTGGCCATCCGCTAACTGCTCCACAATTTCTGTATCCCAAATATGGTGTAGATTGGTATGTTCGCCATCGTAAGTGACATTGATGGTGTTTCCTCCCACATCGATGGCTTCGTCGTGGAGAGGCTGGTGCAGATCTCCAACGAAATGAATGATGAATCGCATGGCGTCAAGCTTGGTCGACGCCTTGGCTTTGTCGTCCAACAATATTGAGGTATAGTTGACAATGGCCGAAACAGAGCATCCAGCTTCACCACAATCACGGTTGAAGTCCACCGAGCAGGATTCCGGTGGGTTGTCGTTCGCATCAATGTAATGAAGTGGCGCAGACCATCCACCTCCACTAGTGTACCGATATGAATCTGCCCATGTCGAGACATTGGCCATATAGTCGGCTTGCGTCGAGTCTAGGATTGATTGGACTGCTGCTTTGGTGGTAGACGAGACATATGATTGAGCTATCCATGCAATCGTCTCGTGTCCAAGTGTACCCCAGGCATTCGTCAACCGAGCCAAGAGGAGGATTGCTGCAATGACAACAGACGGTAGCATGATTCGAGATGATTGTCTGACAGGTATTGCTGCCGACCGAGGTGACCTTTTTTTATATGAGAGGATCGTGTCTCTCGGTTGCCATAGACGCCTCCATTTCCAACCCGCCCTGCAGGCATCCCTGGACCAAAACAAACAGTCCAGCTGTTTCAGAATTCAATACGCTCAGCATCGATATACGCCAGCGACAATCTCGACATTGGCGCATCATAGACACGGGCATATCGCCTGTGACCACATTGGATCAAGGTGAAGGACCTCAATTTCCTTATGTGGTGCTGCGTACGGCCAGTCAGAAGAACTCATGGCGCCAAGACCGTCTCTTCAGACTTGACGAGACTCCGCATGGTCGTGAGAGAATGTTGCTTTGTCCCGCAGAATAGAAGCTGTCGTTACATTCAATCATGCTTCTGCCGCTTCGCAAGCAGGTTCAGCGCAGATCCTGCAAGAATGAAGCCACACTGATCCTTGCTGAGAGTATGATTGACCGGGATCGTGAAAGTTTTTCCATTCTTCTTGGTCACGTTCAAGTTGATCTCGCCCTGGCCTCCGTTCTTCAGGACATCCCATAGCCCCTCTGTGTCAACGTGGTCGCACGCATCGATGCGATCATAGTCCTCCTTGTTGACAAAAGTCAAGGGCACTACTCCCTGTTTTTTGAGGTTCGTCTCGTGAATACGCGCAAAGCTCTTTGCGAGAATGACCTGGCCTCCGAGATACCGTGGTTGCAGGGCTGCATGTTCTCTGGCAGATCCCTCACCGTAATTGTCCTCGGCTACCACCAGCCAGTTCTGTCCATTTGCTTTCCACTTCTTCGCAAGTTCTGGGATAGACGACGTGGACCCGTCACTGTCATATGCAACATTAGTCTCGCCGGTCGCTGCGTTCACAGCACCAATGAGAGTGTTTTCGGCAATGTTGGGAAGGTGTCCTTTGTACTTGAGCCAAGGCCCAGCCGCGGAGATCGTATCTGTCGTGCACTGACCCTTGACCTTGTACAGGACTTTCAGTCCTTTCAGCTCGCCCTCTGGGAAAGGTTCAAACGGCTCCAAGATAGCTAGTCGATCGGACTCAGGGTCCACCACAACTTCCACACTTTGATCTGGTTCCGCAGCGGCAGGATAGAAAGCAGGATTGCCAATAGCAAAGCCCGAACCTGGAAGCTGTGCCCCCTTCGGAGGCTCGAATTTGAACTTCTCGCCGGAAGGCAGGGGGATCTCATCGACGATGGGGTTGAAAGAAGTCGACCCAGAGTAGGAAATGGCGGTGACAATCTCCGGTGAAGCAAGGAAGCTCATCGTGCGGGGATTACCATCATTGCGACCCGGAAAATTGCGATTGTAGGAGCAAATGATGGCATTGTCTTGGCCCTTCTTGACGCCATCAGTTCGCTTCCATTGTCCTATGCACGGCCCGCAGGCGTTGGCCAAGACGGTGCCACCGGCGTTGGTGAATGTTTCGAGTGTCTTGCTTTCCTCCAAGGTAGCCCGTACCTGTTCACTTCCGGGCGTGATGAAGAAATCAGCCTTGGGCTTCAAGCCAGCGGCCTGTGCCTGTTTGACCAAGTCCTGTGCGCGGGTCATGTCCTCGTAAGAGCTGTTGGTGCAACTGCCAATCAAGCCGGCCGAGAAGCTATCAGGCCAGTTGTTGGTCTTCACTGCGTCTTTAAATTTTGAAAGGGGCGTGGACAAATCCGGTGTGAAAGGACCATTGATGTGCGGCTCCAGCGAGGCCAGATTGATTGTGATCTCTTGGTCGTACTCGGCACCCTGATCGGCCCGCAAGAAGTTGTGTTTTTCCGAGCCATATGCGATGCCCTTGACCGCATCGACAATAGCATCTCGGCCCGTGGCTTGCAAGTAAGGGATATGGTTCTCTGTAAAAGGGAAAATCGACGTCGTAGCCCCAACTTCCGCCCCCATGTTACAAATCGTGGCCATGCCTGTACAACTCAGAGAGTCAACTCCTGGCCCGAAATACTCGATGATGGATCCAGTTCCACCACGAACGGTTAGTCTGCCCGCCAGGTGAAGAATAACATCTTTCGGTGAGGTCCACCCGCTGAGCTTGCCTTCTAGACGAACCCCCAGAATCTTTGGAGCCTTAAGCTCCCAAGGGGCATCAACCAGAGCATCAACTGCGTCAGCTCCGCCCACACCTATTGCGATAGCACCTAGGCCTCCGGCATTTGGTGTGTGACTATCCGTTCCCAACATCATCAAGCCAGGAGCAGCGTAGTTTTCCAGCACCGACTGATGTATAATACCTGCCCCGGGTGGCCAGAACTCGATCCCGTATCTCTTTGCAGCAGATTCCAAAAAGTCAAACACCTCCTTGTTGCCCGCGATGGAGTTGGGTAGATCCAAGTCTGCGCCTTTCTCTCCCACAATCATATGGTCGCAATGGATGCTGGCAGGTACGGCGGTACTGGGCAGGTTGCATGTCATGAATTGGAGGATGGCCATCTGTGCAGAGGCATCCTGCATTGCGACACGGTCGGGCTTGAGTTTGAGGTTGGCTCTGCCCCGAATGTTCTTGCCATTGTCGGTACCGGTCAACAGAGACTCAGAGGGGTTGGCGAGGTGAGAGTAGAGGATTTTCTCAGCGAGTGTGAGCTTCTGGCGGGGTAGAATATCTCTGACATCTTCAAAGGTCTTCAGAATTTTCTGGTAAGGGGGCACGGCAGCTCGCCGCCGTAATGGTGACTGCGAGTGCTGCAGGGTTGCATAGCCGCGGTGATATGACTGCCGTGCTCTAGAGCAAGAGCCCAAGTCCAGGGGACATCTGACCCGTGCAGATGGCACTCGTTGCAACAGGGCAGGCATCGTGAGTGAGTGCTGTCTGGGGAATATAGACAGCAAAAAGGCGTGTCCCCGAGCTCGGAGGGGGAAATAGAGAGAGCAAAAAATCCCATTGCCGGTCCGAAGTTGTGCCGAGGGCTTGGCATCCGGTAACCACAAACAGCTCTGGCTCTATTGGTCGGCTTTGAACTCCTCCTTCCCAATCTGGACTCAGGAGCAATGAGACCTATTACCATAGTACAAGTTTCCGAGTACAAATATTACGTTCGTTCTCGGAATGGTCGAAACTCTCTCGCTTTGTCGCCGCATTCCTTGTAAAGCACAGCGCGAGTCTGTCTCAAGCGGACGAAATACATGTCTACTCGTGCGCTCTGGAGAATCAACAGGCGCCTCCCAATATCCGACCATTAAGCAGGGATGCGTTCACTGGACGAATACCACATTCTACTGACCAGGGCACGAGTAGTTTTAGATGGCGCAAAGGTCAGGGTTACTACCTGACAGCCCTTGTTCTGGTCACCTGACGCTACATTTATGCGTCTTTGGTGTCTGCATTTGAGAGGATGGATGTACAAGTACAGAAAAATCAAAGTACATGCTCAACATGGCCAAGGTAAAGTGGGTAGAGAATGGTAGGATGATAATAGCAGCGGTATAACGCTGTAGAGGTGACGAGGCTGCATGAAAGGGGGGTGGGTTGTGTTTGAACTACAGGTAGTAGAAACAGTGGCAGCCAGAAGAACTAGCCAAGCATAGCCGAGTGTATTGGTAACGAGTCTCATAGCGACTGATGAGTGGTTGGAAGAAAATTTGTAGGATTGCTTAGCGATACGACCGAGGATATAGCACCTGTACTTGTATAGGTACACAACAGATGCAAGGAAATTGCCAGTGGATCTTCTTGACCTGGGCACTGGCCTTCTTGAACCCCAAGTGTCCATGGCTCTACGATCGAGATCTCAGCGCATGTAGAACGAGTCTGCATCCGGCTTTGTTCGAGTTGACTGAGGTTTGTACTTTGTAACGGTCGTCCCTAGCTAATCTTCCGTTTTACGAGACTGTAGAATGGTAAAGCAAGGGAAATGCTGCCTTTAGTTGGCAAGTTGTCTGCAGAGGTCGGAAGTTCTGAGCGGGAACAGTCTCTCGTCCTCTTTCGATACTGGGTGGAAATTGGATGCCCATTTGTAAGAGAAACCGAAGTCGAGTTGGCGCAGAGATATTTGGAAAAGCTGCCTGGATTAAAGGGCTTCATCACAGCTGAGGCAAGAGAGAATGAAATGTCGCATAGACAAGACAACCAAAGACCGTTGCAGGGAAAGTCATACATAAATAAGCCGTGCGTGGAATGCTTGAACCCGATTTTCTTTCAGGTAATTTGGAGAAACGATAGTAGCCATGGCCAGGGGTTGTGTGGAAATGTCGCCAATTCTCTCTCCCTCGGCACACACGAGAGTGGACTTGTAGAGAGGATGTTGAAAGTGTAATTTCTTTCATCCGAAAGTGGTCAAAGAAGATGCAACGCTGTAGGCACCACTCGGTCTGTTTCTTTGCGGCTATAGCATTTCTTGAAGAGCTTGGAAATCGAAACGTGGATGGTAAAGTAGTGTAGTTGATTACAGGAATCGTATGCTTCGAGACCAGAAGTCGAAGGTTATTTCCAGCATAATAGATTTCGTGTCTGTGTACTTCAGGGTGATGACACTGCAAAAAATAAGGAGAAGAGGGTTTGTCGGGCGTGGCTTTCGTCTTTGTTGGACAGGCCTGGGAAGCGCGGATCGCGGGCTAAAGAACCCACTTGCTCCCGGTATTGAAAAACATTTGTGGAAGACCAATCCAGATTGTGTTGGAGCGATTCCTTGACCTTTCCTTTGTTGTCTCTAAAGGAGGAGTGATAAGGGAACACAAGGTATCATGGTGGCACACACGAATACTTCACAGATACTAAAAGTTCAACATGATGTTCCTTTGACTAGACCCTGGTTGCCGATCTTACCTTTCCTATCCAGCTATAAACAGCATAATTCGTTGAAGTTCGTAACTTGGTCAAGGTACTTTGCACATATGAGGTGGAAAGGAATGTATTATGCATGCTTCATAGACTGACTGATCCAAAGTGCTGTGTTGAAGGAAACATCGTTCTGGGTTGGATCTGTCAAGCTTCGTGCTGTAACGGAAGGAAAACCTTCACAGATTGACAGAAAGCACCTCCAGGGGTGGTGTAGGTGCGTGTGTAGGTGCCAAGGGGGCTTAAGGTCTTTGGTTCAACATCGTATGTTGGCGGTAGAGGGACCCCTGTAGCGCCTGGGACAAGGGGGACTGCGTTTTGCATCGGAGCCACCAACAAAGCAGCTCCTCTCATGCCCAAGCCGGAACTTCCAGGCCCTGGAAGGCCCTTGTTCGCCCTTGTCTCGGTGCTGATTCCATTCGTTACCGTCCATCTGTAGTCCGGTCACGTGCACCACTCGAGGATCTGATGACTGCCGCGCATTGGCCACACCGCCGGATTCTTTTTCCGTTCCTCCATCCATTTGTTGCCTCTAGTCCGACGCTGGTCAGGAGACGCTTTCTCCCTTGAAAGGTTGCCCTGTTGCCGTAGACTCGAATCTTCATCAACTCTGACCACATCCTTCATCGACAGAGGCCAGAGCCAGGCAGTGGCTGCTTTGGATCGAAAGCCTCAAATCTGGGATGTGGGCCTTAGCGCTGCGAATCGGCCACTTCTGGAAGCCTTTTCCGCTCAGCATTTCGCTGTGAGGGCACAGCTCATTCGTATTCTCTCCCCCACCCCTGGTTCTTACTGGTATATCTACCGCCCGAGACCCTCCAGCGTCGCGGACTCGCGGCCGGGAGTTTGGGCCCCCTTAGTTATCTTCAAGATTTTCCGGCTGATCATCAGTCAACACTGCCTCCCACCTTGCCAGCAACTCTCCCATCGTATAGTCCTCGCTATCTCCCGCGTCGCTTTTGACAAGGGCCAGGTTCGGGTAGACGCTTCGAATTCGTTTGTGTGCCCCCGTGGTCCACACAGTCTTGTCGAAATCATCCAGGATCTCAACCAGCCTTGGAGGAAGCTGGACACCCATCGACTGCGCTGTCGGTCGCAACATCCGGAGCACACCGGCAAACACCAGCCAGCGTCGTGCACCTACCATCAAGTACATCGTCAGATCAACAAGTGCTTCTTCGTTCTCCTCTGATTGTAACGACGGATCGCGCAGCACTTTCAGCAGAATAAAATACGCGATCGCAGCCGCCTGGCAACTGCCTGCCATCACACGAACGAGGCCATATGTTGAGCGAAACTGTCGATAAAGTGGCAGCATGCGACGGATCAAGAGAAGGGAGGTGCTGCGAGCTGTTATAGCCGCAGTTGACTTCGACTGTGCGGTGAAAGATGCTGGAACAGGAGTTCGCCCTGGTGAACCGTCGCGTGCAGAAACCTCACTCAGGGTAAGAGAACATGCATAGTATATGGCGCTGAAATAGTTAGCCGATCGATTGTGCACATTCACGCTCCCCATCGCTGGGTAAGATCTCGCTCACTGTAGCTCAAACAATGGCCCAGGTGTGGCCGCGTTGGCTTGCAACGTCGCAGAGAGGGTATCGTACCAGCTTCGCAACCTCTCCATCAGCAGCAAGGGTGGATTCCTGTCTCGCGGTTCAGTGAAGGGCACGCTTAACGCTACTTCATATGCTATCTCAGCCAAGTCACAATATGCGTCCACGACTGCCTCTCCATACAACAGTTCTGTTCTCTCTGCACGGGGATATGGTTTCCACTCCACTGAATTGCGAAGGTCTTCTTCGTTGAAGGGGCGCGGCACTGTCGGCGGCAGGAGCGCAGGGCTTTTGAGGAGGAAAATGGCAAAAATCCTGTCGAGTGAGCGGAACACGGTCAACAAACGGACCCGACAAGCGACTCACGCGTTGCAGGTAAACACCGACCACGAGACATTCAACATGGCTGTTCTCATCCTATCCACGGACTCAGCAGGGCAATCACGTGGTATCTTGACTTGGTTACCGAGATCCATGTCTCGGTACATGTGGACTACCTGCGACATGGTTGACCAGCCAAGTTGATCTTTTCCGCGCATGTTCTGGTACAGCATGAGAAGATACAGGCCTTGCAAGTTGGTCATGGAAGATCGCCCTTCCTCGCGGTCCCATAAGCGCCTTGCTTCGTCATAGAAATGCTCCCCCCACGTGTCCAGATCGTCAGGGTCGGAGAAGGCCCCTGGTAAGTCAGAGTAGCTGCAAGAAAGGGCTAGCAGCGCATTCACGAGAAAAGGGGAGCAGAGAGGACTCATGGCGTCACCGGCTACCATGGCTTCAATCAAGGCCGGTTCATGAAGAGGGTGCATGAAGGTGTTCCACCAGGTGAAGTAGAGCGAGACTAGATGGGAGACGAGATAGTCATCGTCCGTGACTGTCGTCCAGGGCCTTGCCCTGAGTTGAAACAGCGGTTCGTCCGTCATCTGCTCGACGCTCATGGTCTTCCTGCGTGCTCGACTCGTGGGGACCTGCTCTGCAAAGCTGGCAGCTTCAGCTCTCAGCTTGAGGAGACCGTCGATGGTGGCATCTGTCTTCGGGCTGCTGTCGCGAAGCTTCCTGACACTTTCATCGATAAAAGCATTGATCTAAGGCCGCAAGTACGGTTAGTGTTATCCTTTCGGAAGTGGGAGCTCACCGAATCATGGTTCTAGTAGGGGTCGTGTTTCTCGTCCTCTAGATCTACAACCGAATGCGCAAAAGACTGCGGGTCGACTCACGGTCGCCACGGGCGCATCATCTCGAATCAGTCTGAAGAGGCGCTGGGCATCGTTTTCGTCACTGGATCGAATTGAACGCAGCAGTCCGGTCAAAAGATCACGGTGATGCTCTGTGCCCTCCTCCATCTTCCGCTTGATCGCCTCCTTTCGTCTCCCATCGAGATCTTCTCTGAAAACACACTCCGTTTCGAAGGTGATACAAGCATTGCAAGGCCCTGGCGGCCCGCTGCACTATTGAATCGTCAGCCCACGGTAGGTTGTGTGAAGACGGAAGAATGCCGACTGAATTCCCCTTACCTTTCTTCTTTTGGCCTTACATGACAGGCAGGCTGCGGTGGCGTTGCTCCTGGAATTGCGGGTGATGCTCCGCCCACGTGTCTGGATGGACGACCCGCCGGGTTCATCAGGCGGGGGATTTGCTGGTGTAATGGGTCTAAGGCGCTGGGACATGGCTTTTTTGGTGTTCCCAGATCCAACATCCAGGGCGTGACTGATGGGCTGGGGACTGAGGGGGTTGGTCGTCCAAGCAAAGCCCTCACGGAAGTTGTTTCCAGGGAGGAGATTGAATCAGCAAGTTCCTTGCTCGCTAGGTCGAAAATGGCTGGGCACTCGATAAGCGCAGACGCCCGCGGGCGGTCACGCGGCGTGGGATCCGGGCGGCATCGACTGGCTGACTGGCTGGCTTGGGCGAAGGAAGAGGGACGAGAGACGTGGGTAGGTGTAGCTCGCTCGTTTGCTCGCTCGCTGGCCAGCCCGTGGATCTGCTCTGTCCGAGTACCACCACGAGTCAACGAGTCCCATCGCCAAGGGAACATTTTTTGCCGCAGAAATTGTGGATACATCGACAGTAGCGGTATGCCCTTTTCACTAGCCTTCTACGGCTAGATCTTTACCACCGGCACCTTATTAGCGTATATTTCACAGGTGATCATTGGCTAGATATCTCTTAGCATCTGATCCGCTACAACTCAGTTAGTACTGCGCCAAGCCCCAAAAGTCCAGACCGTCGCCTTGTTTTACGTCTGGCCAGTCATTTTTGTCTTTTGTTGAGTGAACTGTCAACTGTCAGGCTGTCAAGCCTGAAGGGAGCACGTCACCACCTACATGCATATTCACAACTTCTCTTTTGAGTAGAAGTAGTAGAGGGAGCCTGCCTTTTTCCCTTATTCGGTCAGTGCAAAACTACCATATAAAGAGGTGGTGCAGGAGCCTGAAAAGCAAATAATCGTGCTCCGGTTTCCGACTCTGCGCGCAACAAACTCGCAGAGCTTCAAGCAGAGCTTTAGCTGTACTGGACCCTGGCCTTCATGGCAACGGGGTCCCCAAAAAAAAGAAATTGGGTCATCAGCGCACAAGACACCCCAGCGCTGAAAAGAACAGTCTGAGAAGCGTAGGAAAAAGCATCTCCCCATATCGTACCAGTCTGGACATTAATGCCGTCACCGAGCCTCCACATTCCGCTACTCGCCCTCTGCTTCCTCCTCAGCTGCAGTCCTCAACTCATACGCAAGATCATAACATTCCGCGAGAAGATCGTTCACACTGCCTTGTCCCTCTGGGATATCATTGCCAATTTGGAACTTCCCATCAACCCGCATGTTGTCAATAGAGTTGAGCTTCATGCTGTAAGGATACAATTCTCGGGGATTGGAAACACCTCCCGCCTTCTTGACCTCGACCAGACATTTCCGCAACGTGAGAAGCTGGTTGTATATAGGAAGTAGCGCTTCCGAAACCGGCTCGGATGCGATCAGCAACTGGTAAATGTAGGCATATCCTCGCCGGATCAGGTAGAGCAGCGTCTGTCAATGCGGGTCAGTAACTGTGGCCGATTCACATATGGAAATCTTACTCTCTGTGCGTGTAGGTCCGCAGGGTGGCCTTCGGCGTCGAAGAAATTCCCATCTCGTCTCGAATCGTCAATGCGATCCAACTTCCTCTGCCACATAAACAAGTCGGTTTCGCGGAGGGACCAAGCTTGGGTCATGGTCAGTCGATCGAGCTGATTGCGGATTTCCAGGAGTTGATCATAAGTATCTTGGAATCTCTCGTCTATCTTGCCTTGCCTGGTCCGAAGAGGTTAGCCGACAAAGTCCAAAAGGGAAATGGACACAAGCAACTTACTTTTGTTCGACTATATCGGTGAATTTGAGGCACCTTTCAAGGAGAGGTACCACCAAGTCTTGCCCGCCCTTGACTTCCCCTTGTTCACTCGGGAGTTTTCCATCCTTCATGGTTGCTTGGATCTGCAGAAGCTGCTCCCGCAGTTCGTTCAAATCTTTCTGGCTGAACTACACAGGATTTAGTATAGAAATGTGACAGAGTTCGATTTGGAGAAGTACCTTGCTCCTTGTGTTCAAGGCCGCAATGGCTCGGAGAATAGAGACCAGTTTCTCCCATATTGGGGTCATTTCCGGAGAGAGTGTAGATAGGAAGTTGCGCAGTTCCTGCAGCATTTCCCGGCAAACCTCCAGGCGATATTGGATGCGCGTCAATAAGTGATTGGAGTACTTCTCCTTGCCGTGGTCGAGAGTGATCTGCATCTTCTCAAGTGTGTTTTCCAAACTGGTCAAATCTCTCTTGCTATAAAACGCAGCTTCTTTGAGGTGTTGACACAGGCGCGTGATGTTTCCGGTCATGGCGTACAGCGCAGGCGCTTCGTTGTTCCGTCCCACCGCCATAAAGAAGAGGGAGACAAGTTGAAGACAGTCATCCAGGACGGTGTCGACTCGGTTTTGCAGTAAAATTTCCGGACCTCGGACAGAGTTGAGGATTGAGACTTGCTCAATGACCTGCTCATACAAGGGAAGGACATCGGAGGATTTGACATAGGTGCTTTTGTCTTGCTTGAGGAGCAGCAACTTGTCTCTGATCAGGAGCAGCTTGTCCAGGATCGGTTTCTCTTGAGGGCCGACGGGCGCAGTTGTAATGGGTGAATCAGACATGGTCGGTGGTGTTCATCAGAGGCAAATTTTGGTATCTAGGGGAGGGGCAGCAGTTCAACCGGCGCAGCGGGCACGCACGAGAGGTGGTATCTGTGGGCAAGAGTCGTTGTGAAGGTCAGGCGTCGCGGACAAAGTGTGTCGTGAAACAAGAGGTGCGTCGGCTTCAATTTTGCCGTCGACAGCAGTTAGATTTGACGGTGGGCAGTGATTGAGTTGTGCCTGCGCATACAGGTACATGCAGTGGATTTGGTGGGATGCACAGGCACGGGCACAGCATGATAATGGAAATGGTGGGCATGCGGTCATTCACCTGCTTAGAGAGAAACTTGCCCCGCGCGGCTGGCACTGGCAGCAAAATGCTGGCTAATCAGAGGCCCCAGCGAAAGCCCCGGAGAACTCACGAACCCCGGCCGTCCCGGGCTAGCCTAAGGCACTGGAGGACGCCTGGACGCCCATGTGAAGCACCTACAAGTAGAAAAGAGAACTAGCTGGGGGAGCCACCAGGGGTTCCCCTCGCCTTGGCATTTGGCCTTTCCAGCCCGATCCGCGCCCCACCTTCTTACGATCCAAAGTCGCAGCCCCGAATCCCACCGATGAAGAAAGTCCGTGATCCTCTGGTATGCCAGCCTTGTCTACAATACATGTTTTTGCTACTTGAATTGAAGGTCTGAAGTTTTGATTTCTCCTTCTGCCCACTACCATACATTCAGTCTCCACGGTATCGCATCCCAGAAGCGCGCTTTTCGGCCACATGCTCCGGCAGCGATGCAATCCTGCCACGCACTGTACATCAGGATCGCCATACTCTGACCTTCACTAGTCTGATTGACGGGGCTTGTACTTGGGACGTGGCCGACATCTGCCACGGGATTAACACTGCCGTCCTGGTTGATATGCTTGGTTACGACATGACGGTTCACTTCAGCCCAGTCAAGAAAGCGCGGTCCTCCGTAGACTTCTGGTAGGAGGACTGCCAGCCTATAGACTGCGGAGGCCATCAGCGCAGTGCCCGCAGCATCTCCATAAGCCCAGGGAGAAGAACGATGGAATGGTCCGTCCAGATAGTTCTTCAGAAGACCAGACTTTTCATCTCGACTCTGGGCCATGGTACACTTCAGCATATCGCCAATGATACCTGTCAGTGCCTTTGTGCTCCGGTCCCTGAACTCGATGTATTGGAGCCGCTCGATTGCACTGTTTGAAGGAGACTGCCACTTCAAAATCGTGGCCAAGACCCGAGTCATTCCTGCTACAGCCCATGCATTGCTAGTAAGCCATACATCTGGGTCTGTACAGCAGATCCCCGGCTCCAGCTGTGTAGGCTCGGAGACAATGTGCCTCCATAGGCCATGACAAGTCTGTCCATCTTTCAGCGAGATACTCGTCCTCAGAACGGCGTTGTAAAGCTGACATTGCTGCACAGACGTTTCTAAGATCTTCATGTCCTGGAAAGCCACACCATAGTATGCAAGGAATGGAGGCACCATATAGACGAAATCACCCCAGAGTTCGGGAGGCTCCTCGCGGTGCGAGATGGGTGACGACATGAGATGACCGTTGAACCTTGTGGCTTTTGTCGTGAGGTAGTTTGCCTGCCGTTTTGCAGCGTCGAGGTAGGTCCTATTGTGGTGGGATAGAAGTAAGGCGGCTGTTCCAAGGGACGCAGGATCCGCTGCTGAGCCTGTCCCCTTGTGAGTCTGAGGGATCCAGGCCGTAATCAGAGCCAACTCCGTCGCCCATATTGATCAAAAAGAACCGATCACAACTTACCTTCGCCGTCGACCAGAAGATCTGAGCCATTGGTCCATATCACGCCTCTCGCAAAGGCAAGACCTTGGACTTTGGATGGATCAGGGATTCTGGGTATCTGTCCTTGCGGAAAAGGATGTGATCCAAAGACAGTCAAGTCGCCGTCATAGAACTCAAGAAGAGCTTCAGTCAGCGTCCCAAACTCCCAGGACCGTGAAGTGATCACGCGGGCCTTCGCAAGAACCGGTTGCGGGTCGAAGCCTGCGTCTGGTGCGGAAAGAGGAGTCCAGATGATAACCGCTATGACAGCCGCAGCCAGACTTGCTACATAGTACTTCATGTTGTCGCTCTTATCCAAAGATCCAGGGCATCACTTCCGAGGGATATGGCGAAACGAAAGAAATCCGAATTTCAAGCCCGACGATATCAGGCTAAATGTGCGTTGACGTGATGACGCAGCTTTACGCTGGTTACAATAGTATAGGCACTTACAACAGGTACTACGGCCGGGCCCCAATTCTACCTCGGATTTCTAGCACGGATGAGAGAGGAAAAGGAGTCAAGTTGAAACACCATGGCAAAATGAGGTTCGTCTCACGCGGTAGGGATGCCTATATGAACCGAGACTCTTGTCAAGGGCGCTCATAAACTCTCTCGCCTTCAAACCAAGTGCCCAGGACCTGAGCTCCATCGAATTCACCTTTGCTCAGGTCACGGTCGATCATTATGAAGTTGGCTTTCTTTCCAACCTCAATGGTTCCAGTCTTGTCTTCTCGGCCCGTTGCTATCGCACCTGCGACGGTTAGCATCTTACAGATCGCTTCTGCAGCTGTAATTGTCACGGCCTCCGTGGCTGGCAGTGCAGCTGCGACACTGTCCGCAATCAGAGCGCAAGCAGGTAGGAGGGACGGGTCTTGGAAGGCCCAGTCACTTCCAACCGTCAGATGAGCTCCGTTTTTGATCATCTTCCCCCAGCTCCAGTCCATCAGGCCATTGGACATGGTAGTGAGCGGATGAACGAAGAACATTGAAGGAGACATCTCGGCGGTGACATTTAGCTGCCGGAAGCGTGGATAATCATCTGCCTGCATTAGCGGTCTTCTCACCAAGCCCAGATATGGGACATACCATCATGCACACCGCTGCAATGCGCAATTTCATGCCTCGGCCCTTGACTATTGGTCTTCCTTACAGCCTCGTACACATCCAAGGCTCGACGTGTACTGCCAAAGCCTGTGCAGTGGATCTTACATGTCATGCCCCTCGCATCCAACTTCGAGACGGCTTCAGCCAGGTCGTCGATCTGTATCTTGGTCTCTTCAATCGCTCCAGACTCAGTGAGACCGGCGTGCGTGTAGTACGGATGCAGTGGGACACCATCCAGCATGAATTTGACGAAATTGGTCTGGACATGTTGAGACCGTAAACTGTCCGCCTGATCAAGCGTCTTGTGCAGGGTTTCGAGACATTCTTCCGCAAGCTGCTCTGGCTTGTATACGATGTGCGTTTGCACGTCCACTTTCAGCTCCTCAGTAGCATCGAGCTCCCCTAGTGCTTTGAGGATGAGAGTATTCGACGCCGCTTCTTGGAAACTGGTCACTCCTACCGAGTGAAGCAGCTTCACTGCGTGCAGAATACTGCGTTTGATGTGTGCCATTTCTGGTTTCGGCATCGCGAGTGCTGCCTTAGTCATGGCTAGCTCGGTCATTTCACCAGTCAAGGTGCCATCTGCGCGGCGGAAGAAATGGCTGTGTGGCCCGTCAGGTTCTGTGAGGCTGTATCCCGATCTTTCCAGGGCGGCGGTATTGAGGAACATTGCATGACCTGCCCCTCCCCGCAAAAGGACTGGAGTATCGGGGAATTCACGGTCCAGGGCTTCTCGATCAAAATCCTCAATGCGGTAGAGGTCCCCAACGATCCAGTCTCCATATGCATGGGCGTGTTCACAGGCGCACGACGGCGACTTGAGCCTCTCAGCGATATTGGACGTGGTGGCGTCGAACCCAGGCTTCAGATTGGAGAGACGAGAGAGCCCTGCAACAAGAATATGGACATGGGCATCGTGAATACCCGGCATCACAAAGCGCGACTGCAGGTCAAATGTGGGAAGATTCTCGCGGCGTGCAATGTCTAGAATGTCACTGTTGGTTCCGACGGCTGTAAACTGGCCGCTTGGTGAGACTATGAATGCGTCGACGCGGTCTCCATGATTGCTTGCCGTGAAGATATTGCCAGAGTGGTATGCCACAGGTCCTCTATCTTTTGCTGCCATGGTCTGTACCCAGATGTGGGCTACTGCTGCCACAAGATCAAGGAGTGGGAGGATCGGTGTCGCAACGGACCCCTTTTACGGGTGTGGATGGGCTTGACGTCCTCGAGGTGCGATAGATTGATAGATTTCTCCTCAGTAGAGATATGAAGTTTGGACTTGGGCCATAGCGACAGGTACAGAAGCCAATGGGCACTTTATCTGGACTTTGAGGGGAGATGTCAGCATTTATTGTTTAGGCGTTCCGCAGACCAGTGAGATATATCTACCTATCTGCTCCTACTCGGTACATGTTCCGAGTTACAACGGTCTCTTTGTCTCGAAGAAGCGAGCCCCGAAGTCGTCAAAGTCGTCAGCTTGTTCTTGGCCTCGACCATTTAATATGCGGTGAAGGAGGTAGATGGTCAGCAGAAAGTGAGTGATGGCACAAATATCCCGATCCGGTTGTGGGTGTCGAATGTTACGTTGTACTGGTAGAGTCCTGGAAAGTCTCTCGCAGCCGAGAAGAGCTGAGGGGTTTGGGTACTGGTACCCAGGTAGTCGCTTCAAGGTACTTGAAGCCTCGTACTTGTACCTGTTGTACTTGTACAGGTACCTCGCAAAGGTACCTAAGGAGTGGACAAGAGACGGAGCGTTTCCTTTTCGGGGTGTAACACAAGGCTGCAGCTTCGCAATGTTGCATCACATCTTTCACATGATAATTCCTTCTGCATATGTCTCAAGTCTCTGCTGTTCTTCCTCAAATTGATTCGCCCATCTTCACCGGAATGCCTCGTGGAGATATCCCTTGATGAATACCTGACGAGATTGTCCTACCAGCCTCCTCAAAGCTGTCCGAACAGACACGAGATCCATTCTAATCCGGCTCATCACAAAATCCTTCGAAAGCTCATCTCCCAGGCATCTAAATGCTTGCAGCACTACAGCCTCATCAACATGATGCGCGAGGCAACGACACTTGAGGTCCGCTGGTACCTATCGCCACCGCAAGGTTTTCTAAAATAGCTGGATGTTGCCATACTGCCAAGTGAGAAAAAAAAAACTGAGATATCTGACATGCAACTAGGCAGGGAGCGCTAAGCGACTGGCCCGCGGGCTCAGAAGATCTCAGGCCGTCCATATGGGCGGGAACACGGGCATCTGAGTAAAGTGTGGCGCAGGCTATCTCAAGGTTCCCCAGGAGTTCAGGCATGCCAGGCTCAAGCTCGAAGCTAATCACCTCAACCTACTCCCTCCTCCGTATCATAAGCGACGATCATGGCTTAGGTCTCCAAAGGTCTCACTTCCTCGAGCAATCATGGCGGCTTCAGTTCGATGCCAATCCCCATCATGAAACGGGATGAGCTTTTTGCACCGACTACCTAGTTGGCCTATGGCCCGTGCCCACCGTGGCAGATGGCGACTACAATTGCCTTTCTTCACTCTACCGTTGTAGGAAACGAGACTTCCCGAAAGGTAAAATACCCCAAATTCGATGCCATCATGGACCACACTTTCCTTGTTTCTCACCAAAGTCTGAAAGATGGGAGTCTCCTACTCTCTCGCCTTTTCGCTTTTGCCAATCATCGCTGCGGTGCTGTTTTTTCCATCCTTGGAAAGCAATTCCGTTTGTTTCCTTTCGGATTTTTAAGGTGCACTGCTTTTTACCGCAATTGGACAATCGTGTTGAGCATTTGGGGAATGGCCAGTGCGCCTCCGGCTTCCAACTCAGACCATGATTATTGAAGATGTCGAGGCTTGGTGAAAGTGTTTCCCGAAAATGGACTCGGGAGAATCGTTAACTCACCCTAACCCGCAGTCTCGTCGTTGGACACTGGAACAGCTGGGTATATCGTCTATTGTTGACCAAGACGGTAAAGAGCAGTTGTTGATCCAACTTGACTCGAATGCATCAGACAAACACCTCCAGTCTTCTGAAGCGGTTTTGGACAGATCAACGGGTCGTTGGACACCGTGTACACCTCGAATTGCGCGTTCAAAGTCCGAGCTACCACAGCGCCCGTCACGCTGTTCATTGAGAGAAGAACCACACACTACGAGCTGGACAAGCCATCTCCCCCGCAATGAAAATGTACACTGGTTCTTGACCAGCGTGGACTGGAATTCGACCGATTTTGGGCCCTTGGACACCTGGCCAATTTCTCTGAGGACGGTCGTCAGTCTTGTGCTGGCCGATAATTCGCCCGCCGTCGTCTACTGGGGGCCTTCTTTCTCTGCTTGCTTCAATTTAACGGCATACAACGACGTGTGCCAGAGGCTCAACACTCAGTCTGAAATACAAGGAAAACCTTTCAAGGACATATGGGAACAGTCATGGTCGACCTTGGAAAGCTTTTATAGGGTGATGCAAGACAACAGTCACACCATGAAGAGCATGGAGCTGACCTTGTTTCCCCAACAGCCTAACGGGCGTCTTGAAGAGAGTTTTTGGAACGGAACCCTACTGCCCATCCTCGATGAGCAGGGCAAAGTAAACGGCTTTTACAACCGGGCAACCGAGATTACCAATGAAAAGGTAAGGGAAAGGAGGTCGAAGATGCTCTACTCAATCAGCGCACCGCCAACAGATCCGAATGGGTCGGTTTGGGAGCATCTTTTCCAAGCCTTGAAAGAGAACCCACATGACTTCCCGATGGCTTTCGCATACTCGGCTGAGGATGATACCTCGTCTTGCAAGCTGACTTTACAACAATCGTTGGGATTACCGCCAGGTGGACATCCTCTGGTTCCCAAGTACGTCGATATTTATGAAGGGTCCGCAGGATTTCTATTCTATTACCGCCGATTGAAAGCCACAAATAAACCGATTATACTCCACCATCTGGACAACACACTCCCTAGAAAATTCCTGGAAGGGTTCGATTGGCGTGGCTACGGTGATACCCCAATTTCCATGGCACTGCTACCTGTTTCTGTCAGCAGCAGACTGCTGGGTGTGGTCGTATTTGGCCTCAATCCGAGGAGAAACTATCAGAAAGAAGATGAAGCTTTCATCCAATCCTTATGCCGACAAGCATCTGCCACCATTGCCTTTGCTGTCGACCGTGAAGAAGCATATGAGCGCGCTGAAAGACTCAATCTACAGCTTCAAGAAAGGGAGCGGCAAATCAGAGAGATTGCTGAACATGGCCCGGTGGGTATGATTCGTCTTACTCCTGCCGGAAATATCATATGGGCTAATCGGCGTGAGTATTCTGCTTTTCAAAAGATCATCGTGAATGCCACATCGTATCCAAGTCGTCGTTTTGTTCGCTCTGTCAACTTGCAATATACGCTTACAGATATCCACAGAGTACTACGAGATGACCGGTCACTCTCTTGAAGACAGATACGAGTTTTCTTTCCTCGAGCCTCTCCATCCCAGTGAAAAAGACCGTATGATGGGAATGTGGCACGAACTGCTCAAGGACCTTCAGCCCGTCAGCCAGGAATTGCGACTGCGAAAAACGTGGCAGCCTCCAGCTACTGCTGGAAATCCATGTCCGAGTGAAGAATCTTGTTGGTTGATGCTACATGCTTTCCCAGCTCTCGACGATGGAAAGGCCAAAAGCATTGTCTGCTGTGTCACAGACATTAGCAAAACCAAGTGGACAGAAGAAGTTCAGAGTCGCCTGGCTCTCGAGGCAACCGAGGCACGAAAGTTACAAGAGGCATTCATTGATTTTGTGTCTCACGAGATGAGAAATCCTCTCGGGGCAATTACCCAGCTTGCAGATGGGATTGTTGCGTCTCTAGACGACTGGGCTTCGTCAGATCGGTCACCAGAGGCTACACACCAGCTGCTCAAGGACAATGTCGAATATGCAAAGACCATATTGCTGTGTGCTTCACACCAGAAACGGATTGTCGATGATGTCCTAACACTGTCAAAATTGGACTCTCAGCTTCTCTCCATCACCCCAGTCGTGACCAAACCACATGTTGTGGTCGAGTCGGTGTTGACCATGTTTCGAGCAGAGTTTAATACACATTCGATCACTGTCGAAAGTGCTGCAGACGACACATTGGAGCGATACAATGTCCACTGGGTTTGTGTAGATCCAGTGCGGCTGACGCAGATATTCATCAACCTCTTAACAAATGCAATCAAATTCACAAAACTCGAAGCTATCCGCAAAATCACTATCCGACGATCAGTTTTCATCGGCCAGCCGCCGCACATGGACAATATCGTTTGGTTTCCTGCGAAGAAACAGAAGCGTCCACCTATACAGTTTCCTCAGTGGGCAGAAGGCGAGCCAGTAAATCTTCTTTTCTCGGTTTCGGACACAGGCAGGGGCTTGGAACAGGAGGAGATGGCTCGACTATTCCATAGATTTCAGCAAGGGACGAAGAAGACGCATATCAAATATGGTGGCTCTGGTCTTGGGCTTTTCATCTCTCGCGAACTTACCGAAAACATGGGAGGCGAAATCGGGGTCATCACTGAAAGGGGCAAAGGCAGCACTTTTGCATTCTACGTACAAGCGCGGCGAGCAGCCGCTCCAGACGACGATGTGCAGGTTCCCCAAACTCCAGACTCATCGTCGATGCCGCGGCGTACGTCTACCGCTCTCAAGGCGGAAATTCCAGTTGGAGGATCTCCCCGCATCACTCCAACCGAGCGGCCGCCTTCTGTGCTTCTCGTTGAAGACAACATCATCAATGCACAGGTGCTTACCAAACAGCTCGAAAGGGGAGGTTGTACAGTCTACAATGCAAATCACGGAATTGAGGCCCTGGATTTCCTACCCCGAACAAGGGCGTGGCACGACTATCGACCAATCCAAATGGTCGAGACTCCTTCTTCCAACCTGGACGTTGATATCGATTGCATATTGATGGACGTGGAGATGCCGGTGTTGGACGGCTTAACGTGTACTAGGCGCATACGGGAGCTGGAGCGCAAGGGAAAGTTGAAGCGACATATCCACATCATTGCGATCACCGCGAATGCCCGTGCAGAGCAGATCGAGGCGGCTTTCGAGGCAGGTGTCGACGACATCCTTCCCAAGCCATTCCGAGTCGTGGAGCTGCTGGAGAAAATCGAGAGCAATAGGAAGAAGGGTAAAATTCCGATCGACGGTGAATAAATTATGAATTTTTGAGACCAGTTCTGGCGTTCCAGGGTGGTACCCGGCCTACCATCGGACTCTCAATATCAATCTATCAAAGTTGGAGGTGATGAATTTGCGAGGGAAGCGGAGAGACTATACAATGACACGTTGTCAGATCCCAACAGAACCATCTTCTATCGGCCATCGTCTCAATCTTCGGACTGTGAATTTGACGACGACGAAGGGTCGGAGGATTGGGGAGTGGGACCGAAATGCCTCCACAAGGTCTGTATCCAGAAGATTGTCTCCAAGGTCCCAAACACCATCAGAGAAGCGATTACAGTGACTTTGACGGCGCGAGAGGCACCCAGATGTGATAAGCTGAACGAAGGGTAAGAAGGATTCGGCCTACTTTGACTCGATTGAGACGTCTTGGTGTTGGGACTGGGTGGCTGCTCAGTGCGGGTGGATGATGATGCTGGGCGGCTGAATTGTTGTCGCAGTTTGGTAAAGTTCTGGAGTGGCTGAGATGGATGTCTGAGGTCAAGTGTCGATAGTCCAGGCTTGAGACGCAGCCTTGACAAGACGAGAGGAGCAGGTGTTAAAAGTACTGGCATTGCTGATTGAACAACGACTTTCTTGGGTGGATGTAGGGGCATGTGCTTTTGGGAGATGTTGGGTGCTGGACGCAGGAAAGGCTGGAGCGCAGGGCGGCAGCGGTGATGATATATTTGTTCTCGAGACGGACTGCCTCCATGGCACTGATACCCCTGGGTTTTGCGATTCACATGATGAAATCTGCTTGGTCTCGGGTGTGAGACTGTGAAGAGGAACTGCGGTGGAAATTACACTAATTGATTCGTTGCCTGCGATGTGACGGCGACTCCACCTCGTGATCGTGATCGTATTCGTACCTTTTTGTTTTCGTTCTCCAGCGACTTGGTGCTTGGTTTACCTCGTACACGATCCTCTTTCCCACTTCCACACCCACCCCAGTCAGTCAGTCAGTCAGTCAGTCAGCGCCATTTCCCTTGACTGTGCCTCCTCTTATGTTTCGTTATCGCGCAATCGAAAGGCTCCCTTCCCCTGATGCCGCCACGACGCTCGCATCAAAAGTCGCGCCGAGGTTGCCTAACCTGCAAACGGGGCCATGTCAAATGCACCCAGACTGGACCCCCTTGTGACCGCTGCAAACTCCGGGGAACAGCATGCGAGTACTTGTACGCGGGTCCAGACTCTAGCAGCCTTGCACAGGCGCAAGATGCGCCATTATTGGACCGTGGGGCTCCGGTAGTGGCCACGGAAGGGGAACCCCCGCCGCCGTTTCCCAATGAGGCTGGCTTGCTGGACCTCCAGCTCATGCACCGCTGGTCGACGGTGACTTACAAGAGCCTGTGCAGCAAGGTGGCCGAGGATGATTATATCTGGCAGATCGCCATGCCGCGGTGGTCGCTGCAGCACGATTTCCTCCGCGCGGGCCTTTTCGCCCTGGCCGCCTTCGACTCGGCCAGCTGTTGCTCAGCCTCTAGATCGCCAGACCGGGCGACATACCTCGCCGTGGCCGTCGAGTACCAGACCCATGCGCTCAACAGGTTCCGCCGTCGGCTCCAGCAGCACCAAGGAATCACCGACAAGGAAAGCTGCGAGGTGCTGCTGTGCTTTTCTCTCATGCTGATGGTGCTCGCGCTGGCGTCGTCGCAGTTCATGGCTGAGTTGGCCTGTGGCTCTCAAGAAGGCGGCGGCGACGACGACGACGACGACGACAGTATGGTGCTCAACACGCTGACGCACTTTGAGCTGCTGCGCGGATGCAGCGCCGTTCTCGGCGACACGGCAGAGCAATACCTGGCCCAGAATTCCTACATACAGAAACTCACGCCTTTCGAGATGCTACCTCGATCGCCGTTGGACGACGACACGGCCGTGGCCCTGTCCCAACTGAAGACGGCCAATACGCGGAGAATCAATTTGACCGTGGACGAATGCTGCGAGCACCAGGTCCAGCACGTCGCACACTCCGAAGCGTGCAAGAAGGCCATCACCCTGCTCGAGGAATGCTTCGCCAAATGTGTCGGCCAAGGCAAAGATCTCGACTATCAAGGCTACGTGTTGGGCTGGCTGAACATGGCCGGCGAGGACTATGTCTATGCCATCAGGGCTAATGACCACGTCGCGCTGCTGGTGTTGATGCACTGGGGCGCGTTGGTCGAGAAACTCGGCCGTCGCGTCTGGTGGGCCAGAGACTTTGGGAGGCTCCTAGTCGAGGAGATCTCTGCAAAGGCACTCCAGAGTCAGACGGCCGATGGCTTGACCACGGATCTCATCGCTTCGGCGAGAAGGATGATGAATGGCCCCGCAATCTGAGAGCGAGGCTGAGTGGCACAGTGGCTAAGGAGCAAACCCCCACACCTCGTCGCAAACGAGACTCGCTCAGAGACGGCGCCAAGACCCGAATACGATCACGAATACGATCACGAGGCTGGCCACAAACTGTGGACCTCCTCCCTTGATCAACAGTAGCGACAAGGCGGATACCATCGCTTCGATTGTTTTCTCAAACCCTCGGTATGGTCTACCTTTTTCCTCATAAAGATGCAAATCGCTCGATCCCATTGTCGAGGATTTTGGTCAATCAGCCATGCGTTGCGACCCGAATGAAAATTGACCAACTTCATCATGAGTGATACACAACCCTTAATAGTGCGCAAGCGGTCTACCTCATCAGAACCTCGCAGCCAGGATGGCTTTGCCGGAAATGCCACTATTCAACCTCCTGCGCAAGCGGACTCTCTGCTTTCGAAACTACTCTCTTCAGTGGCTCCACGCACGAAATTGCCCATCCTCGTCGGGCTGCTCCTGATATGTTTGCCTACTGTCTACCTCTATTCTCGCGAGACCAGTCGAGACCACCAAAAGCGAACCGACACCAGCATCCTCGTCTGGACCTTCATCCTGGGTGGCACCGTGGGCATAACCGTCGCCATGCTCGCGCAATCTGTTCTCGCCTACCTCCTCGCCGTGCTCTGCTTCAACGGCCACACCAATGCGATGGTGTATCTCGCCGAGACGGTCAAAACCGAAGACGACATCAAAGACGAAGCTCACCGGAAGGGACGGCGGGAAATGTCCCGTCGCCCGGCGTATTGGGTGTTTATGATGCTCTTCGCGTTCGTGGTTGCGGGCCTGGTAGAGGAGTCGATCAAGTACATTGCCATCACAACGATGCTTGACTGGGCGCAGCGATCCTCACACGGTGCAGGAAACGTCATTAATTACCGTGACTACATCACCGTTGCGGTTGCGGCGGCGCTGGGCTTTGCCACGGTGGAGAACATCACCTTTTTGGTCGGTGCTGCCCGTCAGCGCAAAGGTAGCGGTGGTTCTGGTTCTTCAGCTGGAGGTGGTGCCGGCGCCCTCCTGACGGCCGTGGAGAGAGCAGTGATAGGCACACCGGGACACTGCATGACCGCGGCCCTGATCGGAGCCAACATGTTCGTGCGTGCACGCCACGACAGACTCGTCGGCGGAGGAGTAGGAGAACAACATAGCACTCTCGCCAGCATCCTCACCAGCTGGTCGATCCTGCGCGACCCGGCCCTCTTCCACGGCTGCTTCAACTTTATGCTCTTCGCCGTCAGCGCCCTCGAGGGCAACGTCGGCTGGATCCATCCGCGGAGGCGACGCACCGTGTGTTTCGTCCTCGTGGTCGCCGTGTCATTGCAGGCCACTCTGGCGCTGGTGCTCAGGGCCAGGCTGCGCGACGCGGGGCTTTTGTGATTCCTTTTTTTTTGGGACCTGTCGACCTTGTCGGCCTATTCACCTGTCGCGCATTTTACATGGTTGAGCGCTAAACCTACACCTCTTTATCTGCCTTTCCTTTTTTCCTTTTCCCTTGTCTACCAATTTTTCGTGGCCGCCGCCTTCTGCTTTTCATAATACAGACCAGCGTCAGCTCCAACGCGGCCGTCTTTGCCCCTTGTTTTCTATCTATATCCCCAGGCTCCTCCCCCCTTCTTCAAATCATGTATATGTATATGTATCAATATATCAAAAATCGGCTGCTGAAAAATTTGCATCGATAGATTGCATCGATCAGATTAGGTTGGGTTGGATTGGATGCTTGGACAACTGCGCGGTTGCGCGACGAATACTCATCTCACTCACTGTCACTCCTGGGCACTAGGCTCCAGGTGCTTTTGGCTGTGAACCCATGTTGAAAGATGACTGAATCAACGCTTTTTGGGTAGTACAGACAAGATATAATGACTCCAATGGTTCTGGCAATATACTCGGGAACTCCGCACTCACTCTTTCGCTCGCTCGGTACTATGTATTACGTACTCTGCACTACGTCCTGCGTACGCAGCATATTCTCAAAAGCCTTGGGTCAGGGATAGATATTATATCAGTTTCTTAATCCGAAATACGGACACATGTATAAAACAGCAGATCGGGGCATCGGCATCGACATCGACATCATCGTCATCATCATCACAGTTGATCCTCGTCGTCAGGGTCGGGCATGCCCTCTTCATAGCCCCAGTTCGCGCTACGGGTTTCTGTTCCTCCTGATACGGCGACATTCTTCTCGTGGATGGGGACTTGATCGGACACGTGTTCCTCGTCATAGCCGTCGTCTTCGTCGCCGGGTGCTTCCTCATCCTCTTCATCTCCTGCTCCGTCACCTTCTTCGCCTTCGTCGCCTTCTTCATCTCCTTCTCCATCACCGTCTTCGTCTTCTGTAACACTCACGTCCTCTGCTTCACTGCCGAGTTCTTCCTTGATCAGATCCCGTCCCTTCATCTTCTTTCTCTCCCGCTCATACTCGTGATCATACTCGTCGTCCGATTCGTCCGAAGCGCCACTACCTTCACTCTCCCCTTCACTTCCCGGGTCGTAATCTTCCTCTTCCTCATCCTCTTCCTCATCAAGCTGTTGCTGGGCTTTTTCCAACTCGGTTCGGTCGTCTTCGTCACCTTCTGCATTGCCTTCAGCGCCGTTCTGTGTTGCACTCTTGCCGTTGGCCGTCGCATTGAGCTTCTTTGCCCGCCTCGACTCGGCAAGACTGGCATCCTGTAGACCATGCCGCTTAACGTAGGCGTCAATCCCCGGAAAATCAGCCTGATCCAACATGGCAAACTCGACCTCCTGAATTTCTTCACTATTAGTCCCATCCGCTAAGCTGGCTCGATAGGCGATGTTCAAATTGAATGTCCTCTGCAGCACGGATGTGTAAGAAATGCTTTCAACGTCTTCAAACGCAAAGAAAGAGAGCGGTTTCTTGAATCCAAAGAAAATGCCATTGCTCAAAAAGAAGAGGTATCCGTCCTTACTCCCGCGGAAGGCTTTGACATGATACGCTTTATCGCCTTTCCGATGGGATTCGGGTTTGGCACTGGAGAATTCCTCCGCGGTAGGGAGTGTGAGGCTTTTCCCGCTCTTTTGCAGCAGATAACCCAGCGCGTTTTCGAGCATGTCATCAGGGCCAGGCGCGATTTTAGCAAGGTCACTGCTGGGGATGTGACCCGACTTGAGCGGGCCGTCACTGACAGCCCAGATGATGGCGTCAGTGTTGTTGTTCGAGTCTGGCTTCAGGAGTAACACAAAGTTGTATTGCTTCGCGGCCTTCTCAGGTATAGGCAGTCTCAGGGCGTAGGTGACCTGGTCCAGGGGCACTTCCATCTCCACCTCATTGCTGGCAGGATTCCTGGTGTAAATGGCAAATTTTGTGTCCGCGCCGTTGATGTCTGCCCCATATTGCGCGATTCCCAGGTGTAGCTTTTTTCGTTGCGGGAGCGAGAATGAGATGTCTCTTGCTTCAAAGACCACCTCGCGCGGTTGGTCACTTTTCCGCGCCGTCTGCGCGAGGGGAAGAGAGGAGCCGTCCGGGAGTTTGCGCTTCTTGGACGCGGGTTCGTCCTGTGCAGAGCCGTTCACTTGATGTGAATGGAGGTGGTAGGATGCAATGTCCTCGAAAAGGGGCGCATGCTGCGGAGTTGCGTCTGCGGCATCCCATTAACAATGGACCACCGTGGGATGATCTCTCTTACTGGACACTTACCGATGGCGTCAAAGATTCTCTTTCGTAGTTGCGAATTGTTGGCAAATGCTCGATTTATGGCATCGCGTCCTGACATCTTGGGCGAGCCTGAGAGGTTTCTACGAGGAGAAGCGATAGAATTTGGGAACTGGCTTTCTGGTTTATGGAGGTGGTCACTTGTGGTTTAATAACATGCAGGCAGAGAACAGTCCAGCGATGATGCAATTGGCTCCTCGCGCCCCTGTGGCCCCTGACCGCGTTTCCACCACTCAATGATAGACCAGCCCACCTCGCACGCTTATTGCTCCTCCAAACGTTCGCATGGAACATGGTCAACTGCAATCAATAATCCATCACAAGCAATTTTCTCCGTTTCGACATAAATTCTATGCCTCTAGACATATTCCGCCACATCGAATTTCTCCTTGGGCCAGAATTTGGCCTTGATGGGATTGCCGTTGAAGATTCTCCCTTCCAAAGCATTGACTGCCCGCAGAGCACTGAGCTGGCTCACGAACTGTACAAACACCAATGCTTCGCCCTCTTCACTTTCTGGTCGATGGATGTAGACTCTCTCGACACTGCCGTATTTGTCTCCACATTCCTCCCCAATTTCTTGCAGCAGACCGCCCTCTCCCTGAGTGAGTTCGTCGTCGAGATCTAGGCCGTTCAACATGCCCTCAAGGCGAATCACTTCAGACATTGCTCCAAACTTGCCTTCTTCCTCGACAAGGGCAGTCTTGGATTTGTTACCACCGAGAATCTTACCAGTACCTGTCGGAGTAGCGAAGCCACCACCTTCTGCATCCGATTTCTTCTTGCGTTTGTCGGCTTTGGCATATAAGGGGTTGATGATCCCAGTGCCGTGAGCTCCGAGGCCTTGACCCTTGCTCCAGCCGTATTTCGCCATCAGACGTTCAGCAAATCCCACTTGCCCAGGACGTTTAGATCGTGGTTCGTCATCATCGCCATCTTCATCAACACCTGCTTCAGGTTCGGCAACATCATGTCCCTGGCTTGGTCCAGATGCTGAAAGGTCTTCTGGTGCAGTGGGTAAGGTATACCGTACTGGTGCCCTGGAAATCTGACCAGGTGGCGGGATGTCTGCTGGAGGCGAAGGAACAACTGGCGGCTGGCCTTGGCTCATGCGCATTCGTCTCAGATACGCGTCCTCCCCAGTTGCATCGTCCGGAATCTCGACAGGTGGTGGCGGTGGAGGAGGGCTGTCGTCATTCAGGTTAGGTGGAGGAGCAAAAGACATGGAAGGCGGAGCGAATTGTTCTGCCACCATATCAGTAAGTTCCAAACCCGTCCGAACCCTCTTTCCTTACTGTTCATGGGGCGATGGTAGTCATCGTCTTCAGATTCACTATAACTCCTCTGCCTTATGCGGTGTCTGTAGAGGAGGTCCTTCCACTCCCTAACTTCGCGTATTTTCTCCTCGCTGTGCTTGTATTCTTCATAATTGTTGGGTCTGCTCGGATCGTAGATGTCATCCCAATTCTGAGTCACTTCTGCCGCTGCCTTGTTCTTTTTACGCTTCTTACGACCTCCTCGCTGTCGCTTCCCAGAGTAGAAATTGTTCACGTCATCGTCGTCCGACGCCGTCGCTGCCCAGTCCGCAAGAGTGGTCTTGGGCGCAGGTAGTTGCGGCACTGAAGTTTCTGTGGCAGTACTTGGGGCGCCTTCGACTGTGGGGGTTGTAGTACTGGCCGCTGGAGGGACACCGAATTTACTGGCGATGGCTTTTGCTTTTGCCTTTTGCGCGGCGATCTGGGGTCTTTTGGTAGGTTGGAATCTTAGGGAGGCTGTAAATCACGCGAGAGCATGGCGCAAAACGTGAGCAGATCCATCCAGCAAACCTCTAGGTTCTTACGACGAAGAGATGTACCAGCGAGTGCTTGCTGTCGTTTGACAGCCTCATCCTGTTCGGGAGAGCTTTCGACCGGCTTGTAGGAGACCGGTGCGCTGGAGATGGTCCCAGGACCAGCATTATTCGGGTCAAGGAGGTTCGCATAGAGCGACAAGCCTCCGCGCGTGGGTGTCGGCGCATTGTTGGACATGTTCTCACATGTGCTTTTGCTTAGACCAAGGTGGGTTTGAGCGCGAGGTGCGGCGACTTAGAAAGTGACTTCCACGGAGAGTCTAAACTGCGGTCTCGTGATTGGGACACCGACGGGCAGTTCTCGGGGGAAGGGAAGTGACTTAGCCTGCAGAAGGCCCCCCCGTTCTAGGCACTGTTGGCCCCTATTGGTAATCTCTGGTGCCCTAATAAATTCTGGACCTGATAGCCCTGCTTGCATCGGAAGCCGCTTGCCATGGGGCCGTTCGATTTACCAATCGCTTGACTTCGGGCGCATCTGTGGATTTTCGTGTCGTGTCATATTCGGATGACTTCAATCTCTCCAAGCTGAATTCAAAGCTCCCGCTACCATCTCCATGGACTTATCGTATCACCCGATATACTTGAACAGTCAAGCCTTGTGGCCCACACGCCATTTCTATGGTTCCCGGTGAGATACTAATATCGAGATGGAGCCCGTTTGCCATGCTGGTCTTCTTATCTGTCGACGTCGCAGGGCATCACGTCATTTTCATGTTTCAGACTCTTTTTTTCTGCTGCCTTTTCTCGAATACAGCTTGAATAGGAGGAGACTGGCATTTTAATTGAGATACCCATATTGTTGTGTTGTCCCGTCTCTGTCTCATTCCTTTGAATCTCTTTTCTCCAGCAGTCTTTATCACATTCCGCACAGCCATGGTCGCATCCACTCTGTCCACCTCTTTCCCTCAGTCGTCTTCCGCCATAGCAGTCATTGTGCCTACAAAACCCACTGCTTTGACTGTCTCCTTTGAGCAACTGGCACAGGATGTGTTGGCTTTTCAGAAACAACTCGCTCATCTAGGTATCCGACATGCCGACGCCGTCTCAATAGCCTTGCCCAACAGCTACGAATTTATCGTTTCTTTTCTTGCAACCTCTTTCCAACGAGCAATTGCGGCCCCTCTGAATCCTGCCTACAAGCAAAGCGAGTTCGAGTTCTACATCGACGATCTTTCTTCAGCCGTGATTATATTGCCTCGAGGAGCACATGCCCGGGACGGACCTGCTGTGAAAGCGGCCAGGCAACATCGTGCTGCCATTGCAGAATGCTACGTGGATGGAACGAAGTTGGTCTTGGATGTGAAAGAGCAGGGCTGCCTGGCACAAAGACAATCTCAATCAGTCGCTGAGGCTCAACCAGAAGATGTCGCACTCGTTCTGCACACCAGTGGGACCACCGGGCGCCCGAAGGCTGTTCCATTGACCCATCGCAACCTGACAAGAACAATGCAGAACATTCAAAACACCTACGAGCTTACTGCTCAGGATCGGACGATGTTGGTTATGCCACTCTTTCACGTGCACGGTCTGTTGGCTGGATTTCTGTCTCCCCTGAGTGCTGGGGGATCTGCTATTGTTCCAGATCATTTTTCTGCACGATCCTTCTGGGCCGACTTTATTCAACACAAAGCCAACTGGTACACAGCCGTGCCGACGATTCATCAGATTCTGTTAAAGAACCCTGCACCTAACCCGATACCCAAGATCAGATTCATCCGCTCATGTTCATCGGCACTGTCCCCGAAAACATTTATGGAACTTGAAAGGACATATCGAGCACCAGTTCTTGAAGCCTATGCCATGACAGAAGCAGCTCACCAGATGTGTTCGAACCAGCTCCCACATCGCGGAAAGCGAAAGCCCGGCAGTGTGGGAATTGGCCAGGGAGTCGAAGTCAAGATTCTCGACGAGCAAGGCGATGAAGTCCCCCGGGGCCGGGAAGCCGAAATTTGTGTAAGGGGAGAGAATGTCACGAAAGGATACATCAATAATGAAAAGGCTACCAAAGAAGCATTCACCAAGGGGGGATTCTTCCGCACAGGAGATCAGGGCAAGATGGATGAAGATGGCTACGTCTTCATCACCGGCAGGATCAAAGAGCTAATCAACAGAGGGGGGGAGAAGATCAGCCCGATCGAGCTGGATCATGTGATCATCGCCAATCCAGACGTGGCAGACGGTGTCACTTTTGCTATTCCTTCAGAATTATACGGCCAAGAAGTGGGAGTGGCAGTTGTTCCTAAGCCTGGGAAGACGGTGACTGAGAAGGGCATTACTGATTACGTTGCCAGCAAGACGGCCAAGTTCAAGAAGCCGAGCAGGGTATGTGCATTTTATCTGGCAGGTGCATCTTAGTGCCGCGCTGACTGAGATGACAGGTTTGGATCTTGAAAGAGATTCCCAAGACAGCCACGGGAAAGATACAACGAAGGAAGGTTGCAGATACTCTTCTGGCCAAAGACCAGCCTAGAGCGATGCTATAGAAGGATTGTTCGGGTCCGACCGGAGGCGTTAATGCCTGACAGTACAGGAAGAGACATGGATATCCAGCATGGGGTTTTCAAAAAAGAGGAGAAAGACAATCATGAGCGGCTAGAGTCAACCATGTGGGAGTCGAGGGCGTGTAGCACGCCTCCTAAGAATTTTCGTAGGCCGATACCATGATGGGTGAATGTTTTCGCGAGTTCTTGGAAAGGGGCTGACAACTGAGGGACTGGGGAGATGCGAGATGAAGCTGCACCTCGGTCTTGGACATCCGGAGCACTGGATGTCAGGGTATCTCTCGAAGGGTACGGTTCCGATGCAAGATGAGTCGAGGCAGTCAACTGAAGCATGGAAGGAGCTAGACCTCGCACAAAGATTGAGATAGAGCTTGAGAAGGCTGAAGATTCCTGCTCCCCACAAATTGGCGACGCCCTAAGAACATGTTCACATCCCCACTTCGCGCCCTGCGCTGTGGAGAAGAGTTCGACCGGCATTCAATCCTGGACAGCGATAATTGCCCCGGCTGTCCTCAGTCTCGCAGCGTGTGGTGCTTGGTCATACAATATTTGACTCCGTATCAACCAGTATCCTGACTCCGGAGCTTCATGTCGAAACTGCTTCGTGGTTACCGTCAGCTGCACTCTCTGAGAAGTGTTCACACAACACCCTCCCAGTTCCCGCAAACAACTCGAACTCTCCACCTGGGTCCATTAATTGCTCCGCGAAACCTCCGATCTGTCAGAGCCATGTCTTCCTCGGCGATCCCTACGAATGAATGGCTGGTCATCGTTCCCGATCACCCTAATGCCCTTGACAAGCGACTCGCGGTCCGCCCGCAGCATCTTTCAGCGTTGACACCCAAGATCGAGGCGGGGATTGTGGTCTTTGGCGGTGCGACTCTCTCGAAACACCCCGCTGAGGGAGAGACTCCGGATATGACTGGCAGTGCCATGTTGATAAAGGCAAATACCGAGCAAGAAGTCAAGGAACTCTTGGCAAACGATGCGTACACAAAGGGAGGAGCGTGGGATGTGAGCAAGGCACAGATATTCCCGTTCAGGTGTGCCGTGCGGACGGCCATGTGAAGATACAGCTTTGGACGAGGGTCTAGCAAGGGGATTGCCATTGGGACTGCGATGAATGATCAAGAACGAAGCCACACAGCTTGAATGACTCGGGAGGAATGTGCCCATAAACGCTGCTGTATCGACCAGTACTACATTGGACAAACACCATAAGCCTCGTTGTTAAGCCTCTCCAACACTTTCTCTCTCTACCAGTCGCAGCTTGAATGATGGGTGATGTGCACAGGCAACCGGTCCGAGTTGTGTGACTTGAGAGCGGCATCTCTCACAAAACTACCATTGATCTGTCACGTTGCAGCTCCTTTGTTATATTACTTCTCCCTTGCTCACAAGTCCGTGGTGATATTCGTTCAGTCCGACTGGGATGCATGTCATGATTGCTACATGACTGGTTTCCCAACGTTTCCAAGGGACAAATGGTATTTGGAGTGACATTTGCAAGTTGCCTGCGCACCAGATTCCTGCCGGTTGCTGGGTCGAAACGCCTCTTCACTTTGTTCCCGTCTCACTTCAGCTCTGTATCAACCCAACCCTGTGACCAGAGACAATAAAGACGCGATTCTTCTCCCCTCTTTACCACGATCATCTATCCATCCATCCTCACGATTCTTGCCACGTCCTCTGCCGTCAATACTTGCATCTCTAAAGCTTCGAGCTGACCTAGCTGCAGTTATTAATCGAAGACACCCGCAGTCAGCACACTTCTTTACCACTGCTCTCAACCTCGTGCAATCCAACATGATGAATCTCTTCAGCATGCTCTTCCCCTTCTTCGTCCTCGTCCTTCCTCTTATTGCACAAGAGATGGGCAACCTCACCGACGTTCCAGTCACTCAAAACAACCCCTCCCGCGCAACCTTCCAGGCGATCCTACAAGCCGGGAAACCTGTCCAAGGGCAGATTACCGGGGTTTCTAGCGATAACGGTACTGGCGTCAATTTCAATGTCAACTTCTTTGACTTTCCAGATATCTCGCAGGGTCCTTTCAGTGAGTTCTCATAGAGCGTGACTTGGCAATCCGAAGTTCCTCTGCGTTGAAGACGACGACTAAACCTTCCATTCAGAATACCACATCCACCAATACCCCGTGCCTGCGTCAGGAAACTGCACCGCCACAGGTGGCCATCTCTCGCCCTTTGGCAGACAGGACGACCCTCCCTGCGATGCCACCGCCCCGTGGACCTGCCAGCCCGGCGACCTCTCCGGCAAACACGGCAATATCTCCCAACTGACCTCCTCCACCTCCAGTGACTCCCAAGCCGTCGGCACCTTCCAAGCCATGTACCTCGACCTGTACGTGAGCACCGATCCCAGCAACGTGGCGTTCTTCGGGAATCGCAGTGTGGTCGTGCACAGCGCGAACGGGACGAGGTTGAATTGCGGGAATTTCACACAGATGAGCTCCAGCTCGAGTGGCGGCGGGAATAACAATGGGACCAATACTACGGCGCCGACAACTTTGCCCACGAATAACGTTGCAGGTGGGGCAGTTGGTGCGGTGAAGTGGGAATTGGCGAGCGGCGCGGTGTTTGCGGTCGGTGTGTGTCTTATCTCCTTGATGGGTGGCTTGATTTGAGGGCAAAGGACAAGAGAAACGGCCAAGGGCGGAATTGTAATTGATAGCCTCACCCAATTCGCCGACAAATTCACAGTATTCATGGTGATGATCGAGGGCGGACAGTCAAATGTACGCAGGTTTCAGGGATGTCATCGAGCGGGATTTTCTAATCAGGGATCAAAGGAAATACCCGAGTTCGGCGACTATGTAGTCCTTTAATGCAATGGTGATGATAGCGTTAGAAGATTCTCTAGCCGGGTATGGTGTGTATCATGGCAAAACTGCAAACTTCGTCCGACCATCAGCAATGGATTGAGTAGCCAGTCCTTTGGTCGTTTTCCCTCGTATCACATGCTTTCATCCTGCCGTCTATCTATCGTGGTGATTGTGATGACTGAACCATCCTTCTCGTAACATATTTATAACGAGCGCACCGATTTCTTCCGGGTCCTCAACTCAACCTCTTCAAGAATCCACCTTGGATCAGCCTCTCGACGTCGGCCTGGCGGACGAAGAACTGCGAGTTCTTTGTCAGATTGATGGCGCCGTACTCTGTCTGGATCTCGCCGGCATCTCTCAGAACTCGGACGTCGATGAACAGGTCGCGCGGCGGCTCGAGCGAGCCCGTCAGGTCAATGTCCGTCCACTGGCCCTTGTACTGGGAGAGCAGGTCGCCGTAGGCGTGGAAGTAGGACGACTCCTCGGGCGAGTGGGCGTTGTGCGTCCCCGCCGCGGAAGCAGCAGCAGCATTGTCCTCGCGAACATTCGCGGCAGCGTTGGACGCATTGTTGCCACCACCGGCTTCGTGCCCCGTCCCGACCTCCAGGTCCTGGCCCTCCCACACCATGCCTTCCAGCTTCTCGGCCCGCACGCGGTGGTACGCCAGGAGACACCTCTTGTCGCGCCGCATGCTCAGGTGGTCGACGAGCAGCGCGCACGCCGTCGCGGGGTGTTCGGCCGGGGTGAAGGTGCTCTGCGACGACGGGTTGCCGTCCTCGTCGTACTCGGTCGTGGTGAACGGTTCCAGGATCCGCGTCACGTCGCGGTCCAGGTCGCGCACTTCGCGGACCACGGAGCGGACCAGTTCGGTCTGGTAAGGGGGCAGGGCGGGGAGGGTGAGCGTGCGTTTCGCGTGTTGCACCTGTTGGAGGGGAAGGTTAGGTTGGGATTTCTGAGGAGTTTGTCCATATAGGGAGGGGAAAGGGAGCCAGCCCGAAGTTGAATGGACGGACAAGAAACAACTTACGAGCTTGTTCCCAAGCTCTCCATGCATTTGGGAATTACATAGAGTGATCTTCCTTACAACGAAGCACTGATAAGACCTCGAATGAGTCGTCAACGACAGGCGACAGGCGACCGGACAAGAATATCGAGTTAATCATGTACCAATTCTGTACCCCCGTACGGATGGGCGTATCGAGTGGTCAATACAGAATTCGCAACGCGGGGAGAAATGTGGCCCCGCGAATGAACGCGTCAAGGGGTCAAGGGTCAAGGGTCAAGGGGCGATTCCGCCAATCAGGTCCAACCACCTCTCGGAGCGGATTCTTGGTCGTCCCCTTTTTTCCGCCAGCCTTGTCTGTGCTTTGGATCACTTGACGTTGATTCCTGATGGAATGAGTTCCAGGCGAAGTCGGACTACATCCTCCTCACTAAAACTGTCCTCCGAGACTACTTTGATATCAACGCATCCTTCACCGCAGGATGTCAATGGCGACCGCTAGATCCTGCATCAAGATGCGCCTGTGACGAGGGTTCCCTCTCCGAGATCAAGTCAACAGAGCACTGGAGATCGAAAGGACAGGCACCGAGAGCTCATCAGGAGCAACGGTCCACGGGGGGATCTCGGTCACAGCATGAACCGGGGACTGGGTCTTTTTGTTGTGTGAGACGGACCGGACACTGTCCGCCCATGGGCATTTCACTGGCACAGTCATAGTGCAATACAATAACAATAACAAGGTGAAATTCACGTCTCGGAAATGCTTCTCCATCAGGCTGTGCTTTGAATAGAGGGCACACAATGAAGAGAAAAACAACAATAGTGCGGCAGAACAGCCGAACCGGTCGCGTTAGAAGAACAATTCATACCGGACCGTGAATAGGATTCTCGTGAATAGCAGATATTCGCGCCAAGTGTGATAGAATCACTTTTCCTGTATTTAATGTCCCGGCCAGGCAGTCGCTCAACCAAGCGTTTGTCTCTTTCTTCCCATTCATTCTGCAAACGGCGCCTCGCAAACATGAAGCAGCGTCTACAAAACCCGCCAACGCCCACCAACTCCTTCTTCGGTCCAATCTTCGACCGGCGCCACCGGGTCAAGAGGCGGTGGCTTCGCCCAGAGACGACAAGGCGGCGACCCGGTGGCGCCGGGTACATGGTTCCCAGGTGGGGGAACGCCGGACAACGCCGACGACCAAAGCCGCGCCAACATTTCCACTGGGGCACCTCTCCACCACCAACATGGTCGCCAACGTACTGGGAAGCGCTGCCCGCTCTGTGGATCTTGGTCAAGGACATGTACGCAATCACCTTGGCCTTGTTAGATTTCAACGACGCTCTCAGACGTTTGCTGAATCTCCACGGAGAACGATGGCAACGGCTGGAAGGGGATAAGCTCGCGAGGACCCTGGCGATATCCCTGAACATCTGGTCCTCGTTGGCGCCCAAGAGACTCCTAGGATTCGCTACGCCAGAGAAATTTTTCAAAAACGCAACGATAAATAAATATCCAGAAGTCGTCCGCAAGCTGGCGAGGGCTGAAGCCCGGGTCGTGCTGACAATGGCGCGCCTGGCAACAATCGAAGAGTGTGTGTGGTCAGGAGACGCTCTGCTCTTGATAGCACTGGACATTTCGGGACCCTTGGTGTCGGGAGTTCGCAGACAAAGATCACACCCCGACTTTCCCTGGTTCACCGAGCTCGAGGCACAGCATCGGGGGTTTCTCGCGTTTCGTGCACGCGGCAGGAGGCGGCTGTTCGACACCATCAGCAAACTCTTGACCCCAAGGTTGAGGGCCCTGGACTACCGAAGGGATTTTTTCTACTCGGACCTCGAAGCGAAGTTCCTCGAAGCACGTGAAAGTTTTTCTTCATGGACACCTGGTCTTTCCAAAGTGGCCGAACACCTTTCTGCCCGCTTGCTCACCCAGCCCACCGTCCACAGCGAGGGAGAGATCTGTCCGATATGCCATGAAAGCTTGAGCAAAGATCCAAACGCAGAAGACGGGCAGGAAGGGATGAGACAACTACCGATACGCACGGAAAGATGCTGCAATCGGCCATACCACGTCTGCTGCCTCCTTGAGTGGTTGGAACAGGATCTCTATGTACCCTTCGTGTTCGGATCGTGCCCAACCTGTCGAGCTCATTTGAGCTACGACTTTGCGGTTGGTCTCATGGAAAGATCTATTGTCGAGCTGGGAACATTGTGAGGGACACAAGCGAGATTGTTGGTGCTGTGGTCGGATGGATCTGTCAGAGAGCTGAGCATGGATAAGGCTGAAAGGAGAATCATGACTGTGGTCGTGGCAAAGAAGAGACTTTGAAGAAGGGACCACAATGGTCGAGTGTGAAATCGAGACATGGACAAGAGGTTGGAGATGGCTACTTCAGTGAGAGAGCTCGAGGAGGAAAGTGTCGCAGCATGGTGAACCGGTGATGATACAGTCTAGCTTAACAACAAACCAGAGTGAAGAGTTTGAGAGAAACAAGACCACACACATATGGTGTTATTGAGCCATCCTTGCTGTAGAGATGAAACGCAGTTCTTCTGCAAGTCAACCAACACGACTGCCACCTCTGACAAAGTTGGTGGCATTTTCGAAGGTGGCGTGGGACACAGGGAGGTCGAAACAGTCAGTGGGAACTAGTCTGAAACCGGATTTCTACGCTCACTAGTCATCTGATTCGCCGTATCGACATATCTGCACTTGCGGTATTTGCAGTCTGCCAGATACTGTCGAGTATTTACCACATGCCGCTCATTGCCTTGAAGGCGCCATTTGAAACCGACAGATTAGAAAGTGTCGGGACACGCACTTGAGATGTCTGCAATTGGCAACGGGGCGAAGAGCCCTCGACCATTGCTGCCTCTGTGGACATTATCGTGTCGGTGGACCAGCTTGTATGAGTGTTCAGTATTCACTCAAACAACAGCCATCCCTCATCGCCACGAGATGTGAAAAGCTTCCTTGAAAGGCGAAGTGTATGCGAGGTGACCCATTTGACCCTGACCCTGGACGAAGGACACGCAAGACCTCAAGTTCGAGGGTGACATCCTCCTCAATCCTCGATGCTCAATGACTGTGGAGTTGGAGCAGAAGGTATACGTGTTCTTGTATTGGCGACGACAAAGTGGATAGCAGATCGGATCCGCTACCCATGTACCTCACTCATACGAGAGTTTATTCGTCGTTCGTATATCCTACAGAATCGCCTCCCTGACCTATGTGCCTATTAGTCTAGGCCCCTCAAAAGGCCAAAGCGTCTCTCCTCTGGGACAAATATTCCCCTCCCCTCCGGGTGTGACTCTGACCTGGACAAGTCTCTGGCCGGCTAGCCAGTATCGTCCATATAACTCTTGTTGCCCCTAATAATTAGTATGCAAGTAGATGCGGGTTTTTTTGGAGAGAGAGCCCACGGGACTAGGTAGATGACCTTCGTCTTAGAAGACCTACATGCGTACTTTTCACAGCACAGTTCAATATGTCGACAAGCCCTCAGTGCGGGATTGCCGTATCGACTGTTGCTGTTGCTGATATGTATGTATGTACGTACCTACCTACCAAGCAGGTAGATGGGCGTCGACCAGGGACGATACCTCCATGTAGGCACCGTTTCCAACGTGGTAGAGTTCCCTGAAAGAATCGAACGAGCGAGGCAAGGGGGTTTCAGCGTAGGCAGGGGGACTGTACAGTATGGCGATGCTGGGCCTCAATGATTTTTTGTCGTTGAAGTGGAGGGTAATCACGCAATCTACCTCATTGAAGTTAGGAGAAACGGGGGACTCGATATACAGTGTAATATAGTTCATCGCCCGTTTAGTCTAGTCACCCACGGAAAGGTGTCGAAGATCTGCGACGATGCAGCCAGAGGGAGAGCCAAGTCGTATCGTCGTCGGATCTCGAATGGGGCATGCATGCATGACGGTATTTGTCAGTCGACTGCACTACCGGCATCAGGGGGAATGGGGTACATACTTAGGCACGATAGGTCTCAAGTACGCCATAGAGACGACGACCAAAAGGGTAAAGCCACGCGAACGACGGGACTTTAAGTCTGAGGTACACTGTGGCCCTCTTATCGAGAGACTGGTTGAATCAAACAAACGTTGCAAAAGGGATGCCATCGTACACTGCATAATCAGAGCTGGGGAATATGCTCGCACACAGGCTGCCACGGTCGTGTGAAGGGCTCACTCTCAGTTGAGCCGAGCCCTACCGGTGGGGGGCTGTATGTAGATCTGGATACTTGTAAGTCAAACCCTGCAAGGGAGTGGGAACAGCAGGATGCTACTCTACCAATGCGGCCCAGTTTTCTCCCATCCAACAGAAGTTCAGGTTCATGGTGTTCGTGCGTTCCCCTCCGCCTCCCCGGTATGTACATATCCTGTGCCTCCACTAGGAGCACGATCCAGGAACCCGCGCGGCAGTTTGGCTTTTACATCGGAGCAAATCATCATGAAGATATCACATGCGTGACTTCGTGCCGATTCCAAGGCATATGATAAGTGAGGACACCTCGTATTCGATAGGGTGCATCTGTAGCCGTGCACAGTGGTACACTGCCGCCGTCAAAAGCCAAGTTGAATTGGGATGAACAAGGATGAGCAAAGTTTTCGAAGATGGGCCAAGCACGGCGAAGGACAGGCATGCAATTTGTCTGTCCGTCTTCATCGATTAGCACAATCATGCTCCGGAGCCATCGCACAAGGGGAGTAGCCTGTTGGCCGGAAAAAACCTGGGCAACCTGCTGTGCTGCTTGAAAGACACGCAGACGCGTCTTGAGCGCAGTTTCAAAGAGCAGTTGTTCAGCCAAGGTAGAAGTTCAGACATGGGGGAAAAATGAGCAAACGTACCACGGAGAATAGAATCGCCGTCCATGGAGCTGCCCACAAGATCAAGAAGATACTCAAGGTGGACCAGGTTCGAAGACCACCAAACAGGGAAGGTGATCTACAAGTCCAAGTGCAATTGGATGAGATCAAGCTTTGGTTTCCTGCGGATGCGAACCATGCTCAAGTCTGGTACTGGTGGATCGAATGCATGCCGCGAAAGCCCAAGAAAACCAAATGCGAGAAGGAGGAGCTACTATAGCTGAAGTGTTTGGGTCCGTGTCCCATGTCAGTGCACCAGTACCTTGAGAGGGGTTGATAGCAATAGATGTCGCCCCAAGACCGACAGCAGAAGTGGGTAAATTAGCTTTTCATATCGGTGGATGAGGATGATCCCCTGTGCAGCCTGGATACCCTTTGGCACGATGACAAATTCGCAATTCAGGGCAGACATGTGTCGCACTCTTCATACACACTCAGCCGGATGAAGTGGCTGAAACTGGGGTACAGGCTGGACCGACAGAAATCGAGCAGGCAAGAAAGTCAACTGTGATCCGAATCCAGACTGAAGGAGAGCCAGACGGTGGCGGCCCGGCTTCGGGTGGGCCGTGCTGCTATTGAGCTATCGCGTCAGATGTGCTGAGTTGGTCTATCGGTCTCTACAAGTCTGCAGAGACATTAGACTTCAGTCTCCGATGGTTCTGGAAAGAATTGCAGAAAGAAGGTCTCGGTCAGCAAGAAGATGGCGGTAAGTCGGAGCAGAAGGTGACTTTGAAAAAGATACGGTGATTTTGTTGGTGGCGCATCGGAGATTATGGAATGCCACAGCTGGTTCCAGGGAGATCATGTCTGTTGCCGCTGTCATATAAGCATGTTCGTCGCACAGACAACCCGGCGGTAGCCAGTCAGCGAGAAGGCACTTTGAGCAAATCACCGCTCGGTCAGATTCAGGACCCGCCCCAAATTCAATGCTCGCCACAGAGAGAACATGGAGAAGATGGCGTTGGTCGCTGGTCGTGACTGCAAGCGGCGGTTGGGTGCGCATGAGGAATGTGACTGGAGGTGGTCTGTGCATTTCAATCGCAGGGAACAGCGCATGAAACGTTCGTCCCCTCCCCAGCATAGTGAGCAGGAAGTTGTTGGTGACCGGCTTGTTCTCTCATTGAACAACCCTTTTGCGAAAGGCTGCTCGCTCCAATGGAGGTTGTCCAAGTCAATATAAGGCTCTCAACAGGGTTGTTAGCTGGACTTGCCTGTTCAGCGGCAATTCCCGAACCTCTCAGGATGCTGCAGGGACCGGATGCGCATCAAGGCGAGACTCCAGGACTTTAGGAAGAGCTCCAAGAACCTGGCACCTCTTTTCACCGCTCACGACTCCTGACCCTGGTTGCGTGGAGGTGGGAAGCTTGTGGAGTTAGCTGCTTTCCATCTCTTCTCTCTCCTTTTGCTTTCGTCGAACCGAAAACAAAAAGAAACCGCTGGGAGAAAGCGACTTGTTACCATGAGTCCGGATGCGGCCAATGCAGCTGAAAGCGACCATCGTCGCACTCTAAAGCCAAAGGTTCGAGACTCTTGCAGTTGATTGATATGTTCCCTTCTCAGAGCCTTTCTCCTCCTGTTTTTTTCTTGCATCAACAAAGCTTCTCAATCGGCAGGTCGCCAGTGTCTCGGTCTTGAGATTGCTATCCATCTCCTCGCGGGTAATTGAGACAAAGCCAGCTGCTTCTGGCGTCATCAAAATCAGTCTCGCAAGGCTGCCAACCTACTCACCGCCAGTATCGGACTCCAACCGTACTGCACCATACCGATCTTACTCTTTGAAGACGACAAACTTTCTGGCCCTCTTCCCGTTCAAGCGGACGGGTTGCTGCAACAATTGATAAAGAACCATCTGCAACTGCAACATAGTCTCATCAGGGACAACGGAGATCTTTCAGCAATTGTCTTTGCCATCAAAGCAACAGCAGTGGGATAAAGCGTCATCTCCATTGTGCGGCTTTGCCTTCTGACGGAGAGCGACAGATAAGCAAATCTGACGAGGCTTGACACCTGCGTCGAGCAGTTCTGTCAGCTGGATATAACATCTGGAACACGGGCTCAGACAACGAAGTGACATCCCGAAAGCGGTCAGGAGACCACCAAAGTCACAAGTAGAAGGACTCTCTGTCATATTGCCACAGCATCCCTTCCCATCGACGAACCAGCTGGTTGCCTCTTTGCCTCATCACCTCGTTGCTGCGACAAGACGGACAACGTCACACTGACCTCCACCGTCTCACATACTCTCACCTCGAAGTGGGAGAGCTTACCGACATCATGGCCCAAAACTCTGTCACTGGACGTCCGCCATCACCTCCACATTCAATCGACGGCCACTACAGCCAAGGCGACGATAACCGGCCCAGCGCAACGGTTGTCGTAAAGCCGGAGCCTTTCACGCCACCAATGCCCCCAGCATCAATGGTGCCAGAAATGGGCTCCCAACAGACATATGTCAGTCCTTCATCCTCCAGTCATGGCCAGTTAGATGCTTACCTCTTGCAGGATCCTTATGGCGACCCTTCTCTGTATCATACAGCGCCAACTCCCGTTTTCTATACACCACAGCAGGTAAGTTGGATCCTGCCGCAAGACGCTGGCAAGACGTGCTGACCAAGATAGACTATCGCCAGATCCGTTCCATGTCACACACCTCCTCAAAACATTGGCATCCTGACACGCAGTGGTCGCACTCTCGGAACTCCATCGAGCACAGGAGGTACCGAATCTCCACGTCCCTCGCTCTCCCCAAAGTCGCGCAAGAATCCGAAAAAGAAAGCTGGCAAAAAGGGAGGACCTGCCATCGATCAACCACTCAGCATTCTGACAAGGGACTATAAGACTCCGGTTCGGGATATGGCACTGTGGGTCAACCGACCAGTCGAAGAACGATTGGCAGAAGTGGAGAGGAAAAAGGGATACGTTTCCAGACCGATGAACTCCTTCATGTTGTATCGATCTGCGTACGCAGAGCGAGTGAAGCAATTCTGCAAGGAGAACAACCACCAGGTGGTCTCGCAGGTGACGGGGGCAAGTTGGCCGCTGGAACCCAAGGAAGTGAGAGATCTGTACGAGCGATATGCCAACATCGAACGCGACAACCATGCCGCAGCTCACCCCAACTACAAGTTCGCACCAAACAAGACGGGGAAGAGGACAAGGAATGAGGACGAGGTCAGTGACAGTGATCCTGACTGGGAAGGTTCCATCAAGAGCTCCAAGCGCAGTCGCAGTGTCAGGCGCTTTGACAGCAGAAGTGCCTCCTCGACACCATTCGACGACAGGCCTGCTGTTTACCACCGCATGATCCCAGCACAGCATCACTTGCCAGGGTACGAAATGACCAATCCATACAGACCGGCTCAGATCATGGTGGGCTCGAATGGCATGGTTGGCGACTATTACCAGGCGACAACTTCTGTTGGACCGTACGAGCAAGTCTCCGACATCGCCTACCGAAGGTTGGAGGATCCTTTCCCTCCATACCAGCCGCCGATGGGCTTGGTGGGGCTGCCGCATGCCGAACACCACGAGCTGCTGACGACTTACCCTGCGCCTCAGCCTATGGCGGTATCTGTCCAGCACGACATTCTCGACCCTCGGCTGGGACAACTGGATCCTGGGTATCAGATCGTCTATTACGACGACGGTGTTGAGCCGGCCCATGAAATCCCAAGGTCAATTGCCTATGAGTCTGCGCCGCAGCTAGAATTGACTTACCAGCCTGAAGCTTACCATCCGGGTCTAGCCACGTTGACGGAGGAGCATGATGTATGGGCAGAGCCAGGACAGGCCGGGTCGGACTTTGATTCGGAGTTCCAGAAGTTGAGTTGATGATTGATTGAGAGGTCAGTGGCCGGAATTTCATCGTTCTGTGAAGAGCATTGGTTGGACTTTCTATTGCATAGCCAGGGAGTTGAGTCATAGATGGGGGTTCCTATATTTGTTGAGCAATTCTACCTGTACTATTCTCATCCTTTTTCGGGGATCATGAGCTGTTGAAAGAAATTTTACTCACAACAGGCTCGAGTTCAGTTGCCGGGTCAGACACGAGACCCGTCGAATCGAAAGGAAAATATTAAATTTTCCATTCCAATTCGCTCGGACATTATTGCGCGCTTGGGGGGGAATTATCTTTCTTGGTCGCTAGAACATAGTACCACTGAGACCGAGGCAGCATGTTGAGGTGCAAAAGATTGGGTACCAGATTGTATGTCGAGGTTGGGTAGTGTAAATCAGCAAAGCATAAAGACGCGCACTGGTGGCACCAATACGGCTGCTGCACCGTAGATGCTTAGTCACACACGGTGGATCACATGGTCCCATCATAAGAGGCCACGAGTATTCAGGCTAATGGGGAACTTTGTCACGTGCGCTAATTTCGACCCTTTATTCTGTTGTCACCATCTTATTGGCTTCCTTCCGGGGCTCCATCGGCCTATGAAACTCACAGCCAGGACCACAACCTCCACCACGTCGTCACCGTGTCTGCAGATCGAGGGGTGATTTGACTGGAAAACCCAATGTGGCATTCTTTCATGGTTCCCTTTGCACTTGCCGTACACCTCTGATTCCAGCTCAGATCACCCCTCTTGTCGCCAACATCCTTTTTGCTGTTTGCAGTCGCTGCAAACGGTACAATGGGTTGGCGAAAACCACCGCAACACCTCAGTCCAACGGGTGCTCTGTACACTCAACGCTGACCATGGCGCCCGCTCCATACACCGCCGAACCGGGCAATTGGTTCCTTCGCGGAGTCCAGTCTGCCGTCTTCTACTATGTCTCTTGCTCGCCGTGGCTCGGTTACAAACACAGGCGGAAAAGGAGGAGGGAAGCGAAAGAGCAAGCACAATCCAAGGCGGAAATTGTGGTCACTCAGCCAGGCGTGGTCACGCAGCCTGGTCCTTTTCAGACAAATGAAGCCTGGGCAGAAGAGTTGATGCTGGGCCCTGGACCACCCAGAGGGTGGAAGAAAGATACGCTTCTGCAGAAATTGCAGAAAAAAGTGTACACAGAATCGCCCAGAAGCGACACTAAGCCCCCATCCGCAGGGACACCTGCACCGAGTTTGGAGCCGGCAACGTCGTCTACAAGGCTCTCAGGTCCTCTCACAGACTCGGCCGCTGAGTTATCAACGAGAACATCTCTAACTACAGACGAGATTGAGGACGTGGACACGAGTTGCGACAAGTCTGCTTCGGCTCAGGAGAGACCACCGCGAGAAAGAAGGCTGTCTAGTGCAATGGAGAATCTCAAAGACTCTCTACGCACAACTTTACATCCGCCAAAATGGAATTGGAAGAGATATGAACGAGAGGATGAGATCCTGGCGGGGTTTACAGAGAAAGTTACGAGAATGTGGAATCGGGCGACCTCGGGAATGCATCACGAGGATGCCGATGAGCAAGACGAGGGCGGAGAACCGTCAGTGTATAGACGAAAGCGTGCTCCCACAAATGAGAGTGAACGATATGACTACTATCGGGCGAGGCATCCCGAAGTGAACGATCTACATCCTCCGGTGGTATCTCAACTGCCGGCTACCAGGGCCGAAGCGGCTTGGATGTTACTTCCTCCTCCCAGTGCTGCAGTCATGGAAGCACGCAGAAGACCTGCTGCGGAACCCGACATACGCTTTCCATTATGCGTCATCGGCAGGCCCCGAAAACAGGCCGAACCAACGCCATCAATGGCCAAAACCCGGTCTTTCGAACAAGTCGACATGCAATACTCGGTATATCCTAGTGATGCCGAAGATGAAGATGAAGGGTTTAGCAGCAGCGAGACACAAAGTGTCAACCGAGAAATCGATCACTACCAAATGCACAGTGAGAATGACAGCCCAGCACGGATCAAGCATCTATCAGATCCAATCATCAAACCACCCCCAGTGGTGTATCCGGTGTCACGGATTGCAGGGGACTTGTTTATTCCCAAGAGAAGGGATTCATGGCAGTTTCATTATGTTGTTCCATCGAACCAGCCGATGGAATGGTAAGAGAAAGAAAGGAGGCAATTGAGTTTGCCTGATTTCAATAGCCACAGGTGGCTACTACTCCTTGTTGCACACTGGGTCAATATGGAGCAAAATTGTTTTCAAGGAATTGGCCTGTCCTGGATGGATCGTGCCAACATGTGCAGATGAGCATTGAAAGTTTACAGTTGATTGATGTTTTTTTTCTCTCACGACAGACTAAGGTGGTCTGTTAGACGAAGGTGTTTACGATCATGGTGCAGGGCAGGGATTGAATGACTTTGGGAGCGTGATGGCGAACGCACTTTTTTTTGTTTTGTATGTTTTTCTTTTGCGGCATTCTCACGTTCCGGGAGCTACCTGAAGCACTGTGTAACCAAAAAATATATATTATTCTTGTTACTTGAGCCTCACCAACGCAAGGAACAAGTATGTGGTTGGGTAGTAATGCTGGTCCTCGTGGATTCTTGGACCAAGCTGGTGCAGGGATCATCTTGTCTGCATTAACAGGGTCCAAGTTAAACGAGCCCAGGCGGCGTGTGCCAGGGCCCGTTATGCGATCTGGAGAATGGAGCTGGGATGGCACCATTTTGCTGCAGGTTATTGTGCAGTGATTGGGCCAGTGAGCAAGAGCCAACACTCGAGCGGGTAGGGAGGTGGAGAACGAGGCTGGTAGGTAGCTCCCTTGAGGAAAATCATCTGTAAGGGAAACAGGCAAGGCTCAAATTAAAGGCGACTTCGAAGGGGTAGGGACTTTGAGGGTGAAGTTTCCAAGGCACTGTATCTCAGGAGGATCAGGGTCAGATGGATGTCAGGAAGTGGGTGGCGGTTCATTCATCCGCGTGGGTGACAACAAAAAACATCAGAGGAAAAGGATTGCCATAGACTAGTGAGTGACGAGAGATTCGCTGGGCGCAGTGTGCGCAGTCTGGGAGTAAGAAGGCACCGGCAGGCATTGGCAGGATTACCCTCAAGACATCCAAGAAACCAAAGCCTCGCTACAACTGCGACATCGCAACACCCACCCAAGACCACATTTTTTGCCCTTCTCTAACTCTGCTCTCCTCCTGAATCAGTGACATTCTTCTTCACGGCCAACCCCCGTGTCACCTGTCTTCCCGCCTGTCCCCAGCCCTTCACCCTCGTATAACACCACGAGATTACCCCCTTCGCACGCTATTCCAGCACCCACTGCCTTGTACTTGGTAGGTCGCTTGCCCACCTGCATCATCCCGGATTCTCTCCTCCGTGTAACCCTCGACCAACCGCGGCCGCAGTCAGTCCACCATTGCCAGAACTCGTCTCCACCCTTCGCGCAAACCGTCCATCACCCTCGATCACTCGCGCCTCCAGACCACTATCATTCATTACGCGGCAAAACAAGTCAACGCTTCTTGGGTTCTTCAAAGCCTCGCCAAGTTGTGATCCTTCCCGCAGGTGGCCGTGCTTCAATCTGAGTCTGAGCCATTGACAGAGAGCCGCCTTGACCCCGGATCTTTGGGTCTTATTCTAAATTTCGCTGCATTTCGACCCTCAACGCTGTCCACTCTCCTGAGACATTTCAACACCGTGTTCTAGTCATCTGCTCCCGTCCGCAGCAAAGACAACTGCTTTCTAGCTTTCCCTAGCACCCCTCTTCCCTTCACAGCTACAAACGACTTTCTTTCACTCCCCACTTTGATTCACGTTTGTTGAGTTTTCCAACAACCTACTTGGCTTTCCGGCTCGAAATCACCCACACACTCCATCCCTTGCTTCGCCACGCCGCCTACGACTACCACCACTTCTACCGTGTAAGGGATCTTTAAACTCTCTTTTCGGGCCTCTGCGAGAGAAGGAGGAGGATACTGTCAAATATAACAATATTATCTGGTTTTTCGCTGTCCGTTACTCAGACGCATCATCGTCACCACCTTCACTCTGGCACCTCCCAAGATGTGGTCTACCGCCGCTTCCTGGGTCGCCCTGCTTGCGTTGACCGCGGCCCTCACCCGATACTATAACCCAGACCTGTTCAACAAACTCACCGGCCAGGCGTTCACGCGAGCACCACAACCGCATCAAGAGTTGGAAAGACCTCCTGCCAAAAGACAGAAGTCGAAGCGGACACATGCCAGTCGACTAGAGACTAGCAACAGTGGCACTTCTACCCCGACCAGTGCTACTGAAGGCAAGGCCAACAAGAGGAGGAAGCTCATCTCCGCCCCCATCGAGGATAAGGTGGTTGCTCAAACTGCTGAGGGTCAACGAGTGACGCTGCCACGAGATGAGGAGGACGAGCTGAGCAACAAAGAATTCGCTCAACAGCTCGCCAAAGCCCAGGCTGGGACGAACCTGCAGCCTGTCGCATCGCAGGGGGTGAACAAGAAAGAGAGACGAGCGGCTGCGAAGTCAGCCCACGGGAAGCAAAATGGCCTCGAGGCTTCAGGGCTTTCCACCGAAACGTCTTCAACCACCGGTCGCGATGCAGACGATGACCTCTCCCCGATCGGATCTCCCTCTACTGGTCCTGTGTCGACCGCGCCCACCTCCCGCGCTGGCGACGTGTCGGACATGCTAGAGGCCCCTGCGGCCAAGCCTGGAGTTTTGAGACTCACAGATGTCAAGAATGACGGTCCCAAGACAGCAGCGGGCTCCTCCAAAACCGCTTTCCAGCCTGCCTTGACCAAAAAGCAAAGACAACGACAAGCAAAGGCTGCCGAGCAGAAGGCTTTGAGAGAGGAGTCGGACCGCATGCACGAGCAGAAGAAACAAGCACAGTTGCGGGCTGCCAGAATTGCCGAAGGAAGCTCGAACCAGACCAAAGCGAATTCATTCACTGCGAAGCAAAATGCGTGGCAGACTGGAAAGCCAGCTTCGGAGAAGTTACCCCAGACCACTGAAGTCGCGCCTCTTCTCGACACTTTTAACAAACCAGACATACCAACAGTTACTGTGAATGGGTCTGTCACTTCAGAACCGCTTTCCAATGTAACCAACGCTGTTCCCGAGACAGCAAATGTCTCCGCAGTCAAAGAAGATGTTGGCAAAGGCAAGACTCACGCTCTCGGAGCATCAGACCGCGAGAAAGCCGCCAGACCTGTCCTAGGGAGCCGGCCAAGTTGGGCTGACGAAGTCAACCAGGAGGAGCAAGACAAATGGGCAAAAGAGCTTGTACAAGACGAGAAATGGGAGTCGGTGACCAGCAAGAAAGGCAAGAAAAAGGCCAAAAAGGATATAAATGATACAAGCAGTGAGGCCAGTTCTTCGGTTGCCAGAACCGTGGCAGCCAGCCACCCTGTCATCAACGGCACTCAAACGAATGGAATCAAACCTCGCGTGGAGAACCTGAACCGATTTCAGTCCATTGAGCCGGCGACAGATCCGACGTTCAGAGACGCTGAATGGGAGGCTTGATCTAAGGATGATACAGGCTTTGGAGGAGACACTCACTCCGACGCGTCCCGGAGTGGATGCGGCGGACTTTGTTGCCAATAGTGCATGTCCATTTGAGAGGCAGAGCGTGTTGTTTGTTTGTGTGATTTTCTTTCTGTCTACTGTTGTCTCTTTCGATTCTCAGAACTTGTCCGGCGTGGAGCATCATTTTACGGAGCATTAGCATGGGCATGGATATTCATACGGCCCCACCATGGCCTTCAGCAAAAGCAGAGATCAAATCATCAAATACCAGAATGGGGATCCCACGAGGTCCAATTTATTCGTATGGGAAAGGGAGAAACCTTATGTTCCATGGGGAAGAATGGGAGAAAGCGATTGCGCCACCAGGATGATCGCCCAAGATAGAACCAATGTGGACTTGTGTACATGATATGCAAGTCATCTTGAAGCGACTGTAACCGGACAGCGGCTGTTATTCCAGAAGACACAATCCGTAGCTGACTTGTAGAGTTGCGAGGGACGAGAAAGGCGCAGTCGCTGTACCTCGCATGAGGGAGGAAAGGGGATTGTGCAGGCGATTGTGGACTTAGTCAGAACCAAAATTCAGGGGTTGCATAGAGTGTGATTGGCCGGGTTGTGGGTTGAGAATAGCACAACCTCCCACCACGACTAAGTAGCCAGCGTGTTAAGAATACCCAGAGGCAGTATTTTGTCCTTGTGCAGTGCCTTGCCTCCACCGAAGTCCCAAACTGGGTTGCAGATTGACACGCAGCTTGTTTGCTTGCCACGGGTCCATATAATTTCACTCCCCTGTGCGGGAAATTCTGAGCAATTACTACAACTGAAACAGACACAGACACAGACACACGCGCACGCACGCACACTTACTTCTCTTGCTAATTATCCCACCCGTCCTACACATTCTCGGCCGGACCCATTCCTGACTGCGATCGAGACCTCCCTCACCTCAAACCAAGAAACAAGAAAGTGCCAACATTTACTTCCTACCAAGCGTCACCATGGCGCAGATACGAGGCACCGCGGGCTACAATCTGGGCCTGAACAACCAATTTGGCTCCCAACGGAGCGACAATGCCACCAACGATCCCAGTCCCCTCGACCAGATTCGAGAACAGACCAGCAAAATTGAAGACTGGCTGAACACCATGGGCGAGCCTTTGAAGCCGTGAGCATCTATACCCATCACCCTTCGCTGCGGCTGCAAAGCTACATAGTGGCGTCTTCTCACAGACCAGTTTGGATGCTTACTCGGTTTGATCATTCACAGATACCTGCCCGCCATCGGTAGATTTCTTATCGTCGTGACATTCCTCGAGGATGCGGTCAGAATCGTGACCCAGTGGGGCGACCAGCTCACATATCTAAGAGATTTCAGACACAGTGGGTGAACCGTCGAGATGAGTCCAACAACTGCAGATGCTGACCACACCTCCCTAGTTCCCTGGGGCATCACCCACCTTTTCCTCATCTTCAATGTCATTACCATGTCGGTCTGCTCCACGCTGGTCATCATGCGTCGATATGGCGAGTATGCGGTGGGCGGTCTGTTGTCGGTCGTGGTTGTTCAAGCCCTGGGCTACGGCCTCATCTTCGATCTCAATTTCTTCCTTCGCAACTTGTCCGTGATAGGCGGTCTCCTCATGGTGCTCGGGGACAGCTTCGTGAAAAAGAGGGTATTTGCAGGCCTGCCTACAATTGACGAGAAGGACAAGAAGATGTACATCCAGCTCGGGGGACGAGTGCTTCTGATTTTCCTCTTCATCGGGTTCGTTTTCGCTGGTGAATGGAGTGTCGGGAGAGTCCTGGTCAGTATGATTGGATTCGTGGCTTGTGTGATGGTCGTGGTGGGTTTCAAGGCGAAGCTCAGCGCTGTCATCCTGGTGGTGCTTCTCAGCGTGTTCAATGTGCTTGTCAACAACTTCTGGACGGTGAGTGGAATTGTGTCCCTTCTCTATTGATGCCCTGTGCTGACAATGTCCATCTGCAGCTTCACAAGAACCACCCACACAAAGACTTTGCCAAGTACGACTTTTTCCAGATCCTGTCGATCATGGGCGGTCTGTTGCTACTGGTGAACATGGGACCCGGCCAATTGAGCGTGGACGAGAAGAAGAAAGTCTACTGAGCATGTGGGTAATTGATGCAGCGTACTTTTGGGGGGAGAGGAGAAGGAACACACCGTACTCGACCCACGCGTCGATGATATAAAAATGTGGAATGAGACCACGCAGGAAAACGACGAGGGCCACTCAGGGCGGAAGCAGACAGCTACGATCCACAGCAGTGTGTTTCGGAGACGACTCGTCTCATCAGGCGGCTGTCTCGATCTTTGCCGCGCCGAGAGCAATTCGGTGCACGTCTTCGAGGGCCCGAAGCCATGATGAAGCAAATACGTGTGATATTTAACTTTGCATAAGCGGATGCGTTCTCAGAGATAGAACGTAGGTTGGGACAATAGTTTAGCATGCTGCCTGCATTCTGGACTAAAGATCTGTCCGGGATGGACCGATTTAGAGAGAAAAGCAATCATCTGAAAGTCAAGCAACTAGATCTCCTCTTGGCACTGTTTCTGGATGTGGCCTTGACCAGGGACATGTCTCGAAGGGCTACCGTGCGTGTCTGAACGTGAAGAGTCTCGGGTCCTTGTATCCTGGAGATATACTATTAATAGTGCTAACCTGATCTGGACGTCTTCTGCGCTAAAAGCTCTAGCGGCTTGGCCAAGGTCGGGCTCTAATCCGGACAAACTTCCTTCCCATCAAGCCATTGTCCTTGATTTCACGGATAGTCTGACCCCAAAAATTCCATCACAGCCTGGTCCAATTCCGCCCCTTCAATCTCGCCATTTTCACTCTTCTCATACAACTGAGAAAAGTACCCGGACCAACATATCTCTCCACGAGGTTGAACCGGTGTCTGTCGTAGGGTTCTCTTTCGGATCGAACGGACCCAGAACCCAGCGATGAGCCCGACTCCCAGATCAGCCCATTCAAACGGACTCGGTGTGAGAGTGCCGTGGTACTTGTAAATGAATATCGGGTGAAGGATGAGCATGGCAAGGAGAGAGAAGACTCTCAGGCGACTTGAGCCGAACGTCAGGTCAAGCCCATACAGTGCCGGTCCAAAAGCATAGTAGTTGAGCTCTTGAAGGACGCACACGAGATTCGACACCCAGCGCACCCAGTGCCCCATTGGAAGATAGCCGCGTCTCCCAAGGGCTATGAGGAAGGACATCCCAAGTTCGGCGACGGAGGTGTGCCAATCCCTATCCGGCATGGCCTCTTCAATGGACCATAGACGGTGTCTTTCACGATCGGTCTCGGCACATTTGCACATCAGCAGGTCCAGCATTCCGTTGGTCCAGAGAGTTTGACAGTTGTTGAAGAAAATCTCATACACCTCTGCATCATCTCCGGCGAGACGTCGTCTTTCTTCTTCGGTATGTTAGCCTGTCGCCTCTCGACTTTTGCTTCTCTCACCCGGGTGAAACTTACGCTCAAGTGCCATCACTTTGTTGATGTATTCGTTACTGACAAATGTGTGACCTGCGACTGTCATCTGCTCGTCTGTTAGCTGTACTCCCGCTGCAGTTGTGTTCAGTTCCCCAGCAGAGGTCGCGCTCTCGATGCTGATCTGAGCACTGCCTTCGCCCCGGTGCAGGTGCCACGCGGTTGCTCGGTCAGGAATATCGATGATCCAGTGTCGAAAGATGTTCTTGCTCAGCAACTCTTTTATGCCTTCTGAATATATCGACTCGTCCGGATTTCTGGTTTCTGCACCATCAACCCCGAAAGAGCCCATGGCCCCAATGGATGTTGAGATGAGGAAAATGCTACACCTGTCCCACGCGGTGCTCTTTACAAGTCTGGTGTAGTGGAGCATCAATGCGACCAGGCCTGGCATCTGAAACGTCTTTGTTCTCAGTCTTTGTTTCTGGACCCGCCACGGGTTGTTGACCTTCCTCTTCGTCTGCGCACGTCCTTGGAGATAAGTCGTCCTCAAATCAGGCGTTGCTAATGTCAACAGTGCTCGCAAATCTGCGTTGGCGTCGAGAAGGGCACGCCTGGCTTGTTCGATGCGCTGACAAACGCGATCCCTGCTCCTGGTGGAACAATCCGCCCCGCTCAACCCGGCTTTTTCGTACCGTTCCAAAATGGATCGCTTCACGTCGTCTTTGCGAGCCACCTCGGCCGCACGGGCGATGTGGTCCGACAAGCTGAATAGGACCTTTGCCGGACCATTGTTGATGCACGGAAAGAGGGAATGGGCAAGGCAGACGCCAAGCCTGTGGTTTTCAAACACGCCATTGCTTTCGAACAGCCAATTGCCGACCGCGTACACCCACTTGGTCGGGACCAGGTTCAGGATGTTTCCCACCACAATGAGCGCGGTGGTCTGGAACGCTTCGAACAGCCACCGTAGCGGGAACAGGAGTATGCGCGCCGGCCATTTGACGACGGGATGGATGATGGTCCGGTACGCGGTCACCACGAGATATGCCGCGACCTGGACGCCCGTGTAGATCCATCTGGCGGGGACGAGGGCCCGGCTCTGTGCCAGCCTTTGCAGGAATGGCCCAATCCCCGTGTACAGCACGTCCGGGGCCACGGTCCGGATCGCTTTCACGCCCACGGCGGCTCCGACGAGGGTGACGCACAAGACCTGCGGGGCCCAGCCTAGGGCGGAGAGGAGAGACATCATCCTCCAGCCAGCCAATGTATGCCGACAAGACAAATCTTTCGCAGAGAATCTCGGGAGTCAAGTCGACCAAGAACTAGAAATTGATAAAGTCGTAGCTTGATAGGATGGGCAGCCTAGAGAGTCTCGAGAGCCTTGATTTGGGTTGGTGAGCCGTAAGGCTGAATGAAAATCAAGCCATCACGCTGTGTTTTTCTCCTCCGTCACGTCGAAACAAGTGGGTATAAGATGGGTATGGGTATGAGTATAGATAGGTATGCTCGTTACAGCCTAGAAAGAAACCTCCCGGCTCAGCTTAGTAGTTTCCCGGCAACTCGTTGCTTTGTATGTTCTACCTTGTCCTTTGGCCTTCGTGGCGGTGCATGTGTCGGCTACTTGGCTCTATCTCATGTTAGGCACTGCTGGGTAGTACCGGGTATGAGGTAGCAGTAGGAAGGGTATTTCCCCAGCATGTGTTGAGCGAGCGAGCGAGCGAGTGTGTGTGATTATGTCTGACTGTCATAAGGCTGGAGACTCACTCATCCATCTTGCCATGTCTTGAGTGTCTTAGACGACACGGGGCGGGCGGGCCAGGCTAGGACCGTGTAGCGAGTAGCGAGTAACGAGGAGAGGTGGACGAGGTATAATTAGGGAACCTCTATCGAAGAGATTCCATTGGGTCCATGGACATGGTCAAGGTCAAGGTCAAGGAGAGGGACAGGGACAGGGACAATGTCTTGGTCCTACGAGAATACGAGGAAAGAGGGTTTCTACCCATCCCGTCGCTGCGGCGATGCGTGATGCTGTTGAGTAGTAGTGGCGGCGGGAGGGCTTGAAAGCGTGCAGATTTTCGACGCTATTGTTAGACATCCTGCGCCCTGACGGGTTGGATACGGGGACCTGTGTCACTCACTCACTCAATTCTCAGATAACGGTGCAATTTTCCCAGCGATGAGGCTGAGGCTGAAAGCGCCATGCAGATGCGGGACGGCACAGCGCAGCACGGCAGAGTAGGCAGGGTAGGCAGGGTTTGCAGGGTATGTATGCAGTAGCGGTGTTGGTGGTGGTCGTTGCCAGGACGGCCTGAAAGCCACTTCGCTTAGCAGGCAGACAAGCTACGAGAGATGTAGGACCCATGGTTGGTTGGTTGGCTGGGTGGCAGGTACACACATGAATGATGCCCTGGCGTGCCTGATTTTCCCAGTTTTATTCCAGAGCTCCTTTTCTCTTTTCTCCATTTCCAGTGATTCAAGTTCGCAGGCCAAATACATTCACATACAATCACCACCATGGACTAGACCCGTCGTGCCGCTGAAAAAGAGAGTCCTCCGGCCCATATCTCTCGTAAATCACCCAGAATGACTCGGTCTGGTGGCATGTGTCTGCCGTGGATCCTCCCATGGCAGAAGAACATGACCCTGGACCCGATCCAGAAGCTCGTGACGGCGGCAAAAGACGACGAGCGACGACAACTCACCCGATATTGGAGAGAGTCGAAGCTGGCGGAGCTGAATTACGTGGGGTTGACGGTATGTGCATTTGTACCTCTCATACACTCTGTATTCCCTATACAGTCAGTTCAGGACCCTGTGGGCATGAAAATCGTCGAGCACGTACCTCATCCTTAATAAAGGGCCTTCCAATATGGGCAGCATCTAAACAAACCTCCAAAAAAGTAGAGCGCACTCGTCACCAGTGCATTTGCCAGTGCCATCGGATGGCAGACGGTCAACTTGATCCCGTATGTCCTGGGGATCTGGTTCGGGGGCCTCATCCTGGTCTTGACGTCCATCTTCATCGCGACCGCGCAGAGCATCGCCGTCTATCGCCTGACCACCAGCGACGAAGGCCTCGACGAACTGGCGCGGTTGTTGGGGTACAACACGCAAGATCCGGGGCGTTCGCGACCGCGCCGAATCCAGGTCCTGGCGTGGCAGATGCCCGTGATGCTGCTCAACCTCAGCATCACCTTGTTTCTCATCGGTCTCTTGTGCCAGATTTTCAATTCGTACACCATGACTAGGAAAGATGTCAAGGTGGGTAGCTACCCCTCTGGATAGGAGTGCAACGACGAGTCAGTACCCAAGCTAATCGAACTGATTATGGTGTAGGAGGTGATTCTCACCAGCATTGCATTGGCATTTGCTGTGTCTTGCTGGTTGGTCTCTGTGCTTACAATGTATTGGAAAAAGCCGTGAAGGAGGCTTTCTTCCTGGCCGAGATATCAACCTCAGTTTCTGGGAGCATCAAGTCTGGAACCCGGAACCCAGAACAACTCCCTCCCTCTGCAGATGTCGAAGAAGGCTGGAACAAGGGTCAGAAAAGATCCGTGTCGACCGCTCCACTCCCCCCATATTATCTTCGGAACAGGCAGGGAAAAGATAATCATGAGCAGGAGGAGCCATGTTCTTCTCAAGGATAACTCATTCTGCCTTGGTAAAGAAGAATCTGTCGTGTCCTTGGTCTGTAGTCTCTTTGTCCAAAATCAAATTCCATGTCTTGCCAACACCTTTGATAGGCGCTGGCTCATAGCCTGTGGAGCAAGCGTTACGGAGGTCGTTGACGAGCGAGAGCGAAAGTCCATTCTGAGCAAGAGGTGTCGTGGCAGACGAATATCCACTGTCGTGGGTTGTGTCGCATGCCAGATGTAAAGGTCCACCAGGCCTACAGTCTTGCACTTCCCCCCCAACACCACCGCTTGGAGCGAGAATTGTGTTGCAGAATACCGACACGTGCTGTCCTGCCCACGACGTCAACTCAGGTGGGCCAATGTACCACCGTACCAGACCGATAATGATGAAGACAACCCCCAAACCAATTTCTACACAGGCCGCCTGGATATAGCCACCGCGACCTGCAATCAGCCTGGTTCCCTCAAACAGAGGGTATCTCGTCGGATCTTTACTGGAGAGCCGCTTGATTCCGGTGATGCGGTCTGATCGATAGAAATTGTGGCCCAGAGACTCAACCTGGCGAGACTGATCTTGACGTATAGTTTCGATATCTGTTCCCCAGACCGCCATGTTTGCCCGCACAATGATAGACTTGACTTTTCTATTCACATAAGAGCTCTGGAATGATAGCGATCCACTGAAGCAGCCCGTCTGAAGAATGGGTCCGACCGAATAACTTGTCCCGTCATCGTAGTAGGTTTCAACCAGTCGCTGTGGCCCCGAGGGCGGATCTTTCGAGACGCGGCCATCCACGAGGTATCCCGTTTGATCCGGCAAGATATTCTGGCAAGTTCCGTCAACCACGCGACGTGCAACGATGAACCGATGTCGGTAAACACGAATTTCTTGTTCTTGTTCGATGGAAGCAGTGCCGAGGAGATCTGGATCTGCTCCCTGGCCGACGACAAGTCCAGCTCGACGAATTGTAATTGCCCCTGGAGACTGTATCTTGAACTGAACGTTGTTTGTCACGTCCGGCTCCAAGGTTTGCCAATATATGTCATGAATGGTGAAATTACGACCTGGTTCAATCACGCTGTCGACCACTTCAGCGACCAGGACGTTCTCAGAGGTGTACAGTATACCGGAATCTGCCCCGTTGAAGAGGGTGCTTGCACACGTGGCTGATCCGACCATGATAATTTGCCCCGTACCCATACGATCTGCGTCTTCTTCTGGGTCTCCTGAGAGTCGATGGATGAAAGCTTTGTTCGTCAAGATCTCCACGGGGTCTTGGTACACAAAGTATTCTCCAGGTACCAGAGGCTGATACGAAACCCTGTCGTCAAACCACTCGCTTACGCCGGTGCTCTCGTCGAGACAATGAGCGGGAGGAATTCTCAATGATATGAGGTCTTCGGAAACCTGTTCGCGTACTTGGCCCTCGACTTGAATGATGCTGAACTTGTAGCCGATCGTCCACAGAGCTATCATGGCGGAGGCCAACCAAAAAGTCATCACATACCATGCAAAGCCTTGCCTGATACCCAGAAGAACCGGAGCGTGAGGGAGGGTATTCAGGTACTTTGCATAAGGAAGACCTCTTGACCCTTTGGCAGTTGCCAACCTGGAGCAGACACAGTCATAGAGATGTTGGACCGAGGCTAGGAGGCTGAAAGAGAGCCCTGACACTATCAGCCCAAGTATAGCGGTCCATGCTTGAATCTGTAGATTGGAACCTATGGCAAATTGACGACGAAGGGAATCCTTGGGATCTGGCTCGCCACAGATGGTGTTTATTCCCATCAGTATCAAGCAAATAGCACTCCCAAAAGTGGTGAGGATTGATAGATATGGAGTCCTCCGTTTTCCAGTCTGTTTAGGTGCCATGCTGAAGACTTCGAGGGACGGATAAAGAGATGATTCGGCCCACCCTCCTACGGCCTTTATTTCAAAAGAACAGCATGGTGTTATCCGACCTCAATAAATCATCATGGTAAGCCAAGGAATGAGGCTGCAAGGCAGATTGGTAGGAAAGCCAAGACGACGCCTCTTTGCACCAATTCACGATGTCGCCTGGGACAACAACCCAAATGGACGACGTCGAGCGACGGTTTCCTTGGCCGACGAGAAGCATCAAATGGTGCCTTTGACCAAGGCAAGGGCTAGCCAATGGACGCATCTGGAACCATCAGCTTGTGGGGATCTCGAGCTGAAAGCCTCATCCCTTTGACGAGTGAAACTAGTGCTAAGCCACAGCTCAGCGACATCGGCACGAATAAGAGCCGAGTTGTGCAGGAAAGATGCATCATTAGCACTATTAATATAAAGTCGACTTTGTTGTGAATGAAACGAAGGATGAGATAGAGTCCTCGACAACGATAGAGAGAGACTCTGGGAGACTTGAGACGAGAACAAGGGCGTCCCAAGCAGAAACAAGGCAGGTGGGCCGAAGCGGCGTTAACCGGAAATGGCCGAAGGGGTTCAGGGTTGCATCGCTGCGTCTCTGCGTCTCTGATTCATCCCACCAACGAGTAAGAAAGACACCACCATCTCACAAAATATATTCTGGGTGCAGACGAAATTGTTTGCCCCGTGGCCACAGCGAGTAACTAGGCGTGCACTAGACCTTGGCTCACCTCTGCCTTTCTCTTTCACACCTCGACTTGCCCCTCGCTGTCACTAGGCCAGCCTTATCCAATCCAGATCAGCAGGCAGATCCCCCTCCCAGTGCGACTGCGTCTGACGTGAGGCTCTACAACACAAACACAACATTATGGCGCCCAAAAATCGCATCATCATCGACACCGATCCGGGCGTCGACGACGTCTTGGCCATCTTGCTTGCCCTCGCCGCCAGCGCCGACGACCTCGAAGTGCTACTGATCTCAATCACCTTTGGCAACGTCGACGTGCGCTCCTGTCTACGAAATGTCGTGGCCATTTTCCACATCCTGGAGAAGGAAATCGCATGGCGTGAGCAGCAGGGCAAACCAGTGGGGTTCGACGGTCTCACCGAATTCAAGCCGATCGTGGCCATTGGCGCCGACGAACCTTTACAAGATCGCATCGAGAGCGCCGACTATTTTCATGGGACTGACGGATTGGCCGGGACGCATACCAGCCATCCCCATTTCTCACCCGAGGAGAGTTGGAATAGGCTGTTCGAGCAACCTCCCCCAGACAGTTTCATCACCGAGAAGGCCAAGCCCGAAGTCGATCTCAAGGAAGACACCAATGCATTCATCCCTTCCCTCGAGCCTGCACACAAGGAAATTCTCCGCCTTCTACGGGAAAATGAGCCGGATACTATCACCTTGATCGCTATCGGCCCGCTCACGAACTTTGCTCTGGCCGCGGCAGAAGACCCAGAGACCTTTTTGAGGTGTAAAGAAGTCATCACCATGGGTGGCACAGTTGATGGCATCGGCAATGTCACGCCTGTATCGGAATTCAACGTCTATGCCGACCCCTACGCTGCTGCTAGGGTTTATGCACTGTCATCGCCCATCCCAGCGAGCACCATGCCCGTCGCCACGGAAGGCGAACGCAGCTTTCACCTCCCCCAATACCCTCCGCGGCTGTCCAAGCAGCTGCAGCTCACACTCATGAGCCTGGACATCACGGAATACCATATGCTGAGCCGTGGCGAGTTCAACACGTTTGCCAAGCCTCATCTCGAGGCCGGTTCACCTCTTGCGGCGTGGATGACGGCGTTCATGACGCCTATGCTCGACAAGATGGAACGGCTGCACATCGGCCATGAGGGCGAAGGCGCTGCACTGGCGCTACACGATCCGCTTTGTATCTGGTACGTGCTGACGCACGACGACCCATTGTGGAAAGCGAGCGCGCGCAGCCCCGAGGATATTCGAGTCGAGACTGCCGGCCAGTGGACTCGAGGCATGACGGTGGGCGACAAACGAGCCCGACGTAGGCGGAACTCGGACGGCGAGGTGCCTCATGACCGCGGCAACTGGCTGGGTAACAGGAGTGGCAATCGCGTGTATAGGATGCTGGAGAGTCCAGGCCGGGAGGAGGCTTCGAAGCACCTCTTGAAGACGATTTTTGGGGGATGATGTGTTTCCGCGTGCAGAGCAGGTTCCAGTGAAGGAGTGGTGGAGCCGTGGACACTCTTCAGTTCCAGGAACACCATGACTGCAGCAAACGCGTCCTTTTGTTGAGGCATCGGCTCGTCCGTTGACATTAACCATGATTTAGACACGAAGCAGAGGGCAGCTGAGTTTGGCCGAAAAACTATCAATGCCATGGGGTGCTAGAGTAGAATGATCTATCATAGATGGAAGTGAGCAGAGATTCCTCCTCACTGCTCCTCTTTACTTTTTGCTCGACGGAGGGTCAGTTACCCGGCGAGTCCCTTTCCGCGTGCTGTCGCCCTCGTCCCGTCTTCTTGTGGAAGTGCCACGTTACATGAATGGTGGGTAGTGATACAGTTTTATCTCCCCTCCCCCCACCCTTGCACCATTCCGCCCACAAACTCAAATCTTCAACTTGGCGATATCGATCCCCATCTGTCCCAGCATCTGTATATACGGCGGGAACAACTCGGGTCCCTCCGCCGTCAGACCCTGTCTCCAGTTCAAGCCGGGCTCAGCCTTGTCCATGGCCCGCTGGTACGCCTCCCTGGTCGCGATGCGCTGCAGATAGGCCAGGATGGCCGGGTAGGGCGACAGATCGGTCGGGGTCCACTGGCGGCCGGTGGTGAGAGTCCAGACGGTCATGATGTCGGCGAGGGTGAACTGGTCGCCGGCGAGAAAGGCGCCCGTGGTGGCGAGCCGGGCCTCGACGGCGGCGAGGTGCTTGTGGACGTTGGCGGGGATGGACTTGGCGAAGGCGTTGTCCGGGGCCGGCTGGAGCCACGCGGCGCTCATGACGCGGAAGAAGGCCGAGCCCAGCGTCGCGTTTGCGTAGTGGAACCAGAACAAGAAATCGGCGTAGTTCTCGTGCGCGGCCTCCAGCGACAGCGCCCCGCCGCCAAACACCCCGTCAATGTACGCCGCGATCGCCCCGGATTCGGCCATGTTGAATTCTTTGCCTGTGACACGGTTCGTCGTCGTCATCACCGGCGCGGACTTCTGGGGTGTTAGCCCCGCCAGCGCCGCGGGTGCGAGAATCGGGTCCCGCGTGTACGTCTTGAGCGTGTACGCGATGCCGAGTTCCTCGCATAGCCAGACGATGCGCTCGGATTGCGAGATGTGCAGGTGGTGGACGGTCAGAGACATGGTTTCCTATACACTTTTTTTCAGGGTAGATTTGGAATTGACAGTGTAGCGGTAAAAGGAGCTGACGGTGGAGGTTTGAGATGTAGATGGTGTGGTGTTGGGTTCGGGGCTTGAAATGGGATGGACATCGGAAGTGATTGCCTGCCTTACCTGCCTTGCCTGCCTTGCCTGCCTTGGCCGCCTGGATTGTTCTTGTTCGAGTCATGCATCCCGTTAGGGGACTCGTCATTACTCATTTGGGGTTGCCGAAGACACTAAACTCAACGCCTCTTTTCTTTCCTCGGTCTTGGCGGATATCAAAGTCACAACAAAACACGTCGCGGTCATGATGGCGATACCATAGCCATGATGAATCGAAACTTGAGCGTCGCAGAAATGTCTCTCACACTTAACTTGTAAAACCCTATCACCTCCTCGTGGTCTACAGTTCCCATCCCCGAACATCGTGTCGACTCGGTTTTGGCTGTGACGTTCTTCGGATCTTCAACGCCACCATGTTGACTTTCACGCCGGTGAGCTGAATTAAGCCCATGTTGTGTCGCTCAGGCAAGAATGGCAGATTGCACTATCAAGATGCGAAACGAAGCAAGAAGGGAAAATAAACCATCCTTGAACATGGAGGACTTTCCCCCCGGTCTGCCCAGCTTCGATTCTCCTTCTCCAGTTTCTTCGATTCAGGCGTTCAACTCGCTGAACGGTTGACTGCATCTTCTTTGAAGGCATCTATTTATTCGTCAAGATGCTCTTCGTCCGCTCTTTATGTCTTTTTGCAATCGTGGCTGTGCGGGTTTCTTCTGCCGCACAGTCCTGGCATGCTGCTAATGGCGACGAAGTTGTGACCATCACACACACCAACACGCACTACGTGTGCCCCTGCGAGACGAGCACACCGGTGAAGAACCTCAATCCGGTTCCTACGGGCGGCTGGGCGGATTGGGCGGCATCGGCATCGTCGAGCCCCCTCGTCCGTGGGACAACCTCGTCGCGCCGGACTTCGACTGCAGGTCCTTGGCCCGGATCGGTGTCCTCGAGAACTACAAAGACGACGACCGTCTCGAGCTCTGGTCCAGGCTATACACAGACCAGCAGCAGCACAAGTTCGCACACGGTCGGCGAGACCATCTCTTTCACGTCCTCCTCCTCTACCACGTCTACTGCTTCCAGCACAAGCTCGGGCACGGTTGGTGGGACCCTCTCTTTTACATCCTCGTCCACCACGTCTGCTTCTTCCAGCACTAGCGCGAGCGCGAGCACGAGTTCTACAGAGTCAACCACTTCTTTGTCCAGTATGGAATCTCCTGCCACGACTTCTGCTACCACCACGAGCTTGTCTACAACCACAATCTCTAGCACCACTGCCGATGCTACCTCGACAACCACTGCCACAACCACGTCTGATACCACTACAACCACTATTCCTACCACAACCTCTGACGCAACTTCGACCACCACTCCTACCATAACTTCAACTACCACCTCTGAAACAACCCCGACCACCTCTACTACCACCACCACCACCACCACAACCACGTAAGTTCCTTTCTGGGCCATGTCATCAGGGAGCCACTATTTGAGCTGACACAAACTGACAAACCCCAATAGATCCGTCAACGCCTGCCCGACGGGCACCTACGTGATCCAATCGAGTTCAAACAACAACTACGCCTGGATAGGAGAATACGTCGGGGGGCAGTACCTCGTTGTCTTTAACCAACCGGCCATCGAGACCGCGGCCGAGTTCTCCTGGGTCGAGGATGTCGACGGCACGTGCATGCTCGGCCCGACTGCGGTTCCCGGGCTGAGCACCTACGTGCTTGATCAGCCCGGCGAGTTTGTGGACTTCCACTACCTGTTCTTGTCGAACCCAGCCCTCGCGGCGGCTTCAGACCTGGAGCCCTCCAAAGTCGCCTGTAGCGTAGATTCGGCAAACGAGCTGTACTGCGCGGTCGAGGACCAGGATGTGTTGCAGCTGTTCAACAACGTCTGGACCATCGCAGCCACCGACCAGGGATATGGGACGGCCACGTTCACGTTGGTGCAGACTTTGTAAAGAGATGAAAGTTCACGTGCATAATGACAAGTTGTTTCCGGGTCGGAGTTGTGGCGTTACGAGTCTAGTCTTTTTCAACGTCACAACCTTGGGGATATACCGTCTTAGTGGAAGGAGTCTCAACACCAGATGAAATTCCTGGATCTACGCGAACGGCACCCGCTCGTCGAGTCGTGGGGTCATCTGGAGGGGCGGTGGGAAGGGTGATACGGTCGACGTGGTATATATGTATTTATGTACATATATATGTCGGCCTCGGTAGTGTCCATAGGTGCCTGGATGCTAGGTATAGCCAAGTAGACAGAGGGTGTAAGATGTAACTGCCTAGGGCCACATTGACACTGATACCAGCACCAACGCAACCAACAAGACACACTTGACATTGTAGGTGGTGTTTTGTCATGTGCGGCATTATATACCCCAGAAGTGCCTACAGTACATGTTGTGAGCCTCGGTAGTAGAAATCATGTCGATTCTTTTCTTCTCATTGTTCTGAATACGTAGGTGGGTAGGTAGGTACGCAGGCAGACCGGCAGGGAGTATTAACTTGCGCAGCGTGAGAGAGAGAGAGAGACATTACGTCAATAACTCAGTAAGTCAATAGATGGCCAATCGACGAACAGGGACACTCTCGCAGCCCTAAAGAACCCGCTTAGCCGAAGTGCCTGCCAAAGTAAATCTGCTTCGGGCGGGAGGATTCGGGGTTTTTCTTCAGGTACCAACCAGCCCTGTATCCAAACAGGGCCCAAACCAAATCAAGCCAGTTGTAGAAAATGCAGAGTGCACAGAGCTTCTGTCTGCCTATGTATGTATGTACGTACCTAGGTACATAGGCACGACGAGTCTGCCATAGGCATGGAATGTAGGCGGGCACATATCTCCCCTTTTCCTGTGGTCCGGACCACGGACAAAAGGCACACAACTACCTCTAAAACAGACATCGACTGGGCCGCGAATGGGGAAACCAACCAAACAATCGAGCTCACCAGACAGGCGCCAGACTTTCTGGGCGAGTGTCTCGATGACGCCGTCAAATTCGGCGTTGCGTAGGGCAAAGAAAAGGCAAAACCAACCCCACCTCCTAGAAAGAGAGAAAGAGAGAGGGAACTGTGGGGTACGAAACGAAATAAAAACGGCCCAGGTAGGGAGGAGGGTTCAAGGGGTGGATGATGCAAATCCGCCGAGGTTGACGCAGGCCGAGACAGGCGAGACAGGCGCGAGAGGGATCGATCGTAGTAATTGTGAGCAAAACGAGGTACCGATTTCATTCGATTCAATTCAGCTGAGCCACAAGCACGCCGTGCACGCTTGGGATCGGGATATTGTGGCTGGGGACTTTCTCGGCCGGTCTGTGAGAGCTGTCCTGCAACAATAATGGCACATGATCTTGATTGAGAGGCGCAAGGACAAAGTCTGCTCTTGTTGCTGGCCGATGGCTGGCTGGATGGATGGATGACTGGATGACTGGATGACTGGCTGTTGGAAAAAGTTTGCAAAATTCATGGCTCTTTCTTGTACAGACTTGGTTACTTGGGTAATACTTGGTACATATTATGCATCCCGAGGCGCATGCTCTGGCCGGCTTCTCTTGGTGCTCTCCACTTGCCAGCCCGAGAAGAGAACCACGAAATCCATTGCTCTCTCTCTCAGACTCTCTCTCTTTCTCTTTATTTTTGAAGTGACATAGCAGCCCAGGACCCAAACCCTCTGTTCTCTTCTTGCTTGATTGTCGCAAACACAGGTCGACACACTCAAAATCCATAGACGCAGACATGACTTCCGAGGCAGCCTCTTCTAGGGCCGCCGCGCCTTCACGAGAACCGACACATCCCTCCGTCATCAAGGTCGTCTATCGCCCAGGCGACTTCAGTTCCTACAGCGTCTCCACCACCTCTCTCCCGCCTGGAGCACTGATGGCCCGACTCACCAGTCCGCCGCTGACGTATGCGGACAAAAAGCGCTGGTCCAGCGTCCAGGTGTCGGAGAACAAGCACATCGAGCTGAATTGCGACTTCCTGTACATCAACCACAGCTGCGAGCCGAGTCTGGAATTCCACGTGGTCCCGCACTCCGAGGAGCCCGTGATCGAGGTCAGGGTCGCGACACGCCGGGACGAAAATGGGAATCCAAAGGGCGTGGAGCCCGGCGACGTCTTGACCTTCTTCTATCCCAGCACCGAGTGGGAGATGGACCAGCCCTTCCAATGTAATTGCGGGACCAGGAGCTGCAAAGGACGCATCAGCGGCGCCAAGGACCTGACCAGCGAGCAGCTGCGAGGGTATTTCCTCAATGCTCATATTGAGGATCTCCGGAGCATTCCCTCTGACAGCGAAGGTAACAAGAATGGTGCGCAGAGACAGGGAGGTTGGTGAATTGGTGTAAAAAGTTGTTCGTTTCCTGGTTTTCCTGGTTTCCAGATGCTTTGAGGACTCGCAGTCCCACACTGGGAGGCGAAGATTCTTTTTCAATACACTTACCATGTATGTTCCGGTCTTGATCTCGTCGACGGGAACCAGCACGGCCGATCTCGCAGAGAGCCACCAGGCGGCCATGCCAGTGACGTGGGGTAGGGACTAGTGTTCATATAGATGTGTGTACACACGAAATCCTTCTCACCAGCCGCAACAACCATTCCCCAGATTCTGTCGCAGAAATGCATGCCTATTCGCCATAACGTAGGCCGCTTTGAACTTCCCTTCAAGTCGACGAAGTGAGGCTCATCCTGGGGCTCTTGAATCAAGTCGGGACCTCAAAAGTGGAAAGGGGGGAGGCTAGTCGGGTCGATCACGGTTCGACCAGATCACCACAGTATCGGAAAAAGAAGCACGACCTTTTGCCTTTATGCAATTGATCAACCGTCTCGGAACTGTACAAGGACATATTGACATACGAAGATTACGAAGGATCGTGCTCACGGTGAAGCGACGCTATCACTGGGGGAGTCAGGCTAATCCTAAAAGGGAAGGAATACACTAGGCTGGTTTGCATCGACGACAGCAAAGTGGGTACCCAATGAGTGCCTATCTATGGGTGTAGATGCCTCGCAGAATCCCGCCACATGTCTGGACTAGATGCTATGATACTGAGGTCTTCCTAGGAAAGGTAGGCGTAAGCTATCACGGACAGCCGCGCACTGGCCGCCGCAGGGAGTCTGGACTACAAAATGCGGCGCGTCTCGTTCCGTTGACTCAGTCGAGAGCTGTTGTCTTTTGATTCTTCACATCGAATATCTAGCCTCACCCTCAAGATGCGCAGTACCTTTTTGTACAGCGTTGCAGCACTGACTGCCTGTTCCTCTGCTCTGGCCGTTCCCACCACCGGCAATAGTCGACAAACGAGCCTGCGAAAGCCGGCCGACGACGACAACTATGACCTCGAGCCGTCGGCAAACTTTGCGTTCTCGGGCATCACCACGTTTGCCAAACTCCCCTCCGTGCAGTGCTTGACGGAGACGGGACCGGTGGACGACATTCTGATCCTAGGATTTCCCTTCGACACGGCCACGTCGTACCGGACCGGCACGCGTCTAGGGCCCAATGCCGTGCGTCAGGGCTCTCGAGCAGCCTCTCTAGCGTACGTTCACTACAAACCCCCTTATGGGCTCGTTGGGATATGAGGGAAGTGACTGATAAACTTGAGAGGTAGTGGCCACTACAACTACCGCCAGTCAATCAACCCGTACAAGCACAACATCTCGGTCGTCGACTGTGGGGATTTGCCCATTTCGCCGTTCGACAACGGTCTCGCGTTCGCCCAGATGGAGGAGTGGTACAAGCGGCTTTTGTGGAGGGAGGTCAAGTCCACAGAAAGGGGAGTCTGGTCTTCAAAGGTATCCCCATCCCCCAAACCAGCCACCTATTTACAAAACCCCCAAAGGGGCGTTTCCCCCTTTTTCGAAGAAATAGTAATGTTGATTTCCCCCCTCCCCAAAAAAAGACCGGTAGGCACCACCCCCAAATCGTCGCTCTGGGCGGCGACCACAGCATCTCCCTCCCGATCCTGCGCGCGTTGAACACCGTCCACGGCAAAGTCTCGGCCGTCCACATCGATGCGCACATCGACACGTGGTCGCCTAAGGTGTTTGCGGGCGCCAAAGCCGGGAGCAAGCAGGCCCAGTTCGCCGACGGCACGCCGTACTACTGGGCGGGGATGGAGGGGTTGCTGGGCGCGAGGAACGTGCACGCGGGGATCCGCTCGTCGCTGGATTCCGAGAAGGACATGGAGCTCGACGAGGAGGTCGGCTTCGTCACCATCCCCGCTGCGGACATGCTGAAGCGCGACGGCGTGTGGGGCGTCATCGACCAGATCCGCGCCGTCGTCGGCACTTCTGGAGAGCCCGTCTACGTCTCCCTCGACGTCGACTGTCTCGACCCGGCCTTCGTGCCTGGCACCGCCGGCCCGGCCTCGGGCGGCTGGACGCCCCGCGAAATCATCCAGATCATCATCGACGCGCTCGACGGGCTGAACATTGTGGGCGTCGACGTCGTTGAGGTTCTGCCCTCGTTGGACCAGGCCGAGATCACGGGCATCGTCGCCGCGGAGTTTACTATCGAGGTATGTCATGATGTGATCACCTACTTCTCCTCCGAGTCAGCACTCAGGAGACTTGTACTAACCTGGAGACACAGCTTATTACCCGGTTGGTTAGGAACAGACTCGGTCTATGAGCCTGGTGTGTTTGTGGAAGGTAATTGTAGCCGTGTGGTGATTATGACCTAGCGATAGGGATTACTTATGTATGCTTCTCTCTCTGAAGTATTTCGTCCAAATGAGCGCCTATTCGGAATCTGAATCTGAATCGATGTGATGGAGATCAGTCGGCCACGGGACTTGATATATTGTTGATATGTCCACTTAAGCTGTCCATCTCATATTATACATCCCTTAGAGTCTGTCTCTTTCAAAACTGGAATCCTCATCCTTGACTAATCTCTGAGGAGGAAGAGACATGAGAGGTATTCTTGCGCGGGCAATTGGAAGACATTTCCGGAAACACAAAATGACTGCTACTTATGACAAGGACTTTTTCATCCACTGTTGAACTGTCTGTGGTGGCTGACAATACCTCTTAAACAGATCCTCCAAGCCACCCTCATCTGTAATAGGAGATCTGATTCTATATCTCGAGCCATGCTCGGAAGACGTCCTAGTATACACATCCTAGTCCGATGAGGCATGTAACCTAGAAACATCTCTAGCCAACTGCTTCCACCGAATGGTCAGAATGCAAAAAGACTGCAGGACGAGAAGAGCGCCGCTCCCTGAGATGATGCCCGCCCACAAGCCAAAGACGCCGTACTGCTTGCGAAAGCACAGGAACCACGCCGTCGTCAAGCCCACGCCGTAATACGCTACGAAATTGCAGACGCCCGCCAAATGAGTCTTGCCCGCGCCTCTTAGGATCCCGCTGGCGCCGCCGTTGGAAAGATCCAGGACCTGGAAGCCGGCCATCAGAGGGAGCACCTGGGCCGTCTTTTTGATGACGGCCTCATCGTCGGTGAAAATACGACCGTAGCTCTTTCTGGCAAGCATGATCCCGACGAATTCGATGGCCCCAATGATGAATGAGAGGAGGTATGGTGTGGCCACTGCTCTCCGCGCTTCACGACTCCTGCCGGCACCGAGAAAGCCAGCGATGCGGTGGCTGGAGGCTACACTTATCCCAAGTGCGACGGTCGTGAGCAGCAGGTCGGAAGACATCAGTATCTGCGAACCAGGTTAGTAGAAGTACTCGGCTGGCTGCGTGGGGTTGAAGGCCTACACTCTGGGCTCCAATAGAGCTGGGGTCCAACCTTGCAGCCATCATTGCGAGTATCTCAAAGCTATGACACAGGTCAGCCTCAAGGAGAACAGCAGAAGATGTTCCAGACTCACCTCCACCATTCTGTGGCACAAGTAAAAATCCCCGTGACGGCATAAAAGAGCAAACGCAATATCCCCTTCTCGATGCCAACAACAGACCCGCGCCAGGTCTTTCTGACGGCAGGCTTCCTGGAAATGATGCAAAGAAGGGCAACAACCGTGACAAATTGGTAGATGCAGAAGGCACAAGGCACACCCCAGAGACGCAGCGTCGTCCATCGAACAAGCACGAAGGTGACTAGAACCCCGAAGCAGCTGGCCACGGCAGTAGACACTCCGACAATGTTGCTTTCGCCCTGAACCTGCAGAAACTTCTTCAACGACTCGGCCACAATCTGTAGCACGCCGGACGGCAACATGAGGACCAGAAACTTGCCTATCGCAAAAGCAAAGTCTGGCTGCTGACCCAGGGCGATGAAAAGGTGTCCCGAAAACACCCAGATCGGCGCAAAGAAGATGCCAAAGATTGCAAGCAATACAATCAAGCACTGCTGCAAGAGGAGGCCGAGGATCTTGGGATTGTCTGCGACGGAGTGGGATGTGAACGCCTGACCGCATAATGTATCCAGTGCTGTTGCGCCGCCGATGGCGATCATAGTGCCGGTGCAGGAGAAGAACATGAACCCGAAGGATGTGACTCCCAACTCGAAGGAGCCCAGACTGCCGCCGACTATCAAGGCGCTGATTGCTTGTACTGCGTTTTGCAGAGCGAAGGAGAGACATATGGGAATCGTCCGACGGATGAGCGCACCAAGGTCGTGCCAGATATCGAAGGCGACATCCTCTTCCTTGGAGGCAATGGACGAAGTCCGGGAAAGGAGCAGGCTACGCTCGTCGACAACGTTTTCTCCCATGCTGATGATTCTTTGTGGATGGCTGTGTCAATGGCACGCTCAAAGCACCGGAGGGCGGTGAGTTATGTAGAAGATCCTTGACCAAGTACATACTGTCGATAGGGCATGTGTACGTGTCCTCCGACACTTCCCAAGGCATTTCCTGTTCCCCACAAAGTATGCCGAAGGACATGTCCGACAGATGTAGATAATAAATAATCCTCCTAATAATCCGTGCATTCTGCTTGATACGCCTGTCCATCATCTGATTGGCCAGTTCGCTTTGGTGGTACTGCGCTAAACCTAGAAGGGAAGGCCGACACTATCTTTCTTTGCCCTCCAGATCCGACTGCATCGACGTTTCTTTCCTCCTTCACGCGCATGAGCATCTCGACAACGAGGAGTCAACTTGGAAAAAGCGAGCATTGGATATTTTGAACTGCCAAATGGGTCTTGCCTGCGTCGAATCGGCCACCGGAGCAATCCTATCCGCTGCGCTTTAGTGGCTTCAGCGCACGCGACTTCGGACCCTCTTCAACGCATCGCTATGGCATCTGCTATTGACCGGACTGGCTGATCTTCCTGCACGCCACCACTGCAAGCACAGCCTTGGCAGCTGACTATGGCAGAAATGGAATCTACTGCAAACCAGCGTCCTAAAAGATCCCGTTCCGGATGTGACGAGTGTCGCCGGCGCCATTGGAAATGCAACGAGGCGAAACCGACATGCTCTTATTGTCAGAGTGTTGGCCGTGCCTGTGTTTACTCGCGCAAGCTCTCATGGGGCGGGCGTCAATTCAAGAAGTCCCGTTTCGGCAGGTGTCTGGAGTCCGGGGCAAAGGCTGTTAGTATTGAAGCCTCGAGTCGTAAGTTTGATGACGAGTGTACCGAGTTATCTGGCTCACGTTGACAAAGACCAAGTATCATCGGGTAAGGACTTTATTTATACATGTTCGCCTAAAGGGACAGACGATATTGCGAGCCGTGAGGGAAGTACATCTGAACTTGGGCATGGAACGTGCGAAAGACCACGGGACAATAACGCGGATTCGACCCTCTGTCTCGAAATCCCTGCAGCACCTCATCCACCAACCCCCGCTCTGATGTTAAGAGAAGAATCCAAGCCGCTATTCGACTACTTTATCAACAGAGTCACCATATCAATTTCTTGTCACAAAGGAATTCAAGATGAAATCTGCTCAGTCATTGTCCCCATGGCGATGCAGGTTCCCCATCTACTGTCCGCCACGCTTGCTCTAGCTGCAGCTCACCGACATACATCCGGCCTGTTTGAAGGCGACTGTCAATTTGAGCTCATGAAGGGGAGCAGTCTGATGCAGTTGAGATCGGCCTTGGACCGGTTCAGCCCGTCCGAGAATGACAAAGTCCTTGCTACCACACTGCTCTTGTGTCTAGCCGACGTGATATCCCCGGCTACGAGCACGTCGTCATGGAGGTCACATCTGTATGGTGCTGCGACCCTCTCTGCACAACACAGCCGCTCGAATGGTGCCAGTATATCATCGATTTCGAGTTTTCTCAAGAGGAAATACCGGGCGCTGCAGGCAGTTGCTCTGGCCTGCTGCTCTAAACGGTTCGAGGCGCAGATACTGACCACGCCTTACGATGAAGTCGATGCTCGTATTGACGACCTAGCCGGGTACTCTACGACCCTGATGCCGATTTTAGAGGAGATCAACGACCTGGAGCCACTACGGGAAGACGGTGGTTCTGAATTCTCCTGCGACTCCCCTCCTGGGCCACCACATTTTGATTGCAGCTCGCCTTTGGAGCACAAATCGCATTTGCTGTTCGACCGCGTCAGAGCACTAATGGCGAAAAGGAAGATGTCACGGACGCAGGGTGGTGGTGGACATCTTCCATCACCCGTATACCACGACCTATATCTCGTGGACGAAGCCTATCATCACATGGCACTTCTACAGATCTTTCGCCGTGGATCCTTGTCCGTCCCTCTGCAGGTGATTGACGACAGCAGACGCTCAATCCTGGACTGTCTTGCCGCCGTGACATATCAATCCGGCCCATGTCCAGGCGTGGCCACGCTGCCACCTCTGTTCGTGGCGGGCACCCTCTGTAGGACCAAGTCGGACAGAGACCAGGTGCGCGGCTTGCTGAGGACCATGTGGATGCACTATGGGATGGGGAACGTGAAGTCTTGTCAGACCGTGTTACAGAGGTGGTGGAAGCACCAGGATGAGAGTCTCGCGAAGTCGCCTTTTTCAGAGAGGCTGTATGATTGTCAAGGTAAGATGGAATTTTGTGTCTCTGCCATGTGTCCAGACTGACCGGACAGCAGTCGACGATGATGTCCTACCGTATTAGAGGACGGCGTTCTAGAACAAGTCACTCGGAAAATGCCCACTTCTCGTGTTCAGGGGTCAGTCTGTCGGTTGTCGGGTATCGCAAGCAAGATACGCAGATCTCTGCCTTCCGGGCCGTGACGCTCTCTCCTTGTGTGGTTAGCCGGGTATCCAAGCACACAGAAATCGAGATCGATCTGATAAAGATCATTCACAATATTTTACCCCTGTTGGGTGCCTGTCTGAATATGTACGAGGTAGTTTTGCGCGGTTGAGCAGTCCGCAATGTCTTTTACCCGGTCACATGATGTAAGATCCAGCCACGTGAGAGCAGCCCCCAGATTAGCGGTCCAATCGCTGAGCCTGGAAAGCGGCGAGGCTACTAAGCAGGGAGGCCCGGGGTTTGAGTGGCAGTTCCTACCGCCGCAAAGATGTCCGGGCATCACCCAACAACTGGTGCCCACCACCCTTCGTACAGGTCCCCTAACAAAGTATTTCTGATGCCCTCAACTCCCCTGTGGCGCGCCCTTTCGTTCTCTAACTAAAAGCACCCCAGCGTAAAGAACCCTTCAGCCCCGTCTCGCCCATTTACTGTCTTACCCACAACACGCGTGGATTCCCACCAATTTTTTTGATTTCCCGCCTTCTTCTCGTGTCAATTTATTACTGGAACAGAAAATAATGTCGGCCTTGACTCCATCTCTTTATCGTACACAGTGCTTGTCTTCTTCGCTCTTGTCTCCGTTATCGCGTCACAGTCCCTTAGCACGCACGGCACGCTCATTATCTGCTACTCGCTGCTCCCCCGCACGTCTCGTGCATCGGCATTCGCACGTCCAATCGCCCTCAGCATCCCCCACCATCGTTTACAAGTCGACCAGGCTTGCCAGGAAATTTTTCAAGCTGGCTCCCTCTCGCTCACGTCCCTATTCCCAAGCCTCAAGTCGTCTGAGCTTGATCTCACGACACCTGGAACAACACCAGCAATCCTCCTATCCTCGCATCAACACTCCCTATACGATTGAGCTGGACTCGCTGCCGGCCTCCACAGACGACATTCCCTACGTGCCGCCAGCACCTCCTGCCGATCTCGCGAAAACACCCTCTCAGATTCAGAAACGTCAACTGTCCACCTCATCCGCCGCCAAAATGTCCTCGCAACCTCCCCACCCTTCCCTGCTCATTCCGGGGCCTATCGAAATAACCGATGAAGTCTCTCAGGCCATGAGTCACTATGCGCAGTCCCACGTCGGACAACCATTTGTCAACACATTTGGCGAATCCCTCACACTATTGAGAGATCTATTCCAAACCAAAAACCCCGGTTCTCAACCCTTTGTCCTGGCCGGCAGCGGCACCTTGGGTTGGGATCTCGTGGCAGCCAATCTGGTGGAACCCGGTGAAGATGTTTTGGTGTTGCACACTGGCTATTTTGGCGATTCGTTTGCGGACTGCCTGTCAACCTACGGCGCAAAGCCTACGCAATTGAAAGCCCCCATTGGGGACAAGCCACAACTGCCCGAGATTGAGGCAGCACTAAAGGAAAAGAAATATAAGGCGGTGACGGTCACACACGTCGATACCTCGACCGGAGTGCTCTCGCAGATCCAACCTCTTTCCGACCTCATCAGGCGTGTGTCTCCCGAGACGCTTCTGATTGTGGACGGCGTGTGCTCTGTCGGAGGAGAAGAGATCAACTTTGACAAGATGGACATTGATGTGTGCTTGACCGCATCTCAGAAAGCCATCGGCTGCCCGCCTGGTCTCTCGATCGTGATGGTGTCGGAGCGGGCCATGAACGTGTACAAGTCGCGCAAATCCAGCCCGGGAAGCTACTATGCCAGTTTCAAGAACTGGACGCCTATCATGCAAAACTATGAGGCGAAGAAAGCCTCGTATTTTGCCACTCCTCCCACCCAGCTGGTCCAAGCCCTCAATACGTCGCTCAAGCAGATCCTCGCACAGCCCCTGGAAGCGCGCTTCGCCCAGCACCGCAAGGTGAGCGAATACGTCAAGTCGAAAGTGGCAAGCCTGGGTCTGAAGCAGTTGGCCACGGACCCAGCCAATGCCGCCAACACCATGACGGCAATTTATTTACCCGAAGGACTCACTCCTCCCGAGATCCTCCCCAAGCTGATGTCCCGGGGAGTTGTTTTCGCCGGTGGCCTGCACCGGGAGATTGCGGCGAGATACATTCGTTTCGGGCACATGGGTGTCTCTGCCATGGACGAGTCGAGGGGAGAGATCGACAAGGCGCTCGAGGCGTTGAAGGACGGGTTGGCAGAGGTAGCGAGTGCCAAGAGCAAGTAACCGTGCCATCGTTGGGTAGAGCCATAGCAAGGAAAGATGGGTCACATGGACTTGAGGGAGCAGAAAGCAGCAAGGAGAAAAGACTGCAGGTATCGTGCAAACGAGCCCCCAAATGAACGTCCTCGAGACGGACGCTGGAGCAAGTGGTGGAGACGGTGTGGCATGTATTCTTGGGTTCATTCGAACCAAACCACGACGAGTCGATAGATATCTGGGTCATGGTCAAAACCTACCTGGCGCTATATACATACTTACGTACCCAGGTACCGAGTACATATGAAGACACCCAGAACACAACACGCCACCCTTGACTCTAGATATAGATGCCAAAAGACATGTATTTGCCAATTACCTAGGTACCTATAGTAAGAAGGTAGATAGATCCTCGTGGTTCTTTTTTGTCTATATCACCCCACATGCCTTGATGTCGTTATTACCAAAGTCATTCACCCAAGTCGTTATCATGAAACAAAGATGAACCAAACCCATGACATGACATGGCATGACATGGTATGGTGGATGTGCCTGTTCATCCTCCCATTCTCTTTCGATATTCAAAAATACACGGTCAAACAGGCAGACAGACAGATAGGTAGGTCGGAGAAATCCTGACTCGACTCGACTCGATTTCCCGAGACCAGAACGCCGAGCTATGCGTGAAATCTGAAAACTGTATCGTAACATAACACATCACCAAGAAAACCATCCAGTCTATTTTTCCTTTGTGGTTTGTGTGTAAAGTCTCCGGTGCTCTTATCCGATGTGGCGCGCAGGTTGAAGGGTCAAATGTGGCAGAGAAAGGTAACGAGGATGAACAGATGGTGAAAGATGAAAGATGAAAGATGTCACTTTTTAGGCAGAGTTGTTGAAGCGACTCCGCGAGCGGATCTTCTTGCCGTATCGGTAGAAGAAGAATCTACAACACCCAAGAACAACGGTGGTTAGTTACATTTCTCGGCCCCTGAGTTTATGGGAGAAAACTTACGGCAGAGGGACACAGGCCAGAGCGAGGAAGCCCAATAGTGAAGAAGCCCACTGGTAATTGAGGTTTTGATACACTGAGGAAAGCATATGTTAGTACTCTGAAAGTTCCATATTACACAGGAAGGAATAGAGAGAGAAAAGAACGGCTAATGGATGGGTGTCAACACTCACTTTGGGTCCCAAAAAGGGGGAATGCGCCCGCAAACAACAGTCGGACGAGACAGTTGGCTGCCACTGCGCTGGCGGCGAATCCGGGGTACTATTTGGAACGAGTTAGATACGGGAGGTGCTTGGAACGACTAGGTAGAGAAAAGACAACTTACTGCGTCGACAAGAAAGGTCAAGATGCCAGTGAAGGCCAGGAACAAGCTGTGTGTTGCCAGACGTCAGCAATTATTTCATTTCCCACTTGCACGCGAAGAAAAGGAATCACATACCCAATGCCGAAGACCGCACTGCCGATGATGGGCACGATCCAGTGCACGCTCGAATAAGTCGTCCAGCCGAACCAGAACAAACCAATGGGGACAAGGATGCCCCCGAACATGGCAGGCGGCAAACGATACTCTGGCTCGGGTTTGATGCCGACCTGCCCAGTCTGCTCCTCGAGCTTCTTCACCAGCTTCACGTAGTTCTTGTGCCAGAATGGGTCGGTCAGGACACCGATGGTGATGCCGACGAGGAGGCCGGTGAAGGTCAGCCCAACCTGGTACAGCGAGAAGCCGTGGTTGTTGCCAAAGACGAGCGGGAAGGCGCCGAAGAACAAATATACAATCCCCAAAAGGATGGCAGCGTAGATGCAAAGCAGGAGGCACATGGGCTCGAAGAATAAGAGCTCAAACGGCACAGAGCACGAGTGTATGACGGTGCCGAGGATGCTGCGGTCGAGTTTCTCAATGGGTGCGTACCACTGGCTATCTCCGGTGTCCTTGCGCTTCTGCTGAGCGCGTTTCTTGAGGAGGACTTTGTGGTAGGTCTCGGGCACGAAGAAGATGACGAGGACCAGTAGGACACCGGTCCAGATGAGGAGCATGTAAAAGGTCCATCGCCTGGCCAAGTGTCTCTGGTCAGCGTTGCCATTAAAGAGAGAAAACGGACAACATACCATGTGGTAAACTGATTGATCAATCCGCCAATTATCGGCCCAAGTGCGGGACCCAGAAAAGGCGAGGCTGTGAAGATCATCATTGGAAACTCGATATCCTTGGGCTCAAATAGATCGGCCACAGTCCCCGCGGCCACAGCGAGGAACGCGCTGCCCGCGAACCCGTCGAAGAACCGGCACACAATCATAGTCTGGATGTTCTGGGCCACGGCGCAGGGGATTATCCAGATGAGGAAGAAGAACATAGACACGATGTAAATGGGCCTTCGACCGTAGAATTCGGATAGCGGGCCCAGCAGCATAGGCCCAAAGGCTAAGCCCACGACAAACAGAGACAAACCCAGGGTGGCAATCTCTCTGGAACAATGGAACTCTTTCATGAGCTGCCCATAAGTGGTGGTATAGACGGACGAGGTAAATGTTCTGGTAGGTCTGAGTCAGTAGCTGTAACAGAGCGCAGGCACAACAAAGCCGTCATCCTACTTACACGCAAAGGGAAGCAACCGAAGTGATCAACACGATGATCCATTTCCTTGCGACGTTGAAGTTGCGTGGATTTTCCTTGTCGCCTGGTCCATCCCAGCGGACTTCGTAGGGGGTCGTCTTGATACGTTCCGCCGAATCCTGGTCAGTCTCGTCTTCCTCGACATCGTACACTGAGTAGCCATCAGTAGCCACGGAGCGTACGCGGCCCACGGTTTGCGACCGTGTAGCTCCTGCCCCGGTAGCAAAGGTGGAGGTTGGGTGAATGGTCTCTGCTTTTTCCAGGTCGATATTGGACTCGACTGGGGAACCGAGGGTGTTGACACTGGTGGAAGAGGAGGAGGCATCTTGGGGTCTCTCGAGATCAGCCATGTCTGTCACCTTTTGTCTTGTCCTTTCCTATATCACTGTCGGATGCGCCAAAGCCTCTGGAGGATATATTCAAGAGCTTGTCGCAACAGAGGATGTTCTAGGTCGATGTCGACAGTTGTCAATGTACACAGAACACGGCATCGCATTCCAATGCTTGGGAATATATACAGCATTGTCTGCTACAGCCCTGACAAGCGTGATTCGTCTATATCTTTACCCAATCTAGCACCGCGGGCTTCGGGGCTAGGGATTCCTCCAATGACGAAGTCGTGAGCGATTTGCAGCATTTTAGATCCGAGTGTCGACACATCCGGTACGACAACCTCGTTAGTAAGCGCCCAACATGCCAGTTAGCGATAGATGGGAGATGTGGGTGAGGATGCGAGGATGTACCTGAGACTAGGGGTTGAGGAGCCAGAGCGGACCCAGTCTTCTCGTACTGCTCGTACTGCTCGTACGTCCTCGGCGATTAACCTCGCTCGTAGAAGGAGAAAGTCGGGTTTTATGATGGTGTTTCAGTCTTTGTGTCTGTACCGAGTACTCAATGATTCGTGGTTTGCTCCCAGCTCTTCCAGGTACACAGACATCTTGTTGCAGGTATAGATCTTGGGGTCTCAGGGATTGATTACTGCACGTAAACAAGACTCTCTAGCAGTGATTTATCAGCAAAAGTATGCGACGTCCCAGTATCCGCAGAAAACTCACTTTGTCGTTAAGGCTGACTTTGTTGAGTTTAACTCTTGTGGTGTAAGCAAATTGGCGATGGCGTTATTGTCTCTTGGGTCCCAGTGTCGTATGCTCACTGAATCTGAAACCATCCCAAGATCGACGAAGAGCCCATGCCAAGTAGAGCGAGATCTAGGTACAGATGATAGTTGCTGCTGACCAAAGCATTATTACGTCGTTGTACTGAAGGGGAAGGAAGTCGATCATGTGGAAGCGGGAGTTGGTCTTGTACGAAGTGTTGCAGTACGATAGACTACCTCATGAGCGACGCCCGCAACGCCCCCTACGTTGGGTCGGGATGCTTATCCGATAACGCCTAGCCTCCCTAAGCCTCCTGCGGGCCTATCCAGTCCCGCGGTGTTCAATCCTCCCATTATTGCGTGCGTGGCTTGCATGTCCTTATGGCCGCCAAAAGCCCGTCTCGTCGCACATCATGCCAACAGGTACATTGTTGTCCGATATCACCCGCTTGCTATCAGATATTGTAAACAGGGATTGACCACATCAAAGCAGTTCAGGAAGAGAAAACAATGTCACCAAACGATCAATTGCCAGCCCAGGACGGCACGCTCTCCCAGCGCCGCAATGACCAGGACTGCCTCTCTCTCTCTCACTTGAGCAATGCCTGCCTGACTATCTTGCCCAGCCCAGCTAATCTATCCCGTGGCTCGTTCGAGAAGACAATCCGTATATACTGAGATTCTTCATCAGAGCCCCAGCCGACCATCGGGGTGACGCAGGCTCCTTGTTCCAGGAGTGCTTCCGCGGCAGCATCGGCTCTCCAACCCAGCGTGTCGACACGCAACAACAGCGACCATCCTCCGCTCGGCTTAGCAACGGGCAATCCCTCGAGTTCCTTCAGGCACAGATCCCTCCGAAGCTGCAGTTCGTGAACATAATCGGCAATCGTTGTCTTGGACTTTTGAAGGGCCTCCTTCGCAGCTAGTTGCGCAATACCTACAGGGACAACAACATTGGCCATTGACACTAGGCCGATATCCTGCATAATGTGCTCGGGACCGACAATCCAGCCTACTCGCCAGCCGATCATGCGCAGTTCTTTCGAGGCCGAGCCTACGGTTATGGTCCGATTCGCCATATCGGGCAGGGATGCTGGGTGAATAACCTGCAAGTTGTCGAATAGCAGACGCTCCATGGCTGCATCATATATCAACAGGATATCATGCTTGACACAAAGCTCAGCAATGAGCGACCAATCTCCCCGGTCGAGGTAAGCGCCGGTCGGCATGCTCGGGGACATCAGAAGCATCGTGGTTATCTTGTTGTCTGGCGACTCGACTACTTCTCGCAGCTTCTGCCGGTCCAAGGACCACAATTCTCCCGGATGAAAATGGAGGGGGACCAGATGTGGGACTCCCCCAGCGAGCCGGACACGATTGAGCAGTCCGGCGTACACAGGTCCCGGCAAGAGAACACCATCCCCTTCTTCCACGGTAGCCAGAAGGGTGTTGAGTATACCACTGAGACCCCCGGCCGTGATGATGCAGTTTCCCTCACCATTGTATTCGACCGCCCTTTGGGTCATGGAACTCACATGCTCAGCGACGGCATTCCGCAGGTCAATCTGGCCGAGGAACGGTAGGTAGCTGTTGTCGTCATCGTTTATGGCAGCAGCAGAGGTCAAAGTCTGCACAATGTCATCGGGAGGAATGTCGACGTCAAGATTCTCCAACCGTAGCAACTTGTCAGGGAGAGTGCCTCGTTGGGACTGTTTCCCCGTCGCCTTGGCCTTGTCCGCAATGTTGCCCATCTTATCCACCCCTATCCCGTGAAGGGCCTGAACCCTTTTTGGTCGGTTGCGGTTCATGTTCACGCGAGCTCTGCAATACTAAAGAGAGAGGTGAGGTGGAGGGTTGAAGTTCCTGGAGGTGTTGATCGAGGATCTCGAAGACGTAGGGGAGGTTAATAAGAAGAGTAAAAGTTACGCCTTGTGACATGGTCGGCCATCCGTGGGGCACGCCCAGGAATTGTGAAGCTCAGATCTCTCGGATGCCATTATCACCTGTAGGGAGTCGAGCAACACTTTCGCATCGCTTGTGGAGAACGTCTGGGTAAAGGCACCCTGAAAATGAAGATATAGCATGATAGAGAAGTGCCTATTGAGGACGTTGCATGAGAATTATTTCGCAGCCCTGGAGAGCACGTACCAACACTTACATAATGCTGGGGCTGCCCGAGCCGCCTAACTTGTCCCTTAGCGTCCACTGGATGATCGACCCGGGACACCCGTTGGCCTCCAGGCGCCTAATCCTCCAGGCGGGTGGCGCCTAAATTTCACCTGTTTCGCGTCAAATTGCGCTGACACTATCACTGGAAAAAAGGCCCCTTAGCTTCCTGCGTCCCTAAGTAGATCGTCATTGTCAATACAATGAGAGGTGCATCTACTCGTGCCCCCCTTCTGCATTCTGAGTAAATATAAAGCCCATATGGATCTTACTCTCTTTCATCCTGCCAACTTCATCTGCTAATCAAGGCCTCCATCTCGCCGTAGCGACTTGCAAACTCGGTCCGACGCAGATCTCCAGCACAAATGATGAGATGTTACACGGAGCACGGAGCGACGTATTTTGCCATCCAGCGCCTCTCTTGCGTGATGGCCACACCTGCTTTGTCCATCACAAACCACCACAACACGTTCCTTCTTCCTTTCAAGATGCAGTTCTTGATAAGAATCAGTCCTCCAGACGATAGTATGATCGGGACATCCATCTCGAAGAGCAAAGACGGAACAGGAGATTGATACCGAAGCAAGAGAAACGAGCCTGTCCTGGGGGGCTGCACGTGACTGGCAGGGTGACCAAGAGAGACGCCTGACGGATCCAGCCATGTCCACTGTGTTCGTCGGCAGCAGCAGGCATCGACACCTGGACGATGAGCTGGCCTCGAACAGTTCTTCGATCTCTCTAGACGAGCAGGCCGAAGCCCTCCTGAAGCCACCCGAGAAAAAGACAGATCCAGCGATTGCGTCACTAAACGATGCCCCTCCCCTGGGTCTTCCCCATCACGAAAAGAGGTTTTGGTTCCAGAGAGGTCAAGCGTATGATCCTCATGCTATCGCAACTCAAGTATACATCGCCGCTCGTGGACAACTGTACGGAAGACTGATTGATTTGATAGCCAAGCGTGTTTGATAACCCGGACACGGCAGGAGAGTACCAGCCCCGACCAGATTGGCATGTTTTGTATTCTCCCTCGTACTGGAGCAGCGGCTAACAGCCTGTCAAGGGAGAACATACATCACTTTGACCCGTCTGCTCGATGGACCTGGGGCGAGGAGTACAGGTTGATTCGGAAGATTGATGTGCGGATCATGATCTTTGCCTGCATCATGTTCATGGCACTGGAACTTGATCGCGCCAACATCACGCAAGCCTTGACGGACGACTTCCTCAAGGACCTTCATTTGACCACCAATGGTGAGTATTTCGTTGGTGCACAAGGCCTAGCTTTGGGGATACCTGATAAGCTGACCGCTTCCTCCAGACTACAATCTCGGTAATACAATTTTCAAGCTGTCCTTCCTCTGCGCTGAGGTCCCGTCGCAACTGGTGTCCAAATGGGTCGGTCCCGATCGTTGGATCCCCATGCAGATGGTCCTGTGGTCCCTTGTCGCCGTGACACAGTTCTGGCTCAAGGGCAGGACTACTTTTCTTGTCTGTCGGTGTCTGTTGGGGGTTTTGCAGGGCGGCTTCATCCCAGATGTGAGTAGACGGAGACACCATAAGAATACCATCCGCCTTGTCATGAAATTTTCTCACACAGCGATCTAGGTCATTCTCTACTTGTCGTATTTCTACAAGCATCACGAGCTGTCGTTGCGGTTGGGCTTCTTCTGGACCGCCATGAGCTTGGCCGATATTACCTCTGGCTTTCTGGCCTACGGGGTCCTCCACATGAGAGGGGTGCAGCAGCAGTCTGGATGGCGATGGTTGTTTCTGATTGAGGTACAACGTCGTTATTCTTCATGTACATCGATTGCAGTTTGCTGACGCAAAGAAATATGCTAGGGGCTCTTGACATTGTTCATCGGCATTTTGGCGTTTGGGCTAATGCCTGCGTCTCCCACGCAGACTGCAAGTTGGCTTCGGGGACGCAATGGATGGTTTACACACAGGTAGGGACGCTCCAGAGCTACGAGAGGACGATCGCTTGTTTTGCTGACCAAATGTAGAGAAGAGATCATCATGGTCAACAGAGTGATCCGAGACGATCCCAGCAAAGGAGGCATGCACAATCGGCAAGCCATCACTCCCAGCCTGCTATGGCAGAGTTTGAAGGATTTTGACCTGTGGTGAACACTGCGTGCTTGTTGTCACGCTTCTTCCAAGTCTGTTACGCTAACCATACTTCTTGGTGATTAGGCCACTGTATATCCTGGGACTCACGTTCCAGATCCCCATGACTCCTGTCCAGCAATATCTCACATTATCTTTACGCGGTCTCGGGTTCGACACATTCCAGACAAACCTGCTTGCGATTCCGTATACCGTCTTCCACAGTATGTGTCTCGGACTAAAGAATCACCAAATGGATGGGCCCAGTTAACAACCTTTCTCTACCAGTGATCAACATGATGCTCCTGACCTACGTGGCCGAGATTTTGGGAGAGCTCACGTTGACGGCCATGACGGGCCAGCTCTGGGCGCTGCCGTTCCTGATCTTCTTCAACCACGTCGACACGTCGCAGATGAACAAATGGGCCATGTGGGCCGTCACGACGCTTTTGTTGAGCTACCCCAATGGTGAGCAGAGACCTTTTTCTCTCCCCAGGATTGTCGGAAAATGTAGGGAAGTTTGTTCAACTAACATGGTTGACACATTTGCCTTTAGCCCACCCGATCCAAGTCGGCTGGAACTCGCGCAACTCGAATGCCGTGCACTCGCGCACCGTGTCGGCGGCCATGTACAACATGTTTGTGCAGGCCGGGGGTGTTATTTCGTCGAATGTATACCGTCAAGGTGAGTTTTTGCCCTGCGGTGCCGATAGAGAACGATGTTCACTTCTCTTGTCAATTTCCCCATGACTCCAATCACACACACACACACACACACACACACACACACACACAGATACGTGTGCTAACCGTGTCTATAACAGACGACGCCCCTGGCTACAAACGCGGCAACCGCGTCCTCCTCGCGGTCAACCTCGTCAACATCGCCCTCTACCTGGCCACCAAGACGTACTACGTGCTGCGCAACCGGCGGCGCGACAGGCGGTGGAATGCCATGACCGAGACGCAGCAGTTGCAGTACCTGGCCAGAACGAGGTCGAGGGGCGAGAAGGACCGAGAGGTGGGGAATAAGCGGTTGGATTTTCGGTTTGCGCATTGAATCCCATACACCCATACACCCATACACGCATATACACCTCTGCACACAGCGAGATATACACAGACAGCCACATACGTATATACACGACCCTTAAGGAACGAGGAGTAAGGAGGAAGGAGTAAGGACTGAGGAGTAAGAACGCGGAGTGAGGAGGATGGATTGAAGAGTAAGGGATTGCAATTCTGGGAGCCTTCGTTCGAATGGTAGTCTCTATACCCCTCGCTATAACTAGGCCATGGAGCGAGAGACGAATGGATAGGTACATCTACACATACACATACACAGGAGAACACAGAGACAGAGAGAGAGACAGGCAGGGAAGGGGGGGGATTGGGGTGTAGGAGTGAACGAATACACCCTTCAACCACTACCCACCCACTACGTTGGTCACCCACCACCTACAACAGACAGACCGGGGGATAAGCACACCACACCACACCACACCACCAAACGAGGAAGAAAAAATCGAGAAAGAAAAAGAAAAAAAACATAACGCCGCAAAATCCCAAATACAAGTAAAGTAGCTCAAATAGATCCAAGTAGATCAAAGATTCGTTTAAATCAATCATTTGGAATCCATGAATCCATGAATCATTGACTTCATCTGTAATCTGGTGCTCTTGAGCGTCAATCGTTTCACATATACACTGCATTGCATGGCGTTGGTGAGATAAACCCTCGATTTCTTGCAACAATGGCATCACTCATGTCTCTTTAAATCTCTCCCGTGTATATACATATATGTATATATAGACGTCTTTGTTGTGTGTGTGTGTGTGTGTGTGTGGGATCCCCTTCCCTCCTCTTCTATGTCGTTCCCTACTCTACATCCCTTACGCCGGTCCTCTGCTCGCACAGAAACATCTCCTCAAAACATTGAACGGTGATGGATGGTGACGACGACAACCAAGTCCACATGGCACATTACCAGCTAAGTAAACAGTCAGTACATGACAAGATAAAAGAAGGAGAGACAATGGAGGGGTTTTAAACAGGACTGGAGCGCATGCAGAGATGGAGGAAACTTACCCAAACGACTCTTCAATGTACTCAACGCCTCGCTTGCCCTCCTTCAGCGACGAGTGAACCGCTGCCCTGGCCTCATCGGCCATGCCGCCCGGACCACAGGTCAAGATGGCGATGCGGCCGCCGGCGCTTCCAGCACTGTTGACGTCGTTGATGATGGTCCGGATCGTGGCCGAAATATCCGGCCGGCCGCGCGAGATGCTGAGCTTGTCGCTGATGCTCGTGGCAGGGGTGCTCTTGAGGTCAAGCTCCTTGCTCTCAGTCATGGGGCGGCCATCATCGCTGTCGTCGGGGCTAGCGCTCCGCACCTGCTTGGCGGATGTGGCATAGAGATGGATGTGGATATCCTCGCGGTCAAACATGGGCTTCAGCTCATGTTCAACCACGTTGCGGATCATGGCGGACTGTCTGGTCGCCCAGATCAGGGTGATGTCCCTCGTGCGCGTGGCCAGCTTGCCGCCGTTGCGTGATGATTGTGCATTGTTGCTTGCTCTCGTGATATGGTCTTGCAGGTAAGGAATCGCACCAGCAATTCCAGTGCCGCCGACAACCATGATGACATTTTCATATGTATGCAAAGCGCTGTGCTCGCCATATGGGCCTTCAATGAAGATGTGCGGCGTGATGACTCCGGTGGGTGACTTGAGGCATTCCTCACGGAGACGCTTCGTCCAGCTGCCAAAAGGCCGGATAAGGAAGGTGAGTTTCTGGCTGCCGACTTTCTCTTTGAAGACGGCGAGTCTATGCTGCGATGGGTCTGGCGTCGCGTTCGAGGACGTGGGAGAAGATGAGCCCGTTGCAGACACCCCGATATCCTTGGCTGCTGCCAGTGTCTCCACGTCAGTGCTGTGGCCGGCACCAGGATGGACCGTCACGACACCGGCCGGAGTAGACTCCTTGACGGTCTCATAAGACGCCAGAGTGAATGGGTGGTTTTCGTATCCTCTCCACTTCATGGGCTGGTACAAGAAGTAGTGCTGACCAGGTCCTGGTTTGAGAATGCCCGATCCAGGCACGATCTCGAGTCTGATGAAGTCGCCATCTTTGTCGTAGGTGGCCGACGCAAGAGAACTAACAACAGCGTGGGACCACTTGAGGTGAAGGTTGCAGTATGCCCAGCGAACGAGACGTGCTCCACGATCAAAACACCATATGGCCACCAGCGGCCACAGGTAGCCGTCGTATTCTCCGTCGAATATTTTAGTGTGACTAGATTGCAGCGGTTAGCTAGTGAAGCGCACAGGACTGAGAAGGCTGGACACTTACTAAAACAAGCCGATGATTGTCGCTATGGAGAGTCCGATGTGGATGAGGAGGAAAATCTCATACGACCTGACGCGGAACCACATGAAAGAGAAGAGCAGCAGCAAGGACATTGTGATTGTGGCCTGCCATTTGCATTAGTACAGCAATAGATAGTAACTAAGTCGAGACGTCGAGCGCTTACCATTCCTCCCATGTACCAGTACTGTTCGTGCCACGATTCGCTGAAGTAGCCGACTATACAAAAATTAGCATGCCTCTCCCAGGGTAAAAAACCGTGAATAGAACATACACCCGCCCTCCAAGACTGACCACCCCACCGAGTGGACAATCGCCAGGATTGTAGCGGCGCGAGCAATGTGTCTGTGAAAGATGTTGAAGGTTGAAAAACTCCAGCCAGTCAGCCACAAGAAGATGTTGTTTCTTCCGGCGAACAACCACAGCCAGGGCAACATTGCGTAGGAAATGATGCCGGTGCGATCGGAGATGTAACGCCAGGCCTGTTGAGACTTGGTATAGCTGGAATTCCGTCAGCATTTGTTCTTGAGGATAGCTTCCGAGAACATACTAGAGGTTGGGGGAAGTGATGTAGTAACCAACGCAGCACAAGATGAAGGTCATGATGTAGAAGGCGACCAGAACTATCGTCTCCATGCGTGTCGGTATCGTGGACCACAACAAGGGACGGTTGTGGTGGGAGCCAAATGTCGCTGGAATGATGATCTGTGCCCTGAGCCAGTGATGAGCCGACTGGACCCAGGCGACAGGTCCCGAACGAGGCTTTTTCTCGCTGGAGGACGCTTCTCCTCCCTCGACATCGTCCTTGGCCTTCAAGCGACGAGATTGAGAGACATGTCTCATGAGACGGTTGATCATGCCGATTAGAAGCAAGCCTCCCCAGAACCCGTACATGGACCACCTAGAATAGTTTAACACACGTCCTGAACACTTTATGATATTGGGCAGGGAGAGGGTACGCACCCGTATCTTTCATGGAGGATGTATTCAAGATCGAAAATGGTCTGTTTCCTCGTCAGCACCTAGATTCAAGCATAAACAGGACAGCAGGGAATCAAAGACGTACGGTAGTGTCTTTCGCAATCTTCCAGAAGGGCTTGGAAACCACGACGGGCGTGTTGAAGATCGTGAGGGCCTCGACATCGCTGTACTCGGCAACCGGCAGAGACTTGATGTATTCGTCGGTGAGGATAGGGGCCACCTCGTCATAGTGGACGAGTTGGACACCGCCATATTCCTCACAGTAGGGCTCATAGTAGGTTTCGCCAGCTGTAATTTGCTCGCGAGTGCAATAGAGCTTTGCAGTAGCCCACATGGATCTCACCACCAATTTGTTGGTGCATGACTTGATATAGTAGTCAGTATCGGTGATATTGAAAGCGAGGTAATCAAGGGCAGTGCGAATGCCATCAACACAGTCCCTCTTGCCGGCTGCGGCCCCAAGTGCGAGACCGCATAGTAAAAGCCCTGTATTGAGCGTCTTCATGTTCAAGGCTGTCCAGCAAAAAGCATATAGGAGTATTGAAGGGGGCACAACCAGGGCAGTAAGGAGACATGCTGGCTAGATACCTGGATTTATAGCCCAATCCAGGACCTCGTCTCTTTTGCAAACGACCTGAGTGGATGGCAAAATGCATTGGGGAGCACCTGACAATACTGCAAACCGACATCGAGTGGACACAGCCAAAGGCCCTGGTGCCCTTGGTCTGGAGGGTCACTCCAGACCTCTCGATCCCGACAACATTTCAAAGGACTGGGATATGCCAAAGCATACCAGATGGGTGCCACATCGGGCAATTGTGAGTGGTCGTGGTGGAGCCGCTCCTCACATGTCCGATCCAATCTTCAAAGATTATCAGCGAAAATTTTCTGATAATCTTATCAGATAAAAACTCGCTTCCGGTTTAGCGTGATGCCGACAGGACGTTCAACTTGACAAGTGTGACAAGCGTGACAAGCGTCGACAAGTCAAGTCTTCCATCCCACCGAACCACTTGGTCGGTGGGCTCTTCGGTCATTGACGCCTTATGTCGGTCAAAGTTTTCAAGGGAAGTCTCAGAACCTTAGAGTCAAAGCTTTTCCAGTCCGGGATCAAGCGTCATGTAGATCTGCTTTGCTCCAGAGGTCTGGATTGCGACAATGCATGAGGGACCAAATGCTACAGGGGAGCATTTGCAACATGACCGATATCGGCCACGTCTGTCTCTTGCATCTGTTCGATATCTTGTCCCATGTAGGGCTACCGAATAGAGGGGTTAAACGTACCACAACGTATAAGAGCATGTCTCGACGAGACTCTCCTCCCTCTTGAATAGACAGAACCTTTTCAAAGTTGCAGGCGATCGCTTTCCAGGTGATACAAGCTGCCGAGTGTGCATGAAGCCATCAAACTCGTTGAGCGATAGAATTCGATCGTCCTCACAAGGCAGTCTCTGACTCGACCCTGCTGTCGCCAGCATCAGTGGGTAGTTACCATCCCGCCAGAATTCTAGGCCAGAGTCTCCACAGGCGTAACTAGAACTCTCTCCGCGGCAGAACCTAGCTGCTGTGCATCGAGACGCTGTGGATCGTCCTCTCATGATCCAGCTGATGGCCGCAGGGCGAGAATGAAAAGTTGTTGGTGACTCGTAGCGATTGGAGAAGCCATCTATCGTTCCCAGAACGGAGAGAGTATCCCCTGCATGGTGGGTACCGTCATGTACTGGTAGTGGTAGGTATGGCATCCGGTCTCTCCGCACATGGCACCCTGCAAAACTCCATCTACTCTTTCGAATAGTCAAGGTCAGACAGGACAATATCTCGCGTCTCTGAGGCGACTTCCTTCGAGACGGGGGTAGTTTGTGCCGCCCAACCTGAAGCCCCAAGGTATTCGGTGTATAGCCTTTAGCACAACTGCGAGGAAACGCCTTGTCCGTGGAGATCAACGACACAGAGGCCGGACTGGGAAGGAGAAAGGTTTCCGAATGTGTCCGATCAAGGCAGCAAGCGCTCGCGAAGAGTGAGCTGATCTTTGTAAAGGCGTGACCACGCTGCAGGGCATGTCAACGAGGCTAATTCTCTGGCGTCTCTTGGCCTCAACGTCCATCAATCGCCCTCACATGGTGAATCTGCACGATCGCACGATTCAATGGGACCTGAGAGGTCAGTCAGTGCCCTTGTCGTTCTTGGGGGGTTGCAGGCGCTGGCGCTGGCGCTGCCCATCGTCGCCCTTTCCGACGTGAAAATATTTTCTCTGCGATGGCCAAATAGAAGGCGCCAGAAGCAGATGACTTCTCGTGATCGCAGATTCGGTATGGGACATCCAAGGCTCAAATGGTGAGAGTTATCAGATGGAATGTGAGGCTGATTTTGAACAAGCGCTAAAGTGGGCAATGCTCGGCAGTATTGGCTCAACTATTTGGACTACGGTGGCGCAGAAGCACGTGCCACGAAGCTCCCTTGGAGCATCGCTCTCAGCTATGTACAGTATTTGCTTCTGATCCAGTCTCCCTCCCCTTGCTTTCCTCTCTCCCTCACAGCACCCTATTTCTATTATCACCATCTACGGGTCTCTCTTTTCAAATCATCTAGAGCAACAGGGCCAACGCAGCTCCACCGACCAAGGCAGCCGCACCAGCCGCACCAGTCTTCAATGGTGCACTAGCCAGACCAGTGTAGGTGGCAGTGGCTACAGTGCTGCTAGCTGTTGCCGTGCTCGTGCCCTCGTTGAGCGGCCATGCGGGCACACCATCTTCAGTGCCATTGACGGGCGGATCCCAAGGAGCATCGGGATTGAGCACATTGTCGATGAAGACAACGGCACCTTCAGAGACAGCAAGGTCGACATAGTTGACGCCGGCGTTGTTGATGAAGAATTCTCCTTCAGCGGTAGACGAGACTGTCAATGTCTTCCCCGAGAGCGTGGTCAATTGCGTGTTGTTCTCAAAGTCGTCAAAGTGCCAGACTTTGCCGGCCACCACATGGTATTTGAGCACTTCGGCTAGTTTCTCGTTGCTCAGTTCCGAGAGAGCGTGGTCGACGGCATCGAAACCCTCATTGATGGGAATGAAATAGGTCGCATCGTGCAGCTGATCAATTTCTTCCGTCAGGCCAGTCTTGTTCAGGGCGGCGACATAGGAGCTGCCGTTAAAGTCGCCCGAGGTCACAGTGACGGAGAGAGTTGGGGGAATGGTCAGCACGCCGTTGATGACATAGATCCATCCTTGAGCAAAAGGGATTGGCGTCGCGGGAGCCTCGGGGTCGTGGTCCAAGCCGGAATAGAAGCCAACGACATCCTCGTCATCATCGTAGTAGAAAGCGACGTTCTGCCCGCCCGTCACACTGGTATATTCGTGCGAAGTCAACAGTGTGTGGACGACCTGGTAGTCTGTGATGTTGTCGTAGCCCCCGTCAATCACATGGTAGAGCAATAGATTCAGGAGGTAGTCCTCGCCAGCACTCTCAAGTGCCTGTCCCTCGGGAGTTTTCAGGAACTCGGCAATGGCCGTGTCGTTTGGCGCGAGAAAGGTAATGTTGGTCTTTCCAGCAATAGCCTCGAGGAATCCAGGGACCTCTGCCACCACTTCACTGATGGAGGCGGTCCCTTCGGTGGAGTTGAGGACTGTGACCAGATCTGCCGGGGTCTGGGCCAGGACAGTAGTAGCAGCAGCAGCCAGAGCTGCAAGGACAAGACTTTTGGGCGCCATCGAGATGGATGAAGAGTAACTATGACCAAACAAGTGGGTTATGGAAACGAGAGACAGTTTGGAGGATGGGAAGAGAGAAAAGCGACCTGCACGAGGGGGGAGCAGACAGAGTATATGTGCCTTTTTGTCTTCCCAACGACTCACTCCATCAACCCTCGGGAAACCAAGTTTCCTCTGGGAAGCTCCAGGTGTATTCCTGACCGCTCCATTGCGCGATCGGTTTGACTAATGCAAATATGAAGGCGTGCTGGAAGTCGAGCACAAGGGACTGTCAAGGACCAAGAACAAGATGGATGAAGCCTTACCGTACAAGTCTAGCCACAAGCATTTTCCAGAGTCATAGCTTGAGGGAAGAAGCTGTTAGTCGGAAGTATCGAGGTGAATAGAGTACGAAGCAGAGATTTTTTTCCTCTTGTCTTTTCGCTTCCCGACTTCCGCCTGTGTGTATCCTCCCAACCGACGTGATGGCGGCCTATCCGGATAGGCAGCATTCGGTCGTTCCAACTTGCCCAGTCCAGCCAGCCTGACATTCACACACAAGAGTCAACGTAGGAGGCTTGCAGGAAAACAAGTTTCGTCAAGCCTATTCTGGCATCGTCCATGGCGACATAAGCTTAGGATCGTCAAGCTCTCCAGCGCCGACACCGGCGGGATCAGATGATGTTGCTGTTGAGGGCCACAGAAGCACGACGACGAGGGTGGTGATGTGAAGAAAAAATGCAAAAGGACCCATATGGCGCCTTGGGCGACCAATCTTATCAGATAATTATTATCAGATAAGATGAAAAATTCCCGCCGATGTGGAGTTTGTAGAGGGGCAGACGAGGAAGTGGGAGAAAGCAGAAAGAGGCCTGATCCCGGCTTCTGCCAGCTTTGTACAGTTTCTGTTTGTGGACAAGCTTGACAAGCTTGACAAGGTACCAGCTGGTAGTAGCTGGTGCCAGAGAGTATTATGGAGCAGGAGAAGATTCCCGCCGCCAAGATCTGCACCAACCGTCGCCTACAATGGTTAAAGGGACGAAATCGGTTTAAAAAAAACTGTACTTGCAGTGATTTGTTGCATGTGCCGGATTTGACCGATTGACCGGTTGACCGATTGACCCGACAACACGATCAGCGATGCGTCTAGACCCCCGCACAGGTTCCCAGTCATGGAAAGAGACTCACCTGGTCTATACCCATTTGGTCTGTTGTCCCACAAACTCACGTCTCCATCGACCACCGGCCCTGTTTCGGAGAGATAAAGGCAATGTCAGACAGAGCTCACCGTGCCTAAGCGAAAGGCCACATGTCCAACCACCGTTTTTTCACAAAGGTAGTGGGAATGCCACACATGGACCACATGGGCCTCGGAGCCCACAGCAGGAGGATACTCACGGGAGAGTGGAGAGTGTCGTAGCAACGTGGCTGGGAGGGGGAGGAATTGAGTAGCTACTTGCACATGGCTCATGTGTAGAGCTCAGAGCAGTGGTTCAGGGGCACCTCAGCCTCGTGGCGACCCCCCACCCGATCTACTCGGACCACTGGGCCGAACTTCGACTCAGTATAATGAGAGACTCCTTTGTACCCGTGGTGCGAAACGAGTTTGAATGGGATTCGATCTGACATGGTTGGTCCTTGCTTCACAGTAGCATACAGCAGTTGAGAGCTCCAGGCACGTGGAAAGTGTAGGGATGAGTTTTGACCCATCACGCCCAACCACCTCTTCCGACTGTGGCTTCTCTAGTTTTGAACCGCTCTTCTTGTATCGGGAGGAAGCTCTATACTGGAAGTGACCGGAAACTCACGGCAGAGTTACTGGACCCTGTGGTGTTGCAGGTGACGAGTGTGTCGGAACCACTATTCCATCCACCTGCCACAGTATCGCAAACACCAGGCCGATTGTCTCACAAGTTGACCGGGACGGCCGCTCCTCTGATGGAGCCCGTTGTTTTTCATCTCACGCAAGCCCATGCTCCTTCTTTAAGTAGTACCTCCTCTATTCATGAAACTCCAGAACGAGCCCTCACCAAAGTCACCACGAAATTGCTGCGGCACCTCACTCTCAACGTTGCTGTCCCCGAATCCAGCTCCAAGCCCGCCATCAAAATTATCTTCCGACATTGAAAACGGCTGCACAATGGCCAGGTCATTGTACGTCAGATCCGCGACTGGTCGAAAAGGCGTCCCATCAAACGCATAACTGGAGCTGGCTGGTGGGGCCGATGTCTGCGTTTGCTGAAGGGGCGTACTCCAGTCAGACATATCGCCAAAGGATGAATTGCCGCAGAATAAAGCGGGTTGCTGTGGTGGTGGTGGTGGTGGTTGTTGTTGCTGCTGCTGTCCTGCCACAGGATAAAGTGTCATGCCGGGATGCGAGCCGGGCGTTACAAATAGCTCCGAGGAGTGAGCGTCTGATCTTGGACTGCTAGACTTTGAAGTCGGTAACGGTGACGGCTGGTTCTTCTCCGCTCGCAGGAGGAGATTCTGAATGACATCGGCACCCTGGCCAGCAACTTTATTTGTGTTGCGGATTGTATTCAGTCTGAAAAGCGACTCCCGTATGCATCTGAAGGCTTCTGGGACCAAGTGTGCATTTTCGTGCGGAAAGGCAATCAAGACAGCCAACACCGAGACGCATGGCTCCACGCTCAAATAGGCGAGTGTGAACATTTTGTAGTGATGGAGAGATAGGGAGTCGAAAAATCGCTGCTGGGCATCCAACATGTGGATGGCAGCTTTCAAGATCTCGGTGCGGCTCTTGGAGACTGAAAAGATATACGGCCGGTGGAGCAGGAGGATGAAGAGCCAAATGGTCGCACAGAAGAATTCCCGTTGTGATGCCAGCATCGGGAACTCTCCATCAAAGGACCTGTCTGGGTTTTCGAATCGGTAAATGGCGGGGATGTTGGCAATATACTCCAGGGCTCCTTGGTGAAGACGTTCCACCTTGCCATAATCTCGCGGATACGGCCCTTCCAGCTCCAATTCCCGGATCTGTGGGAGGTGTTTATGTATATGGTACTCGAGCAATCGCACTGTGAACGTATTCGGTTTCTCGTAATCGCTTCTTTGGAACGGGGCAGAAGAACTCCGGTTCCTTGGGATGTCGCAGTCGGTGGGTGGGACAATGGTATAGTCATTGGCCTTGAAATTGAGTGGCTTGCCCAACACCATGCCCATCTGACTGCAGTTTGCCGTTAGTCACCCAGTCACCGGGCATCAGCGCGTATTGTCAGCCAACTCACCTGTCCCAGAGGTAAAGGTTCACCATCAGACGACGCCGTAGCACCATGTTCCACAATTCCTCACATGCGCTCTCTGCATTACTGGCGTATAGTTTGCCGTCGTCGCGATGGAGACCTATCTCTTGCGCATTCATGGTCGCTTGCGCGACGACATGCCATGATTCGACAATCATCCCCCGATTCTTGAGCCATGCCGTGCGCAGAAGCTGTGCTGCGATATAATCCAAGTTGATAACATCTTTTGGAAGCAGGCCCAAAAGCCGCATTGCAGGATCGTCGGACGGGCCATCTCCTTCCACAGCAATCCCTTTGATACAGAAAGTGTGGAGGTTCTCAGAGTGGCCAGCCGGTAGGAATTGTAAGGCGCACACGAGGACCTGAAAGAGGAGAGCTGAAAACACCAGCCTTTCGGAGGGAAATGTGCCTTCTGCCTGGTAAAGAGGCGAGGTGTGGTGATGGTAATAATCCTCCAGTTTGGTGGTGAAATGATTTCTATCAAGGATGGTATATTGCCAGTTGACCTCGTCGAAGAAGACATTGACCAGGTCTCTCACACAAGCTGAACATGGCAGGAGTTTCAGCACAGACTTGTAAATCTCGTAGGCCGCCTGGCACAGCGTCACATTCTTCTGCTTCTGCGACGGTCGAGGACTGCTGCCCAGCTCCAGGTCCTCTAGTTTCTTGACAATGCCCAGCGAGTTGTGCACGTTGACGTTGGAATAGCCGAAACATGCGAGATCAGGGCTCCATGTCTCTTCCTTCGTAGAGTGGTATTCTTGAACCACGAAACCGGGCGCCTTGGAAAATGCTTCGACATACGGTTCCTCGGCGGCTTTTTGAGAGCGACTGGTCATGAATCAACAACCGAGAAATCCCCAGAAGGAAAACGACTCACCCCGGAATCGCATCTCCATAGAAGCAACTATCTTGCTTTCCTCGGAGCACGCAGGTCATGCATGGCGTTTCCCTATTGCACTATTCGCTCTGGTCAGTCCCCACGAGTGACTGATATGTACTAGGAGGGTCCTTCAAACCAACCTTCTGTTTGCTGTGGCGACAGTTGGTGCAACTAAAGGTGATGCGCATCCGTTTCTTTCGTATTTGGTCGCCCGAAAGGCCTGCGGCATGGCGTCGGGTCTCCATGGGCAATGACAGGGTCGCCGTCGACAGTACATGCAATGGTGTCTCTGTGGAAAGAGGTTTCTTGAAATCCGAGTCCTGCGGAGTATCGACTTTACATAAAGCCGTGGTGCCGTAAGCGATCGATGACTTAATATCCTGCACGGACGCCGATGAGATGGAGCATTGCGGGCGAGACTGGGCCATGTCACTATTACTCAGCACCTGCAGAACTCAGGGGAGAGAGATTCAGGGTGCCAGGCACTCAGGAGAGATTCTGTACCGTCGGATAGCTGAGTATTTCGCCTGTGCCAGTCGGATTGCACGTTGCCCGAATCACACCTGGATTTGCCGCCTGCTTCACCGGATTTGGGGCGGGATGGCGTGAAGAACAGGGAAGAAAGATTCCCCTAGATTGGCCAGCTCCGCCTAGTCGACGGATCCACGAATCCACGGGCTGAAGAAAATAATCCTCGCCTGCTACAGTGGCAGTTCGGTTGGACTGGCTCCGCTCATCCGCACTGACGCTTCCGCATATACAAAGTCGACAGAGCCACTAAGGAAATACGCTACTCGACTTGCAGCAGCCACCAGCGACCGTCGTCCTAGGGAAGAGAAAAACAATGGACGAGACAGGGGAATTCTCTCACCAGCAGGAGTCGCTAAGCATCTCACGTTACGAGGAATTGACACAATGAATGTGTTCAGCCTCGCCACGGAGTTCGACCAAGGCAATGCCCTCGGCTGGAGTGAGGGTACCTATCCGACAACGAATCGGCTCGAAACAGGTGATCCTTCTGAGACTTCTGGCCGACAGACCATCCTCCTCTCCTCGCCATCGCAGTTCCAGTCGTCCAAAGTGGTCAGCGACACTGATGTTTGGAGTGCAGGATCTACAGCCTATCTCCCGTCAGGATATCTCCGCGGTTGAATGGGTGCCTCTGCCGCTCGTGGGACTCGACGGTGCAAAGATGCAGGAAAGCAATCAGGCGTTGACAACAATCCTGCTCCGAGGCAGGAAGATCAACACAATGATAGATCCTAGCCTGTCGCCATCATGCCAGCTTTCTTGCACTAGCCCATCCCTTGATGACCATGGAGCACGCTTGATCAGCGTTCACCTAAGCCTGCACGGGTTGGCCATGTCGACATCACCTGGGTGTTCCGTGGTTCCAGCAAGATACCATACAACGTCAAGGCATATGCAACATGTGAAGCGATGGGTATGACTAAGATGTGAGTATTTATGGTCGCATCTTGAGCTGGCGCTGTATTCTTGCCCATCGTAGGCACTTCAGCTTTAGCAGCCCCGCTGGAGTGGGTATGTATGGGCTGATCTCTGCTGCATCCATCGCAATTTGTCAAATTGTGGTCCGGCGCAATTGGAATATCGCCAGCACATGTTGCCAAAGCGCAGAATCGCTTCTGATAGTCGTTTCAGGCTGACTGTACAGGCTCGGTAGTTGAGGTGGGGGACGGGTTCGAGACATCGTGGTGCCTGTCAGATGTGTATCTGGAGTACAATGGTTCAGTCCACAGGTAGGCAGTCTGACGTGTTAAAGGGGAGAACAAGCATGCCCATCCAATCGCGAAAAGGATGTAGAGGCTCCGCAGAGTTTCCGGAGTGGTGGCTGGATGAGGAGGAGTCTTTCATTATCGCTTGCGCCCACGGGTTCTCCGCTGGAATGCTTTCAGTTTCGCAAAGGTTATGCCTATTACTTGACAGGTTAGGTAAACATGGCTTCCAATAAGGTGAGCGGGACAGGGTTCGAACTCAGGATCCAAGGATTCTTGAACGCGGGACAAGCCTGCCGAATGGAAGAAAGCATCATTGTCACCGTCTTGTGAGAGAATACCACAGATTTTCACCCGGCAACAAAGCATCTCCCCCAGTGCAAAGTCTTCGGAGCAATTGATCAGTCGAGGTGGCAAGCAGTCTCAATAAATGTTCAAATCTTGCTCGAGTTATGGGGTGAAGGCCCGCCACCTACCTCTCATGAAGCCGACGACGCTGTTGTTGCTGTTGACGCTAGGACCTAGGCTAGGAGTTAAGCAATACCACCATCGGGCCCCAGGAGAGCAGAGAGTAGGACGACTGCGGATCAGCAGTTTCGATCAATGGCAATGGCCACAACTCTCTGTTAACGAGAGCCACCAATGCTTGAGGCGACCCTGATGGCTCCTAGGGCCGAGGGCACAGACAAGATGCACCCGTTGTGATGCGGAAAGGAGGAGTCACGGAGCGGGTAGTGCTGGAAAGGTACACAGGGTTACAAGGTTATGGGTCTGTGTCCACCCTGCTTGTGTCAAAGTCGAGAGAGACGATAACAGCTGGTGTGCTCGGTAGACTCTTGCGCAGGGGGTTGCTTCGAGAAGTGATGGCAGCTCATCCCTGTGTTTGCACCCAGACCTGAGGCATTTGAGGAGGCTTTCCTACCTGTCCAGTCGCTTTTTTCCCTCGGTAAAGGGAACTTGATGGGATCAGGCGCCTGGAAATTGATCCATAACCTTGAAACCATAGAGGTCAACGGAAGAATCGTGCATTCATGCATCCGGCGGTTGGTTTCCTGATAGGTGGTTGGTGGCGCAAGCAACTAAGGAGGGCGGTGGCTACCCTTTCCCGAGGCCATTGATTTGGATGAGAGCAGTCAAAACTGTCTCCTTCAGATGACTCCAAGGCAGGGGTTCCATCTTCTGTCGTCATCTATTTGTTCAGCGAAAAGCTCCCTTCATGACCCTCTTGTCTTCTGAGTGCGTTCCCTCGACAAGGCCATCATGCTTTAGCCCTAGCCTGTCTCTCATTGTGCGTTGTCTCCGAGCAGTTCTGTTAAGCCGACCTGAGGATTCGTTCGCGTCCACTTGGATAGCCAACACACCCTGGCCTACACCAAACTTTTTGAGGCTTATGCAATATCCGCAGGAGTAAGTGTGCTGTCAAATGCAGCGTCGAACATCTGCATTCGCCAGAAAAGCGTCCACCCAGCTTCAGCACGGCGAAAAGCAGAGCCACACTCTCGGATCAAGACTGGCAGTCTGTGCCTAGCGCGAGCGTGTGAGGAGCAACGAACAACGTTGGGGTTTTTGGCGCAGTTGACGTGTCCCGGTTAAATTTTGTACGCATCGACATACGTATCCCATGGCATAGTGACCCGCGGTTCGCGGTCTCGACGACGGGCAGGGCCTTGAGGTTCAAGCCGCCTTGGAGCAAGAACAAATCGGATCATTGCGTGGTGAGGTTGTGAATGAAGCTCGTGGATCTGTGCCATGATTGTCGCCAGTTTTAGATTCGTCGTGCTTACCTAAACCGCAGTCGGATTTGCAGGCACCCAGCATGGCTGCTGGACTCGGTGCACGCGTAACAGGATCCTTTGAAGCACCCGAGCCATTCCGACAAGCCGCATTCCGACAAGGCTGCGCTGATAGCATCCTTATACGATGGTGAGTGAGGAAAGTCCATCCCAAGAGCGAATCATCTCACGGTTGAACGATTCGCGAATTGGCCTTTTCCGCCGGAATCCAGGTCACTCGCCACTCCGGCAGCCACCATGTCACCATCGACAGATACAGTATCACCACCATTACGACCGCCGCATCTTGTCTCCCGCTAGGCTGTAGGAGACGCGGTCTAATGTGTGTGTTGTGGCAAGCACCGAACCTGGCTGCTTGGGTAGCAGAGGGTTGGTGGTGGAGAGGCGAAACAAACAAGCCAAAATCACTTATTCGCTCAATCAGGAAATCTAGACTGCGCCAATGGCAAAGAACAGCCTCACCTGAAACCTCTCGACCCATGAAATCTGTATACAGATATTTTGTGATCGAGATTTTTGCCCCCTCCACATTCAAGTCTTCGTCAATCAGAATCTAGACAAGACGACACGAAAATCCGAACCCGTTTAGCCCTCTTCACACGCCCCATCAAACACCTTGGCCCTGAATACTACGTGTCAAATACGACCTACATACTTGACCATCCATGACTTCGCACATCGCAAATTACCTATATCTAGACGGCACAGTTGTGCAAGAGGAGGTCATTGGAGTGGGCGGTGCGGGAATTGTCGTCAATCGAGAAGGATACGCCCTCAAAATCCCTCTGATATCCAAGGTGTTTGAAATCGACGGAGTGCCAGTTGACGATAGAATATTGAACGCTGATGCAGGCGACTCCTACGACGAGCTCGCCGTCGCCATCAAGTCTTTTCGGCATGAAAAGGCTATATACAAAAGGCTGGGTGACCATCCTGGGATCATCCCCTGTTATAACGTCGACTCGGAAGATCCCTCGATCCAGATGCCCTTGATGGTTGGCGACCTTCGCAAGTATTTGGTCGATGTCCGGCCGACAAGGGCGCGCCAGCTCTCCTGGTTACTTCAATTGGCGCGTATTATGGCCTATGCACATTCTAAACGTATTCTCATATGTGACTTCCGGCTGGATAATATCGTATATGACGATATGATGAATCTCAGGCTTATTGACTTCTCCGAATCCTCTTTGATGGACCCCGACTGGGACTTGGACCGCTGCGATAGATACGGCTATTCTATTCTGACCGACATTGGACAATTTGGGGCAGTGATGTTTGAGATCATAACTGGCCAACATTGTCGTTTTGATATTTATCAGGATTGGACCGGGCCAGGAGATGCGACAACCTGGCCTCGACGGGAAACACTTCCGTCGACAAGCGAGGTGTGGCTAGGATCTATTATCGAAAAATGCTGGACCGAAGGAGTGTTGTCGGCTGATGATCTTGAGAGAGAACTTAAAAAGGTGAACGTCTGCTGAATCACGGTAAATATGGCCTGTCGCCACTTTGCAAGTCCTCGTCGTTACCATGTTTCCACATCACTGCACCTGGATCGATGATGAGCGATCTTCAACTGCTGGGTTGGACATTATCTAAGAGTACTCGCAGTGTCAGGACCCAGCCGTGACCGTGGCAAGATACTCAGTCCTCCTTGTCCAAGAGCGATCTTGCGGCAAGGGGCTCTCTAGGGCCCATCCATCCTTGTGCCTTCTGTATCCAATTCCCGAATGATACCGAAAGGACAGTGCATATTATAAAGCAGGGAACATGGGGCAGCGCGAATCCAAACCGACACAGTATCGGCGACAATAATCTGCCAGAAAATTCAGATAAAGTGCGGCCATGGAAATTGCCAAACTCGAAGTCAGCAGGAGATCCTGCTGTTGTCATCGTACCTTCGGCAGCAATGTACTCGGTGCTGGTCTGGTAGGCATTCCTCTGTCTTGGACCTGTGTACTTCGTCCTTGCCATTCCTAGGTGAGGTCTTGGGTGATACAAGGAGTTGGCAAGAGGCTGATGGAGTTGAAGGGTCGATTAAGACAGTGGACTATATGATCGTCTTCGGTGCGTCTGTATCAAGACCTTGTGCAACAAGCATTCAAAATACGTTTCAGCCAGGTGGCATGTCAGATTTCCGTCATCAGCACAACATTGATGGGAAATAGTGTGCGCTTCCTATGCAGACACGACAGTCTGCTGCACAACAGATTGACCATATACCGATCAGATCGCCGTCCGCCAAGGCCGTGGAAAGAAGCCTGACTAATCGATGAAGACTGATTAACGTCGTACCGATGATTCCTCTTCAAGCTTTTCCTTCTTAGAGTCTTAATGCCGTGGAAACAGAAACAACATTGGAAAATACCATGTCCCGCCACAAGAAAGGAGTGGACGAACCACACTGCAGGTTGATACGGTGAGTGGGATTCCAGAATCGACTGAAACTTGCATGACACAGACGACATTAGTCTTTCTCCCGCTTTCTTCTGAATAAGGGATCTTCCCCGCTCGCTGCATATCGGCCCGTGTGTGACACACCTCGATGAGGCTGAGATGCTGGTATGGAAGTCCAGCCAGGGTTAGTGGGAGCTACAGGGCTTCGCTGAACACCATAGTATCGACATGAATCTAGGCCATCTGCCTGAAGCGACAATACCCCGACTTGGGATATCTGGGACGTTGGTCACGGTTTGGAATGTCCAAACGAGTGTTCGAAACTCTGTCTCAGAGCGACCAGCTGGCAGTTGAGCTCATTGACAACATGCACAATTGTACTGAGGATCCACCCGTCAGTTTTGCTGTTTCTTTGTGTGGAGTACGGCCGGAATACTCCCAAGCACCACCTTTGGGGTTTTAGAAGTAACAAGAGTTCTCGTAAGAGGTAATAGACTCGCAAAAAGGTGTCTGGCCCTACCATGTGTAGAAACAACCCTTCTCTTTATGTCCGTCGATGTACCCAACCTTGGTCTCCTGGTAGCTTCTGCAGGCCGTCAGAAACAATCGAATCCCGGTCCCATCAGCGGAGTGTGGCAGTTCTGGCACACTACTATTTTCGGAATAGTTTGAGTTGGTTGTTTCTCGGATTGTCCGTCATCTCCACCCTTTTGACAGTTGAAGATTTGAGGTCAAGACACGTCCACTAGACATGCTTCAGTCAACCAGGAGATTTCCCCAAGTCCGAGGAACGTGAACAACAAACCCATTCCGACCAACCATGCTTCAAGGAAACCACCTTGTACGTGAATAGTGAAAGACAATACCATTGGTCAACAGGTGCAAGGTGCTGTACGAGTACTCCGCACTCCGCCCTTGTCCAGCAACCTTGATCCAACTGAAGGAGAAATACTTGGTAAGGGGTAGAAAATCTATTTAAAGTGGGCTGCTTCTGTACGTGATAGCGCAGGGAATGGACTTAGAGTGGCTAAGTGAGCTAAACTCTTCCTAGAACAAATCAATCTTCCACAGGCAACACTGGTCAGTCTTGGCACCGGTGTTAGCGCCGATGCTAATTTCCATCACTGTCACTTTTCCCACAGCCGCAGCACCACCACCTGCTGCACCGTCTGCACCAAGCAAGGCATTTTCCATCACATGTTGTTGTCATTCCTCTACCCTTGCTGCCAGGCGATTGATGTCTTTGACGTAACATGGACTCCCTACTCGTACACGAGGTCGAGTGGATAGGGGGAGCCCTTGTCCGAAACAATTGTTGACCAGCCAGCTGTCCTCCGAGAAACCAGAATCCACCAACCGCATGGCCGGCACCAACACACCCTTCTTTTGAATTCTCACTGTCAAATGTCTGACTTGTTCCCACCAGCGGGAAAAAAAGAGAAAGAGGCACAGTCACAGGTGAACAAGCAAGATGCAAAGGCATGTCTCAGTCTGGTGGCGGCCAATGCCACGCAAGGGGCTAGCCACTGAAAGGGAGATCCGTCGCTCCGTCTAACGAGATGATCGGGGGTCAATGCTTGTCTTTTCCCCACAACCTCCGGACTCCTTGAATGTATCCGACTGGACAATCCTCCGGCCCGTGTCGCTTTGGAGCCGCCACGCCACGGGGGTTCAGGCCTCAATCCAGCCAAGTCGAACCAGTCTGAACCAAACCCCAGTCCAAAATCTATCCTGTCCACTCTGACAAGCCCATTGTTTTCCCAATCGCTGTCAAGGGTCGTTGAGGGTTACCGCGTGCATGTCAGGCATTGGTGCTGGGTAGGCTAGCTGGCTAGCTAGCTAGCGAGCGAGCGACTATTATTTTCCACTCGTATTTATCTTTTACTCCTTTCCCCCAGAAACGCCAATCCCCTTTTTTTCGTCCCTGTTGCTTTGTTTCTCGTGGTGTCTATATACAGCGGTAATAGGCTTGTCATTGTGTATTGTTGTCTCCGTTACATACATTCGTTTTTTGCTCCTCACTCCTGCTCAGTTTCGAGTCTTTCGTTGAATAGCATTTTTGGCACCATATCTCAACCTTCGCTTCCTCGACACCTATCAATCATGCAGTTGACAACTCTTCTGTTGGCATCCATTGCCTCCCTGGCAGCTGCTCAGACAGCCACCAGCTCGGCAACCACCTCGACCTCGACCTCGACCTGTGCCGCCCAAAAGTGAGACCATTGGACGCCCCATTGCCCTTCAAGCAACCAAGAACTTTGCTAACAAAATGCGAACAGCATTCTCGATGCCTGCCTTGCCACCATCCAGGGACAGGTGAACTCGTGCCAGAGCACCGACTACGGCTGCCTGTGCACGCAGTACGGCAACCTGCTGACCTGCTACAACAACTGCCCCAACGACTCGGGCGTTACGACCGTCCAACAGCAGCGTGACCAATACTGTGTGGCCGCGTCCGCCTACCCGTCCACCAGCAGCACACCCGTGTCCGCGGCCCCCAGCACCACTGCACCCGCCACCACTGCCTCCGGCAGTGCCTCATCAACCGACTTCTCGTTTGGCGACGGCACTTCCACGACCGCCAGCGCCAGCGCTAGTGCCACCGACGGCTCCTCGTCCGACAACGCCGCACCAACCCTGGAGCTGGGCCGTGGCATCGTGGCCCTTGCTCTCGCTGGGTTGGGTCTTGTCCTGTAAATCTGACAAAACGAAGTTGAAAGAGCCCGGGGAACAATTGGTTGATAATTCCTTCCTTGCTATGTTGTGTTTCTCTGCAAGCATTGCGTTTTGGGACAAATGGTGGTGGGAAAAATCAAAAAGAAACGGGACAAACGTTTGTTGCTCTTCCAACCCGCGGCGTAGATAATCTCTTCTTTTTGGGGGGGAGTTCCAACACCGGCCGTTGTGGAAGGAAAATCAAATAGTTAATCAATTTATAATCTCTCCCCAGCCTTAGGTCCTAAGTCGCGGCCTCCTTTTGAGGGGACATTGATATCAATCATCTTTTGCGTTGTGATCGTCGTTTCGGTGCCTGGGTTTCCTCTTTATTGTCTTCGTCCTTTGCTAGAGCTGTCCGTTTCCTGCCTTTCTGAGCCGGTGTTGGCTGTGGCTGTGGTTGTTGAGGGGTGTTGTCCTTCGCATCATCGTCATCATCTTCGCCCTCGCCCTCGCCCTCACCACGAACCCCCGCCTCATCGAGCCCCGGATGCTCGTCAAACGCGTCGAGCAAGCCCTTCCGCTCCACCCCCTCCAACAAATCCACATGACCCAGGACGTAAGCGACCTGTTCCAACTCGCGGGCCGTGACGTTCAACCTCTCCAACACCGGCCCCGCGGCCTCGAGCAGCGCCGTGTACTCCTTGAGCGAGTACTTGAGCTTTTTGTCCGCGGATGGAAAAAACCACAGGTACATCTCGTCCTGGAAGAAGGGGACGTGGACCGGGTCGAAGACGTTGAGGATCAAGGTCCCCGTGGCGGGGCCGATGCCGGTCAGTTTGCAGACGGCGTCGAGGGCGTCGGTTATGGCGGCGGTGGATGGACGGGACGGGCGGGGCGAGGAGCCTGAAGTTGATTTTGAGGTTGATGAAGACGATGAGAGGAGTTTCGCAAAGGCCAGAGACGTCTGGGCTTGAACCGCCGAAGCGTCGTTCTTGCGCACCATGGCTGGGAGAAAGGGCCGCGAGTGGCCGTGGGTTCTGAAAGACGGGCGAAATGGGTCAGCTTCTCATATCCAGACTCGGGTGTGGAGCCCCGAGGAAAGAAGGCAACGATGGCGGATGAGACGCTCGTAGTACGGTCATAACCGTTCTCTCCCTTGAAAAGGAAACATGCTTTTTGCCGGCCGGTGATGATGTGAGGCTCCAAGCATCGAGTCCAGGGCGTGGTTCAAGCTCCTTCTGTGCTGCGACAACCACACACAATGGCCCAGGAATAGAGGGAAATAATCTCATGACCCAGGTAGGGATCGACAATGAACACGCTTCCATCCCACTCGCGTAGTAGAAACAAACCCTCAAACAGAGGCACGCGTACTTAGGGACTAGAATCGACTTGACTTGACTTGACAAAGAACAAACTCACATCTTCCACTGCACCAACCTCTCAACATCATCTTTCGTCAGCCCTCCGCCGCCGCCGCTACCTTGCGCGCCGGAAGATCCATTCTTCTTCGTCTGCTTCGTCTTACTCTTGTCCGTCTTGGACGCTGGCGCAGGACCAGCACCGCCAGCACCTTCAGAAGCAGCAGCAGCAGCAACAGCGGCAGGCAACTCCTCAAACCTCCAGCGGTCGCGCTTCAACGCCTCAGTGACTTTCTTGTCGTCGTTCTTCAACTTGGATCTATACACCTTCTCGACCAGCGAGGGGTATAGTCCGAGCGCCTCGCGGAATGCGGCGAGAGAAATCGTCCCGGGGGGTGGAAGAGGAAGGTTTTGTGTCATTGTTTTCGTTGGAACTTCCTGTTGTCGTCAAATTCAACCTAGCTATGTAGGTCCGCAACTGTAGGATGGTAAAGTTGGTTGGTTGATATGTATGTTGCATTGATTCCCCGATCGCTGGGTATTGAGAGCACAGCTAGGTCATTCGATTTTGATGCCTGCGGGAATTGCTGTAAACTCATGTCATGGTTGATATGATATGATATGGTATGAGTGTGGCGAGGAAACGCGTTGGGAGCGTGTAGCACATAAATCTATTATTTGGTCGGATGCCAATGCCCTGTACCCCGTACTGCACGACCATATACCTCGACACGTGGTAATTATATTTGAGTGACTTCTGTCAATCAGCGTTCCTGGATCCTTTGGAAAACACATTCCTGGCCCGTAATGACGAGCAGCTTGACAGGACCACGGGACATCCTGTCGATTACTCTTCTAGTGTATCAACTCAGAGCTTCAACATTGACCCATCTGGATCACCCAGTTCCTGAATGCTCTTGTCTCGACCTGCACCAGTCTAATTGTCCTCAATTTTGTGTTCCGGACGCTGAAAGAAACCGTCCATTCCCATTGCATCCATGCACTGATCTCCCGAGACCGCCACTCTAAATGTAACTTGGAGCCACAGCATTGAAATAGAGCGTGCTCCCAGCCTTGAACAGCGACATACTGATACAATTTCCTTCTCAACCTGCAGAATCTCATCAGAATTCCTCGGTGAACTACGCCTTGGCTCTTTTGACTTCCTCTTTGGGCTGAATCCTCGCCATCATCTCCTCTCTCTGCATCAAATGTCCCACCCTCTCCAAAAGCTGCAATAGCCCTTTCATGCTGTTGCCCCATTCGTCCAACACCTCATCCGGTCCGCGTTTCACTTCGAAGCTCACCACTCGAGCAGGCCTATCGATACGCGCGTACACCGTCTTCTTCGTCACAAGGTCTGATATGTACTTCTCGGTCTCATCATCCGAGAGATCCAAGAGCTCCGTCAAACGCGGGAACGTGATGCGTGTATAATACTTCGCAATGACGCGAACATTGTGCTCAATCACTCGATGCCTCAGTGCTTCGTATCGCGTATGAGCCTGCGGATCACTCGCGTCCGAGGTTTTGGAAAAGATGTCAGTTGAGCAAAGGTGTTCACCATATTGCTGCTCGACCATGGGCCATCGCATGAGCTCCGGAATGGTGAACTGTTTCAAGAGTGCTGCGTCTTTGGGAATTTCAGAATTGCGACTGTCCTGATAGATGCGGTGTAGAAGATCAGACTGTTCGTTATCGTACGGGGCGAGCAAGACAAAGTAGATGACTCTTTGGAGAACGGCATGGAGCTGTTCAGGATTGTTCTCGACGGACTCCGTATCCAAAACTTGTCGGTAATGTTTGCATACTTCGAGGTATTTGTCTTCGTGTTTTGCCAGTGTGATCTGTTGTTCGTAATATCGCAGTTTGAGGTCTGTCACGTCGTCTTCTGGCTCCTGTTCAGACTGCTCCTCAGACTTCTTCTTTGCTTCTTTCTCCTTCCTCTCCTTTTCCAACTGCTCAGGTGTCTTCTTCGGCTTTCGGGCAAAATATCTTGTGCTGATTTTTCTGCTTAGAATACCGGCCTGCGTCCAGTCGTTGTTCTGTATACACAGTGCCACCTGTTCTAGGATGAATTCTGTCTTTTCTCTTCTCGTCATCGAGCCGAAAGTTTCCACTTGGAGTTCGCAGAGGATATCACATGCTGATTTAATGTCGCCTTGCTCTTTCTTGATGTTGGAAAGTATTCGGGTGATTCTGGCACGTTCGACCTCGACGAAGATCTATTGGCCCCGTCAGTCTGATGGCACATCGATACAATGGAATCACTTTGCGCACCTTGCCCTCGGTCACGGTCCGGAGCGCCTCAATGACACTGAGCTTTGTATCAAGATTCGGTGTGTCGTCAAGGAAGCCCATGACAACTTGCACCATGTTTGTGATGGCTTGTTTGAGTTGGCCATGTTTCTTCGACAGGAGCAGGACTTGCTCGTTCATCAAGCTCCAATCCCCGGCCTCTTTGCATAGCGTAACAATGGTAACTAGACATCGGGAGGTTGTCGCGAGATCTGAGGACTGCAGCAATAGTTAGCGAAGGGCAGGGCACGGGATCTCCGGTCATCAAACACGTACTTGTCTTGCTTGCTTCTCAAGCAGCAGAATCTTGTCAATGGCTTTGTGAAGATCTTTCTGCGCAGAACATCAGCCAGATTATTCATGGAAGTGACCAGCATCTCTACCTTCGCTAGTGCTTCTGCTTCGGGGAGAATCTTGTCCGCCTCTTTCGTAAAGTCCTTCTCCGGCTTGAAGATGGTGCCGTCTGACATGGTGGCGGATGAAGAATGGGAACCGAAGACTCGAGATGGTATTTGAATAGTGATACAAATACTAGGAAGACAGCAAGAGAGTCCCAAGAGGTCGAGGAAGCCAAAGTCAGAGATTGGTGGTTGGTTGTTTGGAGCAACGTCTGGCCGCAGGTTGACATGAGCTCAGATGCCCTCTGAGCCTTGACGCGTCCTTGGCGCCTGCCTCGCCTCTCAGCCTTGCGTTTACCGAAAATTGCCTTTTAAGCCTCTCTATAACTGTGGAGCAGGTAATGCATTTGACCCAAGCAAGATATTTCTAGGATACCAAAAGTGTCTATATAACCAGGCCACATGTTCTTCAGATCCTCTAACTACCCATCACCATACATTGATCCAATCCATTCTCATGCTCATAAATTGCATCTACACATTGCCCAGGAAGCCCTGGCTCTCCAGCATCAACACAATTTCGTGGACAATACTCCTGACAGACTGCTTCTCGCAGTCTACGGTCAAATCTGCATTCGAGGGCTTCTCATACGGATCGTTGATACCAGTAAAGTTCTTGATCGAGTTCCTCCGAGCCCGCGCATAGACGCCACGCTTATCCGTCTTTTCACAGAACTCGAGGCTGGTCGCGACGTGGACCAAGAAGAAACTGCCATATTGCTGGATGGTGTCCCGAGCTTCCTGGCGGGCTTCCTCAAAGGGTGCAATTGGTGCTGCGATCACAGCAGCGCCAGCTTTGGTCAGTTCCGCAGCAACAAAGGCGATACGCGCGATGTTGGTGTCGCGGTCCTCTCTTGTGAAGCCCAGTTCGGAGGACAGCTCGTGACGGACGGTCTCACCCAGAAGGAGGGTAACGGGACGGCCGCCTTGTTCGTTGAATGTGACTTGTAGGGCTCGTGCGATGGCGTCCTTGCCGGAATTTTGGTAGCCGGTCAGAAAGATGGTGAAGCCTTGTTTTGCGCGAGGAGGGTTCGACTCCCTCAATACTTTCACAACTTCCGGGTAGGAGAACCACTCCGGAATAGGAGCACCAACTCTCAAGCGTCTGCGCAACTCGGTGCCAGAGATGTCCAAGGTTTTCACACCTTCAGGGACTTGATCCTTCGGTCGGTACTCGTCTGTATCTGGTAGATAGGTCATCATCTGGAATTCCACGACCTCAATGCCCAACTCGGCACGGTATTTCTCGACCGCATGTTGGGCGTCATATGGACCATAGAAATCCTTTCCTGAGCTGTTCTTGCCAGGACCTGCGTGGTCCCGGCCAATGATGAAGTGGGTAGCACCGTGGTTCTTTCGGATGATAGCATGCCAAATGGCCTCGCGAGGGCCTCCCATTCTCATGGCAAGTCCAAGCAAGCCTAGGACGGCCATTCCGTTGGGATAACGGGGCATAAGGGCTTCATAGACACGCACTCGAGTGAAGTGGTCAATGTCACCAGGTTTCGTCAGACCCACGACAGGGTGGATGAGCACATTGGCCTGACGCGCACGGGCGGCGCGGACAGTCAGTTCACGATGCGCCCGGTGCATGGGGTTTCGAGTCTGGAAGGCCACCACACGAGTCCACCCAAGCTTCTCAAAGTGCACCCTGAGTTCCGAGGGCGTGTATCGCAGCGCCACATAGTCGTAGTGATTGAGCTTGTTCACGGCCTCGATCTTGCCACCCACGTAGAACTCTTTGGTCGATTGCATCAGGTACTTGATGGCCGGATGTTCTGGATCTCCTCCAAAGACTTCCTGTGCCTCCTTCTTCTTGTCTGGCCTGTAGACGTCGTCCACGGTAATAATGGCAAGGTTGCGATCGTCTCGAAAATCTCGGAGGGTAATCCGAGACCCTGGCTTGATCTTGAGGCGCTCAATTATCTGGGCCCCGATATCCAGGCAGATGGGCATGCTGAAGAGAGCACCGCTCGCGAGTCTCAGGTTCTCAACGACACCATTGTAGTCCTTCTCGTTCATGAAACCCTCAAGCGGGGAGAAACCACCATTCATAATGAGTTCCAGATCACACAATTGTCGCTCGGTGAGAATGACCGCCGGCAATTTCTCAGCCTCAGCTTCAAGCTCGGCATGTCGAGGGGCATCTCGAGTCAGGAGATCTTTGAGAACTCCTCCGTGAGGTGGGTTGGCCATGGTGACTGGGTAGGAGGGGGGTTTGCCAGGGAAGACGTCAGAGTATTGCTTTGCTCGGCACGCAGCGTTGAGTGGGACAAACGCTAAAGGAAGGGCAGTGACAAGAGAAAAAGGACAGCACTGAATAGACAGAGATCTCAGAGAGGGAAATATCCTAAAAGAAGTATTATAACCACGTCCAATGCGAGCGGCCAAGGCCAAATAGTAAGAAACCTACTCTATTCTCGTTTGTTGCAATCCCCGCCACGGCTGAGCCCGCGCACAAATTTTTACGAACCCTGAATGATGTATGGTGTGCGCGACCCCTGCCTACTGCAACCCCTATACCGAGTAAGGATCCCCCGTGATCATCTCCAATAGTAGCGGTTGGCTGCGTCCGAAGCTATGTACCATGCCTGTGTCGAAGCTTGCACCGAGTTCCGGTGCCTGGCAGTGGTGTCCGTTTGGCGCTCGACAGAATGGTCCCTTGTGGAAAAGGAGGGGGCCGAAGGGCTTGCCTTATGGGATTGTTGAGGCCAACCACTCTCTTTGGGTCTCGCTAAGGCTGCCGATCTCCGTTGCCATGTTCAACGATGGGGGAGGGAGGACAGATAACAGGACAGGAGGTTGACACAAAAGCCACCAAGTACTCTATGAATTTTGTTTCTGACTGGACAGGCAAAAGAGTTTTCCTTGCGGACTGCGCTTTTGCAAGCATGACTGCGGGCAAGAGGCGGTGTCTCCATGGGGGAGTGCAACACAACCAGCCACGCAAAAAGAGGACCTTGATGCAAATGGGAAGCGGATGAGCAAGAGAGAATGGGCGGTCAGATAATCTGCACCTTTGATAAATCTATCGACAAGGGGGGCTTTGGGGCGTCAGGGCCTCCCAGCGTTGGACAGAGCGCCTGCCCTAATGGGGGCTGATGTCCTTCTGTTCGTCTAAATCACAAAGTCGGCGCTGCTGTTGCCAAGAAACTCCATGCCTCTTTTGAACCCTCTCGTGCTTCTGTAAAGGCGCGGGGCGGCCACCGCGGCCACCACGCTCTTTTCCCTCCCTCGATAACACTCACTAATCCATCATCCACCCCCTGATGCTGCATGCAAATGCTGATATCGTGTCGCTCATGTCTCTAATATGTGAAACCCACTAGGAAAATGCATCCATGCCATCACCGATGGCCGAAGTCCCGAACACCGACGCTATGCTGCCAAACACGAGGATTGCTTCAGACCTCGTTTTATGATTGCGCCTCGAGCCTGACCTTTTGAAGCGCTTGTTCCAGAGCTTCCCGCTCTCTCTTCTTTTCTTGTTCCATCAAGTACTGTGCATATTTGGAGCGGGGATTGTGAATGCCGCACTCCGTTTTCTGTTGACCCTTCCATCGGCCTGCACGTTCGTCCTCACCTTCCTTGACAGGTTGGGTTGAGTGCCAATCCCCGACACTCTTATAACCCCGATCCAGCAAGGCATTGTATGGGACGTCATTGTCCTTGATGTACTGCTGAATCTGGTTGAAGCTCCAGTTGGCCATGGGATTGATCTTGAGCAGACCGGCCTCGTCGACTTCAATGATGTCCAAGGATCCTCTGGCGCCACCTTGGCTTCTTCTCCGGCCGGTGAGAACAGCATATGCCTGCAGCTGACGGTAAGCCCGCTGTGCAGGCTCAACCTTGACCAGATAGTCATATCTGTTGTCATCCTTCTCCCATAGCCTGTCGCCATATTTCTCCTTGAACTCTTCTGCAGTCTCAACTTCGGCTGGCTTGAACACATGGATGTTGACCAAAGGATATCTTTCCCGCACCTTGTCCACCAGCTCCAAGGTTTCAGGGAAGTGATGGAGGGTGTCGAGGAAGATGAGATCCACCATCTGCGGGCGAGGGACCTTGAGCTTGGACAGCATGTCCAGCTGGACGAGTCCTGTCAGGCCAAAGGCCGTGGTCTGGTAGAGGTTGGGAAGGGTGGTGATGGCCCATCTGAGGATCTCCTGGGGTTCGAGGAACTGAAGTTGGCGGTTGAGAAAACGAAGGTGTTGTTTGGTGAAGTACACCTCAGACAATTCACTTTCACTATTGGCACCTGAAGAGTAGCCAGAGTCGGCACCGCCTAATGAGGGGCTGCTGCGGCCACTCCCACACGGGGTCTCGGCTCCTGAAGACATGTCGAGCTCACTTGAGGCAAACGGGTTGAAGAGGTAAGAGACTTGGGCGAGGGAAGACGAGAAGCGCGAGAGGAAACCCATTGAAAAGCGATCCGACTGACAACAACACGGGGGGGAATGATGAAAGTGCTGGAAGCTCACCTTTTTACAAATCAACCTGCTGCGATATCATCGTTGAGCACGCAATTCAGCAGTGGAGCGAACTAGGAGTTGAGAGCCTCGCGATCCGGTGCCAAAATTTGCAAAAACAGTCACTCATCGCTCAACTGCCTCATCCCTTGGTCGATGGCGTGATCGAGGAGGCAAAGAGCCTTCCCCATCGTCATTGGATGCCGCCCTTTCTCGACGTTGAACGTCTTGTGTCATTTGCTGGCCTTCTCACCCGAGAACCGTAGGATATCGGAAGTCGGAGAAAATCTGGATTACATGCGTACCTAACTTGGAGGATAGGGTCTCCGGGCTCAGCTAGGCCCCATTTTCTATACCTCCGTGTGCGGCTAGGCAATCGGAGCGCAGCGTCCTTCGTTACAACTTACGTGACAGCTCCCCTGCGAGCACCTCATCCAAGCCAAGACACGAAGAATGCGGGAGTAGCAAGACTGCAAATTGCGAAGAGAAGGTCAACGATGTCGTGAGATTGTGACAGATTGACGACAGCCCCCAATATGAGTAGAAGTAACGTTGAGATCTCTCGAGTCTGGACCGAACCTGTGAGAGCGACAGCCGGGCGCGGGGATTTGCCGAGCCCCGATGAAGGATTTTATCGTGCCTTGCGTGCTCAATCTCGCCAAGCCTCACGTGCAGCAAGTGCAAGGAAATGCACGTGAGCACAACTGCCAGATTGCCTCGAGGTCACGGGATGCTTGGCCGCAACAAAGTTGAACAAACTGCGCTTTTTGCCTGCGATTGTTGCCCTTCATCCAATTCGCTACAATCTCTCCCGAATTTTTTGTTTTTGTTCTGCCACGCGAACTGGTGGAGGTATTTTCCCCAGTTCAATCCTTCCACTTGCAGGTAAGCTTGAGGTCGTTTTACCAGGCAACCTCAATGGTAGGGATCTTGGCGAACTGCCACTCAGAATACTCACCCAGTCTTTTCTCCATTGTCCCTCCATGCTGATCTGAGCCTCAATGGGTTGTTCCTGCATTGGCCTCGAGATGCTATGACGTCGTTTTGCATCCCGTCGATCGCACCCCTCATCCGTCCCTGTTGCTCTCCAACGTCGACCTAGTGCGGCTTCAGGACAGCGAGTACCTTTCTACCTCCGAAGCTGTCGCACGACCTCATTGCCAACTCGGAGAATTGAGTGATCTCAGCTCGTCCTGGAAATGGCGTCGCCTTCTCGATCTCACAAGCTTAGCTTGGGAAAGGACTCTCTGGGCGCCAGCACATTTCTCGACGACCATCTTGAATACAAATCGCGCCAAACAGGGCCCTCGGCGAGCATCGATGGAGTTCTGGAGCAACCACCCCGAGTCCCTCGAAGCGTCGTTTCGAATCTTTCCCTCTCCAGCGCGTCGAGAAGATCCATCAGTGCCATCCCACCTTCGCCGATAGTGGCTCAAGAGAGTGGAACCATTTACACAATATCCCACACTAATTGTGTTCCTGAGGTTGGTGATCCGGCAAGACTTGTCGCAACCATCTTCTACAATTCGAGCGCGCCGCGACATCCCCATATCCACCCAGATCAATCTCCCCCGGCCAGACCGACAGATCCAATACCGGTCCCCGAGATTGCTGAAGGCTCCGCACCGACAACAAGCATCTCAGAATATCCTCTTGAGCCGCCTGCACCTGAACCTGAACCTCTTGATCATCTGTATGGTGCCTACATATCTCAACTATGTTTGACCCATTTCCTCTCTACACTTGACAGTCTTCTGGTGCACAATACTCCTGAGGAGAGGCAACTGACTTCTTCCCATCGATGCCTGGCTCCGGATCCATTCAAACCAAGAGTAATGGAGATTACTTTTAGCCCCCCTCCTAACCCCGAATACTTGCCGTTCTCTCTCATCTCCAAGCACGAATCGATCTATAAATTCGAAAGAGAATGGAATTGCGAGGTCATTCTGCAACCCTCCAATGTCTTCCGTCGACACAAACGTCTTTGTGTCTTTGACATGGACTCCACCCTCATCTGTCAGGAAGTGATTGACGAGATCGCCGCCTTTGTGGGCGTCAAAGACAAAGTTGCTGCTATTACCGAGCGCGCCATGAACGGGGAACTCGACTTTGCTGCATCTCTAAAAGCAAGAGTAGCATTGCTGAAGGGTGTGCCAAGTGACGTGTTTGAACGGCTCAAGCCCAAGATTGTCATCACCCCAGGAGCGAAAGAGTTGTGTAAATGCCTGAAAAGACTCGGTTTCACTCTTGCTGTTTTCAGTGGTGGATTCCAGCCACTTGCGAATTGGCTTGCTGGGGAATTGGGGCTCGACCATGCGTTTGCGAACCACCTCGCGGTTGACCCTGACTCCAGCACACTGACGGGAGAACTCGAATCTTCGTACCCAATTGTTGACTCTCAGCACAAGCGTAACCTGTTGATAAGCTTAGCAGGCAACAAAGGAATTCCTCTTGTACAGACAATGGCAGTCGGGGATGGCGCAAATGACATTCCCATGCTCAAGACGGCTGGTCTGGGTGTGGCATGGAAAGCCAAATCCAAGGTCCAAATGGAAGCCCCTGCCCGCCTGAACATTGGTGAGAGTATGCTGGACTTGGCCTACCTGTTAGGTCTGTCCAAGGAAGAAATCGACCAGCTTTTGCGAGACTAGAGGGCGGATCCAAAGAGGGTTGATGACGGGTATCAACGATGGACAGATAGTGTGGGAAGAGTGCACTTTATTGGCCAGCGCTTCAGCGAGCATCTGTTGGGTGAATACTATCATGGGGGAGAGAAGGTGCTTTGTGAGGAGAGCAGCTCCAGCTTTCAAGTATGTATTTGCTGCTTGGAGACGGGGAGTGGCTACGAGAAGACTAGAAATGAGAGCATGTCCTGTCGAAGAACGATATCATGAAACTGGTACCAAACAGCACAGCACGACTTTACTCTGTGTTCTCGTCTCTGTTGTCCCCTTTCCATCAATTTTTGAAGATGAATAGCTTAGGAAGAGGGTGGGCGAGTCAGAATAGATGCGAGATTCATAGTGCCACCTCCCCCCCCTCCCCCCACAACACGGTAGAACTACTGTATGTACCGGAATACGTAGTCGAACTCGAACTCGAACTCGAACTCGAACTCGAACTCGGTGTTATGAAACGACTCGATTCTATCATATCCTCAATCGGATTGGCGCAGAAGAAACAAGAAGCAAACAAGAACAAGAACAAGAATAAGAATAAAAGGAGAAGGAAAAGAAAGAAAGTCTTGTGCATGCATGTGAATCAAGTCTACCTTGGTCCGTATCATACACGTGTGGCAAAGTAAAGCGTTGGCTCAAACATAGGTACCCAGCCAGCCAGCCAGTCAGTAATTTTTGTCTTCCAGCACTCAAAAAACCTCATACATGAAGCTTCACCGCGAATAGTACGACATTAAAGAAACGCTCGTTGGTATACGCACACGTAGCCAAGACGCTGTCACCTCATTTGACGCCCGCTGGTATTTCCAACAATAGCTGTCCCGACCAAATCCTGTGACATCCCTCGACGTTTCGATATGGAGCCTCAGATGGTGCCAGGGAGAAATTCATCTTCATCTTCAAAGGGATATCCCAATGTCGTTTACGACATCATGGCTTTGCAAACAATGGTAAGTGCCGGCCGCATCTGGGCTCACATCACTCTTCATCCCGACTATGAACCCTCTTTTCCACCCACGACCTGTCCATCGCCCTCGATAATGGTGAATTTGTCAAAGTTTGCCGTGAGTGCTAAGCTTTCAAACCCAACGTCCACCTTGTCGGATGTGGCGTTGCCCTTTGTCTGCTGAGCGAAGAACGAGTCTATGCGCTGCTGGGCGTTTACCGCTGCAGTCATGCCTTGAGACTCTTGGAGGACGAAGAGAACGACAACTTTGGCAAAGTCGAGCTTCTCGCTACTGATGGCTGTCGAGGAAGGTTCGGAGGCACCAGTGCTCGTTGTAGAGGGCGATTGTGACGCCGTTGTTGTGGCCGAACCAGCGTCAGTCGTTGTAGTCGCGCTCGTGACAGACGAGGTCCCAGTGACTACAGCTTCTGTTGGGCTGACTGGCCCTACAATTGGTGAGCTCGCTTGGAAGACAATTCCATTAGAAGTCGAAGTTCCTGCGTCGCCACCATCCTGTCTCCTCTCAAGAGATGATCCTGAGCAGGCTGGTTCTGCACGTGCAGTTACTTGAGGTAGATGAGGCTTGTTGATCACAGGCGGATTGGGCTCAAAGCCAGGTAGCATGATGAATCGTCTCGTCCTCCTTGTTCCCAGGTTCGAAACACTTGAGTTGAAGTCCACCAGAGAATTTTCACCCGTACAGGACAGATTGTGGGACGAGAAAAGTGATAATATCGTCGAGATGTTGAGAGCGATGTCGAACCGCGTCTGTGCATCCGAAAGGGTTGGGAGGATCGATAGGCCCATGGTTGCATTTTTGTACTCGTTATCCCCGTCATTCAACGTAATGGTCATACAATCCCCTGTGTTTTCCGACGTTTCACACTGGCTCCCGGTAAACCCGTTGGAGCAGACACAGACGCAAGCGTCGTTGCTCACTATGCTGGTTCCCCCATTGCGACAAGGATGACTGGCAGCACAGTTGCTGAGGCTGGCAGATCGGTGTTGTTTTGGTACAAGAATTAGGAATATGGGTATTAATACAGCGGCGGCAATGAGAATGATGATGACAACAAGGACGAGGATGAAAATAGGTAATGACAGGCCGCAGCACTTCCGCCGTTGTTTTGTGCGGTGGCTTTTGGACAGATCGGTGGTTGAGGCGTAGCCATCGCCCTTTTCACCTAATGGCCACAGCGTATCTCGTTTCGTCGGGGTACCACCTATAGCTGGAGCAGGGAAAGCTGACAGCATGTCGGACATGGTCGAATGACGATTGTTAGGGCCCAGCTTTTCACCACTACCCCACATGTCCAACATGCCCAGTCGGCTTGCAGTCTTTCCTCTGTCGAGATTGGCTGCAAGCTTTGTTGCCCGTCTGATCAAATCTGCCAGACTGGTTGTGCTGCCACGACTCTCGGCTTCCCTGACAGCGTCCATGTCCAACCGAGGCGGTCTTCGATTGGCAGGGATCTTGTCACTCATCGCCGGCTGCTCAATACCCAAGCCAAGCAGATTGTTGGTAGATTTCTGGGAATGTGACGAGGCAGGGGTCTGAGTAAGAAGCATTCCAGAAGAGATTGTATTCGGAGATTTGGGAGTCTGTAGATACTCTTTATCCGCCGAGGTAGAGGACGGGGATGTGTCAAATGGCATCCTAACAGGAGTGTGACTGCGCGAGATAGGGGTACCCGTACCCGACCCGGTATGTTGGGTACCCATACCAGCAGCCACCGCTGCACTGAGGGCTTCCATAGTCGCTTTGGGGTTGATGTGAGTGGGGGGAGCAGGAAATTCCTCTGGGATATTCTGCTCGATCTGACTGTCTCGATTCCTGATAGTAGTAAGGGCTGGCTTGGCTCGTTTCCCGAGGCTTGCTTGCCGCACGACTTGTGGCATTGGATCTGGCGAACCGGCCAGGTCTGATTCATCATCATATTCATCTGGATCACCTGGATAGAACCGCTCCTCAGGGCCTAGAGCTTCACTTTCAGCATAAACAGAACCTGAGTAGCGTTTGGACGTTGGGGTTGGGAATCCTCTTGATCTCGATCCAGGTGTTGTTCCGGGAGTAGCATATTCGTCGGCTACTGATGACATGTAGGACTGATGCATATTGTACTTGCGACCTGGCGACTGCGAAGGGTCATGTCTGATTCTTCCTGAAGATGGAGGTATTGGTGGAGCAATAGGGAATCTGAAATTCTGCACCAGAATTCCATTCCCTGTAGGTTTCTGCTGCTGCTGGCGAGAAGAGCTGTCAAACCTGATAGGAGGAGGAGCAGTGCCAACGCCGGCGGGCACTTGGCGGGCACTTAACTTGACATTCGGGGGTACTCTCACTGATGGATGTGGAGGAAACTGTTGGTATTGCGAAGGTTGAGCATAGTTAGGTTTGGAGTAGTGAAAGCGGGCTTCATGACTGGGTTGTGGCTGTTGAGTCTGATAGGGATCCATGGCAGCTATGGCTTCGTATCTAGACCTCGATGGTGATTTGGGGTAAATTCAAGCGTGTTGGACTCCTTTGCCGCGTTTCAGCAGGACTTGGAGTTCTTCCAGGCTTTAGAAGTGTGTAGGCATGTTCCCGACATGCGTGAGGGATTCAGAGAAGTTGACGGTGGTGCTGTATGTGACAAGTCTGTAAATCTCTGCTCGTGCAAGGAGACAAGACAAGACTATTCCCATTGTGTCAGTATGCTCGACAAGGCATTCACCGTCCACTAGGTCGTCTCCGGGAGCACTCTCGTTACATGACAAGGCTCGTCCGAACCCTTCGAGAATCGTCTCTTGTGCTCATGAAGCTGCGTACCTTGTGTGATCTGCTGTATCAATGCCTGGCCGCCTTCCTGCGCTCCTGCGCTTCCTTCTTTCAGAGTTGGTCGGATGTGCGGGATTCAATGGATGGTTCGAGCGCCAGATCTCGCTGACTTGGGTTACGAATGGGCTGGGAAGAGGCTCAACCTAGGTGGATAGGCCGCAAAACTGGTTGCGAGGTGTGTGTCGGTGAAAATAAAGGCACAAAGAAGTTGCAGGCACCTGTCCGCGATGGATCGGATGAAGAGAAATCGAGCGCGATAAAACGAGCGAACAGGAGAACGAATGTATGGCACTGGTGCGTAAGGAGCGACGGGGAGGATTGCTCTGCAATAGAGAAATAGCAGTCTGGGTATCTAGCGAAAAGAAGAGTCGACAGACATGGACCGAATCAGGCTGAACGAGCACAGAGTGACCTGAGAGAGGACAAAGACGAGATTGAGAAGGAGCGGAAAGCACGACCACAGGACGGCGAGCGAATGAACGGAAACGAACGTGTGGGAGAAAAGGTGATACAACAAGTGAGAGAGAAGCCGTGTCAGGAGGTTTGAAGCTGGTGCCAGCAGCGCAGACGATGCAGGCTGGTGACAAGGCAGTACCTGGTACCTGGCTAACGGGCAGCGAATGGGGCGAGGTCTCGGTATCTCGCAGCCGATGAGGGGCACTCGGGGCTTATTACGGTTGGGGCTATTCTTTATGGAGAATTAGCTTGCCCAGGCACAGGCACCCTATTGGCCTCTTTGGCTAGTTTCAACACGTTCGCCTGCAGACCCTTGAACCGTTGCAGCCCGTTGCTCCACCTTCAAAACTCAGCTAGACAAGGACCAGGGCGCAGTTCTGAAACACCAGCCTGCCGTCCATGCGAAGTGTCCTGTTCCTTGTTCCTGTTCCTGCATGGAAACAATCTCAGAATCCTTGGTGTGATCCCAGATATGTCGGCGACGAATCATGCAACTCATCCGAGAACCTATTATCTGACAGGACCCTCGGACTTTCCGTCACAATCTTGATGCTGGCAAGGCTGTTCCCGAACACATTTGATCTTGGTTTACTAGGCCTACCCCAGAGTCGTCAAACCAGATGTCGATCGCACATGGGCCAGGGTGAAGACTGGAAGGTATCGATGGATGTCAAGGGGCAAATAATAGTGGTGGCTTAGACCAATGACAAAATGGTGGCTATCGAAGGCTTGCTATCCGTGAGACATCCATTGAGTCTTGTACTGAGTACGAGTACCTATACTGTCTTGCCTGTAGGAGGAGGTACGAGGTACATACTCCATTGTTCTTCGACACTGATTACATACTTAAATATTCAAGACTTTGAGTCCGGGCAAGCCTCGATCTGGCGAGTCAGATGCGTGGTCCATCGACTTGGCTACTCTTTAGTGCCATGAATAGCGTGTCGCTGCGTGGGACTGAGATAATAATACAAGCATTGACAGGGCTAATGAGGCTGCGATCCCGTAATTTATTAATTAATATCCGCAAGCCCACCGTGCCATGGCGCTCATTGTGCCTGCGCTCGCCGCTCGTGCTCCTTCGTCACACTCCGTGAGGTACTCGTACATAGTACTCGGTACATACGTCTGGACGTAATACACCCTGCAAAGTAACAGTGGGGAGGTCGTTGAATTAGATAGTCTACAATCCTCTTTCTCCATAGGTACCTATATATGGGCGAGTACGAGGTACTCCTTCCTCCTTCATGTAAAAATGGACCCCGGTCTGTTCTGACACCCATCTCCACCCTCACCACTTGATCAAGATCAACCCAATCTCCATTGCGATGATCTCATATCCACCCCTCCATCGCTGTGCAAGGATTTATTCTTGACCAGTGTGGTAATTCGTGTACCTAGTATCCCATGAGTTCTCGTGTTGTGCTAACCCAATACTCAACTTTGACGTTGTCTCCTCTTCGTCATGTCATATACGCGCGCACATTGCAGATGGTCATGTTGAGTGAGGTATCTCCCTGCTCCAGCAACAAACCTCGCCAACATACTGCATCTCCTGCTTTTATGCACCATAGGCCACACCATTGAGCAAGTTGTCGAGTTCGATATGTATCAAGCAACGCCTGGAGCGGGTGGCGGCTAAAGGCTTCCGATCTGGCGAATGAGGCTAATCCCTAATTCTAGAGACCATATCTCAGGATGTTGCCACGCCTGTCTTGTGCTGCAGAGATGGTTTAATGTGCATGGGACTAGGCCAACTTGTACTGCCTCATGTTGTTCTGTGGTACAATGACCTTTGTGTGCGCAGCTAGTCTTGGGCTTCCTACAGCCTGGTCCAGCAGTCTCAAGCGCTGGATTGATTGCTATGTACTAACCATGCCGCAGTTTGATCATACAAAGCACCTTCAAATTTTGCCAACATAACCAACACTCCTTTCAGTGTCTCTTCATCATGCTGACTGCGATCGCTCTTCCCGTCAATCAAGTATGCCGGTTGCCAAAGACACGCGGCTGCCAGGGCTTGAGCCATGGACCTTCCCTTCCAACCTGTGTCATGGCATGACCTGTCAACATCTCCCTTTACCTTGTCCCGATACCTATTCATGCCTCCGTGTCCTTCTCTTCATTGTCTGCCTTTGGCTGCAGATGTCCGCTCCTTGTCTTTGGGTACTTCTTTTGAGGCCGAATCGAGTTTGAGTGTTATTGCATCTCTTTCCTCTGAACCCCTTCCTCGGTATGGATCATTCACCTGGCTCTTTGCCGTCCAGCGACTCTTCAGGCAGGTCAACGCATTCTGGTTATCCTCCTGGGACTCCAAAGCGTAAGTGATATCTCTCTCGAGCTCATCAGGTCGAGACGAGAACGTGCATCTTACACTGTACTAATCAGTAGTCCTTGCAGCACCAATAGATCCTCCTCGGCGGCGGTCCTCCTTATTCTTTTCCAGAGTCTTACACCCTTCTCTTTCCTCGAGAGCACCTGAAGGACATAACAAAGACGTTGGCGAAAACCAGAAGCCCCTCCCAGACGCAGTATTGCCTAACACGGGTCGGAAAAGAATCCATCCAGGCTCAACAAGGTCGAAATTCATACCTGGTCACGTTGGACAAATGCAAAAGCTCATTCAAAGTGCGAAAGCTTCATTCCGCCTTGACGTCCGGTTCGCTGCCTCTCCAGTTGGCTCTATTGATTCTAGACTACCCCCAAGTCCTGAGAAGGGGGACACTTTCAGTGTCAACCCTGGTCTTGTGGGAGGTACTGAGAAAGAAGGCTTGGAGACATCTTCCAAGGATTGGAGGTACTCTAGAGCCCCGAAGTCCATTGCCGAATTTGACACGGATGTCAGAGAACCTTTCCCTGAGGGATCTCCACAGCTTCCAGATTTGCTCTCAGTTGAGATGGACCATTGCAAGGGGTTGGCTGTTGAGCCTCCCAGCAGCGGATTTACTTCGCCTGTCGATAAGGGAGATTTCGCGCTTCCCCTCAAGGATACGCTGAATTTTTCCTCATCTCCCGTAATGCAAGTGTCGAGGATGTCAACCGACGATCACGGCGACTTATCTCCCGCGGGACGTCTGTCCACCACTGACTTGGAGCGGCCATTGACCCAGCTTCGCGTGAGTGCTGACTATGAAATGGATATCGGTTCAGGAGAAGAGTCACCCATCGTCAGTCATCTCCTACGGAAGTCGATAGACGCAGACGGACAGTCCAGAGAGTCGCAATCCAGTGCAGAGGACAGATTTGTTCTGTCTCCGACCGTGAAAGCAGCAGCAGACTCGGCGAAGCTGAAGCGCGTAATGTTTAGCGACATCTTTCCCAAACCCCCAACGCACAGAGGCAGTGATGGCACTGCATCCTCTTCCAAGGAATCACAGCATCCAGATGGCAAATCATGTCCGGATCCTCTTCTGTATACACGTGGGCCGACGGTGTTATGCCCTGATCCGACAGCTCACTTCAAATCCCCAACACCCAATGGACTTGGGCATCATAATGCCGACCTACCTTCGAATGTACAGGGGAGGTGTGAACGCCAGCACGGCGCTCCTCCAGGCTTTGGTAACCCGCCTCTCCCTTTCAACCGCGCCACTGCGACAGGCAGTCCAATGCCATTGTTGAAAACCAGATCACCAGCAATCCCCCCTAGAGAAATGACCCACAGGCCGTGGTATCCTCCGCAAGAATTCACTCAGCGTCGATCTCAACGTCCTATCCATAAGCGCCTGAGCCGGCAACATGTTGGTACTGCCTCAGAGCATTTCGAGCCTGGTTGGTATTATGCTGAGGAGAGCCCTCACCAATCCACAAGGCCGGGACCTCCAATGTACTCTTTCTCAACAGCAGCAGCCAAAGTTGTCGGACAAGACCCAGCTCCTGATTCTAGGATTCGAGATTCGTACAGAACAGACACTCTCACATCACTGGCAAAACCTGCCAGTCGATTCAGGAAAAATGGTCTCAATGCTCTTGCCAGCGCTCGTGGAGTCGGTAAGCACTACGGCGGTCCTTCATACCTGTCGAAGCCCCCTCAGCGTCGCATGCAGCCTCGGAGGTCACGTTTGCCGAACAATCTGCAATTCAGAAGTAGTCCACCAAGATGTTTGGCGGAATCTGCACCAGACTCGCAACGGAAAAAGAGGTCGAGAGACACCGAGACGCCCACAAGTGAGATCCTCGAAGACCGAAAAGCAACGGAATCAATTGACCCAAAACTGAGACTGGAAGAAGGCGAAGAAGTCATTGAAGTCGACGAAGAGACTCAGGCAGCTGTCCGTATGGGCCTGTTCGGTGCTCCGGACGCAGCAGCCAGCCATGACACTGGAAGAGGTATGAAGGAGCTGAGCCAAAACGTCGGGGTCTGGCGAAAGGGCACACAACCTTCTGTTGGCAGGAAGAAACGGCGGCCTAGTTACTGGGACGCAGATTTAGAGGAGGTGATGCAAAGTCCCGCAGCAAGGCACGTGGGCTCGTCACCAATCAAAAAGGACGATGTAAGATCTGAGCGAGCTGGGGTTGAATTCCATGCCGACAAGGAGAATCAGATGCTGCTGACCGAGGAATCACTCGAAGATGAGTCGCGCTTGGCAGAAGGACCGACTGTTTTGGAAGAGGACGCGTCGATTGAAGACCAGGAATTAAGTGGCGTTATTTCCCATTACTGATAAGGTGAGCTGCGAGCTGCGATGGTTGATGGCTGGAGTCAAATACATACTGGGATTGGATTGGTATACTAATCCGTAGTGGTACTATCGGAATGTACCGCCATGCAGGCCTACAATCTGACATTCATTCCTGACCCGTCACTCTGATAGGATCGCAAATGGCTTGGTAGAAGCTGTCTTCACAGGGGCCGACGCTCCCCTCGGTGCCTCATCCTCGCTTCCGGGCGTTGCAGAGAAGCCAGCCGGTGCCTTCATTTTGGGCCCTAACATGGTGCAAGAAGACATGGTCAGCCAAGCTTCAAAACCTTGGATCGTGGCTCAGATCGCAGGCTTGCTGTTGGAGGCGAGGTGGACAACAAGGATGATTTCTTGGCCTGCGTTGTTTGGGACTTTGGAGACGAGATTGTACGAGTTATCAGGAGACTGTCCGACTCCTGGCCCCCTGTGGTCTTGGACGCCAGTAGCTTGGTTTCAATGTTGATATCATATCTGCTTTCAGACTCATTGACGGTGGGAGTTTCGTACTCGTCCGCAATCCCTAATTGGCGCCGAAGGCCCCATATTTCCTCTTCCAGCTCTCGCAATGTAGATGTGATGTTCAAGATTTCAGGGATGGTTGAGGCGACCGCTGCGGTGAAATGGGTTTGACATGTGCGTAAAGCGGGCGGGATGAGGATGCCGTACCATTTGAGAGGGTCTCTGGATATGTCTGACACTGACGAAGTGATTGAGATACGGTAGAGGGGTTTGGCTGTTGGCTCGTGGACATTCTCTTCCGAATCATCCTTGAGGGTTTCCATATCTTCATTGCTCCGTGACAATGATCCGGTCTGTCCAGCTGGAGTCTTGCCCGTCCTTGTTCCGTCGCTGTTCCCTGCCTCAAGGGTTTGTTCTTCCTCTTCCTCGGAGTCGTCCGCCTTCCAACAGCTCTTATGTAGCGTGCTGTTTCCTTTCTCTTGGATCTTTGCTACCCTGTCCGCCTTCATACGCTCGTCGAATCCTTCCTCGCCATACCTCCTCCCAACGCCCAAGGTGGAATTTGCATTGCGATTCGCCTGCGCGAGTGCAAAGAATCCCTGTGAGAAGTCCTTGGAGAGCTGGGTGCGAAGATTGGTGTAGGTCTCCAAGATCGTCAAATAAGAAATTAGAAGCGCGTCTAGCCTTTCTGAGAGGAGTTCTTCAGGAGATTTTTGGTTTTTGGATTGCTGTTGTAGATCAGCTTGCGCCTCGCAGTCTGTTGTCTCCGCTTCGACAGGGTCTGGTTGACTGCGAGAGGTGTTGCTCGGGGAGCTTGGGCGCGAGACCGGTGGAGAGGGAAGCTGAGATGCCATTTCCTATTGCCTTCCCAAAGTCCTCTCAAATGGCGTTGGGATGTGAAATACTGAGTGTGATTCCTGGTGGAATGTGACGCCTTTGATGGCAGCCTCGTAGAACGAGATCTCGGTCGTTTCGGAGATTTCAGGCCGAGCATTGACGCAACCCTGCGGCGGGATGCGCAGTTTATTTGATTTCCTGCAACTTGTAATTGTGAGATGCTCACGAATCTACCTTTTCAGTCCATATCACTTTTCCCAACAATCACTCGCACTATCGAAGAATTTGCAGCGTGTCCTGCAGAAGTCATTTGCCTAGCGAAGCTGCTCTGACTGCTGTTGCTGAAGGAACTCGCCGCAATTATTGAGCAGCGCCGCCAAAAAGTTTGACCTGCTCGAATTTCCTTGCTTCCGCCACCACACCCTGAGAACACCAGGAGTCGTTATTCAGAGCCAGTCTCGATACGAGCATTTTCCCACCTCTTGCACGCGCTCTAGCCCATACTCTCTGATCACACATACACGAGTGCCGCGTCCCCAATCGCACCAATGGCCTCCTCCGCATTGGCCACCGCGGCCGATACCTCAGCATTCAGTGTCCGTTCACTGTACCGGTCACTGTTGCGCGAAGGGAACAAGTTTGCCAACTACAATTTCAGGATGTACGCGAGGAGAAGGACGAGGGATGCGTTCCACGAACATCAGCACGAGAGGGATCCGCGACGGATACAGGAGTTGGTGCAGAAAGGGTTGAAGGAGCTTCAGATGTTGAAGGTGCGCTCCTTTCCTTGCTTCTCTTTGAGAGGAGTTGTCCTTTAAGTGTTTTCGAGAGATGGCGGTATTCTCCTCTTGGACATGAATGAGGATCTGTCTACAGACATCCCTTGTTTGCAACCCTGCAATATGTCAGGAAATACGTGATTCACAAAACGAGGAACTGACTTTGGCCTATAGAGACAGACAGTGATATCACAATTCTACCAGCTGGACAGACTCGTGGTAGAAGGCGGAAAGACGGTATGCATTCCCTTTCTTTTCCACAGATCCGGTCTCTTTCTGACTTCTGATTCCAGGGTAAAGAAATTGGGGACCGTGGTGGAATTGTGAGACAGAAAGACACAGGGTATGTGTCCTTGTCTGCTCAACTTCCAATTGTTCACGATGCTGATAGCTGACGTTTTCCAGATGGGACTGATATTCCCCTGACCCTGTCTGTTCCTGTTGATATCTGTATGTACCATGCTTTAGATGGACCGATCTCCTTTGCCAGGGATTGATCGTCCAGTGTGATACCAATGAATATAGCAATCTCTCCCTCCATGAGTGTCTTCCCATTCGACCTGTTCTGTACCATTGTGCTTCTCTTCTTGTCGTTCACCGTATGCCTCTCGCCTCCTCACAGATGCTGTCCCTCTAGTATCTCCATCTCGCTGCACCTTGCCTCCTCTTGATCTAGTACCTCCATCTCGCTCCACCTTCCCTCCGCCTTCCAAATTGCCTGGGATATAGTTGTTCCGACCACGTAGCTCCGGATATACCCGCCGCTAATTGTGTTAACAGCCTTTAGCGTGGTTGTGAAGCCCTTGGCAATGTCCTCTTTGATAAAACCTCCTTCATGCAACTCTCAGCCTTCTTTCTGATCTCTCACAACAACCACATCTCGTCTGAAGGTAAGTGCTTCCCCACGCGATATCTTTTGCACACACGTCCCTGTCATTGCAGCTACTCACCTGGTAGTAGAGACAAGGTCGCCGTCGTTCCAATTTTTTGTTTGTTCGAAGAGGAGTGTCTGCGACACAATGGCGCCGGTAAGTTGTTGTTTTTCTTTGGTTCCGTCGTCGTGGGATGTGAATAAGTCGCACTCTGGCACGAATCTGCCACATGACTTTTACTGCCGGACCCCACCACTTCACCATCACTTCCTCTTTCTGTCCTCTTTATCTTTCTCTCTCACCCACCGTCATCTCCATCAACCTTACCATCATCAACCATGGCGGTAATGTGGAAGTGTTTCGTATGCCCAAAGGAGTACCACCACACCAGGACTGCATACAGACACTTCAGGGAAATCCACCCGGAGCTGACTGGCGGTGCTTCAAGCAACCGCCAGTGGATCATCCGGGTGGATTACCCTGATGAGTCTGGGCACAGTCCTGGTGTGGAGGCCTCCGAAGAGGAGGACGTGGAAGATGATGAGCCGGTCGCCGCTGGCGCTGTCGCCTCTCCTTCGGTGTCTCCGACACCTTCTCTCCCTCCCTCCTCCGCCGCCCTCCCTCCCTCTCCTCGACCAATGTTCGAGGAAGAGCCAGTGGCTAATTATCAGCCACAACAGCTCCGGTCTTCTCGCTCGACGAGAAACCAAGAAAACAACCAATTGTCGCGAAATCGGGGTGGCCAACCCGATCACGACGTGACTGATGGCCTGCCAGTGCAACGCTGGCAATTTGCCACAGTCAGAGTCAACCAAGACGCGCCGGCCGAGCCTGGTGACGGGACCAATCCGTCAACTGAGAGCACGGACAGCAACTTCCCTTGGCCCGACCATCCCATGCCATCCTGGTCTCCAGCAATCAGACCATTCAATCAGGTATGTCTCACCCCGGTCTTTGCGAGACCGACTGTTTGCTAATGCAATGATTTTGCCACAGGAACTGCTGCGTCGCTCACGTGAGGGCAACAAGACCGCCAAAACTTCAGTTTGGGACCGAAAGACCGACAGCTGGATTCCAGGCATTGAAATAGAGCGACGTGAGGCCGCAAGAATTGCTCAAATGAACAATGCCAGACACACCTCTGCCACCAATGCCGATGCCATGAATGTTGACGAGGAAGAAGACAAGAATGACGAAGACAATGACGATCTCATGGACGTCGAAGGTCTAGCATCAGATCCCAAACGTCGCAAAGCAACCTCTGGCTCAAACGAACGATATTTTGAAGTCAAGAAATGGGTTCAGGTGCCTGCTGCCGTGGCCGAGAGGATGCCAGAACCAAAATACCTTGCCGATCGCCGACCCGGAATGGAGAGTCTCTACAAGGGTGCATACAAAGCCACGAATGGATTTGGAACTTTGGCAGACATTGTTGCTTCTGCAATGAGTAATGGAACTACCGGATACGATCTTAGTGATATCAATCCTGCTAGCGTCCTTGCCCCTGGGTCTGGGTCCGGCGCGCTCAATACTCAAGCAGACGGCACATCTACGCCAGTCCGAAAGAACATGCCTCCGAGGCGCAAGAAGAAGAAGCTTGGTGGGCCTGGGAGGAAGCCTAAGAATCCGAATCCCGCACTGGCTGCCGATGCTTCTGCTGCCGTTTCAGCAGGGCTGGAGAACGCCGCTGCCGACGATGCTGCCGCCACAAGCACTGTCGGAGATGTGACCATGAGAAACACACCAGAAACAGGTGTGGAAGGTGGCGACAACGCAGAGGCAACGCCCGCCATCCAAGGCGAGGCAATCATGCAGGACGCAGACGTGGAAGGCTCTGAATCAGAGAGCGAAGACGAAGGAAGTGAGGAGGGAGAGATCGCCACTGACATCAATCCTGCTCCCACTAGCAACACCTCTATCATTGATCCCGCCCTCACAGACAACAACTTTGCCATCGATCCCGCCCTCTCAGACAACAATCCTGCCATCGATCCCGCACTGACGGGAAACACATCTGTCGACGATCCTGCTCTTACTGAGCACACCATGACTACACAAGTCTCACCCAAGTCAGTTGGGGAAGTTGCCATGGCTGAAACAGAGGGTGCTTCTGAAGAAGACAAGAAGGAAGACACCAAACAGGAGGTGGTTGCAGCTAACAATCCTACTGCAAGCCCTGAAAGAATTGAAGCTGAAGCGGATGCGATTGCAGATGCTGACGCTACCTCTACCCCTGCCAATGAGCAGGAGGCCAAGAAAGAAGAAGAACAAGGTGCAGGTGATGGACTGGACGTGCTTGGTGCACTTGAGGCTGCAGTGAACAAGGAGGCCGGTGAGGATGCCTGATCTGCAATAACGCCCAGCATGAGAACAAGACGTTGAAATCAGTCCAAAACAGTGATACCCGAGCGAGATCAGGAACGTTCAAACACGGCGTTGTGAGGATTGAGAAAATGATGGTGAATGGTGCTTGTACGAACAGGAAACAACGGCGGCTCAAACATGGTGCTTTGGCGAACATGGACAGGGATTGCGACAGGAATTGGGCGGTTCAAACATGATGTTTTCAAAGTGCAGACAGGATGGCGGAGATATGGTGCTGTCAAGAGTGTTCAGGAGTGCAAATCAGGAAGTCAGAAAATCAGGAAAACGTCAACCAAAGTGGAGGCAGAACACAACCTGAACAGATTCTCGCAAGAGCCGAGAGAGGACATCCTGAATATGGTGCTGCTATTCAGAGAGAGTGACACCGAAGTGTAACTCTCATGTTTCAATGAAGATTGATTTTTATGGATACACTTGATGGGGTCAGCTGTCCTGCCATTCCGAACTCCCATTGGTGATCTGCATGTCCGACTTTCACTATGTGCCTGTGATCTGCTCCGTCGCACTCACTGTCCGTCTAGCTTCCACGGCTTCCTTCCCTCGTATTACACCCAAAGTGTCGATTCATAGTAGAGAAGGTGATTTACTCAAAGGGGTTGGTCCGGGTTCCCCAGTACGTGAGGAACACGCTCAGGCCAACAGTCTCGAACAGGCGGGTCAAAACGCCGACTGCGACGGTGTCCAGAGGCCGGTTTTCAACGACGACTTGGGAGACGAGCTGAGCGGGTGTTTAGTTAGTCTTTGACCACGGACTGTACGGGGGCTGGACGTACCGATGGACTGTAGGAAGCCATGAAGATCAGACCGCCGAGATATGCAGCTCCTTTGTATGACAGAGTGCCAGTGGCATTGATGAGGGCAGCAACACCATAAGTCTGCACGGCGGATCCAACAATGGACGAACCCCAGCTGGCCGCGGCGGTGGCGGTCTCCTTCGACTTGAAGAATTCTTCCTTGCTGTCGGCGGCCTTGGCACGGTGGTAGGTGTCACCGAATAGAGGGGCTAGCACGGCGGCGGAGGCGGCCTGGTTGAAGACGATGCCCAGGGCAATTGCCGAGGGCTTGACGGGTGGAAGGTCTGGAGGAGAGGACGCAGGTTAACAGAGTGCTATTAGATTCATTGCAGACGTTTGGGCCAGGGATGAGCTCTGTCTTTAGAAGTCTCGGGTGGTGACGTAGAGAACATTCAGTGAGGAATTGGAGGGGGGAAGTGAGGACATACAGTGCAGAGTTGCCATTGTGGTGTGGTTGTTAGGTAAATAGAAGACTGAGGATGTATTTGGGGTCTTGAGTTGTTGCGACGGTAAGGGAGATCAAAGGTCGATGGAAGTGCGCTTCTTGGGAGGAGGAAAGAGAAGGGTTGGGATGAGGTTGAGCTTCGAGGCAAGCTTATATTGAAGAACCTTGTGACGTGCAGGGGGGGCGCAGAGGGGACCGAAGTGACTTGGAGACTTGCAATAGTGGCGCCAGAGCAACCGGGAAACCAAAGCTTCAGCTACTATGGCGCAAAAACAATGACGACACAGGCAGTAACGAGGCGGTAACACTGAGGGGGAGACACGAATATTACACGCCCACACAGAGCTGAGCCACAGATTGCTGGGGGCACTCCACTTTGTAATGACCGTCTACAAGTCCAAATTCGGTGGCTTGGGATTTTCGATGATGTCAGTGCCGAGGATCAATCTGGTGCAATTATGGAACACCTGACGTTAACCTTTGGAGACCTGGGATTCTTTCACCTTCCAATCATCGACCTGCTCATTGTTCCCGCGGATCCAAGGGCTTTCATGTGCTCGAACAGCTCAATCTGAGTTATTGGACTCGCAAGGCAGATGAGAACCATCTTACACCTTGAGAAAGAGATGCCTCTAAGGTAGGAACAGCTGCAGCTAAGCATGTTACCCCGGATTATCTGTCCGCTAAGCTATCATCCAATCATTTCGGTTGCCTGATATCGGGGTCTATCAGCAGCCTCGCGGATGAGCCCTCTGGTGAAAAAGTTTCGGGCTTTTCTACTCGTAGATTGTCCGTTTGTGGTGACAGCCACCATTCTACCAGAGACCAAGCAGTCCTATAGACTAACTGCAGCATGGATTGAGTCTCGACCTGGTCCTTTAGCAAGCATCCTTTATCAAACAGCATTAAGTCCGATAGCGGAGCGAGAATGAGAAACTCCGCAGCGCAATAAAAAGCCTCCTCGATTCAACGAGTTACAGTACTACCAGCCCACCCAAACATGCCTGCCTCCCGCTCCCCCTCTCCGGAGAACGACGTCTTTGGCATCTCTACCACCCTCGTCCCCGAGCGCGACAACAAGAAACCCGCAACAACAAATCTGACCTTTGGCAATCTCCTCCCCTCCACCAGATCCCTCATCCTCCACGAAGATCTGCAAGAAGGATGTGGCGGCCAACTCTGGCCCGCCGGTATGGTCCTATCAAAATACATGCTGAGATACCACAGGGCTGGGTCACTGCGAGGGAAGTCTGTCGTGGAGATCGGTGCAGGTGGCGGGTTGGTGGGGCTCGCAGTCGCACTGGGGTGTGAACTCGACAGCGACCAGAAGATCTACATCACGGACCAGATACCCATGCTGGCGCTGATGAGGAAGAACATCGCTCTCAACGAACTAGAAGACAAGGTCGTCGCGGAGGTCTACGACTGGGGCACCGCACCTCCTCCCACTATCTTGTCCTCTGGTACCCAACATCAGCACCCCGACATCGTCCTCGCGGCAGACTGCGTCTATTTTGAACCCACGTTCCCGCTTTTACTCCAGACCCTGAACGATCTCATCGGCCCCGAAACGACCTGCTACTTCTGCTTCAAAAAGAGACGAAAAGCCGACATGCGGTTTATCCGTGACATGACGAAAAGCTTCCAAGCTGAATATATCGAGTACGATGGCAAGGAAGCGGATCAGAAAGAAGGCATATTCCTCTACACTGTGAGACGAAAGAGTAAAGACCAAAAGCGATGACAAAAACAATTTCTCATCATTTTATCTCGGACATGTAAAATTACAATTCTCACTATGATTGTGGTATCTCAGTCTCGTAATAGTCGTACATCTGATGTTGCTGGTGACGGTAAATCACCATGTATTAGCCCCGCGTGGCAATACACTTTCGTCTGGCTCGTTTCGTATAGAACCCGCACCGAATAAAGGGCTCATGCTTGTCAATCTTTCTCTGCTTCTCCACACGGACAGGAGGGACTCGGACCAGGCCCTTCCCAGAAGTCGAGGCTTGGAGGGTCTCTGCTGCCTCTGCTGCATTTCCGTATCAGGACCTTTAATAATATCGACGGGTTCGCCTCCCATCCGTCCCGTGCATTCGTCTAGTCCCCGCAGCCTTTTGTCCAGGCCTCCGGGTCAGGCTTCCTTTCAACTTCAGCATCGCACCAGAGACTTTGTCGCCGATGCTGGTCTTGCGACGGGGGGTGGTCCTGGTGGTCGCTGGTGTGCGGCGCACGCCGACCCGACGTCTTCGTGTGGGTGCAGCGGTGGTGGGCCTGGTTCGTGTTCCGCCCATCAGGCGCTGCTTGAGGGTAGGCTTGGTGCGAATTGCTGCGTCGGGTGGATGATGAGTAGTCGTGGTGGTCGTAGTGACCGTTGTTCCACCGGCATGGCGCTTGGTCTTTCTTCCTAGAACCATTTTGATAGTTGTTTTGTTTATTTGGTATTTAGAGAAGGGTTCTTTGAATGCAGTGTGACTGTGAAATGTGGAGAGAGAGAGTGAAATTCAATTCTCAGATAGAGCCAACATCAACGTTTATCAATACCTTGCAGAATGTGCGATTTACCTGTCATTTTCCTCAAACGACCAACGACGTCATATTGTGAGGGCCACGACTCGGCCACGAAACGGTCTTGGTTCGTCGGTTCGTCTATTGCTCTAAAGAGATCAAGAAGCATTGAAGGAAAACAGGTTTGACTATCGAAAGAGAAGTCCTCGTGGTAGATCATCGTGTTCGGCCAATCATCAACACGACAAGCAGCCACAGGATCTGCGCCGTCAGGGACCCCGATGACGCAGGGCAAGACTCCCCTTGCACCACCTTGCTGGGCACTTGGACCGTTGCATCTCGATCACTGTCGATGTCAGGGATGTTGCTTCCAGGCCGTGCCATCGTAATTGGGTGCCACACCACCGTGCCCCATTGCATGCGATTAAGCACATCAGGGACCATGTCCTTGTGGCGGTGCGGTTGTTTCTTCAGGATATCAGGATTTTATTTCCGACGAGCACTAGATCGAGAGACGTATGAGGCTGGAAGAAGAGTGTGGTGCTCTTTGATCTAGAGGGTGGCAGTATTGCACGATGCAATGGTCGCCCACAGGAGAGCTTGCAGGGGTTGCAATGAAAAGGTGAAGCTACAGAACCAAAACTAGGTGCTCGATACATGACGAATGATAGAAGCAGAGTAATGGTGAGAAGACAAATTGGAAGCTTTTCTCATGAGGACGAGGTAGTCAAAGAAGACAGTCTCACAACGTACAAGCGGGGAAATCTGCACTGTTCATCGCAGTCCCGCCTCCTGCGTATGTAGGTCCTCATCTCGTCTCATCTCAACTCAACTCATTTCGATTCCAAGCACATTGACCATTCAGCAATTCTGCGAGGTGCAATTCGTTACACGTTGCACGCTAATGCACCAACATGCAATCTGTCAACAGCACATCTCGTCCTATGGCTGTCAAACCCATCTTCCGTCGCTCTCATGATGCGGCTGCCAAAACTCCATCTCAGCGCCAGCCGGTGCCACCACCAAACACGACCAAAACTGGAAGAGTTCATCGCTCCGAAGGGGGTGGTTCTCATCGAATCTCAAAGGTCAGAGAAGGCGACAGGAAAAAGCCGGAGCCAAGTTCAATCTTAGCAGACAAGTTCACAGGTAGTCGACCCTCCTATCACTTGACCTATGCTCATTGCCTCCAGAAAGCCTCGAACAGTACCGAGAGAATGTGCAGATCGAAAGCACAGCCACGCTAGACGAGGCTGAGAGAAAAATGATCGGAGGCCTCACAGAACTCTCCATCGATATCGAAAGTCATTTTCGTGGATTGGCAGAGATAGAAGAGCCGTTGCAAAGACCATTTGCTACCGAAGCGTTAACGAAAGTCCCAAACAGAACAGGTAATCAAGGGGCTGAGGGCGAAGTCATGCTCAAAGATCGTATCATGCAATTTCGTGCATTGCGAGAAGAGAAAGAGGACGTCCTGAGCAAATTGTGGAATGAATGGGAAGATATCCAGTTTGGTCTGATAAGACTTGCCGTCGAGGCCTTCGGGAAGCAGTCACTCCTCATCGCTCAGCTTCAAGATAGAGCCATGAAGCCAGGCCAGCAAGAGAGACTCGAGAACACCCTTGACTCTGCTCAAAAGATACATGATGAGATTCACCACCAACATGCACAACTGGAACGAGACATGACAGTATTCGAAGAGACCATTGGCCAGGTCTCGAATAGAACGAAACACGCGGCCGCCGACATGCAGCAGGTATGGACTCTTCCTCTCACGCTCGACTCCATCCTGATGGGCGATCACAGCAATATAACGTGCAAAAGAGCAAGTTGTTCAAGGGCCTCATGCAATCCATTGAGCAGCTTGCGGCGTTGTGAAAGACATTTGGACCCGAGATACCGGATGGTTGCAACCACACCAGCGGAGAGTGCTACACGTGAACGGTCATCGGTCCCGTGCTGACACTCAAATGCGCGAGGTTAGAAATGTCGGTCTAGGGTGAGGTCATGATTGCAACAGCTGACCTGTTCCATGCTCAACAAGAACTGAAAAGCCGTGTTTGCGCAGATTGCAGTACACAGATGGACGGCCCGCGTCTCGCTCTTCGCCTCTTCAGACTGTCAATATCCGCGAATATCCGCATCGGACTCGGTCAAATGAGGTCAATTTAACTCGCGGAATTGAAGCCGGAGTTTTTCAGCGAAGCCTTGTTTCCTCCCAATTGGTGATCTTGTCCCACCAATCTCGACGTGTAGGTAGGTATGAAGACCTTCATTGTGTTGCAATCGGTGGCCAACCCCGCTGGCATCAAGAACCTAGTGGAAAATTTCTCTTCTGGAAATCTCTCGGTTCTCTTCTGCAACCATGTGACGCGATGTGTCCCGGTCTTGCGGGCGTCCTTCGCATTCGGTGGGTGCAGGGCCGCCCTGATAAGACCTTGTACCTTCAAAGGCGTACTGCTTTAGCGTGGGAACGTGGTAAGTCCCGGTCGTCAAAGAAAGTGGATTGGCAGACCAAAGGAACGGATCTATCTGGATGTGCCATCGTTGGGGATGTATGCCTCGTTCCACCGCAAAACCTTGCGAGAATCCACTCCAACACCAGTCTTGTGTCTCTTGGATTGTGTTTTTTTATGTACAGGTACCCGCGTCTGCCGAAGGCGATATATGAGTCAAGGTTTTGTTCTTCTATTCCTTTCGACCTTTTCCCTGTTGTATCTTTACTTCTTATAAGCGGCTCATCTATCCTGGCTAGTATTGACACATTCTTTGTTCTTTGAGTCAATTGACCATCTTTGATCATCAAGTCAGTCACAATGGCTCCAGTTGCTGTTACGCCTGTCTCTCCGCCATCTCCCACCCTTGACGATACTTCTAAATTGACCAAGGCTGGCACGGCCGCAATACTTGAGAAGACTGCCTCTAACAGCCGTCGAGTTGCAGAGCTAGATGCCTCGAAACTGACCATTACCCGCAACCTCAACCCCAAGAATGTGCCGGTGGCCAACTCGCCAGAAGTCTGGTCGCAGAGCTGCACGACGGATCATATGTTGACCGCTCGCTGGACGGAGAAAGATGGATGGGAAGCCCCCGAAATCCGACCTTACGGGCCGCTGTCCATCATGCCCACGGCATCCGTCCTGCATTATGCCACCGAGTGCTTTGAAGGAATGAAGGCATACAGAGGCGTGGATGGCAAGGTCCGCCTTTTCAGGGCCGACCGCAACGCAAGACGATTCTTACAATCAGCAACTCGGATTGCGCTGCCCAGCTTCCCGCCAGAGGAATTTGTCAAGTTATTGAAGAAGTTCGTCGGCGTCGAGGCAAGCAAATGGATCGCCGAGCCAGAGTCTTTCATTTACATTCGACCAACCATGATAGCAACGGCACCTGCTCTCGGTGTACAGAGACCCAAGGAGGCATTGATGTATATTATCATGGTCATGTTCCCATCTTTAGACGACCCGAGCTGCAAACCCCCTTCTTCTGTCCCTGCGCAGCCCACAGCGCGCGACACCACCGGTAATCAATCTGAGTCGAAACACACAGCCTCGAAGGGGATGCGCCTCCTTGCTTCCCGGCACGACATGATCCGAGCCTGGCCGGGGGGATTTGGCAATGCGAAAGTCGGGGCGAACTACGGACCGTCGCTCGTCGCGCAGGGAGAAGCACGGGCCAGGGGTTATGATCAGATTCTGTGGTTGTTTGGGAACGAGTGCTTCGTCACTGAAGCAGGCGGTTCCAATTTCTTCGTGCTGTGGGACAACAAGCAAACCGGACGGAGAGAGCTCGTCACCGCACCGTTGGAAGACGGAGTCATTCTGGAAGGCGTCACGCGCGCGTCGGTACTGGAACTCGTCAGATCTGGGGCGATCGGCGGCGGCAATGTGGATGTGGTGGAGAGGAAATTCACCATGCATGAACTCATCGAGGCCCAGAACGAGGGAAGACTCCTCGAGGCGTTTGGAGCCGGCACGGCCTTTTTCATCTCCCCCGTGCAGGATATTCATTTCCGAGGTTCAGATCTTGTCCTACCGCTGGGACGGGAAGGGCAGGAGAACGGTGTCGATGTCGAGACCAACGGAGCCAGCTTTGCCATGGCCGTCAAGCAGGCCCTGAAGGACATCATGTATGGCCGACGGGAGCACGAGTGGGGTGTGGTGATCGAAGAGGAGAAAGAGAGACGTGCTTTTGAATGATGGCTCATGACACTTTTTGAGAGCCCTGTTTTTTCCTTCTCTCTCTTTTCCTTTTGTTTTTATGATGGCCAGCTAGCATCGGAGGCGAACTGGGAATGAATGAAAAGGAATAACCCGGGGGAAACAGTTCGACTCGGTGATGATGGATTTTTCATTATGGCCCATGCGATCTTGGGCCGCGTATATATTGTTGTTTTGTACATATTGTCGCCGGGGCATTTGGGAATGTTTGGGAGAATGGACATATATCTGTAAACACGAGACTTTCTTGACCCTTTTGAACGAGGTGCACATTCGATGATGCTGGGATATCGTGCTCCCTCGCAATCTTCGGTGTGAGCCTCATGAGTCTGAACTGCTACACTCAGACCATGCATGACTCATTCCATCGCATCCCTCCTCGAGTCGAGGGCCTTTCACGAGCTCTCTCCCTTGGCATCCTTGGACCTGGCCCCAGTGCTCTGCTCAGTCTCTTCGCGTGCCTCTTGTGCTTTCTGGCCTTCTACATCTCCACCGCTCTTGTCACCGCCAGCGGAGGTCGGCTCAACATCCTCGTCACCCTCTTCCGTAAGAATGACCTTCTTCTGCGCAAGCAATTCTGCCAAGCTGCCGTCCTTGTGCATGTTAATCAGGATGTCGCAGCCGCCGATGAACTCCCTGTCGACGTATAGCTGGGGGATTGTCGGCCAGTCCGAGTATTCTTTGATTCCTGTAAACACATATTTGATCCCGGTTAGCTTCGGCTGCCTATAAATTTGTCCCTCAACTCAAGTTTCCTTGGGTCGCTAGCCAGACAATTGCGCACAGTCGAGGAGCTTGGGAGCAGCTGCTAGATGCCGGGTGTATGGAGAGACGTACCACTCCTCAGCTCATCATCCTCCAAAACATTGAAAGCAGTGAATTTCCGGGGATCTACACCCTGCAAGCCCAATATCTGGATCGACGTTCGTGAGAATCCGCATTGTGGTGTTTCTGGGGTTCCCTTCATGAATAGCACCACCGGCGCCGAGGCTACGGCTCTGTCGATCGCAGCGCGGACTTCTTGAGAGAGGAGCCGCGTCTGTGAGAGAGCAGTTGATATGCGAGGGAGGAGAGAGGCTGAAGTGGCGCGGGGGGAGATGGAGGCGAGGGCGCCGCGAAGGGCCTGTTCGTAGTAGTTAGTTCACTCTGCCGTTTGCAATATTGGGGTGACGGAAAAGACATTACAGGTGTTCTTAGTGTTCTCTGCAGCATCGTGAAAGTTGTGTCGGGTATGGCTGAACAAACAGGTTAGGAGTCAAGTTTGGACCATGCGATGCTGTTGGAGAAAATTGTCGATGGCGGCTCGGATGATGTCAATCAATGTGGTTGACAAATGGACGTCGGCCCTATGGTGCTGCGCTTCCTCCCCCAGATTTACACGGTATTTCCTCTCCTTCAACCACGTCGGACACCTGACAAATCCACCTAGTGAATTTTACATACCGCTCTATAAAGAAGGGAATGTAGACTCTGAGAAAGGTAATTGCCTCTTTTCTCTTCTCCCATACACATCAGAAAACAAAAGCGCCATGACCACCACAAACCCCACAAGCAGCGGCGAGCGTTTCTCCGCCGCCGCCTATGAAAATGACGGTAAACACCACATTCTCCTGTCCGCAAGCGGCTCCGTAGCGGCGATAAAGATCCCCCTGATTGCCCGATCCCTTGGTTCGCACCCGAATGTGTCTATCCGCATCGTCCTGACAGAATCCGCCGAGCAGTTTCTGCAAGGCCAATCGGCCGAACAACCCCCGCTGCGCTCCCTCCTGGACTGCCCCGGCGTGGACGGCGTCTACCACGAGGAGGATGAGTGGTCGAAGCCCTGGGTGCGAGGCGACAAGATCCTACATATTGAACTGAGGCGGTGGGCCCACGTGCTGATCGTGGCGCCCCTTTCGGCCAACACCATGGCGAAGATTGTCAACGGCATCAGCGACGGTCTGCTCCTGAACGTCATCCGGGCGTGGGACACGACGGGCTTGATCGATATGCGCAAGAAGAGGATATTTGTCGCGCCGGCCATGAACACTGCCATGTGGCGCCACCCAATCACGAAGAAGCATATTCAAGTGTTACAGGAGGACTGGGGCGCCGATAAGGACGGGTGGTTCACGATCCTGCGTCCTACGGAGAAGGAGCTGGCTTGTGGCGACACAGGCGATGGCGCTATGATGGACTGGAAGGAGATTGTGAGTTACGTCGACGAGCACTTGGGACTTGGTATCCAGGATTTTTATGAGGCCAATGGTCAGTGACGACCGGAATGCCATTATGCGTCACCAACCGCCTCAGCAGTGAGACGAGACTCCTCTTGAGACTTCCGATAAATATAGTCTCCAAACAGACCGAGAGATATGACTCCGCCGGTGAACCAGGCACCGTTTTTAAACCACCACCAACAATCCTTGACATCATTCAGATTCACCCGTCGAACCATGGTCGCCAAAGCCAGTGCCCCGCCACCGCAACTTCCAATGAAGAATATCGGACCTGCTCCAGCAAAATAACCGGCGGTGGCGAGCAGTCCGATCTGAGCGGCAGAGAAAACACCCAGGGCGGTCTTGGAATTGTGCTGGTGTGCTTGGGCGATCGACTTGATGCCCACTTTGACATCATCCTTGATGTCCATATAGGCATAAATCATATCATAACTGAGGGTCCACGCGACACAGCTGGCGTACAGTGCAGCCGCCGCCGCAAGTGCCTCGGGATTGGAGACAAGGTCGATGCCTAAAGCCGGAAAGCCCATGATGGCACCCCATGAAAAGGTCAGGCCGAGGACAAACTGAGGGTAATGGGTGACTCGCTTCGCCAGAGGATATACAGTGACCAGAAGGAGGCTGGGGACTCCATAGTAGAGACAAGTTAAGGGAAATTGTAAGAGCAGAGTCAATCCAGTAAGAAGCTGTGCGCCTAGATATACAATTGCATTTTCAACAGAAACGGCTTTCCGCGCAATGGGTCGTAGTCGTGTACGTTCGACATGGGGATCCAGGTTGCGGTCCCAGAGATCGTTTATTGTACAGCCAGCACCTCTCATGATCAGGGCGCCGGAGAAGAAAAGAGCTGTAGTCGATAACACCTCCAGCGGGGAAGCCATTGGTACAGCCATCGGCGCTGCCAAAAGTGTCGAAAACATGCAGGGGAGGAAGAGGTAGTATGTCCCCGCGGGTTTGTCGAGCCGGATAAGTTCGGCATAAGGAATCCATGATGAGGGCAGTCTCGATATGATACCGGTGGTGGGGGGTTTGTATATCGTCGGGAGATCCTGGGCTAATGGGGCGGGCGAGGCCGAGGTCGCTAGATGTCTCCCTGGACTCGAGGAGCAAACCAGCGCCAATACAGGTCGTTGTTTGCAGGGGGCCGTTGCATGATGAAGAGCCCTGTGCTGGTATGCCCGAAACCCACACACCGATGTAGCAGACCGAGAAGATAGCCTGAAGGCCTTGCAAAGAATCTTTGCATTCGCTGTTCTGAGCGTCTGAGACATGTCTAGCGGGTTTCCATGGTAGCTTCGGGGACGAAGATGTTTGAAAAAGTTGCGACGCGAGGCTGAGAGGAATTTCAGGTCGCGCCGTTTGTTTGAGGAATAGCGCAGCCTTTCTCCGCAACGAGAACTTTTTGTCCCCCCGGGCGCGTCGCGAGATTCGACGGTGAACCTTTACGACTTGCAGCTTGCGCCTGTAATTCTCGGCTGCGCCGTTCCTTCACATTCCGCTTAATGCATCGTCACCTCCTCTCGCCCTAATTACATTCCTCTACCTTCGGTCACCCGAATCTTCGTCGAGCAGGCATTCCGCAGATTGACCGTCCAGTCTGTTTGCCCCGCAGCCTCGGCGAGAATGCGTTTCATTTCCGAATCCCCCTTGCGAAAGAGAAGGGTTGTACAACTGAAAAAGACCATTCGTCCTCTTCTTGAGGCAGACTGACCATGCCGTCCACACGACCTTGTGCGGCCTTTGAGCCCATCTCACCAGACTTCGATCTGAAAGCCCTGGTCGAGTCCCAGCCGAATTTCGAGTGGGTTGTTCGCATCCACTGCGACATGATAGATCACCAGGGCCCGGAAAACTTCGAGAAACTGGTCCTCATTCATGTCATTCTCGGTGGAAAACCTCTTGTCATCGAGGGCTATGAACAACGACTTGACAGATGGACTTTCGCGCTCCAGTGGCTCCGTGACAACTGTGGATCAAAAGGTAGGATTTGCGCTGCTCTCAAAATACACATCACGTCCTGACGGCGTCGTTCAGTTGAAAACGCAAGAGATCTTACCAAGAAGGCCAACGTCCCGCTATCGATTGGCCACTACTTGAATAATATGGCATTATTGACAAACCAGTGGACACCACGGAACTACAAGGACCCCGCGCGTCAGCGGATGTATCTCAAAGATATCGACTGCCCGCAGCTGTGGCAAGATAAACTATCGGAAATCATTCCTGCGGGTCTCTTCTACCTCAACGAGTCCACAGGTGATATGGGTGGGTTTGGAGCAGTGGACCAAAACGACCCTATTCGGCCAGGTGTGAGAAGAGGAAAGGGAATCGCCAGAGCTGGAGATTTGATGAGCAGTCTTCCAAAAGAAATGCGCGCGGAAAACCTCATGTGCTATATCGGTCACGAAGGCACCTATACCCCGGCCCACCGTGAGATGTGCGCAAGTCTTGGTCAAAACATTATGGTCGAAGCTTCCACAGGCCTAGCGGAAGACGGAAAAGTCACCAAGCCAGGTTCTTCTATTTGGTTCATGACCGAAACCAAAGAACGGGAGGTGGTCGCCGAGTACTGGCTGTCTCGCCTTGGTCATGACATTGAGATCGAAAATCATTTCGCCCAAGTCAACGCGTGGAAGAATGCACCGTTCAAGAAATACGTTGTCGAACAGAAGCCCGGTGATTTCATCCTTATTCCTCCATTGGCTCCGCATCAGGTGTGGAACCGTGGAACCAGAACGATGAAAGTCGCTTGGAACAGAACAACCGTCGAAACTCTCGAGTTGGCAATGCATGAAGCTCTACCACGAGCGAGGATGGTATGCCGCGATGAACAGTACAAGAACAAGGCAATCGTTTATTACACCATGCAAAAATACTCGAAACTCCTTCGACTGGCGGAGAAGTTCAGACAGAAGTCAATAGGGCCCAAACACAGAACCCCAGGCGACTCGAAGGTCAGGCAGCTGGAAAAGGACTTCCGCAGACTGCAGCTTCTGTTCACTGAAATATTGGTGTCGGAAAGCTTCCTTCCCGACCGTCCCGAGAAAAAGGTTGAGTATATCCCGTACGAGAGCAACATTACTTGTTCATATTGCCGCTGCAATATCTTCAACCGGTTCCTCACCTGTCCCAATTGCGTAGAGCAGTTGGCAAACGGCGAAGAAGACACATATGACATCTGCATGGAGTGTTATGCAATGGGCCGAAGCTGTGCATGCATTTCAAAATTGAGGTGGGTCGAGCAGTGGCCTTGGGGAGAGCTGACCCAGAAACACGAACAATGGCGACTGCAGATTCTGCAATATGAGGGCAGGGTGACTGAAAAATCACCCATGCCACTGAAAATTGAACTGGACAGACTCGGGAGCAAGAGAACTCTGGCGCAGATCTGCCAGTGTGAATTAGACAGGAGGCCATATCGAGACAGGAAGCGTCCGCCATCGCCTGTGACAGGTGACGATCGCGAAGAAGTGGAGGAGGTGGACGCAAACGGGGTCGTCAAGAAAAAGAAAAAGATCAAGCGAACCGAAAAGTTTCTGAAGGCGCACGCTCGTTGTCATGTTGATTTCCACTGGGAGCCTAAATGGAAACAAGCAACGTGCACGAAATGCAGCAAGAATTATTGTTACGGCACTCTTTTCCGAAGATTCGACATGATGCCACAGGATATTCTCGCCGATCCGAACTGGCTGTGTCCGAGCTGTCTAAATATCTGTGGCTGCCGTCAATGTAAGACGAGGCCGGGGTACAAGCCCTACACCCCGTCGGGAACTATCCTTGGTCACAACACCAAGGCAATAGCCGACCCGCGCTCGGTGGAAAGTCTGGTAGACTTCAGCTACTCGAATATCGCGTGGATCCAAAAAGCAGACGATGATCACGGGGATCACTCACGTCGCCTCGAAAAGCGTCGTCAAGAGGCAGAAGTAGCCAAGGCAATCAGGCCTGAGCTCGGTGAGCATTATGTCGACGGTGATCAACAGATGGATGACGAAGTCGAGGAGGGTCTCCTTCGGTTGGCGCAACAAGAGGGGATACCGATCGATCCGGCGTTGGGAGCTCTCGGTCCACCTGAGTCCCCTGCAGATGATGAGGACGACTACGACGAAAACCCCGAAGGAGTGAAAGTCGCAGGAGAGTCAACCCCCATTGACAATGTTACACCTCAATATGCACTTCCCGAAGGTGGTGTCATCAGGAATGTTGAGCACGCTTACGATCCCACCGAGGCTATCACTTATGACTATCCCGATCCAGAGGCCGGTCTCCATATTCCTGTCCGTGTCGAGGAAGAGCAAGCGGTCGTATCTTCAGGATATGCGCCTGCTGGCGGAGGGGACAGGGCAGAGATTGAAATGGTCGAGCGAAAACGGAAACGCGCGAGGATTGATGATGGTGACCGTCCTTATTATTCCAAGAAACCTAACACTGAGAAAAACAAGGCCCGAAAGTCTCTGATTGTGAAGTTGCCGCTTCCAGCAGAGAGACTTCAAGAGATTGAAAGAATGGCAAATGTTGCACGGCGGGCCTTGGGCGGAGTGGAAGCACCTGCACCAGTCATCAGCTCGGACCTGCAAGCTCTTAACGCGGCCGAAGGAAATCCTCGGACCGGGTCAAAGAAGATTCGGCGAGGTGGTGAGCATGTTGCTGTCGAACAAGATGATGAATTTATGCCCGGTCGATATCGTGACCGCCGAAAACACACCACGGATGGACCGCATCGACCGCCACCTGACGCAGAGATTACCAGGCGGCAAACCCGGATGCAAAACCTCCACTATGAAGAGCCATCAGAGGACGAGTTCAACGAGGATGTCTCTGAGCCTGCTTCTGAACGCCGCAAATCCACGAACAAGCCGACGATGAACGTGGTGAGGTTGGGCGATGCCGAGTCAGACCTTGATTCTTCCATGTCCTCAGACAACGAATCTCCAGAGAATCCGAGCTCTGCCTCGAGCCCACCGGCTGAAGTTGCAGCAAGCGGTCCCAATCCAGCCCCACGAACGGCCACGAAAGCGCCCAAACTGACTGTGGTGCAAAGTGTCTATAGAACCGCGACGACAAACTCGCCAGACGAGCGAAGTGGGAGATCGGACTTTGTATCCTCACCAGCACCGCCTCCAACGACAACGACTGTTGCTAAATCAACATTAGCTACTTCGAACCTAGATCAGGCAAAGGCTGCAGCTGAAGCGCAGGCGAATCGACGGGCAAAAATGGCCGCCATCGAGTGGATGGAGAACGAGAGCGAAGACCTGGACGATGTTTGGTCTCGAGGGTCGTTCTTAGAGGACCATTCCCTGGGCAGTAAGGCCACTCCTCCAGCTCAGGTAGAAGCGGCCACTGCCAGAGAAGAGGAGACAGAAGAGGAAGAAGCCGTTTCGGCTCCTTTACCGCCTTCACCTCCCAAGCCCGTCACGAATAACAAAAGAAAGGCGGGAAGACCTCCGGCTGCCCCAGCTGCACCGAAACGCGTAATTGCGCCGACTGTGAAAGCGTTGGCTTCGGAGTGGGCGGATAGTGATGATTCGGACGATGGCGCACCACCTCGTGGTCCAGGCGGTCCAGGCGGTGCTTGGACTTCCGTTAATCACGGCCCTGCACGCGCCAGTCAAGTGGTGGCTCCGAAGAGGAGAGGGAGGCCACCAAAACGTCGTTAGAAGCTTGGAGGGAGCCTTTTTGTCGGAAGCCGGGGAGTCTGTCATGGGGGCTACAGAGTGTTGGCTGTGTTCTTGGGAACTGTCATGAACTACGAGAGTCACGTTTTGAAGTGGGAGCAGCTCGAGTACTTGAAAAGTTGGATTGTTCAATGTGTCTGATACATAGGGTAGACCTTGAGCTCGGAGTACAAGCCAGTGGATTGGCCCTGATGTGTTTATGG